AAAATTATTAGAGATTAATAGTAATAAATAATTTAGCTATTATAGGCTTTATATATTAATAAAATAGCTAGGCTAGCTAATAAAAAGAACCTACAGCACACTACACCTATAAGTAGGATTAAACTTATGCTGTAATCTAGTTTTGCAACCTTATTAGAAGTAAATTAATATTAGTAAAAAATTAGATCTCTGCTCTTTACAGTAGTTACTATAAGACTAGACATTGCCTTTACTACATTACGCCTTGCACAGTTTCTCACAAATCCTGCATCTAACTATTAGAATGTAGCTAATTAAGTTATTCTATACCTACATGTGACACAGACGTATGCACTTTAATTAGGAGGAGAAGACTACCTTATAGTAGTAAGTAATACATTATTTATAGACAATACACTAGATAAAAAAAGCTTTTAAGGCTATGTTATTTAACTATTTAGCAGATAAATTACATAGCAAGTAAATAAATAAGATACAGTTATAATGTTAATAATAAAAGCAGAATTACTTACACTGTTCTAAGTTGCTAAGGAAGCTATATTTATAAAAATGCTTTTTAACAAACTGTAGGTTAAGCTGCTTAATTTAACTATTATAATTTAGTGTAATAATAAGCAGATAATTTAACTAGTAAATAAAAAGATATCTTAACTTTAAACTAAGCTCTAACATGTTAACATCTATAACTACTAGCTCTAACAGAAAGTCTCTTAACAAACAATTAAGGTTGTCTATGTCCTCTCTAGTAAGATGCTTGCAGATAGACTTACTAAAGCGCTTTTAGCTAGCAAATAGCTAAGCTTTCTTTAGCAAATTTAGCTAGTTAACATTAGGGAGAGGATAGTTAGTTAGAAAGCAGATATAGAAGAGATTAAAGTAAGAATAGAAGCTCTAGAAGCATACTAAGATTGCGCAATTAGGAACTAGCTTAAAGAATGTCTAAGCTAAGAGGGTGTGTTAGATATGCGCACCTACTGTTAAGACAGGAGGAACGTTTAACAAAAGCTGCTACATAGTACAAGCAATAAGCTTAAACAGTATGTTGCTGCAAATTGCAGCATTTTGCAGCATGTTGCGGCAAATTGCAGCATGTTGCAAGCTGGTCGCGCATAGGGCTAGTGCGCGAGGGACTTAGATCAGAAAAACAAAAGCTGAGCAACACAAGTAGAGCAGAAAAAGGATTAATAAATTAATACAAGAAATCATCATCCCATACATCATATCCAAACCCATCATTCATCTCAGGAAGCCTAGAAACAGTGCTTCAATCTGACAAGCCTAGATTATACTTAGCATGTAAAAAATTAGCTATATTAGCTATAAATACTATTTAAAAAGAGATTTTTTATATATATAGCTTAAGTATAGTCTTAATAATTACCTACTTTTTATTATTACTTAGCCTTTATAAGTTAGCTATAAAATTAGCTTGTAAAGGTTGTCTAGTGCTATAGTTATTTATTATTTTTTAAAAAACTTTATACATAGCTACAGCATGTTTCTTTAAAAGTTTTATATTTTATTTAAAAGCTTAGAGTGTAAGCTATATCTAATGTTCTTTTAGTATATCTAAGTAGTGTTATTAGAAATATATTAGTGTAAAAAAAGTAGTTTAGTAAAGTCTTAGTAAAAGTAAGTAACTTAAGTGTGTAAGCAACTTGCCTGTAAAGTACATTACAGACTTTATTTATAACTCTTAAAGTGTAAATTTAATGTATAAGAAACTAAGTACCTTAGATTTATTATTAATAAAAAGAAGGTAAAAATAAACTGTGTAAAAGTAGAAAAGGTAATAAAATAGCTAACACCTACATGTATAAAGAAAGTTAGAGGATTTCTTAGACTAATAGAGTATATACAACGCATAATAAAGGACTACTTAAAGATTACACTACTACTTATAAATGCTACTATAAAAAAAGTAAAACTTAGACTAAAGTTTATCTAAACCTCTTAAATAAAAGAAGCTTTTTAAGAACTTAAGATAATTATAACTAGCAAGCTAGTTATATAAATGTATAACTTAAACCTTAAAACTAAGCTACACACAGATGCATTATTAAGAGCAGAAGGAGCAGTCTTCCTCTAGAAGCAGAAGAGGTGATAGCACCTAGTAGTATACTATTTAGCAAAGTTCTCTTCTTTTAAATAAAAGTATAGCATCTTAGATAAAGAACTTAAAGCTATAGTAAACGCGCTTAAAGCATAAAAAACTAAGCTATAAAAAACTAAATAATAGTTTATTATCTTTACTAACTACGCTAACCTAGTTACTTTCTTAATAACAAAGAAACTGTTACCTATACATTTGTAATAAGCTATAGAACTAGCTTAGTTTAACTTTATAATAAAGCATGTAGTAAGCACTAATAATTAATAGGTAAACTCTCTAAGCAGGTAAGCTAATTACTTGAGAAAAAAATGAAAAAAACATAGAAAAATTTACACTATTTAAAGAAATAAATGAAGGACTAGTCTATAATAGACTAAATCTAGAGAAAGCAATCTGCTCTCTTACTATAGTAGAACAAGAATAAAAGAACCTTGTTAGAGAATATTATAAGGCACCTATGTTTAGACACCTAAGAATTAAAACACTCTAGAAAAAGATTAAAGCTATAATTTTTTAAAACATTTTAAAACTAAAGCAGCTATACATAGAGATTTTTTAGAAATGTAACATTTATAATAAAAAAAACTCTAGGTAATATAAGATGTATAGTTACTTATAGTTAATAGAGGCTTTTAAACAGCTCTAGATAATAATAACTATAGACTTTATTACTAAGCTACCTCTGTTATGTAAACCTAGAACTAAAAGACTTTGTAATATAATAGCAGTTACTTTAGATAAAATAGTAAAATTCTTATATACTTAGTCTATAAAAAAAAGCGTAACAGCTAAAAGTTTTTATATAAACTAAAATAAAATGTATTTTTAGTCTACAGCTCTCTATTAATTATTATCTTTAATAGAGATAAACTATTTATAAGTAATTTCTAGAAAGCTGCTATAAAACACCTTAGAATAGAGCACAGGCTGTCTACTGCATATTACCTATAGATAGACAGCTAGACTAAAAGAGTAAATGCTAAAATAAAGAAGTACTTAAAAAAGTATGTATTTTATAACTAGATAAACTAGGCAGAATAGCTTTTTATAGCATAGTTAGTAATTAACATAGTAGAATTAGCTATTATCTTTATTACACGCTTTATAGAATGTAACTAATAGACTTAACATACTTTACAGGTAAGTTGCTTACACACCTAAGTTGCTTACTTTTACTAAAACTCTACTAAACTACTTTTTCTACACTAATGCATTTCTAACAACACTACTTAGATATGCTAAAAGAATGTTAAATATAGCTTATACTTTAAGCTTTTAAATAAAACATAAAACTTTTAAAGAAACATGCTGCAGCTATATATAAAGTCTTTTAAAAAATAATAAATAACTATAGCACTAAATAACTTTTACAAGCTAATTTTATAGCTAACTTATAAAAGCTAAGTAATAATAAAAAGAAAGTAATTATTAAGACTATACTTAAGCTATATATATAAAGATTTTTTTTAAATAGCATTTATAGCTAATATAGCTAATTTTTTACACACTAAGTATAATCTAGGCTATATTAGCATAAACTAGCTTAGTACATTTAAAAAGTGTTATTTAAAGCTTAAAGTAACATTTAAGCATAGTATAACTATAAAAAAGCTTTTTATAAAAGTTCTAAAGTAATTTAAAGCAGGTTTAGCCTTATAGAGAATATTAAAGCTAAGTATAGCATTTAGAATAATAACATGTATAACTTTAGTAAAATAGGCTTTATTATAAGCTAAATATTTATTAACTATACTTATACTTAAAACTTTACTTTAAGCTTTAAATAATGCTTTATAAATGTACTAGGCTAGTTTATGCTAATATAGCCTAGATTATACTTAGCGTGTAACAAATTAGCTATATTAGCTATAAATGCTATTTAAAAGAAAAATCCTTGTGTATATAGCTTAAGTATAGTCTTAATAATTACTTTTTTCTTATTATTACCTAGCCTTTATAAGTTAGCTATAGAATTAGCTTATAAAAGTTGTCTAGTGCTATAGTTATTTATTATTTTTTAAAAAACTTTATATATAGCTATAGCATGTTTTTTTAAAAGTTTTATATTTTATTTAAAAGCTTAAAGTGTAAGCTATATCTAACATTCTTTTAGTGCGTTTAAGTAGTATTATTAGAAATGTATTAGTGTAGAAAAAGTAGTTTAGTAGGGTCTTAGCAAAAGTAAGCAACTTAGGTGTGTAAGTAACTTGCCTGTAAAGTACATTACCTACTTTTTATTATTACTTAGCTTTTATAAGCTAGCTATAAATTAGCTTATAAAAGTTATTTAGTATAATAGTTATTTATTATTTTTTAGAAAAACTTTATACATAGCTATAGCATGTTACTTTAAAAGTGTTACATTTTATTTAAAAGCCTTAAGTGTAAGCTATATCTAATATTCTTTTAGCATATTTAAGTAGTGTTATTAGAAATGCATTAGTGTAGAAAAAGTAGTTTAGTAGGGTCTTAGTAAAAGTAAGTAACTTAGGTGTGTAAGCAACTTGCCTGTAGAGTATGTTATTTATTATTCTCTCTCTATTTTATAGAGGGCTAGGAATTAGTGTGAATATATAGCTTGCTAATTTCCTACAGCGAAGCTTCTCGCATACCATCACTCAGCGCAGCGTAGCTAGAGAAGGCTTAACATTATTAATTTTAATATTAACTACTTACTATTATAAAACAAGCTTAAGTATTAACGTACACTATAGGCAAGTTGCTTACACGGACGCCATATCTTACGATCCCCTGGATCCCGAGCATGAGTATGGGAATGATGCGGATGCTCCTCATTTGCCCTGCATATGTACACGGTATCATGTACGGGCAAGTTGGTAGGATACCCGGCGCACACGAGCGGTGGCTGAAGGCATATATCATATAATCTGAATGGAAAGAATCCAATATATGAATCGGGCTCCCATATATGACAGCAACCACTGAGGAGCCTTGCTACCACCTCCCATCCGCCATCATCCTTCATCAATCCTACTTTGTGACTCTGCTCTATCAACCCCTTCATAATCCACTCCCTTTCAATCACCTTCCCACATTCCTCTTATCACTTCCCACTCACATCAACAAACTCCCCCCATCTGTCCTCACGACCCCCCCATCCATATTCTAGTCCCTCAAACACACCAAAAAGCTCTCCGCTACGTCCTCCGGCTGTCCCGCCACCCTCGTACACATATGCTCCTCACACTCCCTTAAAAACATATCCTTATCCTCTTTCCCCATACGCCATAACTCCGTATCCACAACGCCCGGACTCACACCATTAACCCTCACCGGCTTCAAATCCAGCGCAAGATTCCTAACCATGCTATGGTGCCCGCCCGCATACGACGCAATGATAGACCAATTGGGAACCGGCTTTTCCGAGATCGCGCCCGTGGTGATAGTATATGAGGATTTGTGCGAGGGGACGAGGTAACGGAAGCAATATTTCGCGGTCATGAGAGGGGCTACGAATCGCATTTGTCCGGCTTTCACAATGGATTCGGGTGTTAATTCTTCAATCTTCATCATACTCAGCGCATCTGCGGCCGTGAATACTACATGATCTAACTTCCCTTCCTCCCCCCCGATCTTCTGCATCGTCACTTGGAACAGCCTTTCTAGATCCTTGTCCAGCGTCTCTGGCTTAGATAAATCGACGGGGATACCATGGATCCGGGCTACGGCGGATGGGTAAGAGGACTGGAGCTTTTCGATAGCAGTGTTGATTCGGTGTGGGTTGGATGAGGAGATTGCGACAAGCGCTCCGGATTCGAGACAGGCTTCTGCGACGGCGAAACCGAGGCCGGAGGAGCCTCCTATGATGAGGACGCGGGAGTTTGAGAGTTTGGAGGTGTACTTTTTGGAGTCGGTCATTTTGGGATGGGCTGAGGCTGGACTGGGTGAGGGGATTTCTTTGTGTGCCTAATTGATGAGGTCTTGAATATTAGGGTATGGGGGAAATACTTGCAATGAGTATCGATGATTCCCAAGTAACGTTAAGTATGAAGTAATTCTTGTCCAGGTTATCAGCTCGAGCGCAGAGGAGTTCTAAAGACAATAAATACCTCCCCACCCACCGCATCAAAGAAATCGGAATTAACACAACCCCGTATCCTACATAACGCCCGCTCTCTCTCGCAGCCCGACATCAAAGTCCGCCCAACCGAGCACGATGTGAAGGCCAGTCGTCGAAAGAATCGCCTGAAACCAGCAACAAAATATATTTCGGAAATAAGCGCGGACTTAGCATCTCTCCAACCACCACTCACAACACAAGAATCTGCTTATGTGGAAACCTCTCACTTACATCTCTCCGAAGTTACACCAATAGGAGGTCGTTGGTAAGGCTGAATAAGTGCTAGTTCGCTCAATGTTCGAGAGATTTCAGGAGCTTATCCTGGCTTGTACATGCTTGAAACTAGCTTCATTCATCCTTTCTACCATTTACCTAAATAGCCCAAATAGGAAACTCCGTCGTATTTTGAGAGGAAGATTTCTACGGTATCACGCTATCACATTGTCCAAAGGGAATTGATCTGCTTTCTCCCGACCTGTGTGGATATCATAAGCCAAATCAGCATTGAAATCGGGGATGATCTTAACATGCGATTATAGTAGACGAGGGTTTAGGACTTACCAAAGGCGCAACGAATAATACGCCGACGAAGAGGGCAGCGACAGTAAGGAGCATCTGCACTTTGTTGAAGCCCTTGCCTAGCACATCGAATGCGAAACTGGGCGCTACACGAGTTCCGAAGATATCTTGCCCGTATGCAAAGACTAGACTTGTGCTCTCAAGACCACTCTCGCTTGTGATGACTCCTTTAATTCCTATTACCTCGTATTTGTGGTTTAGATGCCACTTTGGGTCAATGAAGATAAAGGGCGTGTATTTCGTCAAGCCCTCGGTGGCTTCCGAAGTGGTAGGATCGCGACCAACAGGGCGTCGGGGGTCGATGATGTGGCGAGGAATGCCAACGATGGCGTTGGATGAAGGTAATGTGACTAGAAGTTCCCGGCTGGTGATACCTTGTTTTGTTTGCGTAACAGTCATGTGGGAGATTTCCTCCGCGATTTGGTAGGTTTGCGAGAGTACATAAGGTTTCGCTACATCGCCCGTGGCGGAGGAAGGCTGCAGGGTGGATGAGTTAGACGAAGCGCCTAATGGTCCACGGTCATCTGGAATGTCGGATTCAAATAACTCAGCGACTACAAGCTGGTAGCCCCGAGAGGCGGGGTCCGAGGTCGAGTCGATGGTCAAAGAGTAGCTGAACCAATTCTCTGAAAATGTGGATGGGATTGGGCGAGAGACATCGACGTCGTGATGAGAGATGGCGTGAAGTAACTCCCCAGACGCAGAATCCAAAAGGTAGAAAGATGCGGTATGCGTGGATTTGAGGACCGCTGTTACGAGTACGAGGTTCGGGTTTAGATATTTGTAAAGAACGCGTCGGTCTCCAAGAACTTTCCCAATTGAGGCCACTGGGTCCTTGACTGGCCGTGAAGCGAAATTGACAATTTTCTCGCCATCAGGAGGGTTGAAGGTCCAGACGGGATCTGAACTATAGTCAGTTCCAAAGAATCCCTTAAGCTCCCCATCAACCAGATCAAACGCGACAAAGGTTTGAGCATCGGACGTCACCGGGGGTTGCAAGTCGATGTCCTTAGGGGAAAGTAGGCCTCCGGTTGTGGTGTTGACAAGGAGAGAGCCCTCAAAGCCTTCGTCCTTAACTTCAACATACCCACGCGACGCCTTCAAAGAAGGTCGAACGAACGTGGCCTCTGGAGCATATTGCTGAAGATCAATATTCCACAGCAGCTTCCCTCGAGAGCCCACATCCAGAGCCGCCAATCGACCAGGCTCAGTTGCAACGACAACCAACTTGTGGAAGCCGAAAGTGTCATGCTGTATGTCGCCGATAGCGTTCTCCTGAGATTTCCCGAGAAGATTGCTGAGAATTTGATTTGGAATGTTCTGAAGCCAAGCTGGAAAATGTTCCAGATCACGAACATGTCTCTTCACTCGATGAATGTAAGCAGCGAAGACATTCTGGTGACCTTCGACCTCGAGTTCATGTGCAAGGGCTTCTTCCTCCGGAAGCTCTGCCCATACGGCAGACACTGTATCCGACAAAAATTCCGGACGCTGCCATGCTACTTCTCCATTGCGAACGAGAACCCATTGCCCATTCGAGAAGAGAACTGCAGATCGCACAGCTGAAGCTGAGCCAGACTTAACGACAACTTCAGAAACGCCGTGAACAGGGTGGGCGGCGGCGAGGGAAGGCAGTCCTTTGATAGGCCAGCGTCCAAGAATGCCATGTGAGGCAGAAGAAACAACTGTCAACTCATCCTTAGTAATTCTGGTAAAATATACATTAGCATCAGAGGTCGTCGTAGTGAAGGTTCCTTTGCCACCCAGTTCAGGGAGGCTATACGCCTTGGAAATTGTGTTTTTCTTTAAGTCAACGTGGTAAATCTCAGCCGAATGCCCGGCTGTGGTCTGGTATTCCACCAAGAAATGTGCGAGGGAGTTCACTCGATTCGGGGCATGGAGAATGATCTTCTCCACGACATCCGTTGACGGTGGTGCGAAGGTCGAGACACCTTTCGTTCCAATGATATTGACCTTCAGCACCTTGTTCGATTTATCCGTCCATGCAAGGAGAGGAGCGGCCGTATTGGCTCCGGCGAAGAGGATGTGCTCGCGAGACTGTATCTCGCCCTCCGAACTCAATGTGTACTGGTCAAGTTTCTTCCCGGTTATTGGACTCAGCGAAGTGACCTTGAGCTTCGATCCTCCAAGAATTGGCGTGTGGAGCGAGATGTAGTAGACGGTGGTGGGCGAGGTTGAGACCTGAAACGGGATGTCTCCACTGTGGCCTGATGTTAGTACTGGCTTGCATTTCGTACAGTGAGGTACGTGTGTGCGGCTTGCCTGGTGTCTGTGTATACCCATTTGACCCGACCCGTCTTCCCGTCGAGTCTCCTCACGCTGGGGCTGCCACCGCCCAGCAGAATGATGGCATCTTTGGAGTCGACATTTGTAATTCCGTCCTCCTGCTCCAGGATCTCCAGATCTTCGACGGTTGCGCCATTCATCCTGGCCTCCCAAGCAAGCCTTCCGTCCGAGGCGCTCCATGCAGTGATGCTGTCCCCCGTCGCGCTGACGACCGTGTCCTGCTCCTCGCCGGCCCGCAGCATGCCACGCTGGCCGGACAGGCGCTGTCGCCATACAAGTGCGCCATCCTTGGGGTTCACGGCCGCAATGACCTGTTTCTGAGACAACGTGTAGAGGAGGGATGCTTTGGACCCTGCATATGGTTGCTGGAAGAAGGTCGTGTCGTGTTTCGGGAGGCCCACGAGGGCATGATGATAGTCTACGTGATATGCATCATCTTCGAAGATGGCGAGGCCAGGCAGCACGAGGCACGCTGCGAGGGCCAGAGCATGAAAACGCATCGTTCTGTAGGGGTCGAGATGCAGGACAACCGCCCATTGCTATGCGTCCTGCGAATCTCAACGCCAAGCCACGTGCGCCGGAGCAGGGTCGGCCCGGCCACGTGACTCACGGCGCGCAATCCTCCCAACGGCCCTAGCAGAATGCGAATCCGGAGCTCTTAATAGTCGTTGTGGGGTATAACGCTACCTGCAGTCAACACGAGTTTAATGCGTGCCTTCTAATCAAATAAAGTTCAGATATTGAAGCCGACTCAATAGCACATGGGCGTGTACAGGGAGACCGCAGGATGGGTTTCGGAACAAGGCATCGATGACCCGCGCTGCCTCCCCATGAGAATTCCAGACGATGTTTCAACACCTCGAGCTCAGCCAATGCGGAAAGACAGCATTCGACATATCAAACTGTCCGGACCCGCCGCCACAGGGCTGAGAAACCTGCAAACTTTACATCCTAAGGGATTCTCACCTTCGTTCTCCCCGTCCTCGCCGCAGGCCTGGCCTCGGTCTACCGCACCGTCTCCTGCATGTTGGCAAATAGGATGGGAGACTACAGGTCTGATTTGGGTCCAAAATCTGCATCTTGACGCCCTGTCTGATTCTTGCATTCTCGCACCGGGTTTAACAGGCCAAGTTGGTCAATTCCATCACTGTCAGCGCCTGCCGTCTGCCTGCAGTCCTGATTCATCACAAGCGATGGAGCCGGCCGTGGGGAATGCGGAAGCCATCCGGCGGGCGATTAATATCCACAGGGTTGTCCCCACTGTCTCTGGGCTTCTCCATGGACCACCAGCTTCCCAGTCCGGCGATATATCGATCCTTGTGGTTAGCAAATCTGCACCTGTTTTGTCTCCTGTTCTCCCCGTCAAAACACCCTCTTGCAGTTCCAAGACCCGATAGAGGAACCTCGTCGGCATATCCTGTGTCACTCGTCTCAGCTTACTATGCTTTGTTATTACTCTTGTACCACATGCCACATCGTTGCTGTATCGGCGTCTCCATCTGCGCTGTATCCGGTGAAGCCCCCCAGTACCGACAAGGCTGACCACAGAACGAAAACCTAACATCTCATCGTCGAATCTCGCTCGCAGCCGGGCCTGTTGCAACACGTCACTGTCCAGAATTGGCCAGCAGCAGTACCTGGTCCGGATAGCCTTCCTCTTGCATGCGCTCTGCTGCAAGCCGGGCTGGCAAGGACAAGTCCGGTCCGTCTCGGCTCTATTGGCCCAGCAGAGTTTCACGCACAGTGAGGATTTGTTTGAGGCGTTCTTGACTATGCAAACGCTTCTATTCTCTCAGCCATTCGCATAGATGAGGTGTGCTCCTTCATCAGAAAGTCAGGCTGCATGAGCCTGAGTTGCAACATGTGACAGAAAATTGCTGTACCTCTGCATTCACCAGCAAGGCTAGGGGCAGGCGACGCCAGAGGCCTGTCCTCGCCGACAGCAGCCCAAGACGCAGCAGCTGAACCTACGCGAGGTTTGATAGGGCATGGCCGACTCGGAGCCTGCTTCGTGGATCCAGTCCTCTGGTTTGCCGGGCCCTCGTCCATGTAACCGGTAGCGCCGCCTGCTCCTTCGCCCGCCGGCCCACGCACACAGCTTGTGCGGACTGTGCAGCACTCTTGATTAATGCCCACGCCAACATTGATGTTGCTCCAGCTGCTACGGCCCGCCCGCACGCTGCTAAACCGGTCTGTTTGCAAATTTCCCGCCCGCTTCACTGCACGGAGAGTTGGCTGCTGGCTGGCCGCATTGGACCTGGCAGCGGATTGAGATCGCCTCTTGCGTAACTCGGTCTGAGAAGGGACTGGGTCGCTGGAGTATCCGTCTCGACGCTCCAGCAGCTGTCCAGCGCATCGCTGCACATGCGTGCAGGCATGTCGCTTCGCAGCCCACTCTGCTGAGCCTTGCTAGTTATTGTCCTCGCCTATCGCTCATGCCCTTATGTCAGGTCAGGACCGATGAGTGCATGCCTGAGCAGAGCTATTAATCATGCAGCGTCGCCCTTTAAAGTTTGCTCTGGAAGACACCTTCACTCTCCCTAGAGCTCCAGGACCGTCAACATCATCAGGCCCCAGCTAGTGTTGTGACAAAACCTAGCTTTCGACTGCCGTGCTGGCCATGCTTAATCGATAAGACGCGGGAAAAAAAAAACAACCCCCCTTTAGCCCCTCAAGCACCCCCATTACAGCTGCTTCCAGATGTGAGTCTCAAATCCTGCGTACTACCCATCCTCCCATCTACTTGCTACAGAAACTGCACCTGTATCAATCCCTGAAACCCCCTTTCCATCCACTTTTTGCTGCGCCCGAATCACGGATATATGGCTCACAAATTCGCCGCAGTTGTGGTTGGTCGGCATCGCAGTGCGAGCGCGAACCGCACAAATTCGGAACCGAAGTTGAACGCCCAGCCGACGCCCTTACCAATCCATCTACTTCTGTCGTGAGACACATCGATTTGGGGATTCAATTGGCTCTGGCTCAGCTACGCGAACGGCGACTTTGGGCTCGCTTGGCCACTCGTGGCGTCGGCCGTCTCGAGACACGACTGTAAAATATAACACGCAAGCCCCGCAGCTTCCCCCAAAAGCACAGTACTTTGAGGCATGTCGCAACGGGAATACCATATAGTAGTTCTTGGTTCGGGTAAGCTCCGCTGTAGGCCACTAGCTGGTGGGGATACCGCTGATCAGCATGTCCTTCAGGTGGTGTGGGCAAGAGCTGTCTGACTGGTATGTCTCCGCAGTCGTTACTTTTTGCCGTCTGGAGAGCTCACCCCGCGAAGCGCAGTTTGTTCAGAATGTTTGGATAGAGAGCTATGATCCGACGATAGAGGACTCCTATCGGAAAGCTATCGAAGTAGACGTCAGTTCCACGCGACCCCGAATCTAGCCACTTCGACTGAATAATTGTCTAGGGCCGACATGTCATTCTGGAGATATTAGACACAGCAGGCACAGAGCAGTTTAGTAAGTTATTCCATTCAGTACTTGCAAGCCATGCGCTGACCCTTGTGCAGCTGCTATGAGGTAGTTCTTGGCTCTTTGAGTTTCCGCCGCTTCCACTGACCAGGCGCAGGGAACTCTACATGAAAACCGGCCAAGGATTTCTCCTCGTCTTCAGCATAACGTCCATGTCCTCGCTCTACGAGCTTGCGGAATTGCGAGAGCAAATACGACGAATAAAGGAAGACGACAACGTACCCATGGTCCTTGTTGGAAACAAGTCTGACCTCGAGGAAGACCGCTCCGTGCCTCGTCCTCGAGCCTTCAAAATATCGCAAGACTGGGGCAATGTTCCATACTACGAAACAAGTGCGCGACGGAGAGCGAACGTGGATGAAGTCTTTGTCGATCTCTGCAGGCAGATAATGCGTAAAGACCAACGAACGTATCATAGGCCGGAGAACCCGAGAAAGCCTAAGCGTCGACGAGATCGTCATCACCGAGGCGAAATCAAATGTACGATTCTTTGAGAGACGAGCCTTCCACGACTATGTTCTGTCGAGTGGGTTTATGGCCCTGCAGGACAGGGTCCCCATTTCCCTTCACGACAGTCCCTACGACGACCCTTTTCCCTGTATAGAGGTATTAGACGCAGCGCTCGCCGCGAAATTAATTTCTACCCCCGTGTCTTTCCGCACTGCCGTCAAAGTCACCTTCTCTCCTCGCCGACTTTCCTGTTGGTCGTCTCGCCCTGCATCTTCCTGCATGTGTGGCGGCGTGGCTCTCAGGGATGTTCCGAGCAATCATCAGCCTCCATTACTGTGCACCTCCACATGAAAAGTAGTTCAAGCTACACGCAGCATTGCACACTAAACCCGCTCCTAACGTGTTTGTTTATTGATCCTCTGAAGTTCGACAGGTACACCGTTTGCATAGTCGAAGCAACGCTTGTTCCGAGTCCGGGCTCATCGATCATAAGCTCCTGGATACTACCGCGGCCGTTGATGCCCAAATACCCGCATGCAAGGCGCAGCCAAGGATCCCTTTCGAGAGTAACGTTTCGATCTTCCGTCCACGCATGGGTCGAAGTGTTTTCCCCTGGCTTTTTTGTAGAATACGAGTTAATTTTGCCCGTTGGACCTCGGACTTTGGCAGCAGACGACAGTGACCAACATGCGTCCCTCATCTGCAGCCCGTCTCAGACATTCACCCTCCAGAAGCTCAATTGGCCTTCCCATTTAATTCGGAAACCCGGGACGGTCAAACCTACCGGCGGTGTCTGTAACCTTTGACACCCTAGCGAGACCAGACGTCACTGTTCCGGGCAACGTCTCGGCTACACCCAATCAGGTAGCATCCCCTCGTCGCGTGTCACTCCGCGCACAAAACAACACCAACCCAGGATGCAACAGATGTCATTGTTGCCTGCAATCATTCTTCCCATCGCCCCGCGTAGGATTCGAAGAGTGGGATTGCAGTGGGGGATGATCCGGGGTGTGCGTGACCTGGACCTGATCGTCCCGCTCGCGACTGCGGGATTTTGTTTCACCGCCCAGGATAAGCATGCTTCCCACCCTTTGAGCGCGGAGAACGACGTAACAATGGTTCGAGAAACTCATTCTACCATCTTTTTTTTTCTCTTGCCTTCGAGCACTGCAAGATCTGGATTATCGGGATTTTTTTCTGATGACTCGTGAGCCTTACAAACATGCGACGAAGGGGTTTTTTGGGGGGCCCACGCGCATGCAAGATGTGCAACGTACTTAAGTCGCTCGCTTCTCTGTACCATAACCATATCGCTGGATTTCGTCCACGAGAGTGGAGACGCGCAATCTTCACGCACGCACACAACCCACTTTGGACGATTTGGAAACACACTGTGCGTGAGGCAAAGGACCCACAGGAACGTGGGCGTGGTGATATACCTAGTTTGCTAAATGCAGGTGCGTGAAACGCGTAGACCCCGGAAATGGGGAAAGTTTGAATCAAATGCCACTGTGCACGGATGGAGGTTACAGTCGTGTGGGATATGACCTGATATAGCTTCTTTCTCTGGTAAGAGGAGAGGTGGCTGTCGGGGTGAAGAAGTAGTAGAGGGGTTCTGGTTGGGAAGGTGTGCGGATGATACAGAATTATGCGTTGAGGCGCTGGGCTTTCACGTCTGTCGAATCGATCACGGACTGAACGCATATTGTTCGCCGATTGCGTGCTCCAAGTCGCCGAACACTGCACTACACATTTTGCATCACTATCGAGCGAAAACCCCCCGGACACCACTTTCCAGGTGCGATGGTAGTACCGTGATTTCTTAGACCACGACTAGCTTGAATGATGTTAGTCATCACCAAGCAACTCGAACATCTCCCCGTCTCCCTTTCCTTTTGTTGTCGTTTCGCCCATGGCATTGTTTCCTTAAAAATTCAATTAGTCTTTCCACATCTACCACTTCAAACTGTAGAATAGCAGCCAACCCAAAACAGGCCGCACCTTCTCGAATTTTGGACCGTCCTCTCCTTTTTTCATGCTTACCCACAGACGAAGACGAGCATATATTAGCCATAGTCTGTAGTTTGCTGTACTGGCCTAAATGGAACCCCTCATAGCTACGAGCAATCCCCTGTCATCCACTCTCTTGATATCAACACACCCAACTCCGGAGTTGGTATCAATGCTCCCAAGGAACATAGCATTATTTCTGGAGTACTTCTGCTCTACTTTCGCAGCATCAACATGAGCCCTATGGCCTTTGAAGATCAAGGAGAACCTGTTCGGATTTAGACTACGATTCGAGATATCTCCTTCGTTGGCCATCTCCCGGTATCCAGCATATTATTCGCAATAATTTCCGGTTTCTCCTTACGTCGGGAGGAGCGCCTCAGCACAGTCATTAGATATTTCTCGTGTTCAAAAAAAAATCTTGGCTTCACTCTTTCCACATCGATGTGAGAGCTAAACTCTCTGAAGTCTAAGGAGAACTGGAACGAATTTAATACGCGATTTGAGGGTTTTCCACTCCGGGGCCGTTGTCCAGTATCAGGTGTGCTTTCACAATACCGTACGGATTCTTCTTCTGTCGAGACGACAGCCACAGTATGTTCATAGTGAGATCCCGGTACCATTTTCGAGGTCATTCGTATGAGAAGCTCTACAGAGCAGCATGGTAATCCAGTATATGTCGAGATGGATCCGTGGGTTCTTAATGCAGATACGGGAGGTCGAGGGCATCTTCGATGTTAACAAGCATCTTCGTACTGTGGGAACACACTCTAAAATCATATGGTAAATGCAATCCCCTAGGTTGCTCTTTCATCCGTTCCGTGGTTCCTTTAGTGTCCGCTTGGCTTTAATCGACTTCAGCATACTCGACTCGGCCTAAAGGAATGAGGATATTTGTGATCATGTTGTCTCTAGGTGAATCCAATCTGGCATGGGTCATTAATCACCCTTTTTTTTATTAATACATCTCGAACAATCGCCGCGGACTCATCATCAAGATTTTCCCTTTTTGAACTCCAAGCATGGGCATTATCCTCTGTAATTTTTGAAGAGAAGTCTGGCCACGCATAAAAATTGTGCATTGATCCTTTCCGTTTATCTCGTCACGATTCACATCCCCAGAGCAGCCAAATTTGCGGCATGCAATTCTGGAATTTGTTATTTTTGCGACCCAATCAAAGAATCCAATACATTTCACAAGCTAAAAACCATTTTGGTCGGCGGACGACTCCATCGGAGCTGACGTCATCGGGTTTTTAAGTACCAAGCAGACATCGAAACCCACTAGTGCCATTTTATCTTTCTGTAGAGCGGATCTGGCCTTGCCTTTTTGTGTCGATGAACAGCAGGAAGTCTTTAATTAGTCCCGAGTATACTTTCAAAATCTCTAAAGCACGAGGAATCGTAGAGTTGGTATTAGTGCTAACAAAAGACTGACGCAGTTAGTATCTCCTCTTCTTGGAACGTTCCATACAGAATTCACGGTACTATAAAACAGCGCACAGTCCACGCATCAGTCCTATTTTAACATCGTTCGCAAGCTCAACGCACGGTTCTCGCACACATCGATTTGCGCATCGCTAATTTTCGGTATGGCGGCATTCCGACAGTAAGACAAGTGTTAGAGTCTTCGAAGCCATCTTCCATTTGAGGAAATAGTTTATCTCGAGTTGAGCGCCCAGTCCCCCACCTATGTAAAACACGAATGTTAAGTATGTTTCACGAATCTAAACTTCGAACATCTAGCGATCCTACGAGGAGTTTGTTCTTTGGCTCTAAATCCCAGCCATTGTTTGATCTTGTGCATTATCCAAGTTGTTGCTTGACGTTAATTCTATTTCCAGGCTCTCCCATTTGGACAATCCAGTTCTGCGCATTCGTTTTGTTCGAGCACCCATTTTCGAGGAGCAAAGCGACCCCAAAGCAAACATTCAATTTTGGTCTTTATGCTTTGTCCTTTGTTCCAAGACTGCCGGATGCGACCTTCAATCAGAGAAAGAAGTAGCCGCATGGCGGAGATCGGTCCCACAGGTTCTGAACCTGGCTGCTCCTGCAGTGACTTTTTAATATGACTCTAAGCCCAAATGCCATTCTCAGACATGTCTCAAATTTCCTATCCCTTTGTTTCCAAATGTAGAGAGACGCCATTCCTACTTTCTCCATTGTTTTCTTTATGCCAATTTCGTCTGCAAGAGACTGGGAGCCCGAAATTAAGCTAACCAAATCTTTTTTTATTCTTTTGCGATAGATCGGGAAGACTAGGGGCATATGATGTATCCGGGTGCTATCTGAAACCGGTCTTGGTTTACCGATTTCTTTGGGGATTCTAGACTCGGCAGTTCTTCTCAATCATGAAACCACGATACCTTTGTTTTCCGCCCCCAACTCCCAGATCTAGTCATGATGAGACTGTGCAAGCTTTTGGATTCAGCCCTTGACCTAGCTAGTTCTCTTGCAGACCACTGTTTGGGTAGTGCAAATTTGTAGCATGTGTAACGAAGTGTTTCTGTTTAATCCATGAGGACATGTGTTGGAACGCCAAGTTTTCACTACTGTGGAGGAAGTCTCGGTACAGTCCATACGGAGAGAAATCCTGGGTTTTATATTGCAGCCTTGCACGAGTGACTTTTGGGGATACGGTTGGACCTCCCACCAAGCCATTCGTCCTTGGGGAACCGGTTTTATTAGAACTGTTGATGACGAGGTGCCAAATCTAGCTTTAGAATGGTGCACCCTTCTTTGATTACAGTTGGCCATTTTAGCGGGGAGAGGAGCGGGTAACTAGTCACTTCCTTGAAATCAACCCTTATAATTACTGGCGGAGGAATCTCTGGGTACATGTCGTATCGAGAAAAGGCAGCATACTGATCAAAACAGGTCCTGTCTCTGTAGCGGATTCCAAGTTCCGGTTCTCGACCGTGGCGGACCGGCGTAGGATTTTGGATTCCCTGACCTGCAGTGCAGTCATGTAGTTCCACACTAACTCTTTCTATTTAGTCCAAATTCTAGGAATGTCGCATTCTAGATTGCGCTTAATTCAACACTCTTGACAGACACAATGTCACTCTCCTTGCGATCTTTTCTTCAGGGATTATGGTCTATTTGGACTCGGGATTCTGTGCATAATTCCTAGGCAGAGAGAATTTGTCGAAGAGGTAGACGGGAGGTCCGAAACCGAACCTATCATGATGTTTTGTCTCCAACAATATTTTATCTCGTGGGTCTCTTTGAGCTCTCAACTCTAGACATAGCCACAAACTGCATAAACCTCTTACTACGTTTCAGGAAGTTGGTGAGAGCTGCATAGGATTGTGTTCTTGAAAGTTCTCAAGATCCAAGGGCAACAAAGGTGGGTATTGTCTGAGCGTAATGTAGAACGTAATCTCTTGTCTGTGCTCTAGGGGTTACGTGTACATAAGAACCCTCTCTCTTTGCACAAAGAGAAAGGATGTAGTTAAATATAATTATTACCTGCCACTAGTTTTTCTGCGCCTTTAGGCAAATACCTAAGCTATCTAACACTAATTAGTCTGTTAACTAGCAGACAGATTTACAAGGATAGGCTTTTAACTGCTTGTACAACAGTCCAGCACCTACTGCGTACGTAGCAACGCAGAGAGGGCGCTTAATTGCTAAGCTGTTGTACGCCCCTAGAGTTAATAAATTGCACACAAAAAGCCAGCACCCACTGCGTGCGTAGCCATGTAGAGAGGGCGTACGTCGCTAAGCTTTCGCGCTCCCTAGAGATAAATTGCAAAAAGGTGTACAATTAATCATCTGCTGCGTGCGTAGCTACACAGAGGAAGGGACTTATTGCCACCCCTTTACAAACTTTCACCCTCCCAGGATCGAATTCTCCGTACGGAGGCGTGCTCATCGAGCCTCCGTACGTCTATCTCCACACACCCCTCCCCCCAGGATCGAATCGACCGTACAAGAGCGCGTTCTTCAAGAGCCTCTGTACACCCCCCCTCTCAATCAAATTCCCTGTACAGAGGCGTGCTCACCAAGCCTCTGCACGTCTATCTCCACACCCCCCTCCCCATAGGATTAAATCAACTGTACAAGAGCGCGCTCTTTAAGAGCCTCTGTACACCCCCCTTACCCCCCTCTTAATTAAATTCTCTATACAGAAAGAAGTAAGGGATGCATGCTTCCTGCTACCGTCGCAAAATCTAGCTAAGCCGACTTCTAGAGGCTTAGGCGAGGGACACATAGACTAACAGTACAGAGTTCCTCACAAAAATATTTGAGGATTAGAATGAGCAGCCGGAGAATTCAATCAACACTTCCAGGTTCAAAGTGGCACTCTTTCTTCTCAAAGAGAACAATTCCTGGTCAGGCTAAGCCCTCCACCGACGCCGCGCCTCTCAAACTCAACATCGTGACTATCTGAGAAAATATATTGGAAATAAAAGTGGTTGATCCCTATCATGGCTATATTAAAATCCCTTACTTCAAGACAATGTTCTTTGTGGTTACTTTCTAGCATACTCAGCTAGCTCATAGAAAACATCGCCGGAAACTAGAAATCATGCAACCTTGCTCTCAGAATTAATAAATAGCGTTGGGAGATTTGAGTGGAACTTGAGAATATATTTCTGAAAGACAGCTAACTGATACAATAGTGGTTCCATAGAGTCCCAATAAGGAGTACCTAGCCAATCAGTGCGACAGTATCCAACGGGACCGTCGCTAAAGTGTTTCTCGGCTCCTTAAAAACAAGATTCTATCGCTTCTATGTTCCGATTTCGAACCAGTTGCTCCAAAGCCAGACAGTATGAGGAGCCATGGCTAGGAGGAACAGGACTATGCACTCTCGAAACTCAAGGATCGGATTTAGGAGTTTATCATCTGCCTTTTATTCTCTAACTTAGTATAGTATCTCCTATCATTATTCAATGGCCAACGCGACAAAATATCTAACTTATGGCTATAAAAAGTGGGTTTACAATAGAAAGGTCGCCGTCTTAGAGGTTCGCTCGCTACCGAAGGTTATGGCCGAATCATTTATGGAATATATCGAGGCTATATACATCGAAAACCGCACTAAATATAATTGCAGTGCCACTACCGGGAGAAGATTTGCTTCTCAAGGTGGATAAACATAACTGCATTAGAGAGGAAGTGCTTTGCGTGGCGCATTCCTCAGCATGACTACCACATCCACGACCTCGACCTGATCGACTCTCTAACGCAAACGGATCGCGCTCTTTATTCCCTGGAGAAACTAGACTAAATTTCCCCCCAAAAATAGTCCCCCCCGAAATAATGAAGCAAGAGAGGAGTTGGCTGTTGAAAATCCAGGATAGATAGCTACATGCCACCATCGCCACTCCTGGACCTCCATTACTTGTGCCGAAAATACTATGATAGTGAGAAAAATATACTCAGGCCGTTTGACCAAATTTTTGCAATTGGATACCAGAAATCTTCTCCAAGATCTTTTACGCTCGATATGGACAGCAGCCATTCCAATAAGAGCCTCAAAGAAATTCTCTATGGGAGAGAAACCAACACCCGAAGCTTGTCTGGATGTGGCCGTGGCTAGAAAAGAAATTAGCGAGACTAATCACCATATCGGGATTTCGTCTTGGTGGCCACTAGGAACGACCATACGCTTTCAAACAAGATAACCTAAACAAGTAGTTGCTCCGGAAAACTTGCCCCGATTCTGAAACGTAGACGGACCCTTAGAATTTTATAGGAGATTTTTGCCCTCTCCTAGGGTAAACGAAAATTCAAAACAATGTCGAGTAAGAAATATGTTGCTTTCTGTGGATGTTGCTGGAAGTCCAAGAGCTCAGCGAAAGCAAACATAGGTAGCGCCTACCTTGATCAAGAAGTCGTAGCTAATCCAATTTATGTGTGTGTGGGTATATGTGCGTGGGGCTTCTGAGCTTAAAGAATGGCCTGAAAATATCACTACGAAATAAAATTCTACTTACTCGACATGACATCAACAGGGCCGCAGCAAGATCCCCGATTGAAACCTCTTATTCTGGATTGGTATGCATTGACCCTTAAATAGTTGCAAAACAGCAAAAAGGCATTAAAAATCTAGGCATGTTTGCGAAACCCCAAGCAGACCACCAAAGCTTCCGGACCCCCAAGTTGCAACAGTATTTATTATACTACCCGGCACCTCTCTGTCGAAGGAATTTGGATTGCAGATCAAGGCATACCTGTCGGATGGCTTAGGTATTCACCCGAAGGCGCAGAAGAAGAATTGGTGGCAGGCAACAATTATATTTGACTACACCCTCTCTCTTTGTGCGAAGAGAGAGGGTTCTTATGTACACATAACCCCTAGCGCATAGGCTAGATATTACTTTCTACATTACGTTTAGACACTAGCAACTTTTTGTTGTTGTAAAGTTGCTTATTTATCCTGCCTTTTCTGTCCTTCTTTTTTAAGGAGGGCCTTAAGTAAACTTTCTACATATAATATCTACTAACTTTTTAACAAAGAATTATTTCTAAGACGTGCGTCTTTTCTGCTAGTTTAGCGTACAAAAAGGAGTCTATTAGGGAGGGGGGAAAGAGGGGGTACAAAGGCTTAGGAGTGAGTGCGCTTCTGCTCCCTTCAGTGGAGATAATTCCAGTGTCCTTCGAGATATTTGAAAGAGAGAATTCATAATTCTATAGTGCGACATTGGAAAGAGAGTTTTCGATAGAAAAAGTACAAGAGCGGAAAAACACCTTAGATATCGGACCCATGTCCGCTAGGGTGAGTGTATGGGATCCGAGATGCAGGATAATTCGCCAGAGACAGAATCCCATGTCACATTTAGACTTGAAACATAGTTCCAAGCGATGAAAAATGCCGACCGTCGCTGCCACATGCCTGGGTGCTGAGTGTAAAAAAAAAATTGCATGTAGGAAGGAGTTGGTGTTCCAAAACTCTTTAGCCACGCAGACATGACTGAAGTAGTGATTGGAGTGGAAGGTCGAGCGCTGATGTTTCTACGAGGTCGAGGCCCAGGAGATGGAGGGAGAGATATAGAGGTAGGTGATGATGGTGAGCACCATGATCTATTCTCCGCAAATCCCAAAGGCAGGTGGAGAATGTTGCAGTGACAAATCGACATGTAGACTGGGGCAGACCGGTGCAGACAGAAGCCTGCTTAAGAAATGCAGCAAAATATAAGCGGCGTGCGAACAGCAGACATCCTTCTTGATTCCGTGCCGGGCGATATTATAATACAAAAAGCAACAGATGATAACATTTGCTCCGCTAATGTTGGGCTGGCGCCACCACAACCCTTAATATCTTTCGCACCTAATACCATACCAGCTATTCCACTCCCATCGCTGCAAGACCAAGCCCCACATGCATCTCAATCCCTTCTCCAGCCAGACCTAACCAATCCCACAAACCCATCGAATAAGGAAATGCCACAGCCGACATGCAAACACCAACGCTATGCAAATCCCCAACCCACAAACCACAAATCGCAATCTGATCTATACCAACCCTTTGCATCTCGCTCCACTCGCAGTCTATACATGTATGCAAACAGGAGTGGTAAGTGGATCCGGTTCCCAGATGAATAGATCCATATGCATGAAGCTCCAAAATACACTGCAATATCACACACAAGCAAACCGCGCTCTCAAAGCCAATCCAGAACCCGATTCAATCTCGTCTTCAATTTCTTACACTTTTTGTCATCATTATCATCGCCTCTTCCATCGCTCCCACTGCCATCACAATCGTTCGGTTTATGATCTAGTTTGCTGTCGACATTGCCGTCACCGCCAGAATGCTTGCCGTCCTCTCCATTAGGCCTGGGAATGTGAAGTAAGCACCAAGGAAACAGATAGGCTAGCATATCTTGTCAGACGTCTGATCAAATCACCTTCCAGCCTCGATCATACGCGGTCGCTCTCGGTCCCTATCGCGATCCCGATCTCGGTCCCGATCCCGTGGAATATCATTGTCGTCGTCGTCATCATCATCATAATCTCGCCGATGGCCCCTGTCTTCCTCATCACGGTGGCTACGGTGGCTTCGTCGCTCCTTGTCTCGGCGCTCGCGGCGTTCATATTCGTCTTCTGTAGATGTATTAGTATCACGCATGGCTCCTTGAGGAGGGGGTCGACGTGCCTCTAGCCTCGCGAATCTCTCTAGTTCGATCTGCCAACTGCTGAATCTCTTGCTTGGTCAGAACCCTTAAAACGATGACGCAGTCCATGCGCTCCTCGAAGCGCTCCTTGGCTTCCTCCAAGGCCTCGGGGTTGACAAGTCGACGGTCGACCTTGGTCCAGCGAGCACCTGGTGGAACATCCTTGCCCTTCAATGCGCTCTTATGCGGAGCAACACCCTCTCGAATCGGATCAGGATCCTCAGGGAACTTCGCGGTCGGCTTACGAAGGATGCCTTTAGGTTGAGAAGGAGGCTCCCTGGGCGGAGCGACGATCTGGACAGACCGTCCAGGCTCGCGTTCAACGGCAGGAGAGGTAAGTGAGTCAGGCTCTTGGACAATGTCAGTGTCCAAAACACTTCCAGAACGGTCGTTGTAGCGGGAGTGCGCCGGCTCTGCAACATTTGAAGCGGGAACGCGAGAACGGTATTCATCTGAGCCATCGCGGGACCTCTCTCGTTCTTCTTTTCGTCGACGACGGTCCTTATCTCTATCTGCATCAATATATTCCATATCGCGGGCGCCTCGACCACTACGCTCAGCCTCCTGTTGAATCCGGCGCCGGTATTCTTCATCAGGATCGACTCCGGTCTCCTTCGGAGCTGGCTCTATTCGACGGTCGGTCTCTCGGGCCACATCTCGGTCGACGTAGTGACGGGGTCGCTCATCGCTGCTGCCGTCTGAAGAAGGAGCACGTCGATGTCTTCTCTCCCTATCATCGTCATCGTGTCGGCGGCCCTTGACTTTAGGATCGGCATCTTGAGTCGAAGCATAGGTAGCGGTGGCGGGTGGCAGGCGCTCCTCAGGACCTCTATCTCGACGATCACGCTCATCACGCTCTTTTCGCCTCTCACGCTCTCTGTCAGAGTCCCGATCTCGGTCTCGGTCCCTATCTCGAGACTTCAGAGCTTCGGCGGCGCCATAGGTTGCAGCAGCGGCACCAGCTGCGAGCGGGACGATAGGAGCAATGTGACCACGGTCATCGACATCCCTCTCGCGACGGTCTCTATCTCGCTCTCGAGGACGGTCTTCGTAGCCAGGGGCAACCTCGCGTTCTCGTGGAATTCGAGCCTCCGGCATGCGGGCTTCAGCGCGGTCGGGAGCGTAGTACGGCACCGTGTATTCCTCTGCCCTTCCCCGTCCCGTCTCGGAAGTTGGCCAGATGGGTTGGCGGTCAAGGCTCGGGTCACGTGCGAGGTTGGGATTACCCGGACCGGGTGCAATACCGAAACCTCGAGTAGTTACTTCGCGGTCCTCAAACCTATTAGAGGGGTATTGCCGCCTATTCTCTGGTTCCCTGTCTCGACGGTCGTATTCATCGTGATAGATTTCTCGACGGTGATCTCGCGGCTCCTGATGTACGGTGGTGGTAGGATGGCGGGTTGAGGACGACCTCGTTGGAGCTGCATCAGCATATGGCTCATACCTCGGCGCGTCTCGAGCCCTATCAATCGAAGACGTCCTAGCGCGTTGATCACGAAGACTCCCACTGCCATTCCTAGAAGTGCCACTAGCAATGCCATTGTTAATCTTACTGAAACCTCGAGTGGAAGGAGGGGGGCCAAGTTCTCGGGTGGAAGTGCGGGGTCCTCTATTGTCTACAATCATGCTAGTCGGACGTGAGCCTCTCTCGACACTCCCAGAGCGTGGTCGACGCCAAGCCGGTTCCGTATCTCGGTACATGCCCGCTGCATCTGTGTAAGAATAGCCTTCGTCGCTGAGGTCTGTAGTCCGTATGAGGGGCTTGTTGCGATGATGGTTCCGCCCGCCGCCAGTAGTGGTGCCGTGAGCCCGAGTGTCTTGACTCTCACGCCTTCGAGGTTCGACAATGTCCTTCTCAGTAATGAGTTTTGACGTATGATTGTCGTCGTCCACACTGTAGATTCGCTTATGCTCTCGTCGGGGAGGGTGCGTAATGTAAGTCTCGCCTCGACCATCCCACGATCGAGAGAGAGGGCTGGTTGGGCGGTCATGGTGGACACTAAGGCCGTGGCTGCGGATTGGGATCGCCGTTGAAGGTGCCAGAGAAGTGGAAGTGGGTCTGACTAAGCGGTCGTCGGACTCAGTGAGAGTATTGCGTCGTGGGCGGCCTGAGTAAGAATCATACTTGACGTTACTGGATCGCGAACCAGAGCTGCTGCTTGGGGCATACGTGTACAGGTGAAGGTGCGGAGCTGTCGAGCCTGCAACTCTCTCGCCAGCTGTTGTCGGAGACGTTGCCCCTCCCCGCGAATAGTGAGAGTCGTAGTATGGGTCAAACGTGCCAGTTGACGACCTGCCTGGATTCACGAGCCGCCGGGGTGAGCTTGGGCGATAGTACCTCGAATCCATGCCGCCAGACTGTGTAACGGATTTCAAAGTCAAAGGAGGGACAGCGACGGAATGACGTCGTGAGGGCAGCGCGGGCGGCGGGGTGGGAGTATACGAGTACCGCCGCAAATAGGGAGACTTGGAGGGGATTAGAACACTGCCCATGGTGATCGGTCAGCCAGTGACGGTGCTAAAGGAAGGTGTTCAAGAACAAACAGACGCGAGAGAATCAGACTTCAGTTCGGGCGACGAACTGTGCCGCAGTTGGACATACATTCTGGCGTCGGTTTATGACGGGCAGCGAACGGCAGGGCGAGCTGGCCGGACGACTCTCGCAACGCCTGCCGGTGGAGGTGCCCGGGTCTCCCTGGCGGCTCTGGTGGTGGTGGGAGTAGTGGGGGGGGGGGGGGGGGGGGGGGGGGGGGGGGGGGGGGTGGTCGAGGTCTCAGATGCCCGAATTGATGAGTATCGAGTATGGACGCCCAAAAAGCCGGTCGCAGGCGGTAAGGTGCCGCGCCAAGGCAGGGAAGAGGGAGAGTCTGTATGCAGAAACAACGTGAGGTTCGCAGTACCAAGCAGGGAGCTCCCAGGGACAATTGAAGTCACCGGGCAGGAGATCGATGGGCGAGGCAGCAAATGGGATGGAGAGGGCCAGCGCGCTGGCTGGTGGGGCAGGCGCGGTGTGGTGGAACGGGGAAGGTGCGCTCGGCCGCGGCAGAGATGGCGCACAGAGGGAAAGAACAAAAAATGAGTATCGTGAGTCGGGCGTGTGTTGTGTGCGCAGGGCCTGCGCCTTGACTTGGGTTCTATGGAAGAGCAAGATCAGCGGAGACTATGACATCGATCCGTCTGGGGTGCCAAGGACCACTCGCTGTCCCCTGCAGTCCAGTGCGCGCGATTGGCTGGCTCGAACCTCACAGTATCGGCTGTAACCACGCACCGAATCAGCACAATTCGAAGTGTCAAGCGCGCTGACCAGGTGTGCCGCCGGTAGCTGGGCCCTCAGCCGAGCTGGAAATGCTTCACTCCCAGCGCCTAAACCATGGCATCTCACGGCCGACTCTGCCTGCATCCGGACACCGGACACCGGACGTCGCCTCCGCTTCAGCTTCTGGGCAGTCACGACTGCCGTCGCCTGCCATCAAGCTATTCACGCCGAGAAAGGGTAGCCCTGCGAGCCAGCCCAACTAGGTCCATCTGTCATGGAAATCAAGGCATCACGGCGCCCCGACTGGCAGAAGACCCTATTCTTGATGCGATCTTCACTCCGGAACACGTAGCAGTGCATTGCACTTCACTGCCAAAATGGTATCATGTACCTGCTGCGCGCTTGGTCCATACATACGACGTGACATTAGAGTCGAGGTGGCAGCAGAGAATGCATTCTTTTGTTTACACAGTACATAGAAGCTAGCACCAAGTCTGTACCTTCACCCGAGATCTCTTCTGTGTTGTGTGGAGGTGTCAGTGTGGACTGCGGTGCTGGCTTGTAGATCTATGTCTCCTCGATATGCTGTGCCCCAATAACAGTCCCTTTATTTATCACCTCGCCGTGCACGTCTGAGCCGACCTCGTTCGTGTTGTGGTGGTGCTGGAGCTTCTTAGCTCGAGAATACCGTGGAATCGTATCCTTAATGCAGCCCTGGATAATGTCGCCTTCGAAGAGCATATGAATCGACTCTAGTGGTACATTCTTCGTCTCTGGGACACATAAAACGGTGTAAATACCCATGAGGATGCAGCAGGATCCGAACAGAAGGAACGTTCCATATGTAATGTGGGCGAGCATTATGGGCGTAAGTTTCTAAATGCGACCATCAGCGCTCAACGGAAGACCAATAGAAAGCAAAAGGATAATTTACGGCTATAGCAAAGTTGAAAAGCCACTGGGTCATCAAGGCTGCTGCCATGATAAGAGACCGCACTGCGTTTCACGGCATATCGCGTTAGTGAGTGTCTCAAGTTGAGAAGAACGCCGGCGCCTGCCAGCTCATCGAGGGGCGGGTGGGAGCACTCACCATGGTTCGGGCTGCATTCGCTTGATAAGACAAAAGGAATAGGTCCCCAGCCTGCTTACTATCAGCCCAAGTCTGCTTGCAGCTATGCCGACTAAGAATGGGTCGTGTGGGGTGTTCATGCTTGTCGAAAATGGCTGCGGGCGAGAAGATGATGCTTACCGAAGGAGTAGAATACGACGAAGAGGTAGACGCAGACAATTGCAAATATGCTCGTCCCAGAGAGCGCGTCGCCCGCTTTCGTCGGATTGACCGCACTGTTGACTCCTAATGCAACATTTAGCAGGAATTCAGGGACCAATAGAAACACTCTCACATACCAATATAAAACATGGCGAATGCTTGACCAGCTGATCCGATGATCAAGCTCCACTGTAATCATGCAAATTAGTACAAGTTCTGCCCAAGGCAACATTGGGGCAATGCAGGCTATCGAAGGGTCTCCTTGTGGAAGGAACCCATGGCGAATATTAGCAAGAGGGGTTGCATAAACATACCTTGCGGCCCATCTGTTCTGTTGCAAACATGAGACCTAATGCCGTACACACTATCTTTACTACCCCATAGATACCAGTCGCGAAGAGGCCGGCGGACTGACCTTTTAGCCCTATGGACTGGAAGATCTGTGGTGCGTAATAGTTAATGCTATTCGTACCAGTCCACTGCTGCCAGAACATGAGGATCACTGCAAAAGAAGCCTGGTAAAACATCCTTTTGCTCGAACACGCGGCCTTGAGCTGTGCAATGAGTGGTAGCCTTTCGTGTCCTTGGAAGTCGGTGATGATCTCGTCCAGTTCCTGGGCCACATCTTTATCATCCAGAGTCTTGGAACGGACTCTAGCCAATGCTTTTGCAGCATCTCGCAGACGATTCTTCTCGACAAGCCATCGGGGTGACTCATTTTGAAAGAAAATGCCGGCCAGTAAGAGGACGCCAGGAAGCATTTGGAGGGCAAAGGGGATCCTCCATTTGGCGGAGCTTAGAGACGTGATCTGTAGGTTAATTCCGTAGTTGACGAAGAATGAGAGACAAATACCGGTGACGTTGAATAGTTGCATGCTAAAGTTTTGTGAGCCTAAACGTCCGTCAGGCGCCGCTTCCACTTACCACCCAATACACCGTCCTCGGATCTCCTTGTTCGCATTCTCCCCAACGTACGTAGGAACGACCGCAGATATCACTTTCGGTTGTTAGCGTGCGTAGACTCGCTTGTGAAGGAGTGGCCCCAAACATCCTACGCCAAATCCGCCAATAACTCTGCCAACATATAATTGAGCGAGACTGGTAGTATTGATTGCGCAAAGGGTCTGAACGAGGGACCCAATCAAGAATATGATGTCTGCAATAATCAACGCCGCCTTCCTACCACTGCAAATATGTTAACTACCCCAATACACCCTCAACGGTTTCAAGGGGGCTATCAATGCCTTCAAGTGAACTAGACAAAGGCTACCAAGAAAAACCCGACTTACAACGTATCGCTAACGTAGAAGGAAGACAGAGCCCCAAAGAAACATCCTGCCTATAAATCGTAAGCCTGACTGGGCGGATATGAGGACTGTAGCGCACACCTGGAGGACAGACACAATGTTTCCTTGCAGGTTACTGAAGTCTGGGCTAGTCTTATCAAGCTTGAAGGAGTGCTGGAACGCGTCCATCGTAAGTACACCACCTGTCCCAAATATCAGACTGGTATCGACTCGACGAATGCAATTCGAGCCCCACCTATCAAGCCGGTGTCCCATCCAAAGAGCTGCATCGGAGTGAGCGATTGCGCAATATTGAGGCCTTGAGACTGACCATGCCGCCAAAAGACGCAACAGCCGTGAGGAGATACGCCCGACGATAGATTTTAATGTCTTTAAAGACGGCTCTCACATCGAAGTTTCCCATATCTACTCCAGGTGCTGTTGACAGGGCTGACAAGTGGCTTCAGATGACAAAGAAATGAAGAAATGTTGATGGCTCTAAGTGATTAAGGTAGGTAATTGGATATGGTGTGAAACCATGATAGACTTTATATCAGATAGCTCAAGGGATACGATACCGCGCCAAAACCGACTGATCGGCGCTCTCTGGGGTTCTTGGGGGCTTGCTCGGAAAAACTCCTCGCCCAGATGACGCGGGGCGCGGGGAACTGGTGCCATTCCCGATCTCCAGTCGGCGCGACAAATGGCTTGGGAATATTTCCGTCAAAAGCCGTTGGAAATGCCAAATATATGATCTGACACTCAGCCGTTGGCGTGTGATGTCCGGCAGTTTGCTACAAATTGATAGTGCGGAACTGGTGGGTATTGCGTAAGGAAAGGAACCTTAGAAGTCGGCATTTGCTTTTCACTCGTCAGTTGCCGACGCTTTGTCTCTTTCGGTGCATAGCGGGTAAATGAACATTTCTCCACAAATCGCATCTTTTAGGGTGTATCCACCCTTTTTTTTACCAATGGGTACACCCTTTCATATTCTATGGGAATTTCCATGGGAATTAGTCCTCACAATACCGAAAACGCCTCCCATGATGCCTTTTAAAGCGCCAAGTATATTTCCAAAGCCCGACACCTCAGATATTCGCCTTTCACAGCTTCTGTTCCGGCACTTGTGTGATCAACTTGCCACTTTTGAAGGCCTCTTTAAGGTTGTCTAACACCAGAAGCTCCATGTCGCGCTGGCACCGAAAGTTAGCCGAGTTCCGCAATGTGAGCAGGTGGTCATACCTGTGTCTCGTATGTTGCCGTTCCGATATGCGGCAGCAGCACCACATTAGCGCTCTCTAGCAGCCCAGGATGGATCTTTGGCTCGTCCTCAAACACATCCAAACCCGCTGTCCACACCTTCCCGCTTTTCAGCGCATTCACTAACGCTCCTTCATCGATGAGCGGTCCTCGAGCTGTGTTGATTACAATTACCCCATCCTTCATCATGTTGAACTCCTCCGTAGATATGATGTGCCTCGTTGAAGCATTGAGTGATAAATTCAGACTGAGGACGTCCGACGTCTTCAACAACTCATCGAAGCTGACGTACTTTGCGCCTTCCTCCTCACCCAGAGGTAGTTGACGCCTGTTATGGTACTGGATGTTCATCCCGAACGCCTTCGCTCGTCGCGCGACTGCTGAACCGATTCCGCCCATGCCTAGGATGCCGAGGACTTTGTTTTTAGGGTCATGACCGAGCGAAAAATCACCTCGCCAATTGCCTGGGAAATGTCAGTGGGATTCCCGTCGCTCATTCAGAATAACTTGCCCTCTTTGACAGCCATGAAGGACGGTGTCACCTTTCGGAGGGCTCCTAGCAATAGAAAGAGAGCGACGTCTGCTGTTGCATCGTTGACGGCCACGGGTGTACTTGACACTGAAATACCCCTCTTTGTGCACGCCGCAACATCGATGTTGTCGTATCCCGCTCCATTGTGGCAGATGTATTTCAACGTCAGTGGAAGGGCGTCAAGAAGTTCGTCGTTGAAATTCCCCGTGATCTTGTTCGAATCGTTGCTTCGGTAAAGCGCAAAGACGTCCTTGAAATCACCATTTCTACACCTCGAGAGGAAGTCCTGTCGTGAGCCATCTGGATATTCATACAACTTTGCAATCTCTCCGCATGCCTGCCATTCTTTCCGCGCATGCGCAAGATTGCCGATGAGCAGCGCTCCTCTCTGGGACATTTTCGTTCTGTCTTTCCTCGGGATATCTCAAGCTTAGCAGGGGATGAAAAGGAAGCCTCGACGCGTAAATGGGAAGTGTGCGGAAGATAACACTGCATCAATTGAACAGCGGCGATGGGTTCTTTTATTTCGTGCCGCTTCATCCACATGACGGCATTCTCGCCGGTCCAACTCGGGCCGGACGTTAGCGCGGAATGTCAATCACCACTTCAGTACAGGCGCCAAGCGAGTTGCTCTTTGAAGCGAGGAAGCTTTCCTTGCCCAATGCTGCGATTTCGCTTTTTGCTATCCTTGAACATGATCTCTGCACCACTGACCAATCACTTGTGATTCAATCCACCGGCCAACACAACACTTTGGCCTGTCATGTACCCTGTTCCGCAAAACATCGTCACTACATTTGCTACTTCCTGTGGCATTCCTAGACGACCCAAAGGAATGGTGTCAACCAGACCTGGAACAGAATTACTGCTAGGAATCAATCCGGTTTCTCCTGAAGGACGGTTAGCCTGGAAAGAGTATCCATGACCACAGAGGTCTCTTTTCTTACCAATCATCGCAGGGGAGACATCATTCACCGTGATGTTAAACTCTGCGAGCCGCGTGGATAGATTCTTCATCATTGATGTGAGACCGCCTTTTGAGGCAGCATAATCTACGGAGAGTTCAATTAGGAGAGTCATCAGCCTATTAAGAGTACCACCTACGACATCCATTCAGCCCTACGCCGTACCCGGAAATTGATGATATGAAAATGATACGGCCCCACCGTTGCTGCTTCATATGCCCCACAACGTTTTTCGCAAGCAAGAAAGGAGCACGTAGGTTCACATTCAATGTGTGCTCGAAAACGTCCAATGGAATCTCCCTGCAAATTTTCAGTAGAGGCCCTCAAAATAGCATTATGAGGTTATATGCAGGGACGGGAAACTAAATGGGCCCGGGAGAACGTGGACGTACTCTATGTCGGTAATTCTTTTGCCGAACCCCGCATTTGCGATGAGGATATCCACAGGTTTCGAATGTTGAACTTTGACATCTTCAGAAAGCTGAACCGTCTCCTCCACATTCGATAGGTCGACCCGATGGTATGAGATCTTTGGGGCTGTTCTCCCTGGATTTGATTTCTTGTATTCATCGAGCAATCTCTCGCCTAACTTTCCGACGCTCTCCCGATTTGAGTTGTAGGATAATGCCAGGTGAGCATGCTGGAGAAAGAGTGCTTGCGCGCATGCTCCACCAATTCTGGAGGCGAGTTAGCCTTAGTAAACAGAAGATTATATAAAGGGCTTGATTTACCCTCCAGAAGCTCCGGTTATCAATGCTAGACGTCCAGCAACGTTGTTGTCAACATTCGAGGAATTCATTTTGTGAACCGTTCTGCAGCTAATATTTTGTTGCTACTTTATAACGGAAGTCGGATCCAATAGAATTAACGGATTCTTATCCGATTGTCCATAGAACGGCGATTAAACCATTCCCCGAGAATGGACTTTGGGAGTCAAGAACCCGACAGTAACACGTGATTAGTGACCCCTCCGGGTTCCCTAAAGAGGAAGGTGATCCGAGTGCCGTGAACCGATGAAGCATCGGAGGTTATTCCCACACCGAGATCGGACTCTTCTTATTTTTCGGTGCCGTAATAGCTTTAACCTCTTCATCGGCGGCATGTAAGGAGGTTATTCCGATGGAGATTCCAAAACATTGAGAGCTTTGGGAGAAGATTGTACCCGTGGCCTCGTGAAACGTCGTATCCGGACCAAATGGTTTGGATTGAGTTAACGTAGCGGTCAGCATCCTCAAGTCAATGTGAGAATGGGCTGTGATTAAAAGGTAGAGGGTTTCCTGTTTCTTCTAACTTCACATACCCTGCTCTTCTCCACTTTGGACTGTCTTTTCGGCGTTACATTCCTCACAATAACAAGAATTTCAAAATCCATCCAATACTCGGTGGGTACTCAGGTCATGCAACTCAAGAACATCGCGATCCTCGGGGTAATCTCTTCTCTCCACACTGCTCTCAACCGCGCTGGAAAAACTCCTCCTGATGAAGGATATTTAGGCCCGCGGTAACGTCGGTAGCGCCATCATCAACGAGCTTCTAAAAGATGGGCCACACTTCAACATCACCGCCATCATTCGCCCAACATCCACATACACGGCTCCTCCGAACTCAAGCATTATTACGAAGATCGCAGACTTCACCTCTCTTTCTTCTCTTGCTGATGCTCTGGAAGGCCATGACGCCGTTGCAAATTGTATCTCAGGTGGAGCAACGCAGTTCGAGCCCATGAAGCTCATCATCGATGCCGCGATCGCCGCAGGCGTCAAGTTCTTCTTTGCAGATGAATATGTCGGGAACTTGATGTGTGACCAGTTCAAAAGACTACCAGAATCTTTCGCCGGAGCTAAGATTAGGATTCGAGGCTATCTTGAAGAGCTCGGCAGGCAAGGCAAGATTCAGTGGACTGCGTTAAACGGCGGACCGTTCTTTGACATGTGTAAGTATTATCCGAAACTTACAATCGGGCTTGCAAAAATTGGGGCAAAGAACGAGGCTAATGACGACTAGGGCTCATGAAAGGGCCCGCCGGCTTCAACATCCCAGCTCGCCAGGCTAGAATCTATGGCACAGGAAACAACCCCATCTGCTGGACACCCCTACCGACCATCGCGCTCGCAGCAGCGAACATGCTGCGCAACCCCGCACCCGCCATCAATCGCCCAATCTACATCAACGGCGTCCAGAACCTCACGCAAAACGCCCTGCTCTCCGCGGTCGAAACGGTAGTCGGAGAAAAGCTCACCGTCGAGCAAGTCGATGTCAATAAAATCAACAAGCACGCCCTCATTGCCCTAGAGCGTGGGGAAATCGAAAAGGCGATGAAGGGTCTCACGATTAGTAATCAATTCTACGATGGGGACAACTGGAGTTGGGAAGGTGTAGTAATGGAGAACGAACTTGTGGGCGTGGAGCCGGTGAGTGTGGAGGCTGCAGTCGAACAGGCAATCGAGAAATGGGGAAAAGATTGTCCAGTTGTAGAAGCTATGTTTCGGGTTGAAGCTTGTGACATTTGAGAGGCATGGAAATTGTGGGAAAGAGGAGTGGTCATGGTCCGGTGAACAGAAAAGTGAGGCGATGGAGGACTGCGGGTGGCTAAAAGTGGTTGCCGGCTTCCTCGGAAGTTGCCGAATGCGAACGTTCACCGGAATATTGATCTTCGGAGTGTCGAGTCATCCTTGCCGCGAATCTTATCATGGATGTTGATTATTCGGTTCATGCAGGGAACCAAAAGGAAAGGGACCCATCTGAACGGTTGCCTCGTGTTAAATTACGCACTCTCTCCATGCCAAGGTTTGCCTGGTGGTGAAGACTATCATCGACAAACCTGGCGAATCACAGTCCATGATCGCCCTCCTTGCTGAGATCAACCAAAAAACCGAGGGACTCCTTATTAGTGGAGACAGAGAGACTATGATTTTGTCCTTTTTGTTGCAGACGTCGTACGTCAGCTCCCGTTTCTTGGAACTTATCCCAGAGACCGGTCCTCTAAGTCCAACTATCAGATAACATCCTCTCCCTGCAGCTCAATCTTTCATTATGCCTAAAAAAGCTTCATATCGCGAGCCATATTCAGAAACCCGGCGTCCTTCATGGGCGCATCGTCATCTCTCGATACTACTACAAAGCGCCCTCTCAATCCCCTATTGGTCCATGACCCCTTAAGTCCCTTGCCATCTAGCTGACTCGGAAAGGTCGAAGGTCCCCCCGACATGCAAGCGTACTGTGATAGCAACTGCAGCGCACCGGCTGGAAAGGTACTCTCAACGCTAACGCCCCATGAGATGTATGCACATCGTAGATCAACGAACGTCCTTCGCCATTCTTCGTCTGGGACGTCGGAAAGTGAGGCAAATGGTGCCAGTTCATGTCAGGAGTTCAGTTGCCTTTATACTAATTTCCAAGGTATAAGAATGACAGATATCTTGAGAGGATATTGGAATTGAAACATTCATTCAAAAGTACTTGCGCAATGGTCGACGGCCTCGAATCGACTAACGTCTCCCTGAAGCCCAAGCCACCACTATACTATATACATTTCAACGAGTAATTAAACTCGATAGTACCTATGCAGCTTCCACACACACATGTCCTAGCTCGCAGCATGGCGCCATCCTGCAGAATCGAGGTTAAGGATCACGAGGATTGGGATATTGGCAGCGAACGAGTTTCCGAATTCGGCTGGGGTGAGTGACAAGATGGTTCCAGCCATGGAGTGGAGCTAATAATTGGGTATGTAGAAGATAGGTACCAACGCTGTGAGCGCCCTCTAGTAGAGCAGATACGCTCGTAGTTGTGGGGGTTGGGTTTGTGGGGCAGAAGCGAATTAGCGCGGTTTCTGAATGGGAACCTAAGAGGACTGAGCAGATGCGGAATATGATGGTCCGCAATTGAGGGTGGGTCTAAATTGATGGGTTTGGGGAACTCGGCGTTTGGGGGATCGTTGGTGTTAATGTTCTTTGAACGGAATTCGAGATTTGTCGCTCTTAATGTATATTTACGATGTATGTACGAATCTTTCATGTGCGAATGGTTCCAAACTGATTCAAAAATTGGCCATACCCACTGTAAAGGGAGTCAAAGTTTGGACTTAATCTTGAACCTAGTGAAGCAGTTCTGCCTAGGCGTACGAAGGGTTTCTAGACTAATCCGCGACTCGGGCTCCGATTCTTCTTGCGGCGGATTTTTCGGTCTCTGCGGTCGACATCCTATTCGTAGCGTGTAACCCGTTTTGATTACCTGTAACACGGGTTAGGACTCTGTGAAACCGTGATTGGCGAGACACGTACAGGAGCACGAGATTCTTTACCACAAGACCGACACTGCATATCATATAAGTATGGCTAGAAGAACGATAGAGCTTTAGCTTACATTTACAATCCACACACGCCTCTCGGGGTTGCGTAGATCCGTAGCTCTAGATTCGCAACTCGGACACTCGACTTATCGACAAAAATGTTAGCCAGTCTTCTACAAGAATTATTATTATTTCACATTTTCTTACCGTATGTCCGTCTATAACTCTGCAGAGCCCTCTTGATTTGTTTCTCATGAAAACGGCCCTTCATAATCACCCTCTCGTGTGAGTCAAAGCTTCCACTTGTCCCTAATTCTGCGAGAAGGTACTGAAACCTACGGCACTCTTGTCAGCGATAGAATATTATTTTCAGATTTATATAGCATACACATGATCCTTATTGCGCTCCAGGCTCTTGCAAAGCTCCGAGAAGTTCGCAACGACCGTCCTCTTCTTTCCATCGACAACAATATATGGTGCAAGAGTCTTGACTTCATTCTTTGTGTATGTGTTTAGGCTTGGATAGTATACTTGTAGCAGGTAGAGGCGGGAAAGAAGAAGGCGGTAGGGCAATGGCTCCTGAGCATTGTGGGCAAAGATTCCTGTTCTAGTTACAGGATCGTCTTCGAACAAGCCCACTTTGACAGAGATGGTTGTACTAAGAGAACAAGGTGTTTGCGAGCAGTTGAAGCCCGTGACTGCTTTGGGAGAACTTAGCTGTATTTGCGATTCAGGCCTTTTCAAGTCTGGGTTCTTTCCTGATGGAGGCACATGTTGAATGCTCATATGTTTTTAGATAGATGTAGAGTTGGTGCAGAAGAAAATAGTTTGGGAACTTCGTAGTGTATAGAAGCGATGAGAGGAAAGGTGACTCATAGCGATCTAATGTCACCCGGAAGGTCTCCATCACCACGCCAAACCGCATTGGGTAATGAAGGATCATCGCATCCTTGCACTTCAAGCTCTCCACGAGCTAGGATACGTTTATTGAGTCCGCAGGCTCGCTGCTTCTATAAGAGATTCAGGGAAAATGCATAAGGTCTTTATTTACATTTGTAACTAATTTTCTTGTTCCTGAACCCACGAATGAATTGATTGAACCTCTCTGTCTTTTTCGTATAGTAATTTGTCAACTTCTCTGAGATGACTGGCCCAAACGCCTCCCTCCAAACACCATATGATGAATGTCCAAAGAAATGGATGTGACGGGTCAGACCTCGGTCTTTTCTGCTTTGGAATGCTGTCTATCTCCAGTCACGAGCACCTGATCGCATCAGTACAATTAAGCATGCGGCAAAGGAAACACATCCACATACGCAAGGAATAGCACCAGACGCACATAATGTGCCAAGAGCAATCGTCGTAGCATTCCAACCATATCCCTCTTGCAAGCTACCTGCAGTCAAAGGACCAAGCAACCCAGCAGCTGCGAGAGAGCAGTTCATGAGAGAGAAGGAGCTAGCGTACGTATCGCAGTCTGCCCTTTGGACTGTTCTTCAGCTACGAGTGAGCATTCCGCACCGAGGGGTGAAAGGAATAAAATGATTGTTGATCCTAGGCTGGTTAGCAACACTCCCATGAGTCGTTCCGTTGACTTGCCGGCTAGTGTTAAGAGGCCACACAAGCGAATCACCTGCTCCTTGCTGCTATGATATACAAGCCTTAGTAATATGAGTGGGGGAGTTGTGAGAATAAACCCTGAGACAGCAACCCAACGAACTCCAAACCTATCGGAAAGCGCACCTGCAAGGGGTCCAGCTAGCGCAGGAATAGCAATTGTTAGGAACAAGAGGCCAGACCCCAGCGCAGTCCAATTGAAGGTGGCATTGACAAAGAGTGGTGGTACCGCACACAGCGAGGTAACTTTGCGCATGGTACGTTGATCGCACCAAGAGTCGACGCATTCCATGGTATGGAGGTATCATCCTGATCACTACCGGAAGCTTACTTTTCGGATTTTCTCAAAACCTTTGGATGCTACTTGCTAGCCAGATACTACAAGGGATTTCCTCCTCCATTCTTTATACGGTTGGACTCGCAGTCCTCGTGGATACAATTGAGAAGGACGAAGCCGGCCAATGGATGGGTACAGCAATGAGCTGCAACAACATTGGAATTATCATTTCGCCTCTACTTGGTGGGATCATTTACGACAGGTCTGGGAAAATGTCTGTCTTCTTAATAATGATTGGGCTTGGAGCATTCGACATTGTTCTGCGTGTCTTGATGAAAGAACGGACCCGAATATTTGCGGAAGCCGCCAACAAAGACAACCCGTGTGCAAAAGAGCTGGGTAACCATAGGTTAGACTCTACCATAAGTGTGACCCCTTCGATTATTAGCAGCAACTTGGGGCCCGTATTGGTGACCAAATCACAATCGCATCGACGACTCCCTGGAATCATCTCACTGCTTCGATCTCCTCGACTGTTAGCTGCTCTTTACGGCTGTTTTATTAACGAGTGCATCGTGCTACCCACTTAAGTCTTGACGCTTGAAGTGGGATATCTAGTAATGCTTGCAAATGGCATTGTAGAACATGGGAGGCTGAGTGAAGGGGCACTTACGAGCACCAAAGAAGTCCGCTATTGAGAACGCAGCAATGAGCAGAGACGTTGATAATTGTACTAAGAGGGTTAGCGGAACCGCACCAATACCGCAGCAGTCATCTTACGCTTTCCTTCCGACACTAGCTTTTGGTCTTGGAGTGCGAATGGGATCACGGGTGCAACAATGCCATAGATAAAGCCATCCTAGTCTCTGTAAGTAATTTTGAAGTGTGCCATATTAATTAAGGGTAGGCATACCGTGAACATAGCAGTACATATTGTGAACAATATCAGAAACCTAGAGCTTCTAAAATTATCTAGCTTCGAGTAGAGACTCATGCTGTAGAAGGAGAGGAAACAGCGTATGCGGCCTTCCGAGTAAAGTGAAGACCTCCGCAGTGGCTTAAAGCAAAGTACAGACGGAGAAAGCTTTCAGAGAAGGGCATCAGCATTATCCCAAGAGGTCTGACGCAACTTCGTCGGTTCGATGAAATTCAACTGCCTGGGTAATTTTTGCGGTAGGAGATACATACTTCAAGATAGCTTTGAGTCCAATTTTAAAAAATACCCTCTCCGTACGGATTAAATTGAAAGTAAAAGTCCACTTAGTGCATAAAAAAAATACTTGAAAGAGTAAGTTTCGAAGACTGTGGAGAGCAGACTCAACGAAGGTTTGTAGGTGGGGATAAGACAGGAGGAACAAAGAATCAGAGTAGTGACCCCCTCTTTGATTAGAAGGATAAACTTGCAAAAGCCTTGAACTGTGGAATTTGGTGCGATATTCTGCGGCGCAAAAGAAAGAAGCTGAACACTATATTGGCGGCAAGGCACGATACTGAGCAAAGCGCAGCACGCTTCAACCTGAAGATCCGCAATTTAGATGTGGAAGTTAGTTATGTACCTATCTCGAAGAGGACTAAGTCAATACCCATGGTTGATCTTGCATCTACCGGAGCCTCCGAGACGCTTCGCCAGAGTGTATGTGGCGCCCGTAGTTGTTCACCCCTGTCCTGTGCCCAATCTGGAAACGCCTCCTTCCTTTGAGCTGGATTCGTAGCCCAGAATGTCGCTTTATGCTAGAAAGAGTCTAGCGCGGCGATCAGCCTGACACATTTTGTGTCAATCTTGGAAAGCTAGAAAACAAAAGGGCGCCAAGACGAGGCCAGTCAGCTCATCCACACCTCAAAGACCAGCTTAGTTCTAGACAGCCACATTTTCTCTCTTAGACATTCGTAAAGCCCGGAGGAAGGGTGTGCCCCGAAACAGTCTTATTCCCGACCAGCATAGACGAAAATATGCCGTAAAATGAGCTGGCATTTCTCTAGAACGGGAAACGTCGTGACATCCTGTCTCCAAACGTATTCATTGTGGAGATATATAATATCCCGTCCTAACCGAAGTGTCAATCCCACAAACTACTTTTGCGACTGTAGATCCATTTCTTGAACCATATATGCAATCCTTGTTATTCCATTGCTCACTATTCAAACTGAACACACATCTTCCGCAATGGCTCCAGGGTTACTTGTCAATAACTCAACCGAATCTGATAGATTCCGCTTGGATCAAAGTTCCCAGCCCAAGGTATCTCGATCTCCCAAAATTGGAGAAGTGGATTGTATGGCCTACGAACAGCAAAAAGATCTCATCGGCGACATTGTGGAAAAGCTCAAGGCATCGGGAGGATGCCTGATTCGCGGATTGTATCACCAAAAGACCCTCGACGCGATCGAGGAAGAAATCCGGCCCTACATCGCAGCGACAGATAAAGCAGACATCAGCCGAGAGGATTTCGTACCTTCATCGACGAGGATGGTAACTGGGCTCCTGAGCAAATCCCGGACATATGCTCTATCAGTAGCAGGAAACGGGATTTGGCATCAGGTTTCAGAACATTTCCTCACAAGCACCCTTTCAAATTCTTGGGTAACGAATACTCCACCGAATACATCGTAGATCCGCAGACTAACGCGGCCACAACAGCACGGCTCCCAGTCCCGAACGAGTGTGAGCTTACCACAGCTGAGCACCACAGTCGCTTTCTCGGTCGGTCCTGGAACGAAGGCTCAAGGTCTTCACCGCGATGACGACATCTACCACACGCAGCATCCTGCCTCCTCAAAATATCATCTTGGCCAAGATACAATGTTGTGTCTTTTCGTCGCCGTTAAGAGCTGTACGAATGAGAATGGTGCAACACGGATCGTGCCTGGTAGCCATCTCTGGGACTACACATCTCCTCCGCCTTCTTACGAGACTTTGCCGGAGCAATTTTCCCATGCAGAGATGTCACCCGGTGATGCATTTCTGATGCTTGGAGGGGTATACCACAGAGCAGGGTCGAATACCACTGCGGACGAAGAGAGACTAGTATATGCTGCGTTTGCAACGCGAGGATACTAGAGACAAGAGGAAAACCAATATCTTGCCAACGATTTGGAGGGAATCAAAGAGCTCCCAATCCACTTGCAGAAATTCGCTGGCTTTGGGGCGAGCAAGCCTTACATGGGTTGGGTCGATATGGAGGAACCGGTAAAGGTTCTGAATCGGAATGCGGACGTCGGGGATACGGAGTTTTGGTAGTATGCTGTTCGAGTTTGGAGTATCCATAATGATCCATGTAAAGGTACGTGATTGTCCCTTTCAGGGCTTCCAACGAGGCGTAGTACTGTACAATTGGGCGATTTTAAGGCCTGTACAGGTGAGATTTTGTGTACGTTCGTACAACAGGGAGGAGGAGAGGTAGGTGTACGTATTGTAACTGTTACAGCTCACGTAATCTGTACAAGTAGTATAATTTAATTAAAGTACGCTATACTCTAGTTAAAACAGCTAAGACTATAACTCTCTAAAGACACAAGATTAAGGTCTAATTAACTATAAAATAACTAGTTCTCCCTAGTAACAAGAGCAGATAGGACTAGATAAGGCCTGTAAGGCAGCAAAAGGCGTAGATAGATAACTCTGCAATAGAAAATAGTCTATAATAGGCATTTTTAAGACAACAGACTGCAGATAGATAGATTAAACCCCTTAAAAAAGATTTAAGCGCCTGCAGGCCTCCTGCTCGCTAGAGCCCTTCTACCCCTCTAGAACCCCTATATAAACTTCCTAAAAGGGTAATACAATCTGTACTACGTACTGTACCTAGGGCATTATTAATTGTATAGTACAGCTTACAAACTTAGTACGTTCGTACTGAACACGTGACCGTTACGGTTCACTTTGTACGGACCGTAGTACGGCCCGTTGGAAGCCCTGGTCCCTTTCAAGGCGTTCTGGAAAGGCACATAAGTGTAAAAAGTATAAAAAGTATAAAAAGCGTAAGTAAAATTACGGCCTGAGTGTTCCAACCTAGTGTCCAGCCGCCCGCTGTGTTTTTAGCAGACGGACACGGAATAGTAAAGGCGGAGTATGGGTCAGGACTGATAAGAGATTCAGGCTCCAAACGCAGAATTCTCGTGCATCCAGCCAATCGCCACAACGCCATGAAAATAGCAAAGGGCTAATGTGTTCAGTGGGGTGCTGTAGGATATCTAGAAAGATACGGAAATAGTGCTCGTCGACAAAAGGCGGGCTGAGAAGGTGGAGACATTAGCAAGACAGCTAGTGCAACTGCATCGATCAATGCTAAGATCCATTGACTCTTTTCAGAATCCGAGCCAAGAGCCATTTTCGACCCGCCAACTTACCTGAAGTCACCCTAGGAGTATTCCTTTCCACCTCATCGCTCTTCCACAAGATCTCGGCATAGCATCCTTTCTTACCCAACCCTGCTTATTCAGCTATGCGCCTTTTCTATATGAGCATCATAATATTAAAGTCCCGAAATTCTTCTACTTCAAGGTTCTCGTGGTTTTCGAGCATGCAAATGATAAAAGCCATGCGGACTGCTCCCTTCGAGAATCATAATAAATTCTTGCAAGGGAAGTCTCCCCGGAGCAGACATAGCATCCCATCTGCAACATTATGTGTATTGTCTCGGAGGAGAAAGGAGGTGTTAGCTGTTCCCAGTATTCTCAGGATCGGAGCTGGTGTAGTGTATTACAGTCGACTCATCTGATTAAACGCCGAAGTACGTAGATAGAGTCCAGAACTGGAGATGGCGAGAGGCCCTTCTCACGTGTTCGAGCTTGCTGATACGATAGGAGAGAAGTAATGGAGTCGGAAGGAAGTGAGGTAGCTAGCTGCAGAATCAGATATGGTATTCTAACCCACTTCGTGCCCATCCTCACTGCTGACTGTGGCAATTAGTGAGGCAAGCTCTTGATTTCAGATCCACCCCCACGGGGTATAGAGAACCGGCCAGGGCTTCTATAAAATCTCAAGAAGATCATGAGGGGGTAGGTTCTACAAGCGTGGCTTCCTTTATCTTCGAAAGCCCACAATTTGTAGAAAATTAGTTGTCAACCAAGAAGCCTCTATACAAGGCACTGTCTCGATCGTATAAAACGACGCAGACGCTGGGCCAACTAAGGTTAAGCGCTCACCATCCTCGTCAAATCCGTTTTTCTGGAATAGATTCTTCGGGCGATGAAGACCAAGTCTGAAAAATTAGTCCGGCGTCCATGTTTTTTTGTCACTTGGCTCTAAAGCCCCAGATTTCAGCCAAAGCCCAACACATATGCGCTATAGTACCTCCAAATGAAAAACTAGGAGATCACGTAGACAAACGTCCTCCTGGTCACGGAGGTAGCCCCCTTCAAATATTAGGAAGCTTCCCTCTGAGAGCCTAATCTGATCCACGTCTCAAGGAGCCCTTGGGTTTCTCTGCTTGATCACTCAATTCAATATCATATGATAGAAAAGATACTTGAGTGAGCGGAGATAACCCTTGCAGCAGGAGAATTGTTCACGTCTAACAGATCTCGCATTCTCCATACTACTTATCCACTAGTAAAAATGCGGTCTCTTCGTACAAATTTTCAAGGGGTTAGGTTAGAGACGAGACATCTCTGGTCATCGGACGCAAGCCCACTTGCATATTAATCCAGTTTCCATCACAATATCCCGAGCCACAGTTGAAGTTTCCAATAATGAAGAATTTCGCGGCCGCTTTATCCCACCATTCTCGTTCACTGCGATCAGGACTAGCAACATCTAGGCTCTTCCTCACCACACTAGATTCCCAGTCCCACCATTTGGGGATGTGGCGTCCAGAAAGAGACCTGAAGACTGCAGGCTAATAGAGCTAGTCAACAAAGACTTCGTGCGAGAAAGCCCCATTCCTTGGAACCTCTAGTGTGGTATGTGTGTGTTAGCATTCAGGCAACTAGATGCCCGAAAGGAACAATGATGGAAGAAGCACCTAATAGCGGATGCAAACCCAATCGTGGACAAAATTCAACCAGGCAGCTCCACACAGTTGGTCTACCAATTGGCTTCAGAGAATTCATACGGAAAACTTAGGCGAGGAAGGGTCAGAAAAGAGGGCTCCATAGTATCGACTGACCATCCTTCCCGCTATGCTAATACGGCCTGTGGAACGACCAAGGCTAGATTTCAAGGATTTGCAGAGGCAGGGACCATACCACTCCGTGTTAATTCGGCCGCCGGGTTTCTTCATAGATTTCTTAGCTTTACTTAATAATACTCTATTCCTTTATTCCTTTTTTTTAAAGATGGGGTTCCGTCAAGACCAGTGATCTAGGTGTGTAGCCGACCTGACATCAAGGAATGACGTTTATCTCATATGGAAGTGGTCTAAACGAATAGAAGTAAATGGGATGTCTGGTTTAATGTAGCTGGAGGAACTGGGAATTGTCATCATGATTACGCCGCCACATTTCTTTTGGGATTTTCTAAGCTGCTTGATGTCTTCCTATTTGGAAGGGGAAAGAATTACATAAAAAGTCAGTACACTCAAAACAGCAACCTAACATCCAACTTCTCTTCGTAAACCCATACGTGAAAAATTGCATAAATACTGCGTTCAACAATAGGTCTTATTTATAACACATGTCCGTATTTTACTAATACTTTCCTAAACTCCTGTGAGGATTTTAAAAGACTAAATATACCTTAATCACGTTCCGGAATATGTGATCATGTACTGTAAGAGAGATTTTCTTTTGCACCCTAGAAGAGACAACACTATGTAAACGAAACATTGTTAGTAGCTGTTAAATTGCAGGTGAATTGCTTACTAGCATATGCGTTCTGTTTGCTATCTCCCTAATTCTATTAAAAGGTTTATTAGACCAAATTTGTTCCGGTCACGTTCTTACTAAGTGCTAAAATTTTGTAGAAAAGGTGATATTAATGGGCAGGAACAGAAGTAAGAATCAGTTTGTACATCTCATAGCTACAATTTGGCTGTAAAAATTTAGTGTCCCTCCTGACCTGCACAATTACCATCTCATCAACCATCATCCCATCTCTATTTTACAGGTTCAAGCTTCGCAGCCTGACAGAATTCGCAATCCCTGAGTGTCTGGTACAAGTGAAGGTAGTCGTGAATCCACTTCTTAGTCGGAAGCTCAAGGCCCTCCTCATCCATCTTCTCACAGATGCCGATGTATGGATTACTGAAGAAGTGCATTGAGTTCACAGTCGCATAGACGATGGCCTTTGATTGATAGATCCGATATCGCCATAGAGCTTTCGCGGCTTCCACGTCATCTGAGGTGAGTGAGCCAATGGCGGCTTCATTCGCGAGCAACTTCGCCTTCAGATTGTAGACTTCAATCTTCAGATCCTCGTTTTCTTGATCGACCTCCTTCAGAGCTGCCTTAAGTTTCGCGATCTGGAACTTGAGGTTGTCATTCCTGCGCTTCTGAGCCTCCTCGGGAGTCATGATTCCACCAGGACCCGATTCCAAAGAGTCTTTCTAGGGGTCGTTGCTGTCGATGCGGCACTTTTCAGCGTGTTCGAGAAGGTCGTAGAGTACTTCGCGCGTGGTTTTCTAACAATAGTAAGCGACATCTCGTTAACTCTCCACGTGGTTGATGGCAAACCGGCACGTAGGCTGAGTGGACTTTGTTAGGCGCGGATTCAGGAGTGGAGGCGAAGGCAGTAAGGGGTATCGTGGGTTATAGTGAAAGATCTTTTGGTATTAGCTAGGAAGTTCTCAAGTGGGCGAAGTCTTACGAACTGGCTTTCAAATCTTGCCAGAGAGAGTATATCCGCAAGGCGGTGTGTATGCTAGATTACTGAAGCCCTTTTAACGAAAGCGTTCAACACGTTGACTGGAAACAATTTGGTGGGTGTTTCGAGGTAGTGGTGTGAGTGCGGTGGAATTAAGGCTTATATACCGTATTCCGGAAGCAGTGGGATTGTGTATAATCCCTCTGGTGACTGCTGCTCTGCCCAGCGGTCCAGTGTGGTTCAGGTGAATGAGGACGCTGGCGGTGAAAGCATCACCCCAAAATTCAGCAGGCCGATTGCATCCTCCGCAAAGCCGAAAGGACCGGCGAAGAATTGAATATAGGAAGGATGGAAACCCCGAAGTGTGGAGTTTATTATATAGGCTGAGAGGGAGCAATTCCAAAAAACCATTGCCTGACTGACAGCCATATGCTCGGATCAGAGAAGAATACTAGAAGAGATGGGGTTCCCCTTTGCATTCAAGTATATTAGAATGGTTTGCTACATACTCACGAGCATCCATAATTCCCAAAAGATAAACAAACCATGCTACCTACCACGGCAAACCCTAGATCCTTGCCACACTCCAAAGCACCTACACAACCTCACTAACTCCCCTTAAGCTGCCCATCCCCAAACAGCCCCCGATACTCCTTCAGAATCCTCTCCTCAATCTCCCTCACATCCTCCTCTCCGCTAAACGCCATCATATAATCCTTCATACCGCTCCACTCATCCTTCCAGAACCTGCTAGCCATCTCCTTCAACCTCCTTGTTTCGTCTTCTGCTTGCTCCGCACGCATGCTCGTATTGTGTGCTTCGAGGGTCTTGGCTTGAAGTTGTTCCTGAAGTTCTTGAACATGTCGCTGGAGGTCCACGTTCCCAGACTGTGTGGATGTGGATTTCCTGCGTATGAAGCTGGATGGTCGGCTTGGGGAAGTGTAGATGGATGTTTTTGGGTCGTTGGTAGACTATAGAAATTGAGTGAGAGGCTATGAACGAGTGTAGGAGGCAAAGTACCTTCTTTGGGGAGTTCATGGTTTGGGATCAAAAGTGTGCATTAATTTGGATAAGTTGAATGTCGCGCAAGCCGCGTCGGTGCTCTGGGTGAAGGAAATTCGGCGAGTAGAAACAGTATCGTTTGCAACGAGCAAGTAGTCAAAAAGTAAGAGATACATGCGCGAATGACACGAAGCCTTGATGACGTGGGTACAGCGGAGCGGTGTGAAGCTTTTCAAGGCGCAGCGTATTTATTTCGATGAAGGGTTGAAAGAAATGAATGATTGAAGGAATAAATGAAGCCGGAATATATATTTTCCGAGAAGTGAAGGCCTCGTGGGGTTATCATGAGGTTCACCACAGCCACATGTTGCCACATGACCCGCGGCTATGAATCCGCATGTTGACGAAAACCTGATGCGACATGATAAAGGCAGTCAGTAAACCCTAACACATGTGCCATACTCCCAGATCATCTTTCCGACAACAACCATTCCTCCAATAGCAGGGGCTGCGTACAGTAGCAATGCAAACTTCCGAAGGATGCCTATATTCGGTCTCTCCAAGATGAAAAAATATGGGAAGAAATGGACAAGTGGGCCGATAAGAATCCCCGTAACCAGCCAGGACAAAACAAAGCCTAGCTGCGCTGGGGAGCTCTTCCGGGATGGACGCGAGAGAAGGTGCCCACAACAATAAACGATAGACACCCTATAAGTCCACTTGCGATTGTGAGATACGAGTCATATAAGCGGTCACGTAACTGGTCTTTCGGATCTTTCGGTTTCGAGGTGGAAGGAATGAGAATTTGCGTTCGATGTTTATGACCCTTGTACGCGAGATAGTGGTCGAGCCCCTTGGACAGTAGCTTTAGTACCCATGTCTGGCTTCCATCGTCGGCCATGCGGGACAAGATTGAAAAAAGTCGTATTAGGTCAAATTTGCTTTTCACATCGAAGTGGCTGGTGTCCATTTCGAATATATAGGTCGAATCACGCGATCGCCCAAATGTTGATACAAACAGATTGATAGGAATTCCGGAAGGTTTTAGTAAGGTGTCTTGCCCGACTTTCATAAATTCGACGGAAAGATAACCCGGAGAATGTCAGGACCATCTATAATCCAAATGACACCCTCAAAATGACCATCGGCCCGCCTTCGAGCTTCTTCCATGGCTTCTGATGAGACCAGGTACACATGTGAGTAATCAGGGCTGAATATGGCACTGACGAGATTGATGAATGACATAATCAGGTAGGGGGCCACAGTCAAGCCATACGCCGCGTAGCCATAGCGATCCAGTTGGTCTCCTTTTGTTCGGACAAAAGTGTATGAAGCGAAAATAAGTTGGAATATGGCAATCACACCTTTAGAGACGCTGTGGTACGAACTTAACTGCGATGATCCCGTTGTATGAGGGCCTGGTGACATTGGGTACGGAAATCGGTTGCGTAGCTTCTTGGAAAAAGCTTTCAACCGACTCAGAGATTCCTTGACTTCATCTTGTTGTGTTTCGGTTGATGGTGTAGCCCGAAGCATATATCCAACAAATATCCGACAGTATACCTCCATTTTGCAAGCTCTAGCTCTGGGAGGGTAGTAGTAGATGGACGAGAGAATTCCCGTACTTTCGCACTTGGGGGTACAATAGCAAGAGCATAGACTTTTGGTAGTTGACAATTTCCGTGCACTTGTCGCCCTCTCTTTGTTGCCCAACTGTCGGCAGGATCAAAATGAGGTGTGCCATGAAGGAGGATGCAGTCGTTGTCCTTGACCTTGAGAATGATTGGAGCCTGCTGTTCATCTCCAGATAACTGGCGAGATCGAAGTTGCTCTGATTCGATGTCGTTTGAGACTTCATCCAAGTTGTGCTTAAGGTCCTCGGATTGAGCGCCGGTGTTCGCGATTGGTTTGATGATTCGTAAATTCCGAATTTTATCTTCCGGTTCTGGTTCCCATGCATCAGTCCTCACAACTTCGCATGGAGCGCCAGCCATTAGGGTACTGGTAAGAGGGGTTTCGCGGAAAGCAACAGCCCCGTAAATGGCGTTCAACCCCCTGATGACGCCAGAAACGGGGAAAAAGAGAGCGAAAATTAGGTCTAAAAAAGACTGGAAGATAGATTGGCCCGGTAGATTCTTTAACGTAGCTGCATGGGCTACATAGTTTCCCAAGAAGAAAGCAGCAACATCAGCCGCTTTTCTGGGTCGACAAAGAAGGTGGGGGTCGCCATGATTGGAGCTTCCTTGCGGGACTTTAATTGTGATATTCTGTAAAACCAGGTGATGGGCTGAGGCACAATAGAAGAAGGCCGGGACAAACAATAGGAGGTGAAACATGTTGAATGCTTCATTCAGTATGGAGCCGCCGAAGAAAAGATAGAGCTATTTGTTCAGTCCTCGTTGTGAGGCCTTTGCTCGACTAGTGCATTTTCTCAGCCATCACAACAATCGAGCTTTGAGTTTCTAGGGCTAGAGTGCATGACCATGGAGGCTGAGCTGCAGGACGACTGAAAGAAAAAAAGCATTTTCCATGCTGGCAGCCTGGACAACGGAGCTTGCAGCCAAAGGTTTGAGCCATGACGGATGGTATTAGACTCTAAAAGGCGATTTTTCACAAACTAGCTGGGGTTGAAGGAGAGAGCGAAAAGAAGGCTGAAGTCGAGAATCTGAAGGACAGGAGACCGGTACCTACAGGTAACCCTACACTTTTACCTCGGCCGACTAAGCAAATTTTTGTTGGCTCAAGCTTGTTGGTAAGGTCAGCGATTGGTTGGTCGTGTTAGTAATCAGTTGGTTGGGTAATCTCCTTCATAAGGCCCATACCCCAAGCGAGCGATTATGACGCTCGCACCCTATTTGCCTAACAGAGCTGCAAGAAATATAAGTAATGTAATTGTAAACACGTTAAGAAGCTGTTGCTAACTGCTTTAAGTATTCCTTTAAGCTAAGAATTCTAATACTAAGCAGAAAATAATCTATTGTATAGTAATCTAGACAAGACTAATTATAACCTTACTTCTAAGGCAACACAGGCGAACACGCTGCAGATAGCAAAGAAGAGTGCAAGGATGATACTAATGTAAGGGCTATATGTTAACACGATATTCACACTTTCTTATTTGATTTTAGGATGCTACTATGCCCCTTATAGTGTTAATTCAAAGATGGGATAGTAGGTAGCACGGATAGCACTGAGCGCAAGGTTCCGGAGAATTAGGAGGGTATTGTAAGAGAGACGAATCGCGGCCAAGCCTCGCTTGTCAGGATTCATGCTTATATACGAAGCACAGGTCATGTGACCTCCAAACGGGTCAGGCGAGGCCATACTGACCCGTTCTGGGACATCCGGCCTTACAGTTAACTTCTAGGACTTACAGCCCTCTCACAACAGCAACTATTACCTATGTTGCTCTTCTTCTAGAATATCCTTAAACGTCTACAAATGGGTATACATTCTATATTCACGTAGATCCTACCAGGGCTACTCTAGAAATAGCAGTTTAGGATACTTAATAGGTAAAAAATAATTCTAGAAATGCTAAGAACACGTTAAAATAGTATTAGTTTTTGTGAGAGGTATCGAGCAGAAAGCACGAGATACAGAGAGGGAATGCAGGATAGGGGGGGTAACGAGAGTAAACCTTGGGGTCGGAGGCAGAGGTACTGTGAGAGGTATCGAGTAGGAAACACAGGTCACAGAGAGCGAATGCAGGATAGGGGGTAACGAGAGTAAACCTTAGGGTCGGAGGCAGAGGTACGGAGGCCAAGCCTAGGGTACTCAGGGGTTGGATAGCTGTAACATAACTGTGACAGTTTTAATACGTAGAAAACAAAAGAGTCTACCTAAGCGCACAACGTCAGCATTCTTAGGTGGCCCAGCAATAAGGTATTAGTATAAGTGTTCTAATGTAAAGCGTTGCGAATACTTTAACAACACATTAGTAACGCTTCCGCATACCCACGTTACAGAGGAGATCTGAGAGTAGATAAGAAGCTCTTACCTAAATCTGTACAGGTCTGAACTAGACATAAGGAAAAAAAAAAGTCCACTGCGTAAGTGTTCTTAACCTGTTTAAAACACCTTCTTATATATTGTAGACACTACTAGACAGTTATGCATTGCTATTGCAATAGCACAGCATGTGTACATACTAGACCTACGTGTGAGCTAATTTTGCGCTAAATAATGCATAAACTTAGTAAAAAAATTTTAAAGTATGTTAATAGCCTTTTTATAATAGGTTACAGGCGGTTTCTAGAGCAGGCCTCTACTATATTAGTTGCAATAGTTAGACGTATATAAATTAGGCAGAAGGGCATCTCTTTAAGACTGTTAGGGATTAATATTATGTTAAACGCCTTTAGAACCTCTTCTAAAATAGTTTACCTAAGGAGCTAGAACTAGGAGAGGAATGCAGTTCTATCTTCTTAACAAGGGCTAAACTTTAAGATTGTGGTAACATAGTCACTTTCTAATCTGTTTGCAACAACTTACTAACGTGTTTATAAGACAACTATCTCTAAGACAAGGGAAAACTTATACAGGTAAGCTGTGGGGTTAAATTTGATATCATTATACCTGTATACGTAAACCAGTGCCCGTGCTGTACGTTTACGTCACATGGTTTACATATGCACCCCCCTCCTCCACCTACAAGGACTCCTGAGGCTCCCACACAGGAGATTATGTCCTAAGATGAAAAAAAAACTCAGCCAGAGCAGCACAAAGATAGTGAAGATAAAAGACCCGACCTAGTTCGCAGTTTCAGATCCTACATCTAGCGCCCTGACCTTGAAAATTCCTGCACCATACAGCGCGGGGTACAAAGGGACCTACTCAGTTCAACTAGATAATGCCGTAGATTCTGAACCCCATGCACAGCTACTAGCTAAAGGTACATCCACGTGCGAACCTTCTGCACCTACCTAGCAAAATCCGTAAACACATACTCGTCGATTTGCTACCCGCTGTCGAGATCATGAAGATGCCGGGTTGGGTTGTTGGAGAGTGGATTGGATCGCCCAGTTGTGTGCCACCAGTTGTACGCATGGAAATTCCGTATGTATAGCTAGTATTGGAGAAAAAATGGAATAAGGGCTACTCAAACCACCATGGCATGGCTCCCGCGGTTGTGCAGAACAATCACTTTAATGGCCACAAAGTACTTCCGCAAGCGTTACAGGACACACAATGAAGAGTGCAAAACGTAAAACTGCGGAAGTCGCCTAGGAGAGATCAGATTTGTTGGCACTGCGAGCAGAGACACTACAATAAGGATCTTATCTGCCTACCCGCACGCGCGGAACCGAACCGCTAGATAGAAATGACAAGGGAGGTACTAAGGCGCAGAAAGCATATGTTCATACTAAGGTTTCAAGTGAAGGAGATCAGGTTTGATGACGAGGAGGAAATGCCTAAAGACGGTGATACGACAAATGCTTGGAACGACGACTACAGACAAGAGGTGGAGCACAGAAGCGAACTAGGATGAAGTCAACTTCATTACTCCCTATCCAACTGTGGATTCATCCCTTCCCAAAAGCTAACTTTGCCTGCCCCCTCTCATCACTTCCACTCCCTCCTTTTCCTCTTCCCACCCCACCTCCGCCAGGTGGCCTTCCCCGCCCTCTCGTCAGTTTCTGCCCCACCGGGATTTGCCGTCTCTCCTCTTCCCTTATTTCCTTGGACAAATCCATTGCGAAGTGGAAGTCCTCGTGTTCGGATTTCTCTGTTGATGGGAGGTGGATGTTACATCGAGAACAGAAAAATGTATCGATGGTTTGCTGATGTAGCGCTGGTGCTTTATGCGGGGCATCGGAATAGTGTTGATAAGGTGGAGGGTTGTCCAGGTGGGAATTTGGTTGCGCAGAAGGAGGTGTCCCTGTGTCATATCGGTTACCGTTGGGGTCATGTGGATGTGGAGGTGGTGTAGAAGGTCTCGATAATGCGTCCGGTGAGTCGAAATCAAGCTCCGAAGGTAGATGCTCGAAACCATCGCTTTCGTCGTCCTGGTATTCCTCCTCCATTTCGTCTCTTGTAGTCTCTCGACTCGCTTTTAAAAATGCGCGTGCCACATTGAAATCCTTCTGATTTCTTTCCTCTCTCGCCCTAAAGAAATTCTGAATATTCTCCCTCTCACGCCTCCGTCTCTTTGCCGGCGGTGGCCCTGAATTCCTTGCCTCCAATCCTCCTCCTCTCTCATTCGCAAGCACAGCCTTTGCCTCTTCCCCTCTCACCAAAAAAAGCCCTATTCCCCTATTATTCGTCACTCCATCTTCAAAACCACCAACACTCAACGACAAATTTGCGCACGGCCATGCCCTCCCATCAACCACAACCTGCGCGAGCAAATTCTTCGCAAGATCGAACAGCATGGCTTCCGAGAGAGGTTTCCCCTGTGGAATCGGACTTTGTCTGCTTCTCGTCTGCATGCCCTGTCGATGGTGTAAATTGATCGTCTTGGGCCTCCTCTTGTTCTCTAAAACGCCCTCTTCGACACACCTTGAGAAGATATCCGCGACGAAGATGCGCAGCCATCGGATGCCTTGTTCGAAGGAGTTAATGGCTGGTCGAAACGACTTCGCGGACAGCATGCTTTTAATCTGTGTCCTGGGATTGACCTCACTATTATCTTCCCCACGAATCGTAGAATAAAGCCACGACCCCGTATCATCTCCCAACCGCTTTAACTGCTCCAATGGCTGCTCTAGTAAATCCCGCACTAGGTCCGTACTAAACATCGCGACAACCTCATCCCCCAACTTCCCGCCTAACATCCTAATCTTAGTGAACTTAAATTCCGACAAAAAGTGCTTGGCAGCCCGATTCCGGATGACAGTCTGCTGATTCGGTTTTTTGTATCCGGACCCCAATTTCGCCAACATTTTATTGCGCGCGATACCGGACGAACACGTATAGTGCAATTCCTCCGCAACAGCTCTGCGAACATCCCGCACGATTTCCGACGCAATGACCATGCACACATCATCCCAATCCGGATCCATCTCCTCGCCTTCTCCATCCTCCCCCATACCAATCAACGTATCAGCCTCCCAATTCAACACCGTCGTCGGGGGCTTCGGTAGCCGTTCCATCGGATCATCATATGGAGCCAGGCCTCTCAGCTCTGGATACCGTTCCAACAATATCCGATGAACCTGCACACTCAGATCAATAAAGACTTCATCAATACTCGCTTTCTCTACGCGCTGTTCTTTCTCTGGCAAGGCCTCTTTTATACACTTCAAAATCCGTCGGCTTTCCAAGCGATACGGATCTAGCGAGACTTTATGCGTGGCAATGTGTTTATATGCTTCGGGATGATATGCCCATTTCTCATCACCCTCTTTCCACGTCGCAACGTGCTGTAAGTGAACCTCTGGACATAGTTTCAGCGCTTCCGTGGATGTAATATGGCGGTTCAGACCGTAGGCCCGCGCGGGGTAATTTATAGCGATGAGGCCTTGCCATTGTTGGACTGCGAGGGGGAGATTGGGGGAGAGGCCGAGCCGCACAGTTTCGCATTGAGCGTAGAAGGCATCGAGGTCGATGTGGGCGATTACCCGGAGGGGTGTTGTTGTGCTGTAGGATTTGAGTTGGTGCAGCTGCTTGTATGTGAATTGCGATTTTGGAGTACGGCGGGAGCTTATGGAGAGGGGGGAGTGGATGAAGGGGGCTGGGGAGGACATTTGAAGCCCGTCAGGATCGATGTGTCATTAGAGATAGAGGCGGTTTGCTTATAGGCATGTAGTGTGGAAGAGTGGTGGTGGATGAGAGAATGACAAGGATCTCAGGCGCGTCTTCCCGAGATCCCGTGCATGCGCGTCATTCATGCCAAGAGATCTTGCTTCCCGATTTGGCAGTCAATTGGATCTATAACATCGGTTTCCCTTCAGGTGCAGGGAGCATTGAACATAATGTTTGAAGCATATATATCATAATAGCACGGGAATTCATTCCTGTGACTTCATTATGACTGAGCGACAGCAATCACCTGATAGCTAGACTGCCCTCTTTCCCGACACTCTCAACGTCTGCGATTGTGGGACTGTTGTTATGCTTTCAAGGCAAAAATATGCACATGAAATCAATAATCACACGTTCGCAAGCATTCAAGCACAAGATATCCCCTCTCCCTTCTCTACAAAATCAATGCCGTCATCGGTTCCTTTCGATTCCACCCCTATTCCCACCCCTACACCTACCTATCACACCACAAATACTGCCCTTCGCACTTGATACCCATCCCCAAACCGCATTCATTCACATATTATATCCTAAAATGTCCCTCTACAGCTCAAAATCTTCCCCCTTCCCCGCACCTCCTCAGCTCGACTCTTCCCTCCGTTCACACCACACCCTCAATCTCGAAAGATCAAGACGCAAGATTAGGCGGGATAGAAGGGGCATTAAGAGGCCATTCTGGATTGGTGGAGAGTGGGTTGGATCCAATAGAGGGGAAGAAAAACGGGAAGATGGAGGCGTTATATAGGAAGAGGGGACGGGATGAGAAGAGGTGGGGGGATTGCAGTGGGAGGGGACGGAGGATGAGGGTGTGGAGGCGCTAGGAGAGGCTAAGGGAGTAGAACAAGAAGAGATGAATGATAACGTGTTTACTTACTGTACACACATTCGTAAAGGATGAAACACGGGGCGGAGCAAACTCGTCTCTACCAGGGCTTCCAACAAGGCGTAGTACTGTACGATTGGGCGATTTTGAGGCCTGTACAGGTGAGATTTTGTGTACGTTTGTACAACAGGGAGGAGGAGAGGTAGGTGTACGTATTTTAACTGTTACAGCTCACGTAATCTGTACAAGTAGTACAATTTAATTAAAGTACGCTATACTCTAGTTAAAATAGCTAAAATTATAAGTCTCTAGAGACAGAAAATTAAGGCCTAATTAACTATCAGAAAACTAATTCTTCTTAGTAATAAGAGTAGAGAGGTATAAAAGCTTGCTGCTTACTACCTTTAAGCAAGCCTTGTAATTAGTAATGTAATAGTTGCTACCTAGCAGCTTACAACGCCTAGAAGATAATAGCTTGTCCTTAGGCTTATGGTTATCTTTAGCATGCTCCCTTCGTAGGTGTTAAATAATATAGTTATAGCTATCTACCACCTTTCCAGCGCTTTAAGAGCCTTGTTTATAACACTAACAGCAGAGCTAGAGGCAGATTACCTTACCCTACTCCTCTAAGAGCAGTATATCTGCGCTATAAGCCTACGTCTTTAACAGTGTATAATTACTATATAACATAGTCTTATTCTTTACTTAGTAACCTAATTGCGCTAAGAGCAACACCTATTTTAAGTCTAATAGCTGTAAGGCCGAGATGGCGCTTACGTGCGACGGGTATATATACTACTCTGTACGCAAGATCAACTGTTGGTTGATTATCCGCACCTTTGGTTGTATTGGCGCAGTGGTACAGAGCTCCGTCCTTACATCTAGAACCCCTCTTAGATGCTTCTTTAAGCCTCCTACTTACTAGGGCCCTTTTACTCCTCTAGAATCTCTATATAAACTTCTTAAAAAAGTAATACAATCTGTACTATGTACTGTACCTATGGCATTACTAAACGTACAGTGCGGCTCTCGAACTTAGGACGTTCGTACTGAACACGTGACTGTTACGGTTCACTTTGTACAGACCGTAGTACGGCCCGTTGGAAGCCCTGGTCTCTACACCAAGACAAATTCCAGGGTTCTCCCTAACTCTTTATCAAAACATATTTCTTCAATTCAAGCCCTTGTAACTTACCATGTAGTCAGTCCAAAGAAACGCCGTGAAACTGCCTTAATCCGACCGAGGAATACGCCGAGGCCTCCCTAAACCTGATATTCATGCAAAGCTACTATCACTCATCACTCACCAGCCATAGCTCTTCATCATGCAGTGACGCGCTGCGTCGGATACGAATCCGAAGATGCATTGCATTAGTCCAGCCAAGCCCTGTGCAACTCCCCGATAAGCCGCTCCCTAAACCGAACGATCCCCAATAGTGAGTTGTGAAAATTGCGCAGACCGAGAGATCCTTAGCTAAGCCACTCAAATTTTCCACTGGTATTTCCTTCCCATCTTAGAATCATTGGTCTCTACAAGGGTTTCGATCAACGGGACTCAACACGAGGAGAACATGCAAAGAATCACGTCAACAGGAAGAGCAGTAAGGGTTTACTAGAACCCCACTTCCAGCAATCATTGATGGACATGTCGATCAAACTGTTTTGCCAATATTCTTTCTATCCACCGTATCAATAAACGTTTTGCTATTCAGGAATTAGATATATGGCTGATTTTGCGCCGCTAGACGTCAGCGCGAATGAGGGCTAAGCCTCATGGGATGTTAGGTTCCGTGTTATGTGGATGATGAAGAGAGAAACACCATAAATCACCATACGTGTCCTAAATTTTGCTCAGCTCAGCTCAGCTCAACATATGCAAGTGCTACATGATACAATCTCCCGGGTATCCTACTATCGCATTGCATCATCGCAAGAAGGGAAAGACCGCATGATCTTCTCCGACGCAATAAGTCTACCAGCGGTACCGAACCTCGCTCCGCATCCTGCACCGACGCTTTAGGCTATGATCCGATGGGAGGATCCTGGCCCTTGGGCGTAAATGGGTCGAGGGTCTGACAGATTAGGAAACCATCGCCCAGAAATATTAAAATGCAATCAATTGACCCAGTAATTCTGGGCCCGGAATGCAAATTTAGCTGGTGTGGGCCTATATGGGGGTTATTGCGAAATGCGGCGTGGGAGTGATGATTTGCGTGGGGGAAAGGAACAGGAGATGTGGGCAGTTGCTGAGTGGAGACGCAGGAGTACGATATCGAGGGAAATTTTTGCATCATATCGGGCTGGGTTCTAGATTGACGGGGTTTGCATTGGGCATCAAAAACCTCCATGGGGGAACGGAAGACTGGAGACGCGCTAATCATCGCAGATAGAGCGACTTAGGAACATCAAAACTTGCTGAAGGAATGGCCCGTGAGACGAGGCGTGCGCAATCGTCGAACATATGGGGGATTAATGGCAATCTGATTCCTGTTCCCACCTCCCAACCCTCGCAAGCTATGCATCAATCAAAAGGCCATCCAGTCGTGAAACGTCCTCTTCGTGGTGGAAGTCCATACGCAGCAAAGGTATATACATGCGAAAGAAATGCACGAAAACGCTCCCGAAAACCCCGATGCATTCATTTCACTTGGAATCGCTCTGATACGAACAACGTGAATGGATCGCAAAATAGATCATAAGCAGCAAATTTTGAAGGAGATCCGTGGGTTGTCCAGAAACGATTCTGCCTTTGAATCCTCCCATTTCACTGGTCCAGCCATGGAGAAGTAGTCTTGGCGATATCCTGGGAATCAAGGTATCCACCCAGGACTGAGTGTCTGTGCACCACAGAGTACGAGCCCAATATTTCCAAGGTAGAAACGACAGCGAAGAAGAGTCAACACCAGGTAGAGTATTAACTGGATAGGAATTCCTTCCTTTGGGTGTTGGTGCAAAGCGTAACATGGACGGCTTGTCAGGATGTTCCTTAAACCAGCGCGAAGAAGAAAGTAGCGGAGTCGCATCATTGGAGACATCACTCTATCCGGCCTCTTTCCTGGGAACAAGGAAACAACAGGCAGATCCTAGAGAAGTGGGGATTGAACATGGCCACCCAGGGTCCAGCTTAGGTAAAGACTCCTGGTGAAGGTTTAAAGGATGATTCCGGACTCATAGCGGCGAAGGATAAAGAAATAGTAATACCTGACGGCCATGGAAGATCTACATCCGGATCTTGGAAAAAAAACAAAAAAGGACATTTAAAATTAAATCAAGATTGACCGCTCCGACGCGCTCGACCAGAGTTAGGCTGCGGTTGCTGTGGCTGCGCAGATATAGGATATTCTGGGAGAACGCGTTGTCAGTGGGAGAAGGGATCCGCACAGGACAAGCACTACTTACGGCGACCATCTGAGGCGATATAGTAACCAGGCGCAGGACTAAACGGGCTTAGCGATATACCAAAAAATGATCGTCAAAGTAACCAAAATACCTTGGCTGGGTGCTGTAATTGTATTGGGGCGGTGGTGGATTTGCCCTAGGGGGGTCTTGGGGTGCCTGCGAAGGATAATATGGCATGGAATAAGCTGATTGCTCCCTGGACTGTGATGAGTAACCAGGATATGAATCCTGCTGTGGCTGTGTCCTTGGTTGTGCGTGGTGGGTAGCCTGGGGGGAGACGGTATAACCCGGCTGCTGAGATGTATACTGCGTGGGGGGAGGAGCCGTTGTGTACGCAGAGTTTTCACCTTGGCCACCATACTGGCTGTATCCTGATCTCTGTGGTTCACAGGTCTGAGGATATTCTGTTGGAGCAGTCACGGCACTTGGGCCCCAGTGCTGCCTTGCGGCGTGGGTCCGGGAGTCCTGATATGCCACTAAAGAAGAGTCAGGGTGTCTCGATACCTTATGATCGCGCACATAAGGACTACCTCGTCCTGCCTCCTGTTGCCAGCGCTGTGAATCCAGCTTTAGATCCGCAATCATTTGCTGTCCAGAACCAGTCAGCGACGTGCTTCAGTATGTTATCTAGATAGTTGCAACGTACCGTGGTGAGCGTGCGATATGCGGTGATCAAATAGCCTGGTCGGCCCTGCGAAGAGTTAGCAGTCTGTTGTTGAGCCGTTTGGCGTGCGTCTGGAGTCAGACCTCATGTTCACCAGTGCCTATTCCGGGTCGTACCAGCGCGTTTGGGCCCAAATAGCGCTGGATGTCGGCCGTGATGACTTCGCGGGCGATGCCATCGCCTGGCACAAACCACTGGTTTGATCGTCCCGACATTATTGTGAGTGAAGAGAAGAGCGAGACTAGAAGGAGAAGAAGACACTGATGTCAGAGTCGGCAACGGCTAAGGAACACGAGGTAAAAGAGACAAGGACTGGATCAGGCTCCAAGATAACGATCCAAAGACAGTAACCGTAAGCACCGGCTAAGAATAATACAGGTTCCTGTGTTGTCCTGCTGTTATCGGAGGAGGGCAAGTTCCAGAAGGGATGAAGAACAGGTCAAGGAGCAGGCTGATGCGGGGGGATTATACCGGCAAATGGGCTGTGGAGCTCGTGAAAGAGGGAAGGGTTGGGAGGGTGCGTGAGTGTGGACGCGGCAAGCCCAAAGAGGAGGCCGAGTGGCAGGGTTGCCTTTTGGGGGGGGAAGTGCTGTGGGCGAGCGAGGGCTCGTTCAGCTAGTACCACGGCGGGTATACGAAGACGGTATTGCGCAGGCGCTGCAATAACACGATAGAGGGGATGCTGCCACGGACGACTGGAAGAGTACGGAGAGGGTACTTGTGGTGTGCGGCTCTTTCGTCGTCGGTGAGTTGAGGTGAAGCGGAGACCTTTTACAGCCAACGCCTGCAGGATGGCGGGGTACGCGCCGGGCTGCGATTGGGCAGAGGACGTCAGGCGGCTGCTGCACGTCAATGTTGGGCATCAAGCAACGCCTGCTTGGGTGACAGCGCGTCGAACAAGGTCGCACCGCGGATGAGAGATATACAAAGGCGAGGGTGAAGCCCTTCGTCGCAGTTTCCGAGTGTGAGAGCGAAGAGAAGGAGCTGGCGAGAAGCAGCCGTAAGAGCAGGAAAGAGCGCCCGAGTTATCTGGGCCAGCACAGAGCGGAAGCAGCGCCTTGGGACGCAGTTACCTAGGCTAGGCTCGCGTCAGGTGCAGTTGGGCACAAGTGGCAGTGGCGCCTGTTGGGCATCCATGAGGAATGGCTCCCCAAGCCACGGCTGGCGCAGACACAAACACACGCCGCATCCATGGCTCCGCAGTGTTTATCATCTGGTGCCATTGGCGCATATCAACGGCGGCCGGTCTGCTAGATTTTCACTGTGTCTGCTCACCCACTGACTTCCTCACCGACTCCCGGGTTTGCCATCGCGCACTGCGTGTCCAGCATTGCTCCATGACGGCTGCAAATTTCGCATGCAGCTCGAGCCCAGTGTGCACACTGAGAGCACGAGCGGCCTCAGCACATCCATGAAGTCCCGACTTGTTGGGCACGACTGCATGCGGTGCAAATCGTCGAAGAGACGCGCCGTCGGAAGGCGACGGTTGATATAAGAGCAGGACGCGGTATACCGCCATTGGTGACCTCCGGCCCCAGCGAGCAAGCTCATTCCTCGAAGTGTGCATCGACCGTGGTCAACACCGCCGCGCTGCCTATAGGAAGGCTGCCTCCTGCCCCGAGCCCCAATTCTCTCCTTTGATGTCTCCCATCGTGGCTGTTGCCAATTAGTCGGGATTTCGGTGAACCGCAGCATGCTATATAATGTCCCCCGTCGTCCAACGTATCAACGACAGCTTCCATATGCCTGTGTCAGGCACGCACGTGTGGGCGTGGCACAAGCTGCAACTATCCGCCGTCGATGATGCACCCGTCTGCATTCTCCGCTGCACGCTGCCGTGACAAGTCTGGAACTGGGATAGACACTAGCGGAAAGGGAGACTTTGACCCAACGTTCTTACTACCTTTGCACCACCAACACGTTACTCCGCCTGGCGAGACATGCATGTCATATTACCTCTTTGAACTGATTCCAACCAACGTGATCCTGAAACCGCTCCGTGGTGCGTGAATTCGAATATCCGTGTCGCCTACTCCGCTTTTCGCTGCTACGGTCGCCTCATTGGGCGTCAGTGTCATCAGCCAGCCGCGGTCACGATAGATGAATCCCGAATCCGTGGGATATACTTCAACCTCGACGCCCTCCTTAACACCAAGGGATCGTTTGCGTCTACTGTAACATTGGGCTCTGCAAATTCGGACTTGAGGATGACTTGCACTGCATCTTGGCTCTCTAAGGTCAGTGTTTTGGGCGCTGAAGCCTCTGCGGCCTTGGAGAGCTGCCCAAAAGTGCTCGATCCAGGCTTACACCTTCGGGAAGCGCCTTTCGGACACGACGCTCGGAGGCATGGAACCCTTCTGTTTGGCAAGCCAGTCAAAAGGCCAGATTGATATTCTGGAGTAGCTCAGGTTTACCATGATGGCGCTTAGCCGCGTTTGTCTCACTGCATTTTCAGACTTCCACTAACAGTGATCAGAAACTCAAGAGCATGCACGAACAGCAAGAGCTGTAGAGCAGGTCTTTGGGCGGGCGGTGGAGGTGAAGCTAGTCGTGATCGTGATTGAGTGTCGCACACTACATTGGTCCTTATGTCCAATAGACTCAGATGAAGATCTCTGAGCATTCATTCAATGAACCCCAGCAACCGGTTCGTCCATTCCACCCAGCCTCTCTGATTGTAACAAGCGGAGCTACCTAATCCTTGAGAAAACGATGAAGCCGAAATGAGACGGCAGAGCAGCTCGCAATAACATCGGCGTAGACAGACGGCAGAACCGTAGGATGGGGAAAGAAGGAATATGTGCAGACTCGGAAAGAGAAATGTTCAGCATACCTTTGATCTCAACCAAATGACGGTTTTCGGTTTTCAACACCCAATTCCTTACATCCGGGAGCAAGGTCCTCCCCAGAACCTCAAGGCTGCCTCGAATATATCCGAGATTCTCCGGGCTACCCTCGCTCAACGCCTCCTTAGTCCATGGCTCCCCTCTATATGCCTTCCTGCGGAAATGTCAGCTCACGCTTCACCTTCTTTACCCAAATAAAACCTGGCCACCAACCAACTCCCTCCAGTACAACACCAAACAAACTAACTCATAGGACCCTAACAAGTTCCTCAAAGACCCCCCTCTCCGCCGCCAGGCCACCCCCAGCAAAAAAAAAAACATAGCAAACTTTCATTGATCCTAACAATCCCCTCAAAGAACCCCCTCTCCCCTATCAGCACCTGTCCTTTGGGATCAGTCCCCCAGCCTTCAAAATACCGGGCCCACAATATAATGCCTGTCTCCCCCAATACTTTTCCATCCTCATCCCACCCCTCATCCCCAACCTTCCCTCCGGAAACCGCTCTTCGAGTTTCTGCAGTATAGACCTTGTATCGGAGTAGATGTCGCCGTCAATGCGGAGGAGGGGGTTACAGCGGTAGTTTATTCCGAGGACAGAGATGGAGGCGTGCGGCATGGTGAAGGGTTAGATCTAGTGGGAGGGGATGTTAGATGGGTAATGGAATGTGATAGATGGGATCTTATTAATACGAAAGAAAAGGCCAATAGACTCGAGGATGCACACTCCGCAAACTCAATCCCCCGCAGTTGCAGAACGGCTTATCTCACATAAGTCAAAAATGGATAGTGGAATAGTACCGTTATATTCAGTGCTGCTGCTGCTGCCACACTCTCTGTTCTTGTCATGTCCAGTCCTATCTTTTCAACACGCTGAGAAAAAGTTGTCGTACCAATGAAGATAAATGATGGCTATACGGCCATTGTTCCCAGTCGTTTCGGTACCAAATTTTGCATTGACCAATCAGAGGCTTCAGCCCAGCTTCCATGAGTGTTGAGAGGAGGACGACGGAAGAGGCTGAATCTAGCGGACACTGTTCTTTGCTTGAAGGGCTCTAGAATACTGATAAGGGATGTGATCGCGTCTTGCTATTCTAATTATGGACCGTGAGAGGGGTGTGTGTACAGGGAGGAATGAGTATAGAATCGAAGCGTATGGTGCAAATATAGTTAAAGTATTAGAGAGATTGATAGAAGGATATTATAAAGAGAGGTGAGTATGTCTCACAAGTATGAAGAGCTTGGTTTAAGGCGGGAACATGTCCCCCCTTGAAGTCTTGAAGTTCTCCCCAATGCCAGCAAGCTGTTTAAGAGCTATCTCCTTGCTAATCATATCCTGTAAAGAGGCGAGCAATTGAGATTAGAGATATAAACCTCCAGGCTGTAATTCACGACGGAACCCATTCTACTCTTGCGGCTTGGACAGTCCTAGCGAGGGGGGCAGACCGCGCAAACTGGTTCTAATCACTGTCATCAAGGCTCCGACCATGCGGAAGATATACAGTGCACTACGTACATGCGTGAATTATTCTAAGAACAACTTAGAGACAAGAGGATTTTGCCACCACATGCAAGGCTAATCTAAGCAAGAGGTCAGCCAGCTCAAATCCTTTCCAATCACCTTCCTCGCCAGGCGTGAATAGATAAAGGACATATATCACAACAAGCAGAAGCAACCATCAATTCATGCAAAGTAGTCTATTCAGATCAGAGAGAAAAGGTCAAAGTAGCACAAAGCCTGCACCCTAGTGACTAGCTACATGATGAAAAGTTTGGGTATCGGGGGTATCTGGTGCACGGGCAAAACAAGCCACAAACAAGCAATAATCCGCATCGGAAATCCCACCAACAATGAAACCCAAAAAAGAAAACACAAGTCTAGATAGATTGACCAAAAACACCCAGAACCCGTGAAAAAATCGAGGAAATATTTTGCAAGCAAACATAGAGAGAGAGAGAGAGTAATTCTAGTGTGGCATGGTCCTATTGACCTCCACCCAATCCTCTAGACGCTGGAAATTGGCAGCGACGAACTTGGCAATGTTCTCGCTGAACGGCGTGCTTCCGATATTCCAGCCGATTGGAATGACGCCAAGGAAGTAGCTGGGAGTGCCGTATGCGCCATACAGGCTGCGGCCGTAGGTGGAAGTGTTGCAGTAGCTCCAGGCGCGGACCTGCAAGTACAGATAGGCGCAGAGGAGGGCCAAGAGGGCAATGATATGGGGGAACCAGTCGGACATAGAGGGATGCTTGCGGGGGGTGAGTGTAGCCCGAACTGGGGCCGTGGGAGTAGTCTCAACAGCCGTGATCTCAGACATGCAAAGAACAGGTGCGGATGGAGCCGTGCCAACAGCCTGGGTGTCGGCCGTGGTCGGAACAGGTGTCACTGGAGAAGTCTCCACAGTCGTAATGCCAGACTTTCGAAGAGCCGGCGCTGGTGGATTCACGTCATCAGTCTGGGTGCCAGCCATGCTCAGACTGGGTGCGATCGGAGCAGTGTCGACAGTCTGAGTGAGAGACATAGTTAGAAGTGGCGGGGGGGGTGGTGCAATCGGGGGGATGTCGGCGGTCATGATGATGCCAGAGTAGTCGAAATTCAGAGCAGGGTCCTCCTCAGAGTCGAGGTTCTCGTCCATGGCATCCAGCTCTTCCTGCAGATTGTCCCCAAGGGTAATAGGTGGGGCGTCGGTTGGGATAGAAGCTGCATCGGCGGCAGCGGCGGCATCGGATACTTTCTGGAGCGCCTTCTGGAGCTGACCCTCGAGGTGCGCGATGCGCTCGTCCTTGACTTGAACGGTCCTCTCAATGCTCTCAGTATGCTTTCTCTGTTCGTCGATGTCGTTGTGGAGTTCTATGAGCTGCTCATTGAGAATTCCGGAGTCGTGCTTTGCGGCTTCCAGCTCCTCGAAGCGGTCTTGCTCGTCTTCCCATTGTTTCTGCAAGCTATTCAGCTTCAGCACAGTGTCCTGGTACAAGATCTCGAGCTCATCGCGTTGCCTTTCAGCGCGCTGGCGTGCAGTCAAGGTGGATTTGGCATCGGCATATGCTTTCTGGAGGAGATCGTCGGCGTTTTGGGTCGCAGCCTGCTGGTCGTCGAGGTCGCGTCGCGTGTTGAGAAGCAGCACATTGAGAGCCTTCAATTCGGACTGGAGCTTTGCGATCTGTTCGGCCTGGGAGGTAAGAGCGCGCTCCTTGTCGGAAGCTTCATTGTTGACGCCGGCCTGCTCCTTCCTGAGGTCGGCAATCTCTTTCTGAAGCCGTTCGATCTCAGCCTCGGCGTCGGCAAGCTGCTGCTCATAATGCGCCAGCTGGCCGCTCACATCAGGGCCGTTCCGCGCCATTAGGCGTTGGATGAGGGTTTTGATGACACCACGATCATGGTGGATAGTCTCTTGAGAGTCGGCCAAGGCCTCCTTCGCGCTAGCGAGCGCGGCTGTGGCGCTAGTGAGCTCGGTTTTAGCGCTAGCCAACTTAGTTTTGGTGCAAGCCAGCTTTGCCTTGAGACTAGTGACCTGGTGAACGGGGGTGCTTCCAAAGTTATACGCGTCCATAACGAAATATACGAAATTCCGAAAGGTAAATAAAGGAAGATATCTAATTAAATTTCTAGCTAGGCCACAGTCCTATATATTCATCCCTTCTGTGTCTATTCAAACTGCAAAGTACAAAGAGCTACAACAGTATCCTTCACTTCAGCTCCTCTTCATTACTATTGTTCAATACGCGTACAATAAGCTAACTAGATTTGAGGCAGGATAGTGAATAGCTCGTGCAGTGAAGTATGCCTTGGCAAGTATCGGACCGGTTCAGAGCATGTCGTAAGTCCCTTCAGCTAACATTCATTTTGACACGACCATCTGAACTATTTCCATTGCTAGACAGGAGAGTGAATGCCTCTAACTGTAAAATAGGGCTTGGCAAGAGTCGAACGAATACCAAGCAGGCTCAGAGCTCCTTAAGTGGGCCTTCCTCTTGACACACGCACCATCCAAGCTATTCCTTTTTTGGACGGGGGAGTGAATAGCTCAGCAGGAAAACGGGCCTTGGCAAGAGTCTGAGTGAATCAGAGCCCCCCGGTGCACTTACCAAGAGGACCCATAGGCCCTCAAACTGATCTTACCTTACCACCTATTCATCCTATTGTTTGACCGACACAATCCAAGCTATCCCATTATTAAGCAAAGGAGTGAATGCCTCTAGTAGAATAATTGACTTCGGCAAGAGCCAGTGCGGCCCAGAACCATCAGTATACGCACCAGAAGGAGAACGAATTGAGCCATGACTATCCTGGGAGCCTCTTAGTCCTTTTGCTAGCTTTCTGGAACGGCCTTGGTCCTGCTAGAATCTTGCCGTCTCCCTCTTTCAAGCAGAAAGACAACCTCTTACGTTTAAAACAGGAGGTAGACATGCAGCCTCAACAACAGTCTCTGACGCCTTTGCGTGTATTTTATGTCTTCTTAGGATAGCCGAAATCCTGCTAGACTCATCCTAGCTCTAGTTTCCACACAGAAGGACATATTCTCAGGGTATAAATCAGGTAGGAGGCAGTGAGTTACAATAACTGTCTTGGGTGCCTTTGTGTTCTGTTGTTAGCTTTGGAATAGTCTGCATATCTAAAGCCCTCACTAGCTTGAGTTCCTATGAAGAGGACCACGCTGTCAGGATTACAGCAAACAGGACGCAGTGCGCTAGATTCTTCATCTAACTTCTTCATAAAAGCTGACATGCTTAAGAGCCCTTCAGGGGATGCTTAGATCTTAGCTTCGACGGTAAGACACGAACGACCTTAATCGAATGCTAACGGACAAGTCGCGCACACTTTGAAGCTCTATGGGAGAAGAGAACAATTTTCGTGATGCAAATGCACGATGGCTTCAACACTGTTATGGATAGGTTGCTTCTGATCTGAATAGTCAACCTAGAGGGCGACCCGAACGCCAGAATTTCGTAGCGACAATGCTTGCAGACATCAATTAACCCCCCTCCAGCTCCTACTCAATCCCTCCATCATCCGTCTCCCTCATCTTCTCAGTCCACTCAAACAGCTTCCCGTAATCCCTACACATATGCTGCGTCCCCCACCCATCCACGGCCCCCAAAAACGCCCCACCATCTGTTTTAAGGTTTTCGAGCGTGACGTCCGCGGAACACATTAACACTTGACGAAGGTAGTCGAAGCAGTGGGTCCAGTGTCTTGAGAGTATCGGGATGAGATAGCTGAATTCGAGCGGCTCTGCGGTGGAGGCGACGAGGCTGCGGCGGAGTGTGTTCTGTGGTGGGTTTGTTAGGAAGAGTGTGTGTGGAATGAAAGGAAGGGGAAAGTAGTCAAGTGGACGGGGATGGCATACGAGACAGTGGAGCTGATGGAATACGGAAACGACTTTTGTTTTGGCGAGTTGGCTAGGCATGTCGTCGGAGTGCGGAATAGCCTTGCCTTTGGGATCGATTTGAATGAATCCTCGTCCGACTGATGTTGATTAGTGCGGAACATGATTAGAAAACCGAAGGGAATACGTGCGTGGGATGAGAGCCTCCCAAATCTTATCGGTCTCGGGGTCTGAGTAGTTTGAGAACATGTCGTTGGGCTCAAATGTTACTGGGATGTTGATAGGGAATATGGACGATGCGCTCGCGCTGATGTTGTGGCTTTTACCGCCACTGTTGCTACTGGTGTTGTCGTTGCTCTTGTGAGGCTTGCTGCGAGTCGTATATTCGGTGCTGAAAACGGCCCCGAGGATGAATCCAGATACCAGACATACTATCGAAACCATCCATATTTTCCAGGGCTTCTCTGTCCTCTGCTTCGGTCTCTCGTAGAGAAGTCCCTCTTCGTCCTCGCAGTCTTCCTCACGTGTGCGCATTATGACTGAGATCGGTGCGTTGCTGGTGAAGGAATTAGCTAAGGCGTGTGGCAAGGAGGTGCAGAACGACTTCAGACTCTACTCGTGAGGTCAGCTGTTGGCTAATAAGATAATACATATAATGCAATATAAAATGGTCCTTTGCATCAGGTCGCGCTTTGTCCAAGAATTAGATCAATCAGGACTACCATGCCTTTACACAGTATGTCTGAGGGAATGGACAATAGGATTGGTGGTCGGCGGTCGCCCGATTGATTGGAATATATGGCTATGCAATACCCCTCGGCGTAGATCTACCGGATCGTGCGCTGCGTGTAGAGGAAGGTACTAGTCACTGATGATTGGCCATGCGCGTCCAACATGTAGGCTTTGGGTGTGTTTGTGCTTTATGTTCCTTCTCGCTGCCCGTCTAGGAGACCGTACATCCGCATGACGGGGAAGAGAAAGGCAGTAGTTCAAGTGACACTGAAGACAAGTCTACTGAAAGCAAGGAAATATGCCCAAAAAAAGCGAGGTTCTCAGTGCCTCCCATTATTCCATTAGGGGGAGTGGAGGGCCTGGGTAAAACCCGCACTTCATGGCAACCTTCGCGACCGTATGGCCGTGTCTGTTAAAGAGTGCCCTGTTCACTCGGTTGAAAATACAATGCGCTCGCATCGTATCAGCCCATGATGCGGTGTTCGATCGCATAAATCAGCCTTCTGTTAAGACTGGTTGTATTCTTCCGCGAGTTTGGCCCAGATCATGCAGGCGAAGCGACTATTAGGAGGACTTTTGTGGGACTTTGAAACATGCGAAAATGAACTGGTTAAGATGCCTACTAGGATTATGAGGAGCTCTAAGACGATGATACGATACTCGGTGTCGTCGCTTGTCGATGGGGCGAAAAGCACTCTCAACGGGCGCGGTTGCCGGGGGCAGCCATGTTTGTTGTGTTGCGTCACAACTCCCAGCCTCCTCTCAACCACCTCAATTTTCGCACCACCAGCCACACCGTCCATCAACAAGAGCTGCGGGAGAGCCTCTCCCACTTTCCCTTAATCCCTAAACTATCCTCAGAACACATCTGACAGATTTCTAGTCTGCATTCGCTGTCTACATATCCTCGTTGTTGCGACTCCCGACCGACGCACAGCTGCGAGCTGCGACTTGGCACTGCACGACTACACCAGGTCTCGCAGAGCTTCGGCTCACACCTGAGAGCCGTCCCCATCTCTCTCTAAGCACTTCTACGTGCATATACATCACCAGCCAACATGGCTCCTCTCCCCGACTCCCTTCTCTCCCTCTCTCGGTCTCTGCTGCCGGAGCAGTACCACCCTACCATCAATGCAGACATCCGCTCCCTCTCCCCGGTGGCCGTCTACGACCTTCACCTCGCCAAACGAAGCCCCTACCAGGCGAATCCTGCCCAAGGCGCGAAGCCCGCAAAGGCCTACAACAACCTTGGCATTCAAATGCTGTTCGCCTTAATTGGTGTTGGCATGGTGTTGACGAGCCTGTGGTTCTTCTTCTGGGCCAAGAACGGAGGCTTCAAGTGGAAGGAGAATGACTGGGAGGACTACAAGTCTACTGTTCTCCGGCGCAAGGGCCCAGATGGAAAGACGCTCTCCAACGCCACAAAGAGTACGAACCTCGGTGGTGGAAGCGTTGTCCATGGTGGCAGCTATGGGGTTGAGAGCAGCGTGGGGTATACCGACGAGACTGGCACGAGCGTAGGCTTCGGCGAGATGCGAGAGGTTGAGGAAGAAAAGGGACGCCGTCACTTTGGACTTCGTGGTGGTGAAGCTAAGAAGCATCGTCGCGAAAGTACCTCGAATCGCAAGGACCCCGAGCTTCGCGAATATCGCCATGAGAAGCCTGCTCGTGTTGGTGGTCTCAATCGTCAAGCTGATGGCATCTATACCGACTACTCAAACACTGAACCCTCTGATCTAGGCTCCAATGTCTCCGGCAAGCCTCTCGTTACCCCTAAGGACAAGAAGAAGGAAGCCAAAGCTAAAGAACGCCGTGCTAAAGAGCGCATGAGGCTGGCTAAAGAAGCTGAGAAAGTCGCCCTCAAGAACGCCGCCGCTGAAGCCAAAGCAAAGAAGGAAAACGAAAAAGCCGAGGCAAAGAAGACCAAAGCCCAGCAAAAGGAGCAGAGGAAACAGAAGAAGTCCACTCTTACCGAAGCCACTCCCACCGAGGCCACTCCCACTGAGGCCGCTCCTACCGAGGCCGCTCTCTCTGAAGCCGACATCACAGAAGCCGGCCCAGCAACAGCAGGCCCAGCAGGCCGTCGCGCTCCCCCTTCAGCTGCATACTCTTTCACGACCGGCGACGACACCAACACCATCTACACGGGCGCCTACACCGACAACCGCACCGCCCCGTCCGAAATCAACGAATCCTCATACTACTCTGACTACCGTCCCAACGCAGACCCCGCCGCTTTCGCCAATGCAACAGCAAATCGCTCCCGTCGCTCTCGTCCGGGCGAATCTCGCTCCCGTCACTCCTCGCCTCGCAAACAGCATCAGTCCCGCTCTCGTCCGTCGAGGACTCCGTCTGACATCTTCACCCAGACTAATGGCAATGTCCAGGGTACCATCTCGTATCCGTGCCACATCCCCGGCCTGAGTTCTGCGGGTAGTGTCGGTGTATCGGAGAGTGTCAGTCAGGTTGCAGGACCGAGTCAAGGGGGAAATAGACGTGGTGGACGCGATGTTATGGATGGGTATCGGCGAGGTGGTGTGAGGGCCGTGGGGAGGAGGGATAGTTTGAGTGATAGTGATGCTTGAGCGATCCAGGTGTGGAACAGGGAGGATGATGAGTTTCAGATGAGTTTCAATGGATACCCGCAAGAAAGATTGTGCATACTTGGAGCTTGGAAATCGCTTTGGTTGGCCCTTTATTCGTCCTTTGGCGCTGGCGTTCGGCTTTCGGGGCTGGTAATAGCGACGGGATGAATTGATGGCTGAGGTTGCACATATCTGTACAGTGAATGGATTGGACCTGGACAAGAATAGCTTCGGGATCGAATTGGAATGAGGGATGAGGTGTGGATGGATCATGACTTTGTATGTAGTATATCAAACAATCAATGAATAACGCGATTGCAACTAAGCGAGGCCCTACCCTTTATCCTGTGGAGACGGGAGGTGTTGTGTGAACGAAAGGGTTTAGTAACGGGGGAGTATTGATTTTTCAAAGACTGTTAGAGAAACCAGCTCATGACTTAGATGCACAAGTTGTGTGTATCAGGAATGGCTGTAGTAAGATGGAGATGAGAAGCTAGGGAAATATTGTAAGGTTGGGTGGGATTCAGAACTGAAGAGATGTTGAAGAAATAAAGTAATGTAGAACGCTACTCATAGTTTCCGCCATTATCAGAATGCGTTCTGATATTTTCGTGTCGTATGATGGTGGATAGGGCTGGGCTGGACTGGACTGGCTTTCCAGCGCCAGGGAGAGCGAAGCGCGATGGCGGTAAAAGCCTCCATACTATAGATCGGGACTGTGTGTAACGTGGTCGAAGTTTTGTGGTTCGGATTTGAGTCAGGATTGAATTAGGTCACATCGCAAAACGAAAAAAGAGCATCATTGCTTTGTCCAAGGCTGTAGGCCCGGTGAAGAATCTCGTGGGGACGAAAGAACCACGGTTGGCGACAGTTGGGGTATGGGGAAGTGATTTCCCTACCACCCCTGGGTACGATATACTTATCAGACCTACATGTGAGCGGTACACAGCACCGTCTGCTTGTCGGACGGAAACGAAGCCAGGCATATATGATATGCAGTACTTCGTTTTCCAAGAATGCATGTGATTGCTACATTGAGATAGCAAGGAGTTATGTAAATGTCGACCTTGCCTCAGGTCAAGTGGAAGCTAAGGGAATCGGGGGATTGACTGACGCCAGATATGTATGGGGTATGAGGACCGAGATATATCCGATGTGGGTGAAAGGACCATTAACCGGGACGAGCGGCAGAGACTGGGATGCACGGATTCCTAGTCTTTTAACCTCAGCGATATGAGAATGATTAGCCATTCTCCTCAGCTTGAAGGGAATGAGTTGGACTGAGCAACGCAGCGCACATATTGCAAGACCGAAATCCGCCCGAAACGAACAGCAAGAGGTGATCGAGTCGGTGAAAACCTTCGTCACTTTTTGGGGGGGTTGGTGACTTTGCACGGCAATGTCGGGGAAGTGACGTCTTACATGAAGTAGTCATGGTGTGGAGGATTAGACGTTACGAATGGGGTGTGTGGCGGTGAAGCCTCGTGGCTCGAAGAAACCGATTGAACGGGGCATTTCGAAGCCGACATGTTCTCGGCCAAAATCGGACGTTGGGTGTTGCGACAGCGATCCAGGTGATGGGTTGACGAAGCAGACGAGTCCAGATGACCGTAGAAGACAAACCTTAAGAAATAAATCAACAATGTTTACAATTTTTTCAGGTCTCTTCGTTCCCCGTAAAGATTGCCCAAAAGCTCATCACAAATGAATTTCCGAAACTGAACGGTGTGAAAGCCCCTCATATTTTAGTGAGAGAACCCCTTGCAGCCCTACCGCCTTATGCCTGGGCTCCAGCATCAGAAGGCAACCTTTGTGCTACGGTTCTGGAAAGAGATAAGGATCTTGCTCTGACAAGCTGATGCTCTAACCCCGTCTGACGGCAAAATCTATCCTGATTGCGAACATCGCCAATTCCGGGTGGAAACAGGTATTCTGATATTAAACGCAGTCGATGATGAGCTGAACGTCTTCCGACGACATGATTGCTTTTTGGCTGGCCATTGATTCTCAGCATATGCCTTCCTCATTGGGGTCGGCCAGGTGAGGCCTTTCCAAGCCATAAGCGCAGTGTGATGGCTTCCCCGCAAAGAGTTCGCGGCGTCCAGCTGCAAGAAACGGGCGATGGCGTGCATGTGAGACTCTGGAAGCTCATTACAATTCTTCATCCTGCTTTTTAAAGACACATTAGAATGATGGCGGATATCTCTCAATCCGCGCCATCGGAGCAGGCCGAGAGTGGATGAGGCTGGGGGCCTGGAAAGTGACACCGTAATAGAGTTCTTACTCAGAAACAGTAAATCCGGATCTCTAGAGCGCTGTAGATGACAGAAAAGGATCTCCACGTGGAAAATAACACGGAGGACAAGGGTCGGACGTCGTAAGCAGGACTTGCGTGAACTGGAGGGTAGTGTCAGCCTCACCAGTGATGGATGCTGAACGGTGAGTTGTGCGATAGGCTTCGCACTTGCAGCACGCCCAACAAGCCAAGCGGCACATTCTGGTGATGGTGGTAAGGAAGTATCGATCCGATGGCATCGGTGGTCAGAGAAAGTATTCGCTATCGATATCTTTAGAGACTTTGGCTAAGCTGAGCTAGTTTGGGCTAGCTGAAGATTAGCGAAGGTTTCTTGCAAGATGATATGGTGAATGCGCGTCTTGTGGCATTTCCGATGAGCATGCGGCCATCCCGGAGTGCGGTTCATGTCTCCTGTTTGGCACGACATAAATTGGCGGGTGTATTGGAAGGCTGCGGCAACTGAAACTGGCCCGGAACTTCAAACAAAGTTGATGAAGCCTTGCGGACGAGTGACTTCGACAAGAGAGGAAACTATTGGCTGTAAGGGTGTGCAAAGAACAAATGTTCACGCAATTAGCATCGTAACCACCAAGGAACGAGTAGGACGCAGAGACCGGAAGGGCTTGTGGTCACCATCAGTCAGCCTAAAATGGCTTGAGAGGCGAGGTGTGGGTGAAAGTATTGGGATGCCTTGACTAAACACAGCCAAAGTAGGCGAAGTGTGAGGCTTGCGGTGAATGTCGCGGTGATGGAGGTTGGTGGTGCCTTCCTCCCCGCAAAAAGACCGCGCTCCGCGCCCTGATTCGCCTGGGATTTGGGCGCGCCAGGCGACTCCAACTCTCCCAGCTGTCCTCCTCGCCCACATCTAGTCTACCTCTCTTCCGCTACTCACCTGAACGCTTGCCCTGGCGTTGTTTCGACCGAAGTGATCGCCGCGTCGAGCGGTATTACGCCGCTGCAACGTCGAGTGGCCAATTTGCACCATGCGACAGGCCGGCATGTCAGGGACTGACTGCAGAATCGATCATCTGCCCTTTGTGGCCGGCCCACCACACCATCACGAAGCTCTCAGCCATCATCCCGCGCCCACAAAGGTGTCATCCTTTCCTTTGCGCCTTGGAATTCCTTCTCTTTTCGTCAATGCTCAACTAAGCTTTCCGCCTGCATCCGCTAGAGATGCAGCTGCCCTGTATATGCAGCACACTGCATCGCAAGGGATTTGCGTCTATCACTGACCGGAGCTCTATATAACTCCGCAAAGAATCCTCCTAAGTGCCACCTCCAAAGTCTGGTTCCTTAAGGTGGAATGAGGGAGACAAGTCTGCTTTTCCTCTTTCTATTCAATTCCATTTTGTTTGTCCTTTGCCTCCAGGCAAACGTCTCTCAAGGCACCCTCTTGTCTCAGTCCTCTATGATTCACACGCCCTGCGTGAATCTCCCTTCCACTGCGCCTCGGTGATTAATCCACGCGGCTCTTCGAGAGGCCGTATGCAGAAGTCACGTATATAACTCCCGCGTGTGTCCCCTTCCTTACCTTTTTCATCCTGCTTGGACATATATATAACCCGCCCGTCGTTACTGCGTTCTTGTTCACCCAGGCTTTTTCGCCCGATCTGTCGCGTCTACCATCGACCGGCCACGGGCCGGATAGAAAAATAAGACCTCAAGGCAGCATTACTGTCGTTAAGGTCGAATCCAGTGCCAAGCCATCCCGTCCTATACGCCACTCCTCTCGACTGCGTGCAGTAAAAGACACGATATCCACCATGCCCTCCTTGCTCAGGCACTCGAGGTCCTACTCGTATCCTCCATGCATCGACACTGTCGAGCTTGCTTCTCCAATGGTGGAGGATCTCTCGAACATTGATGAAAATCCTTTCGAACACTTTCTATCCCCTCTTCTTGAAGAGGATGACCCATACGACGGCTTGTCCATGAGCGCAGGCATCATCGTCCCGGACGGACCCCGCACCTCCAAGTCGTCAAAGTTCAAGTCCACTGTCGCCGATAAATGGGCTCAATATGTCAAGCAGAACCATCTCGAGATCCATGGTCGCTACCACGATGCTGCGCTTGACGATGATGAATCCTTCATGCAGCTTGATGATGAGCGGTTGATGGACACCCCCCACATGGTATCTCAACTCAGTTCACCTACTACGCCAAAGATCATCATCACCGCACCCACCCGGGGTCGCGCTCAAGAGCATGTCGTTCGCAAGGGCCGCAGCCGCCACCGGACGTCACGGACCCTGTCGGGACATCGCCATTCATGGAGAGAGCCTAGTCCAGAGCTCTTCACCGTCGACGAGAGTCAAGAAGAAGCTGAAAGCCCAACGCTCAAACGCACTAAGACGCGGAAGACCAAGGATGGCGCCGAGCGCCGGAGGTCGAAGACGGAGGTGGTGGAGAAGTCTAGACTGTAAATAGGAGGTATACATGAAGGACTTGGAAGCATACTCAAATTGAACATTTGGGAATCGGATACAAGAAATCAGGCTTCGCACACGCAAGGAAAACCTATCCGCATCTGCATTGGGAGGTGTTGGGGAGTTGATTGCTCCTTGTTCATGGCATTTCTAGGCGTTGGTATTGCTACATTTTTATACCAGCATATAATGGCGTTGTGGGCTTGCCTTGTTCCCTTTCCCTTTCTTGTTTAACCTCCCTCGTTCCTCTCATCTTGATGTAAGGCTACACTAGGTCAATGCATTGGGCGGCGCTCTGGTGTGAGCATTTACATTGATACATTTCTCCTTCTTCAGTTAGCATACCGATCGAACGTTCAATCGTTGGAGGATATAATGCCGGATCCGGATTCACATAGTATATCATCGCATCATATAATAGAAGTCAGGGAAATTTTGTACCAACATCTTTACTACCCCCTCTATTCATCTTCAGCCGTGACTCAACCCCCCCTTCCCCTCCCCCTTCCCCTTCCCTTGGAACAAAGTTCATAACCAAAAGTTCATAACCAACACCCACCCCCACACTTATGTAACCCTTGAAAGTATCTGCATACCAATGCACACCATTGCGTGGCACCTTGCATCGCTGTGTCGTGAGGTCACCCCGCATCCTCCCCTCCAAGCCTCAGCGGGACCAACCAGTACGCGGAGACCGACTTTTGTCTTACGAGCCGAAGCGCGTCTGCCGACACCATCTTAGATGAAAAACGTTATGAACAGTGCGGGCGAGATAGCCGCTGGGCATGGCTTTTCACGCCTTGGCCGAACAAACTCGCCGACGGACCACCTACGAAGGATGTTGAAGGTGCATTTCCGCGGAGAATAGCGCTAGTGCCTGAGGATATGACCTTCAACCTTTTGAACCAATTTCCTTCGTATTGTAGCACTCCACGACGAAGTCCACATTGCGGACGAGTCAGCTGTATTCTATGTAGCACGATGCAAATAACGGGTATGAACATTGCCTCTCGAGAAGGAAGGAGGGGATCGCCCCGCTTGCCGAATACAGGTGTGTAGATACTTTAGCCCTGGTGTTGATGTTGATCTTGGTAGGCTGGTGGGGTAGGTATTTGCTTGGGAGTGGGGTGCTTTGGGCTAGGCCCGGGGTGAGGTCACGAGTGGAATCTAGATTTGGAGATATGCGAACAAGGATTGAGATTGAGGTACAGAAAACAAGAATTGGTTACTGGAAAGTGAAGGCGGCGTGGGGGTATTGAGAACTGGGGATGTTGAGGTAGGGGTGGAGGGGTTACTAGGAGATCTGCAGCAATGGAAAGGGCTGGAAGAGTGAGCTCCACGGTTGTTTAGGAAAGCTACGTCTTGCCTCGGTGGGAGAGAACCCAAGGGTCTAGGAATGCACGAATATGTCATGGACATGCGGATGACAGTTGATGTATGCTGCTCGTCGGAATAGATTCTAGGAAAAGGGAAATCCAAGTGTGTCCAAAGAAGAGGGCCTCCAACAATATGAAAACCGGCAGACGGATATACGTGTTTGTGACTTACCTAGATTTTCTAAGATAGAGCTAGCTCGCAGCTTTAAAAGGCATGCACTAAAAGGCTCTGACTCCACTGTCCGAGATCACATACTTTCTATTGTCCCTCTTATACTCGAATAGACTAACTGCTAATATGGCTTCTGTTCCGCCAGGCCCTGATTTAGGGCCGAAATCTTCACCCTCAGGACCCTCTCCCTATTTCTAGCAATAGTTGGAACGGAGTGTACCCATACACTGTGATTGCTCGTAGTAAGCACCCATATACAGTATCGATCACACCTTATAGTTGACCCTGCTCTTCTCGCCCATCCTGCCAGCTGGTGCAGTTGACACATCGTTTTGCCTTTTCACTAATATACTTCCTGCAATACTTGCACCTGACCTGCTTCTTAACAATATTATCATCCGTCATCTTAGAGTATATGCTTGCAATCGCCCAAAGCGCGACGGCAATGAGCAGGAACCTCATGGCCTTGTCCAAGAAACTTCCATACGCAAATACCACGGCGCCATCAGCTAGTGCTTGATCTTTCGTATTATATCCAGTCGAAATAGTGCCATTGTAGTTTGGGCCATGCTTCAGTACCGCGAACTTCTCGTCGAGGCTGCGGGCAAGGAATGGGAGGAGGGATATTATCGGGAGGATGATATCTGTTACGAGCGAGTTTGCGCAGGCTGTGAAAGATACCGCAAGGCTACAAGCATGATGAGGGTTCAGTGGCTCAGGGAAATGGGTGAAGAGGAAGTGAGGCTGTACATTAAGCCGACAGCGACTTCGAGGACATTGTCCCGCAGCGCAAAGTTGGTGAAGCTGTCCCACGCGCGGAGAGTGTGGTGACGAGCTCCTTGCTCTGCGACTCGTAGGTATTGCTGCGTATTTTCATCGAGGCGAGGCATGCTGGCATTTGGTCGGGCAGAGATTAGGAAACTCGATGGTTAATTGAGGTTCGAGCTTCCAAGATTGCTGCAAGAGAAGGGTGCTCTCTTGTGTGCCATTGGCTGTTCTATCATGCTGACTCAGCACAGCCATTAGTCAACTAGTTGGCTATCCTGGAGCTTTCCACGGTTCTGCATCTCAAGCATCCTCATGTCATCGTCAACTATCTAGAATGCATTAGATATAGTATGGCTCTGGCTTTCCTTCTAGCTTAAGGTTTTTGGATATCGATATCAACATGTAATAAACAGGGACGGAAGCTCTGTAACACTTGGACCGAAGTGGTCAGTCATTTTTCTTTGCTGGTCAACCAAGCCCATTTCTTTTTCATCTTCATATCCGCCTCTAAGCCATACCCCTAATACATTCAAGCTCTTCTCTTCAGTATAGGATTCTGTGCGCTGTTGAAATGTTGCCCTGCCGCCCTCTTCAGTTGGTGATGCAGCCCACTTTCTACACTCCCTGGTTGTACCAATGGATGCCTGAAGAAGCGGACCCAATCAACCCTAGACAAGCGCGCTCATGCACAACTTCTGCATTTGTTGAACGCCTGCACAGTTATCTGAGCCAATGGTGCATCTCTTTGGCTGACCGGAATTGCACAGCAACTTTGTTGCCTGGTATGGGTGGCGTTGATAAAGAGCTCCGAAAGGAGCTTCAGCCCGACCATCTCCTCCCTCATTCATCCTCAACCCCCCCATTCCAATCATGGCCGCTCCCTCGGTGAACACGGACTTCGACGTGAAGAGCATCTCGAGCTCCACGTCCGAGGAGAATACCCATACCCTCAGTACGGTTACTTCTCTGCCTATCCGTAAGGATACTAAGGAAGAATTGCCAAATACTGGCATGATGTGTGATGTCAAGAACCTCTGGGAAGGGAAACAGAAATGTGCTTGCTGCACCAACTGGATCGAAGAATACCCTGAGGATGTGAAACCCAACCCGGAGGAAACCGAGGCTGTTCAGCGATATGCACTCATTGTTCGGAATAAGAAGGGCCACTCGGGCGGCAAAGCTATGGTTGTGAGCTCCATCGTCGTTCAAAGCCCGCTCCTGAAACCTCTTCTGGAAGAAGTCTTCGAAGACTATGAGGGAATCACTGCAGGCCTTCAGAAACTCACATTCACGAAGCCTTTCGCGCCCTTCTTCTATCGTTGGGGCCAATTCAGAAAAGCTGTCAAAGGCGTGCAAGACGAGGAGACTCGTGCGCATGCTCAGCTGCTCTACAACGTGCTCTCAGGAGAACTGAATGATACAATCAACACCTGGCAAGACCAACTGAGCCATGGAGTAATTACATTCTCATACCTGTGGACGCTATTCAAGCCTGGCGATATCTTGCTATGCCGCCTCAATGGCCAAGAAATGATGATGAAGCTCCAGAAGACCGAGTACGAATCTAACAGTTTCGTCCTTTACGCCAAGTATGTCGACTGGAGCGGCTTCTCTTTTGGCTACGCCTCTCATACCTTCAATCTCCATCATTTCGATGGCACGAAGTCAATCACAGACTTGGATGCCTATCCAATTCAATTCAATAGCGAAGCTGCTGCAATTGAGAGCCGACTTTCAGCAAGAGGAAAACGTTTTGAGGAACTGCAAGGTCTTCATTATAAATTGTATAAGGGTTTTGCCGAATTGATACCTGCCGTATTCGGAAAACGCATCGTTCCGGCACGTGAGCGAACGGTGGATGGTCGCATTATCATTCACGCAGAAATGTACAATCGCTTCAATCCAAGCGAAGCTTGTCCGCTGGAACCACTTGACTCGACCTCATTCGCTCCGAATCTGCCCGTGGAGATAGAACAACCGCATGTAACCAACCCATACATGCCTCCACCACCACCCCCTCCTCCACATTACCCCCCCGGGATGTATCGTCCACAGATCCCCATGCCTATGGCCCCAATACCTCTAGCTCCCGGTCAGTCTCCTCAAATTGACGGTGCGTATATCTTCCTCGGCATAATTAACAAATCCGGCAATCATTCTCGCGTACTAATTCTGTCCAGGACCCAAACGCCTTTCCGAGGAGTACTACCCGTTGTGTACTCCAATTTTGAAGGGGTACTCGCTCAAGACCAAAAACTGGGGTGCGTCTTTCCCCACAAAAATTGCAGATCATTGACTTACAAACGATAGCCAAATTCCAGGTTGATAATGTGCACGAGATTGTATGGGACGACCGCGCTTTTGACAGCCTTGTGCTTCCACCAGGCTACAAAGACTTGATCCTATCTTTTACAAAGGGCCAAAACTCGAGCGAAGAGCGCTTCGACGATGTTATCGAAGGAAAAGGTAGCTCTAAGCCCAACATTCTTGTCCTCGTGTGCTAATGTGATACGCAGGCCAAGGCATCGTGATGCTCCTCAATGGAGAACCAGGAGTCGGCAAGACTTTGACTGCAGAGTCAGGTGCGTCCTCTCTCTATTTTTCCCGGTAAGCAGACCATTAGGCTAACAGCTACCTAAAAATAGTGGCTGAGCATATGCGAGTTCCACTTTATTCAATGTCGGCCGCACAGCTGGGTGTCGATTCCACTAGTGTGGAACAAACCCTGGGTGACATTCTTGAGATGACGATGAAATGGAAAGCAATCCTACTTCTCGATGAAACGGAGGTGTTCCTCGAGCAACGTACCATCAATGGGCTGGAAAGAAACAAGCTAGTCTCAAGTATGTCCCCATCCAACTTCCTCTTGCGCCAATCACTAATACCGTCGGTCGCAGTCTTCCTCCGCATGCTCGAATACTATCGCGGCGTCCTCTTCCTCACCACCAATCGAATCGCCGTTCTCGACAAAGCGTTGGACTCTCGGATTCATCTAAAGATTTCGTATCCTGAGCTTGACCGGACCGCTCGACTGCAAGTCTGGCGTAATTTGATTGATCTATTGCCTCCTTCATTGGTCGGGCTAGATTCGGCGGATCTAGAGTACCTGGCCGAGCGCAAGATGAACGGGCGAGAAATTAAGAACGTGATCAAGGCAGCGCAATTACTCGCCAGCGGAGCAGATACATCGCTGTGTTTGGAACACGTTCACACCGTATTGAGAATTACCCAGATTGGAGAGGACTTGGGGATCCAGGTTTGAGGCGAAGCGGAGGCAAGCACGATAATCAGCGGATGCGTTAATGTAGTTTCATATGGCGAGAAATTGAAAAAGAGAGATGGTTAGTGCATCTGGTGTTACTTTATACTGATTCTCGCCTTTCTCGAGGAGATGAAGGACCAGGGGCAGGGCGCGGTCTGCCACACCCCTGCATCGAATCGATCGGGAAACGGCCAGCCCGCATATTACCCCAAAGCCAACCTGTCCTTGCGAATATACCACCGCCGGCCGCCAAGCCGCAGAATTGTTGCCACATAAATTACATCGAATGCAAGGCCGAGACCTCGTTCTGTAAGCGCAACGTTTCCCTGGATATCGGATACTGGGAAGCGGTCAGACTACCTGGCACGGTATTCCGTTCGCATATCCTTCTTGCCACCTGTCACCTGACGCAATATATTTCATTCTGGTACCGTCATCTATTCAGCACGCTTCGATGTTATTTTTGGAATCTTCCTTAAAGGACAAGCATATCGCGAGGCTCATTGTGGGGAAGACGCAATTTACCTTTTCATCGAAGCTTCTCGTATTGACACTCTACACCACCTCTCGTCAGGCTTGGGACCTGAGATTTCGCTGCTGGCGACCGCCTGGTGTCTCCGATACCCCTGGGAAAATCGCTGGTTACAAACCTAACATTGAGGACAGTCTCTTCGTACCTTGCCGTCTTCTGGTTGCTTGCAACCTGCCTAGAGCCGTGCTCCAACCTCACCCAGACTCAACACTCATGCTACGCAATTTACTCCACCTGCGGCCCTACGCACAGAGAGCCGAGAATTGCATCCCAGAGTCCCAGACGACCAGATCTTAATTCTATAGAGGCATATATGTGCTAATAATAACAGCGGACTAGCCGACTTGGAAGTCACAAACAGTTCGTACTGCTATGGCGAAAGGCGAGAAGGGAGAAGTGGCCAGATACCCGTCGCCTAGCAAGATCCGGGATAACGCAAATTGGACATGAGAAATTGATGAAGCTAGATTTGATGTTTGGGCGTTCGGTTTGAGAGCAGCATCGAGTATAAAGCCTGGCGTTTTCTCCCTCGCAGAAGATCATCATCGATCGCCAGTCATCTTCTCCAACAGAATCAGCGTCAGATACCCAGCACTTACTTGCTTCCGTTGAGTTTCACAACAGCTTCAAAATGCATTCCAAGCTCGCCTTCCTCCTTCCTCTGCTCGCGGCTGCTAGCCCCGTCGTCCGTGACGCTGGTGGCCCAGATCCTTCCCAGATCACTATCATTGATAGCTCTTACTCGGGCAATGGCTGTCCTCAAGGCTCCGTTTCCACTTCCACTTCGCCTGACAAGACCGTAAGCCTTAACAATTCGCGCAAACGGCTTCAATCAGCCCGACTAACGGGTTTTGAAAAGGTCATCACCTACGGTTTCGACCAGTTCCAGACCTACATTGGCCCCGGCACTAAGCCCGCCGATCACTCCAAGAACTGCCAATTGCACTTGAACTTGAAGTACCCCGGTGGCTTCCAGTACTCCGTAGTCGATGCCACCTACCACGGCTGGGCACGCATGGATGCCGGTGTCACGGGAAGCTTCATCACCTCGTACTACTTTTCTCAGGATGCTGCCAAGACTGTAAGCTATCGCCCTCGTTCCTCCTAGCCATGATTCTGCAATAGATTGAGTTGAGATGGATATATCTAACAATTGTAGTCGACGACCCGAATGACCGCCACCGGTGGCGGCGCCCTCCTCAACGGCCAGGTCTACACTAAGCAGGATAAGATTGAGACCACCGCCACTGTCTGGTCGCCTTGCGGTACTACCGGCATTCTCAACATCAACAACCGTGTCTCACTTACTTCCACCAATTCCTCGGCTTCTGGGGAACTGTCGAACGATGATGCTACGGTTGCGTTCACCCAGCAATTGCACGTTTCCTGGAGGACTTGCACGCCTACGTAAGTGCCCAATAGACTGTACTGTTCTTGAAATAGGGGGACTGTACTTACTGACGAATGAATAGCTCCACCGGCGATGGCGGCGACACCATCGGCATCGGTAAGCCGAGCTCGGAGATTGGGTTCGGTAACTAAGTTTCAACTCAGGTGCCGTCAACCCGTAAGCAAAAGCCTCTCGGTATCGAAAAAGATGTTAATGATGATGCGGTGCAATTGGACCAAAGGAGAGTGACCTGACCTACCTCATAGGAGGTGCTGGGATTTCGAACGCATCATGATCTGATCCGACTACTGCTTACATCAATATTTCCGTTATAACATATCTGGTTTGGAATTGAGGGGGTGGTGATATGGGAGATTGTATATATTCTGCTCCCTGGTTGATGAATTTATGTGGTTGTCCAAACTACTGCTGCCTGTGCCTGTCCGCTGTGAACTAGGTGATAGGGCAGAGACTTAGTCGTCGTGAGGTTAAGCTTCGGCTTAAAATAGATCGCTTGCATTGCATACGTGCAGCTTCTAGGAGCCGGCGAGCGTAATGCATAATACCTCTGCAATCCTCTGTTAGGAAGAAGCGTTCGCAATTGCAAAAACACAGACATCTTCAACGTGTTATCCTTCAACGCTGCATTAAAGGCCGCAAAAGCAAGCCAATACCCCCCCAGCCCAAGTATCCACCCTTCGTACCCACTCCTCTGATTCTTACACGACGTCTGGATAAGGTAACATTGCATCCCCGACGGCGAAAGCCGATCCAGGCCAAGGACCCAGGAAACTCTAGATTGACAATGCAGCTTGCGTGCAGCAGCTGCCTGCATACGAGAGACTTAGGTGATGTATTCTTAGAACTACCTGGTCTTGACCAATAGACGATGAGGGCGTCATATTGTGCACTGTAAAGTGAAGCCAATGGAAACGAATATAAAGGTTCTATACTTAGATTAGGTGTGGATTGGTCGGGACAGCCGTGGCTGGAGGGAGCGAGATTTGGAATAAGGATTGTAGTTACCGATCTGGGTTCGGTGGAGGTTCGGGCACGGCGGGTGAGGTTCGGGGGTGTTGGTGAATGACCTATGCACGTGAGAGAATGGCCCAGGTGAATGAGGGTGTCACCAAAGGAAGAAAATATAGAGAAATAGCAAGGTACGGAAGAGATGCTAGCCCAACATAGCCTCGAGACGCGTATATTCAGATACCCTTCTGTTCACTCATCATGCTCAAATATCAATAGAACCCTAAACCAACAATCGCATCTCTCTATCCTTCCCATTCATGCCTTTCCCAATCGTCCACAATGTGAATATCGAAACCCAGCAGTTTTACAAATAAAAAGGAGAGACAAGAAGATACCAAGTATTAAATTGGTCGTACAAATCGCCTCCCTAACAAAACCCGAAATAAAGTTCTTTGTACGGTCTGATCTGAAGGGGTCAATCTCGCGACCTTCTGCGCGTCTGTATCGTTCTCAACACATCCAACCATCCGCCATCATCTTCCTCTCCATCTCCTATAAAGGAAAAGCAGAATTAGGTAAACCGAAATATTAATACGTGGCCACCATATGCTTACCGTTGTAAGGCGCTAAGTTGGTGAATGGTCCATTTCCCTGGACAACGATGGGATTGCTATCAACAACTTGAACGCTGGCTCCTCCGGATGAGGGGGAAACTGGGAGGTCGGAACTTGTGCTGCGGATGCGGATTAAGGTGATGCGGATTCGATATGTGCCTGGTTGGCGGATAATAAGACCCGGGAAGACCATGTAGCCGACCCCTCGGGGGTGGTCCATATCAAGGGAAGCAGCCACGCCGTCAGCTTCATCGTCGGAAAAAGGGTGGATGGAGTCGCAACGACGGCCGGCGAGAAGGGAATTGAGAACAGTGGGATCCCGGGAGCCAGTTGAATTTGGGCCTGGGACAAGTGTTGCGACTGCCACGAGGTTTGTCGAGTCAGCGAGAGCGTCATTCGGATCTGTATTCGTAGTCCGCAGTCGAACTACGATGGTTCGATTCAATTCATATCCAGCCCAGGCGGTTGGTGGGGGTTGAAGGACAACATCCATGGCGTACCGGATGTCTTCTGGTGATATTGAGTGACGACTTGATGTGGATCGATGAGATCGAACACTATTCCCGTTCCCGGAGTGGTGTCTTGATCTTCCCGCGGCCCTGCTTCCTATTGTCCGTCGTCTTGCAACGTCGGCCATTGAATTTTCCACGGTAGTTGAGTCGAAGTCTCCGTTTAGGAGTTGGGCGAGTCGTGCTGATCGTCTGAGCGTTGCTCTCCGTGACTGGGAATTGGCTCGGCGTGGATTGCTTCTGCGTCCTGTCCTAGAAGTGCCCTGGGAGAGACTGGAATTTCTACCTCGACCTCTGCCTCTGCCCCTTTGCATCTGACGAAGGATAAACCTAAAGACACTTAGTAAAGCTGCAGTAAGGACGGTGGGGCAATGCTCAGCTTATGCTGTTATGCCTAAAAGGAGAGACAAGAAACGAAGCATCAGGCAAAAAGAAATGCAGGCAGAGAAACACAAGCAAATAGTAGATGCACGCCGGGCGAGCGTCTAATGTATACCAGAGCCATGAGGCACCAAGACTGGAGGGCATGATGGCAGAGATATAGGAAATTGAGCTTAAGCCACCGAGTCAGGCCTCTCATCATAGGTTTTTCACAGGCGATATGCAACACCATCAGCTGGCGGCAAGACGAGCGGCTCCCGGAAGGCCATTCGACGGATTTGGGGCCGGTTTGCAAACCCTTTAATCTTAGCAGAATGTCCTCGTGAGGTGAGCGCGCCCGATCAAGCCCATATCCTCAGAGGTATAGGTAGTTAGGTGAGGTCGAAAAAACCTCTTGCGGCCCCCGAGTCGCCCCACATGACGGCATGCGTTGTGACGCGTGGATCATTGTAGGGGACGGTGATTGGAGCCCGTCAATGCAGCGATACAGGCTAAAGACGGCATCCTTCCGTGGGCGCCGCGCGTTGGAGAGACAATGAGAGACAGCTGACGGCGGTTGAGACGTCGAATGGAATAGTGGGAAGGGAATAATTGCGAGTGTGGGCAGTTGTGGTGCATGTGGTGTTGCAGTCAGGCATTGATGAGTCCCCTGCGGGCGAATGCCTCACCGTGGCCTGCCATGTGGGCGACGGGGATTTGAAGGAAAGGCAGGATTTGGATCGTGCTGCGAAGCGAAATTGAGCCGCTCACCTTCGTCGCTCGTCACACCTCCCGCACTTGCTTTTGGGAAAGTTGTGAAATAATCGAAGCTGGGGTCTCTCGCGGGTCCGACTGAGTGGTCGTCGGAGCTGTCAACGGAGCTCGAAGGGGCGATTCGATTGGAGATGGGTGCAAGCGTTGAAGCGACCACCGCTTGATCCTCGTCACCGGGAACGATAAGTACCGGCAGTGCGGCTCGTTCGGAGGTCTAAGAGGCGCCGGTGTGTGCGGAGGTCCTACAGTTCCATTGGTATATTAGCTATGCTTTTCCCATCAACCTCCAGGCTAGTCCCGCCCGCAGCCGCAGCCGCAGCATGAAGCCCCAGGACATCGGGCACGACATGTCATTGAAGGGGACCGAGCTCTTCCGACGAACCTTACTTGGACAGGCCACCACAATTCGGAGCTCTTTGGATGGTTCAAGAGCAGCAGGACGGAGTGGTATCTTACTCGTCGAAGGACTTCAGGGCTGATGCTTTTGGACCTGGGGCGGCGGTTCTATGATGGCGGGTTCGAATGTCCTTCGTGGAGATGGCCCTCCGCCCATTTATACACTTCCTCCTACGTTGCAGCTTCATCTGCCTCTTGCCTGTCCTGGTGGGGGTTGCAGCTCAATTTGAAGGCGTCCCGCTCTCCGCTATTGGTCTCTACCGTTCATCCTCTTTCTGACGGAAGCCCGGGATGTTTTCTCACTTCTGGCCGCCATGGTGAATCAGACGCGAGCCGTCCGCCCCTTCCCCTTGTCCCCGTGTTAGCAAGCTGGGGGGTTGGCCCTGAGGTGGAACCAGCCTCATTCTGGATGGCGTTTAAGGCGTTTCCATTTCCTCGAGGGAGCGTCAGATCTCCGGCCCTTAGCGGCTGCACGATTGCAGATCTGATCACAGATGCATCTTTCTGGATAGCATTACCGGCGGTTGTTCACCTATTATGATGGAAGCTCGTCAGCGCCTGCATGCTCAGTGGGCTCGCCACCAATACCGATGGCCGGGGTTTGTGCTTCCAAGGACCATGCTCGTACTACAGGTGAACCTCTCGATGGAACTCCGTGTTATTGGTCTCAAAAAGCAACGCAGCCGCACCATCTAGAAGAAAAGACAACTTTTCTCTCACGCCTTGTGGCGGTCACCCGTCCTCGAATTTACCCGCCCATGCTTACTTCCCCTCTCCTTACTCGTTGACGTCAAGAGCTCCCCGTTTCCCGAACTTCTCCGCAGTGGGTGTCCCTGTTGAAACCCCAAATCCAACATGACGGCAGTCCGGCAGTCCGGCCCAAACCGTGACAGACGGCTACTTGCATTGTGGAAACTGAAGCCATTCTCTAAGTAGAGTCCAAGTAGGACATCACAGCGTTTTTGCCCCCCAAAGTTCCCATTCCAGACGATATTGGCGATCTAGCAGCGCTCCGAACGATGCTCGGTGCCTGGATCCGGCTCAATTTCCGAGCGTTGTTACGCTTGCTAGTTCGTGGCTGGATGCACCAATTTCTGAAGACGTCACCGCAGAATGGGTCCGTTCCTTTCCTTTTCTTTGGCTCATCAAGAAAGCTTCACTTCCCTTCTAACACCATTCTCGCCCTATGTAGGCGTGGGTGACATGAGGCAAATTAGAAAGCCTGACCTGTACAACCTTACTATTAAAACATTGTTTCCTTGAGCCAGCCATTTCTTGGTGAAGAGAAGACTTGTCCGGCCAATTGTAGGTTTCCAAGTATTCATGCACCTACTCGGATAGAGTAAGCCCGAAGTGCCTGATCCCGCGAAGAGGCGTTAGGTGGGCGGATTTCTACTTGAAAGATCTGACGTGTGTTCACTGCACATGGATCTGAAGTTGGCACAACCTTGTTGTCCCTGCCCCAGATTTACCACCATCCAACCAATTTGAAGTATGATATAGATCTCCTATTGACGCCTCTAATCTCGGCGTTAACACACAGATAAACCATGCTTTTGCGGAAGCGGAGTACAGAGCCGGTTACCAAGTTCCTGGGACTAAGTCATCAGTCTCCAGGGGCCTGGGTCTATGATATTCCTTTTCTTCTCCCTTCACCGCACATCATCATTTGAGAATGAGCTGCATGCCCTTCTGCCTGCATTTGCCTGCGTCTGCCTATCTCTGCCAGTTCTATTCCTTCATTTGTGAGTGCATGCAGACCGTATATGTTGTTGTTACGCATTCTCGCAGCTCTCGATTCTTGCAACCTTCCAATCAAGGCTATAGTTTTAGTTAGAATCCTCTCAGCTCCCAGATCCCCCAGTTCCCGAATGTGGTGAAGGACAGAATCCTGAGCGGTGAGAATGGTGCAGCCTTCCTGCAGATGGGCAGAAGTATTTTCAACCAGCATTGGGGAGACATAGATGATTGCTTAGTAAGGGTCCAGGAAGCTAAACGCGAGACCTCCACGACCACGTGTTCTATAATGCAGGTCCAGCAAAACTACAATTTCCTACCTCTCACGTTGACATCGGGCTCACCGAAAATACCAGTTCAGAACTGGCAGGGCCGCTCTACTCTTGGTAAACTCTCTTTGCGCTGTACAATTTTCCAGTGCGACACTTGCACGGGTCACACTATCCAGGATGGAAGGTTTCAGACTTCGAGTCCAGAGCAAGTCTCTCGAAATCCTAGGCAACACTCGCTTTTGGACACTTTCAACACCCTCGATCCAGAGTGCCGTGAATTTCCGCGTGCCTAGGGCGTGTGTGACGGCCCCATGATATTTTGAACCCGGCGACATTGTCTCAGAGCCTCGAAAGAAACTTGTGTTCTGCGCAACGTTCAGCGAACAGCTGTTCGTGACCAAAGTCGCTGAGCAAGTACTGCTCAGTGATTGGGTGAGTTGGATCTCTAGTTTTACAACGAGCCCGCGGCTATATGTACGATATATTGAACCGGCTTCAAATCTCTTCTCGTGAGCAAATCTTAAGCGTGGAACTCGCCATCGAGGCGTCCAGAAGGATCCGTAGCACGACTTGGTTCAACACAACAGGCACCGTGCAGCAGCGGAACTGGGCTCGAGGTACATAACTTGGCGAGGATTTAATGACTGACTCATGATCAGCTCTCTCGATGCAGACGCCTCACTCTGTTTATGGAGTCTCTTGAGCCGCAAAGCCGTGGAGGTGTGCACAATGACGTAATATTTCCTGGAGGGATGTTACTCATCCTGGTTTTCCTGCATATAACGACTCCAGCTGCGCATAGTCCAGGTTCGACCACACAGCCTCCCAATGTATCTTGCCTTTACAGTCCTCGCACGGAAGGAGGGCTTTTGTCACGTTGATAGTCGTCCCAATCCATGAGATTATGAGCCCTACCCGAATACGGCAATATAAGTCCAGCTCCGAAGACAGTCTGCCAAATGGAACCGCGGCGGTCCTGCAGCACTGACTGGTATGTATATCCATTGCAGCGGCATTCTAAGCATTTACATAGGCTGGGGAAGGGCACCAGAGCCTTCTCAGGGACAGGGTGGACTGTGCAGTCGCTCGCTAGCCCTTGCAGAGACGTCTCGCAACGAGAACGCTCAACTGAAGACTCACGAGAGAATATGTCGACCTCAGCAGCTGGGCATTTGCATGTGGCATGTCGACCAAGATGGCAATCCAGTTCTGCATGTCTTAGTAGCGCCTCGACGGCTCGATTTTTCCTTCACAGATGCCGCGCTAGGAACATCACCCCGCCCACTACTCGACCGCGCGGAAGAGTAGCTAGCGCACGGGCTACCGTTGAGGAAATCGCGCCGTGACAATCAGTCTCGGGCTCTTGCCGTGCGCTTGGCCCACCCGCCTCCAGCGTGCGGTGAAGAAGCACTCATTCTCCTCTTCCTGCCCTCCTCACGCTGTCACTGTCGCCTCCTCACGCCAGCGAGACAGCCACCACCATGCAAAAACCCTAGCGACCGCCCCTTGCGCCTTCGTCACTGCGGCACAGGTACCACGCCTGGCCCACGGTTGCTTCACCCGCCAATCGTCCGCACAGCCGCCGCTCCTCCACCTGTCAAAGCTCTCAAGATGACATGTCTGCCCCGCCGCTTCTCTAAGCTTGTCGCCTTTCGAGTCCTGCTCTTCTTCGCCCTCTCGGTTATCCTCGTCGGTACCGCATGGCTCTGGCACCGCGCCCCTCGTAGCGTGGCCTCCATCACTATGCCCCACGACTACAAGCCCTCTCCACCCCAGGAGCACCCGATAGATCATCTCATCGAGGAGGCGGGTACCGAGTGGTTCAAGCTGATGGCGAGGGAGACCCATGACTTGTCATCGACGGCAAAGGCATACCGCGCGAGGAGAGGACGCCACCCTCCTCCGGGGTTTGGCCAGTGGTACAAGTTCGCGAAGGACCACGATGTCGTCATGGTGGAAGACTTCTTTGACCAGATATATCACGATCTTACTCCTTTTTGGGGCGTCGAAGCGAAGAAGATACGGCGGCAGGCGAAGCACTTTACCCACGTCATCAGTGTCAGGAACGGCACCGCAACGTACAAGACAGACCATGACAGGATATGGATGACGCTGTGGCACAATCTCACTGCCACAATACAGGAGTATCTTCCCGATGTCGACATTCCAATCAATGTCATGGATGAGAGCAGGGTGATTGTGCCATGGGAGGACATCAACGAGTATGTTAAGGCGGAGGGTGACTCGAGGAAGTTCATGCCAAAACTGGAAGTCGTGACCCAGCTCTCGGGCTTGGAGGAATTGGACAAGGATCCTGGTGAGCCATCTGCTCCGGAATGGATTACAAGCGGATGGTACTGGGATACTGCTCGTGTCGGATGTTCTCCAAGTTCGCCCTCGCGGCGTGTTCCTGCAACTAGAGACTTTTCAGGTCCTCCTCCTGTACCACCTGGTTACCCTGACAACTCGTATCAGGGCTATGTACGAAACTGGACTGCGGCCAAAGATCCATGCCTCCAACCAGATCTTAGAGGGTCGCATGGCACCTTCGTTGAGCCCATCTCTCAGCGGACGACCCGGTCACTATTTCCCATGTTTGGCGGTTCCAAGTTACCAGTTAACAATGACATTCTGATCCCGCCAGCAATGTACTGGACCAAAGATGCCTTCTATTCCGGTGGCGAGATGCATGGAAGTGAGTGGGAAAAGAAGACAACAAAGGTGATGTGGAGAGGAGGAGGAACTGGGGGCCGCAACAAAGCTGAAAACTGGACGCGGTTCCAGCGTCATCGCTTCGTCTCCATGGTAAACGGAACAGCCGTTCAATTGGCTGAGAAGAATGTCGATGGTGCCGGCCAGGGACCCAACTTCATCCTCCAGTCGTATAAGACATATCACCTAACCGCAACACAGTACATGGACTTAGGTACCTGGCTCAGTCAGATCACGGATGTTGGGATGGTGAATCTTATCTGCTTTCCGGCCTCAGGCAGCCCCCGCTGTCCGTATACAGATCATTATTTTCGAGTCAAGTCTGGGATGCCAATGGCGAAGCAGTACGCTTACAAGTTCCTACCAGATCTTGATGGGAATAGTTTCAGTGGTCGCTATCGGGGATTCCTCAAGTCCACCTCTCTCCCGATCAAGGCGACCATCTATTCCGAATGGCACGACTCGCGGCTCGTGCCGTGGGTCCACTTCGTTCCCATGGATAACTCTTTTGTTGACATATACGGCATTCTGGACTATTTCATTGGAACTGGCGTCGACTTCAAGACGGACGGTGGAGGAGTGGTGATGGAGGGTGCACACGACGCCGCTGCTAACAAGATTGCCACAGCCGGCAAGGACTGGGCGGAGAAAGTGCTAAGACGAGAAGACATGCTGATCTACGTGATGAGGCTGTTCATGGAATACGCACGGATATGTGATGACCAGAGAGACCAGCTCGGCTTCATTGGCGATCTTGAGTGAGTTGATATGGGATAGAAAACGATCCCAACTCGATGTATGATGGATGGATGTGTAACGAGTAATGGCATGTGTTACAGCGAGTGTTGTTGTTATGACGACACCTTCATATTCTTCGTATATTTTTGGAGCACACATTGGTGCCGATACCCCGGAGCTGGCATTGGGCTTATATATAATTTTTCCTTGGATAAGCAGGTGCGGCTGAGCAGGTTGGGCGTCCAATAGTTTTCTATATGATGACACACTTAACTGGAAGCTGCGACATGGTTTGTTCTCGTAAGAGTGGGTTTCCGAGCTTGGGGGCTGCTGACTGCTTGGCTGGTTCATTTTTCAATTTGTGCCAGACGAACACAGGCTTTCCCTGCATTAACTGCTTCACAGGTAAACAACTTCGCTCATCTTTTGGCAATTGTACATCTGGCAGACCTTTGGCGACATCAGCTCTGTGCACTGGTTCCGCTGAAGGAAGCTGACTGGCGTTCTGTGCGACCTGGTGGCTGTCACAGACTACTCAAGACGGATGGTCTGATCCTCGAAGGAATCGGCTGAAAAGGAGGAGTTGGAAAACAGGATGCCAGCTTCCCCTCTCAATATAACCTACTTATAACTGATCAAAGGTGTTCTTGGCAATCACAGGGATGGTGGTGGTTGAAGGAGATAAAGTCTTGGCATTCCAACCTCGCCTGTGAATCTGCCCCTCCAAAATTTTCGAGGTTTACAACGAACCGCTTCAAACAACACGTGAATCCAGACCAGCGTGGGCAGATAACTCAATTGCACACTGCATGCAGCGTGCTCTCCTCCAACAACCTCTGCATCGCTTCTTCAATTCCTTCAAACCCTGTTCCCCGAGGCCGCTGGCGACTCATCTTCCCATTTTGACTCATCCCGCTGTGCCCCATCTCCCCTTCAAATACCAGTACCCCTCCCCTCCCACGTCCACCCGCTCCTACACAGAGATCGATTTCCGAACCTCCAAACCGTTCGCCAACGCAGACACGTCAAAGCGCCCTCCTTTGACCCTCACAATGAACGAATTATCCACGGCGTTGAAAGCTATCGGGCTGGATACGGTGCCCCACGAACCAAACACGTACCCCGCACTGAACCCGTTCGATATATACAGGTCCCATATCACAGAACTGTTGGCGAAGAGTAGTGGCGTGGACGCGAAAATTATATACCCTGTGCTGGCTTGGACCGCGAAACCCGAGAATGGCGATTTGCAGCTTGCGGTACCGGCGTTGAGGCAGAAGGGGAGGGATATGAAGGCATTTGCGGAGGAGCTTGCTGAGAAGGTATCTCCCCTTTGTCTCTGAAATCTCATCGCACCTGCCCAATGACCTGAGATCCAAAAATGGTGTTTAGAGAGAGGCAGAGTTAGGGATGCTAATGTGAGGCCTGCAGTTCCCCGAATCTCCCCTCGTGCAGCCTCCGGTCGTCAACGGCACCTGGGTGAGCTTCTTTTTCAAACCCGGCCCACTAACCTCCATCGTCATTCCTATGATCCTCAAGTCTGGGTCTGTCTTCGGCTTCAATCCAAATCTTGGGCTTCGCGATGCAGATAATCCTTCTGCGGGCCGCAAGAAGATAATCGTCGAGTTTAGCTCGCCGAATATCGCGAAGCCGTTCCATGCAGGCCACTTGCGATCGACTATCATTGGCGGTTTCCTGGCGAATTTGTACGAGGGTGCGGGGTGGGATGTCACGAGGATGAATTATCTCGGCGATTGGGGGAAGCAATATGGAGTGTTGGCGGTGGGGTTTGATAAATTTGGCTCCGAGGAAGAGTTGGTGAAGAATCCGATTGGACACTTGTATGATGTTTACGTCAAGATCAGCAAGATTTCGGCGGATGAGGGAGATGCAGTGAAGGCAAAGAAAGAGGAGATTACTAAGCTAACTGAGAAGGGCGAGGACACAAGTGCGCTGGAAGCGGAGGTTAAGAAGATACAGGATGAGGGCGTGGATGAGCAGGCGAGGAAATACTTCAAGCGAATGGTTGATGGAGAGGAGGTTGCGTTGGGTATCTGGAAACGCTTCAGGGATCTATCAATCGAGAAATACAAGAAAACATACGCTCGACTGAATATTCGTTACGACGATTACTCAGGAGAATCGCAGGTCAAGGACGAGAGCATGGAGAGTGCGGCGAACATCATGGCGGAGAAGAAGGTTTCAGAAGACTCTGAAGGTGCAATTATTGTCGATCTGACGAAATACTCAAAGAAACTTGGGAAAGCGCTTGTGAAGAAGAAAGACGGGACTTCGTTATATCTCACTCGAGACATCGGCGCCGCCTTCGAGCGTATGGAGAAGTACCACTTCGACAAGATGATTTACGTCGTCGCCTCGCAACAAGATCTGCATCTCGCGCAACTGTTCAAGATCATGGAGGCCATGGGCCGTAAGGATGTTGCGGAGAAATGCCATCATATCAACTTCGGTATGGTGCTCGGAATGAGTACCAGGAAAGGCACCGCGAAATTCTTGGATGATATTCTGAGGGACGTGGGAGAGAAGATGCATGAGGTAATGAGGGGTAATGAGGACAAGTATAAGCAGGTGGATGATCCTGACAAGACAGCGGATACTTTGGGGATCTCTGCCGTCATGGTACAGGATATGAAGGGCAAGAGGTATGTCCACTCCTTCCGCTCCCACAATCCTCCTATGACCCGTATGATGATGGATGGGTGAATGTTGACCCTCTTCACAGGATAAATAACTACACCTTCGACATGGACCGGATGACGTCCTTTGAAGGCGACACAGGCCCCTACCTCCAGTATGCACACGCACGTCTCTGTTCCATCAACCGCAAAGCCTCAGCCGTGGTCTCGGACCTCCCTTCGGACCTCTCCACCATCGACATCTCCATCCTCACAGAACAGCATGCGGTAGACCTCGTCAGGCAGTTAGCGTTATGGCCAGATGTGTTTCTCAATACAATTAAGACGCAGGAGCCGACCACCGTGTTGACGTATTTGTTCAAGATGGCGCATGCATTGAGTAGCAGTTATGATCATTTGCAGGTGGTGGGCAGTGAGAGGGATAGCATGCTCGCCAGGTATGTGAATAGGTAGATGGGGAGACGGGGAGAGAATTTGTTTAGCTAATTGGGATTATAGGTTGGCGCTGTATACTGCGGCGAGGCAGGTGTTGAACAATGGTATGAGGTTACTGGGATTGAGTCCCGTTGAGAGGTACGCTCACTCCCATTTCTCAGTCCCTCCCATTCCAACCCCACTATATTGGTTTCTCGCCTTTAATGGTATACTGCTAAATCTCTTGCTACAGGATGTGAGATTGCTTTACATTTGCATTTTCGATCTCGATCTCGATCACAAAACTCAAGTTCGGTTCCCGAACCCTCTTTCTTGGCTTGACATGATTCCTAATCAGCCTACTTCGTCACACCACCACTTCAAAAGGAAATATCAGGCGTTAGGGAGTAATAGATCTAAGACCTCGATTCATTTTCGCTTTGCGAAGATGCGGTGCTGGCTGAGTGGTATGATAGGGAGGAAACATGTCGGATGTCGGAAGGCGGTGTGGGAAGCTTGGAAATGATCCTGAGACTAACGGGCGGGGTGCATGTGCGGGAATACCTAGGACGATCGTGGTATGCGATCGATCTGGCTAGATTATAAATATCAAGAGTCGAAGAAACAAAGGGTCCGATGCATTGGTGATTGCTTGTGTGGGTGTAGATGTGAGAGCGTCTAGGTGTTGGGACGGACTTCACGTACAAGTACAATGAGTTCCTTAGCATGCTATTATACCAATTCAATTAACACACTTTATTGATTCTTCAACGAATTGAACGTCGACAGTCTCGCACACACATCCACAACTCCGATGAGCGGGTAACGTGCAATGCCTATAGAGATATATGCATTTCCTTCCACACCTGCCTGTGTAGAAAAACCTCTTGATCCTTGCAGACCTTCCGAGAGGTTAAATCACACACTGACCCTGAGATAGCTTCGGTCAGCCTAGCCCCCTCGATTTAGTATTTCCCTGCATGCATGCAAGCATCGTTAACATGTATGCATTCGTTAACTACCGTTCCGATGACCCGCGTACAAGGACTACCTAAGTAAGATTCATTTAGATCTGGATCTTTGTGTGCAAAGAGGGACCGGTGAAGGTGGATATGTCCGCCTGCGCTGCAGCAGTAGAATGTGAAACGAGGCTACTGTACTTGTGCTGGGTGTGCATGCATCGCTGGAGAATGCACGTTGAGAATGCATATTGTGATGATGGAGGGGCACGGCGGACGGGATCATCCATATATTGGGTAGGGTTTGAAGAACCAAGGCAAGAGAGAAAATTAAAATTATTTTTTTTGAAAGGCACTAATGAGTACTGGGAAGAATTGTGAATCGAAGTAGGTTGACCACAGAGGAAGGTTGCAGTTTTAGGTGTGTATGGATGTGGGTGTGCGTCGGAAATTCTACGCACTTGCACATGCTAAAGCCAATAGCAGAACCTGCCATCGCACACTCTCACTTCCAATAATTTTGAACACATATGTCAAACAGTAGCGGGAAGTCGGACACCTCCAAGAAAATGCCAAGAGAGCCCATGTGAATGCAACCCGACACTTCGGTGCACGAAATCCATACCCCCTGTTTTGTAGCTAGAGACATAGACGCGGAAGAAATTCCGTACCTCAACCTACGCTGGCGTGATATAGCATTGCTTCTTTCTGAATCTCTCATCGAGATATTTCTCTAGCAGCGGGCTTTCCCGGCCGCGGCTGGAATGCAAACGAAGCTTCGAGAAGCTGAATCTTTGTCTCGGGAACTTCGAAACTAGAGACGCCCACGAGTTGCTTGCTTTGTTGTATGTGATGTGTGATCCATGTGACGCTAAAATCACATTGGCGCTGTGTTGAGGCTCCGCTCGTGCTCTTAGAATAGCCGGTTGGGCCGCATACAAAGAAATGGCGCGGAAAATTGTGGGGACGTAGGGCAGCGCTTATGATCTACACTTTGGGTACGCTAGCACCCAATGGTTTTCGGGCTGCGAAAGGGCTTTTTGATCAGTGACTCATTAGAGTGGAAGACGGGGAAATGGAAAAGTTGGAAGATGTGGAGAAAGGTATTGAATACTGGGATTTTGTGACGAGAATATTACGGGAACGGATGGGAAGGTTGGAATGAGGCATTGTTTTAGATTTTGTTTGGAGAAAGAGGCTTTGCGAGAGTGGCAGGTCGTATATGCGGAGTTGGTTGAAAGAGGAAAGTCTAGATCTAGGAATACTGATGAGATTGCTTAGGAGTGAGTGAGTTCAATGAGAGGACGTAAATCATCTCGTCGAGTTTGGGAAATAAGGAGGTGTGATGGGGCCGTTACTTTGCTTGCAGAAGGAGTTAAATGCTCTGGATAGATATGTGCTCTCATACTCTTTCTGCCTTGTCTCGATCGGAATGACATTACTAGAAAATTGAGAACACTCGGCGAGCTTTGGAAGAAGGGCTCAATTGCTCATAGGACATACGTACGCATTGGATCGTGGTGTTCTGATTAAGTAATCTTAATATTGTCCGGATGGATGATAAATGCTTTCGTTCACGACTTCAATAATGGCTGTCAACTGTGAATTCTGTGAATAGTTTATACTCACACTCCACAGACTCTACTCCCCAGTCCTCCGGTCTAGCTAGAGCGAGTGGAGCTTGCAAATGCCGATATACTATGTCGTTAGCCGCTAGTAATCATAGATGAGGGTTGTTAGTGGGGTGAGCCCTGTAAGACACACTGCTTCTGGTTCGGATTGGCTTTATCAATCGGCTGTTCGCATCCGCAATGGGAAAATCCGGAATCAGGAGGAAAGCAAGCCAGCGCTGAAGTCGCACAGGAATTGCCGACATCGCAGTCGCTCTCATGGCGAGATCTGGTCAAGCCATCAGTTCCACCATCTGCGGGCAACGAGACTTACCTAATTAGACATTGCATGCCGACCCTCAGATGGCCTGAAGAGTCTTTCGAGATGTCCATGGAAAGACAAACTGCCACCTCATCCCGTTCTGGGAAGAATCTAGGGGCGCAAGGATTGGCCAATGTCGTCACCATCTTTTCATTCCACAGTCAGTTGTCCAACATTCGACGCAGGACACCGCGTTTGCCGTGTTTCGACCCCCCTTAGCACTCAGCATGTGCAACTTTTCCCTTCAAAGCCTGGTTCTCGGTAGTAGTTGGTGTTGTACGAGACTGGGGCGAGAGAGACTGAAGATGTTGGCGTAGTACGGTTCCTCAGCTTTAGGATCAAAAAGAGAGTGCCCTAGTTCATCGACATGTTATAGAGTGAGACATAGAAGCCACGGTCGTACAAAGAGTCCCGACGTCATAACACAAAAAGGCAGAGGGCAGAGGATTCAAGGCGAAAGATGGGCAGAAACCCTTATCAGGTGATATGGATTGAATAAAAGCACACCCCATTTTAGCTTTGTGCAATGACCCGATCGACCTGAAGTTGAAGGATTGGAAAACATGTAGAACGACGCAGGAAATGACCCAATGCCAGTTGCCCGAATAGGATGTTACAAGACATGGCTCGTCGCACTTTGTGCTCCTATTTAGAAGTTTATTCAGGATTTTGTGCAGGAAAGTAGATTAGTAGAACGGGGAGCGGGTTTCGCAGAAACGTGTAACACGGACAGACCTAACGGAATACGATAACGTTTATCGTGAGTGTCACGCTCCGAGTGGTGAGATACTGTCATGATCGTAATTTTCCGCGAGTCTCACAATCAGGCTTCTGTCGATCGTTTCATGACTCTTCAGCCTTCTTTTGTTGAGAGCGTAGGCCCGTATTTTGAAATCGTTCACCGGAAGCTGCATTAAGTCAGCAGCCTTTGCACTGCTCGGATAGGGGAAGAAATATCGGAAATGGGGCGAAATGTTTCACAGGATACAAGTGTCTATATATTGTTGGACTGAAGTCGGAGTTGTGGGTGTGCTGGTGCCGTACGTTGCGATGTTCTGGAAGAATGATTTGCATACGTTAAGCAGGTGTTGCGCCAGTCAGATGCTGTGAAGCCCATCTGAGCTTCTCCCAGTGGCGAAAGACAGAGTTTTCCTGGCGTGCAAGGTCAATGAATAGATGTGGAGTGGCCTTGTTGTTCCTGCATGGTAGGCGAGAACACGCTTTGAGGCGGAACTGACGTGGCTGGACCGAGATAAAAAAAAAGTCTGCAAAGCCTGCACTCGACAGTCCATTATTGGTATCCCGCCCGAGAGGAAATCTGGGGGAGTCGAAAAGCAAAAGCAAAAGATGGGACTAGGAAGAAATAGGGTACTGGGAACATTTACCGTGCTGAATCCGGAGGATTGATACCGAGGGTCATGATACGATTCTTCGGCTTGAAAAATACAGCAGAGGTGCCACCTGGAGGATGCTAGAGATCGGCAGCTAGGCCAAAGAGAGCATAGCTACCGTTGGAAGCAACTGGGCGGTCCCAAGCTGAGACAGTGAGCCTAATTGGTCATCCAGACGAAGGAAAGTAAGAAGCGGTGAGAATCGCGCAGATCGCGGTGCAGTGATATCTCGATCACAGAAATGGCATAGTGAGGACATGAAGGAGGTGCGGGCGGACCCGGAAGAGGGCAACTTCTTCGAGTTTCAGGTGCTTCGATTCGACCAGAAATCCGGCAAGCAGCTTCTGACCAACATGCATCCAGCACGGGGAACGACGAGGGCCACCCAAGTGGGCCAGCGGCCCTCCTCTTGAGACGCTGGCCAAGCGAGAACGATAGCGGGCGATGTGATGCGCGTCTCTGCAAACAGCCGGCAAGGGCCAATTGCAGAGGCCCTTCGCGTAGGGCAGGTGGGCGGGTTATTACGCACATGAAGACGAGCTTCCGTGATTGACAGATGAGGACAGCCGTGATGGACTCAAGGCGCAGCAGTGCGAAGGATGCTCGACGCGTCTGTCGCAAAGTGCCGGCAACGGGTGATGATTTGCTGGATGATCGGACAGAGGGTTTTTTTTGCTTTTTCTCACTCGCCCTTCTCGGATGTGGCCCATCGTCCGCATACGAGTCACTGTTTGGAAACCTGGCCGGTAATTAATTCTGGAGTTTGCCTGAGTCTCGTCGACGGGGAGACCTGGATATGAGAAATCGATGGGGCAAAATAAGTAGTCAGCCACACGCTGGCCCGCAGCCGCCTTTCCGCTCAACAGAGGACAAGGAGGGCTGCACGCCGCTGCAATCAACGCGGTGATTGAGGCGGGCGAGCCGTGCAGGCAGAGGACGACGCCAGCGTCGAAGGAGAGAGGAGCGCGCAACATGAAGGGCCAGTGTCGACGCTGCGTCACCCACTCGCTGCTCGAATCCTGAGCCACGCCAATGGCGGATGCCTGACAGGCAGCTGGCAGAGGAGAGGAGAAAGACGCAGGTGAGGGACCCGTGACGGGCTGCGATGCTGCGATGCTGGTGCTGGTGATGCTTGCAAATACAGAAGGCAATGGAAACAGCGGAAACAGTGGAAACACGGGCCCGAGACATGCTCGCTGACTCCTCGGCGTCTCATTGCTGCCCATCACAGTCGGCAGCAGAGCGCCAAAGAAATGGCCCAGCGAAAAAAGGTGTGCTGCGACGGCTGAGGGGGTGCGGGTGGTGCGAGAGTGTGCAGCCCAACGTGTGTAAAGTTCGCTGTTATTTAAGTAATTCATGCAACCCCCCGTTCGAAAAAATTCCCCGCCATTCGGACTACGAAGAAAAAAAGACGGTCACAGCAGCCCAGTCCAGCCCAGCACCTGCCCGCCTTGCCTGCTCGTCATACCTGTGCTTGTGAACGACTCTTAACCTTACCACGGATCCTTCCTTTCCTTTCTCTCCCTCCGTCCCTCATCCGCATCCGCCATGGCCCCGTAGCTGCCCTGTCTCCCCCCCCCCCAAACGCCAGGACCACCGCTTGTTATTAGGTGCGCTCAATGCATGCTCTATTTCTAACCGTCGCATGAGTCTTCGTTCGATCACCCCGAGAAGGCCCTTTTTATCCGCTGTCGATATTCGACCGTGCTGCCCACGGCCGGACGCTGCCCCGGCGATCTGAAAGTGTCAGTGTCTGTCAGCCAGGCTCCGCTGACCACTGCACCACCATCAGCACCACCACTGCATCCCTCAGCTCCCGTCGCTGCTCAACACTGCCTGGCCATCGTGTCGCCGCACGACATGGCCGGCCCGCGCTCGCTCAATCCCACCTGCGAGGACTACCATTCCGACGACAGCGACATTGTCGAGTCCTTTCGCAGGTCGCCCGCCACCAACCAAGCAAATGTTACTGCCAAACGATCGCATCCGTCCGACCTGGGCACCGACCAACCTGCCGCGGTGGAGAAGGTTGTCAACATTGACATGCAGAGCGACTCGGGGTATTCCAGCCATACCGCCGCGACCATGAGCAGCGCTGATTCCGCCCCAAGTGCAAAGTCGCAAAGCCCGCCCGTGGCCATCTTGAACTCTGCTCCGCTTCCGCCTCCAAGTCCCGCCACCATTAAGAAACGACCCGCGCTGGGAGAGGAGCGAAAGAGCAGCAGCCAGAACAGCCCTCGCAAGCCATTGCAGCGCACCGGCTCTGTGTCCTCGAGGACGGGGAGGTCGCGCAAGGCAACCAACGAGGAATGTAATGATCCCAACTGCACCAAATGCGGTCCCAACGCACGTGGTCGCCGGCCCGCCCCTTCTCCCCTTGACTCCGGCCTCGACCTGTCTTACGTGGAGCCGCGCTCTCAACGAACAGAACCATCCTACGCTCCGCAGTCGCCCACTTACACCACCAGACGGCTACCTTTATACCCCAAAGATTCTGCAGTTGTCCAACCTGCTCAGACCGCTCCGCGACGCTCTTTGTCGATGTCTCGGCCCGCTCGCCCAGTCAGTTTTCACGGGGGAGATTCTACCTCAGGCTATTTATTTTCGGGTATGCCTTACCCAACTCCACCCCATGAGCGTGGCCCTCCTCCTTCCGCCTCAGCCACATTCACCATGCAAATGCCACCGCCGCAGATGGGTCCATATGGCATGATGAGTGCCACCCCTCCAAACTACTTCCCACCAATGTCACTTCAGACTTCTCCCCCGTACGACAGCCAGAGGCCGCCCATGCAGGCTCGCACACCTTCCAACTACAACCCTAGACCCGTCTCTCAATACGGGCCCCCGCTTGTGACATACGAGCAGAGCGGAAACATGCCGTCTGCGCGCCATCCCACAGCTCCTCAGAGCGCAAGGTACGAACGATTTCCGCAGTCGACCTTTGAATCCGAGAGCTCCGAAGAGGAGTTGTCGGAAGAAGAGAACTTCCGTGGGAGGCATAGCCGTGCGCTCATGCCTCCCCCAAAGGCCAAGCCCGTCACTGCTCGCCGGCCTAGTGTTCATCGCGCAAGCACGAATCAGGTCTACAACAACTTGGACCGTATGTCTCAGTCTCAACAATTGCCCGAGCGTCCCCGAGAGCGGGACTCTCACGCTTCTCGGCTAGTGGCAACTGCAGCACCCTCACGGGCGACTTCAACTACTCGTCGTCCATCTATTAAACAGAAATCTCAATCGTCCTACGAGACTCCTCAAACTCAGGTCTTCGTCGAAGATGCTCGATCGCGGCGGCGCCAATCCTACATGGGCCCTGAGAAGGAGCTTGAATTAAAAGCAAAGCACCGGGATTCCAAGATCTTTCAGAGCGATCGCGACGATGTCCTTGTTTCGCTAGGCCATCGTCGTCGTAAAACCGACCTGGATCCTCGACGACGCGAAGAGCACATTACCGAGACGAAGGAGAGACAGAACGTGAGCGCTGCCGAAGCTTACCAACAACGCATGCGTGGCAGTGAAGCTCCCCTCACTGAGCAGGCTCACAAAGCCGCGAAACGCAACTCACGCATTCTTTCTGGCCCGTCTGATAACGGTTCCTCTCGGAGCAGGAGCGACAAGGCTAGCCGCATCAGTCAATCCAATCGCACTACAATGACCAGCAGCGGTGGGAATGGCGAAGTTCGCCTGCGCGTTGATCCTTCTATGGGCCTCAGGCTTCAACTCAATGGAGACAATGAGGGTCGCACCATCCAATTCGAGCCTGCTGAGGATGGGATGGCTGATATTGTCATCAGTGGCCCGCGAGGCAGCGAAAATGCCTACAGAAGCGAGATGGGCAGCATTTCCGGAAGGAAGGCTATAATGGGGGCGAACTCGACTAGAAGGGAAGCCGAAGAGCTGTCTACTCGGAGCACACGCAGCAGTCACGGTCGACGAGAGGACGGGAGACGTCCCCTTCGACGTACGCGGCAAATCGAGTATGAAAATTAACCTCAAGTGTGCGTGTTCAGACAGCTCCCTTCAGCTGCAAGGAAGGACTACATTGTCTTGATTGATCTCTTTCTGTCACATTGGATTCTCATATTTGCCCTGTGTTCGATGCATTCTCATACCCAATTTCTTCATTTACAATATTATCTTTGCTCTGCAGCTTCTTTCACTGGGTGGACCAAAGTGGCTCCAAAAGCTTTTATCCAAGAAAGTCTCCTTTGGGCATCGTCTCCTTTCCGCCGGAAGAAAAAGCATGTTAGCGCATCGGTCGTTTCTGGGCGTTCGCAGGATTCCCCTTCTGCTACTGCACCTTTTTTATTCGCTTTGCCTTGTTTGCTTGTGTTCTTGTTTTGCGGTTTTGCAAATCAGTGCAGGTCACATGGTATTGTTTGCTAGATGAGGACGCTCACGCACCCAAAGTCATTTTTGCATGCGTTGGAGCCCCGCGGTTCACGACGGAATGAGACTGTACGATCGCCTATGATATGAGTGTCATATTTTGTTTTGTTGGCTATGTTGGGCTTGGGCCTTTATTCTATCTTTTCCCTGCTTTTGAGCGAGCGAATACCTTTCTTAAACAGAAACTCTTGTTTCCTTCTCAATATCCTATTCTCCTATGGACAAAATACCTGCTCATGGAGGCATTTCATTTGGAGGATTTAATATCCCTTTACTTGAGCTTTGATTCCACTTTAGTTTGGAAAATTTCTTGGGATTGGAGAGCTTGATGCGCCGAGTACGTTGGCGGCCGGGGCTACGAAGACATGACGAACATGATGGGACATGGAATGGCTGACAGTACATGGCTTTGCGAGAGGCTAGCGTACAGGAGTACCCCTACAGGATACATATACGGCAAGCTTCGCACTGAGTTGGGAGACGAAAGGCCATGCAGATTCGGCAGGAAGATTGCACAGATAGGACCGATAGTTATGCTGCTATACGAGAAAAATCTTACGGTTCCTTTCTTAAAGTTGCTTCTTCGTTGCTCAGCCCTTGTCGTTCTCCCCACAATTCCTTGGTCTACCTTCGTATGTCTGCCCTAGTCTTTCGCCGAAGATCTAGGACTTTGCTTTTCGGATTGACAACACAGCAACATGGCGACGCTTCCCTCTTCCCCGGCCCGACTAAGACGGCGAGTAGATCACCGCCACCCATCCTTTGCATTGCAAAACACCACCGCCAGGTTCCTCGTCGTCACAAGATCGACTATCGATTACTAGGTTGTCGTTGCTTTTCACTTTCTGCCTGGCTCGTCGCAGAAAGTTTGACTTTGTTCGCGATAGAAGTGCAGTTTGAGCATATATCGAAGCGAGGCTTTTCCGACACTGGTCGGCACCGGACGACAACCCTCGCCAATCTCCACTCTCTATGCGACAACCAAATCCATCCACGACACTCACCAAGCGTCGAAGATATCCTCTCCCGACACCGGCTCACTTCGCTGGCCCAAAACCCCTGGTCCCTGACAAGATGCGCGTGCGGGCAGTGTCTCGCGGTACGGCACCCCACAATGGAACCCCACCCCACAGCGCCTTGGCCTGTTGTCGATCGAGCCAAACCGACGACGTGGTAAGACAAATTGCACTAATTCTAGGTTCCGAGGGTTCTGGAACAGCGGAAGAAGGTGAGACTGCCCGGATGATCAAACATTTTGAAACTTGATGGACTGTGATGACGGCTCGGGAATGGTGAGGATGGGATGGGATGATACGACACGTGACTGGATCGCTTGGAGGTCAGGTTGCATATCGAACTAAGCTGCTTTGGGACACGAGGGAGTTTCGTTAAGATGAGTTGGGACAGACGATGTGTGAGGAGGATCAAGGTGAGGGTGGCTGAGAGAGGGGATCACGAGATCATGCTGATGGGTATGGAGAGTTTGCCTCCTGAGTTGCCTTGCGGAATGGAGTTAGAGTGGGTGTGGGTAATGGATGGGGGGAGGATTGTGCGAGATGCTGCGGAACAATGACTGCAGCGAGACGGCGGGCCTAGAAGAGCAACCCTATCCATGAGAAAACTGCCAGCGAACAAAGGGAGCGCGGGAAGTGAGTCAGTGTGGTTTTGTATTCGTTTTGAAAGGCGATATGTTTCTTACGAAGTCGTACGTCCTTCAGACCTTCCACCAATCTTTTTCTCTTTCTCCACAAAGCCCAATCAACGGAAGACACAAGACAGAAATCAACCGTCACCGAATCCTACCCCTCACTTTTTAAAGTTCATGCTGGTGGATACCATCACCACTCTCGCTCAGACCTAGAGAGATCTTTTAGTAGAAGTTAGATTCAGCTCTCCAGATTCCTAGAAAGGCCCATTCAAGGGCCGGATGACCTCTAGACGGAACCAAGACATGGCCTCAGCGAAGAGTTCATCCTCCAAAAAGGGCGACTACAGTACCTCGTATCTGTGGGGCCCTGGGAGTTTACTGTAGGAAAACGAGAAAAAGAAATGAATTATGACGGGAATCGGGGGATCTGATGTTGGTGGCCGAGAAGATGCCTATATGAAGCAGTATGGGTTGGGGATGATGCAGAAGCTTAACCGGGTTTCCAAGGCGTACCATCACTTCCCTGTATGGCCACCCCAGTAACCGAAACAACTTCCCTTCACTCTCATTAAAAAGGTACACTTAGAGAAGAACTTAGACCCACACATCCCTCAGCCATGAAAGCATTTTCCTCGGGGAAAACACATGATCTGCCAGCAACATTATTTAGAAGCATTCATGTGTCTGAACAGAAATCTTGTTAGAAAACCAGCTAACTAGCCAACACATGTGTGAAAGAAGAAATGTCCTTAATGTTTATGTATGCAGCAATAGAGGTGACAGTGCTAGTCAGTACGAAGGGTCTCTCGTCTTCCTGCAATGAGAAAATGTTAAGGGCTTACCCTCAACCTAACTGATGGATGCAGAAGACAGCTATCACCACCACCATCATTGTGACTCCTCGCCAGAAGCGCATTCCACTTTCTACCATAATACCAATCCGCTCTGGTCTTCTTCGACGCTACACAACTCCCTCTACTCGGTTGATGACTCCTTTACCAAGCGCACTCGGGAAACCATTCCACATCAGTCATTCAGGTTTTATTGGACAAGTAGACACCCATGCAGACGTTGCTCTAAGATTTCATACCTTTGAGCTCAAGGTAGGTAGAGACCTGCTGTAAGGAAAGGAATGACCCAATAAGCCGAGGAGGTTTTATATACCTGGGGGCCCGGTCTTCGCACGGTATTGCTTCGATGGAGCGGCGGTTGAGAAGGGGCGTGGGTGCTGTTGTACAGAAGGTATGCGGCATATCCGGCGATAGCTCCAGTCAATATCAGAATCGTAGGGTGGGTAGGATGTCACGTATCACATTGAGATCACGCATTTGTGCGATGACTCCAAAAAAGCTTAATCTTTTACAGCATCTTAACACATAACGAGAAACTCGGTAGGGGCTATTTGAGGCAGGAGCTCTATCTTGTTGATGTTCTCCTTAATTCCAGCTGCTCATCGCTGAAAATACTCAAAGTATTTGTTTCTGAAATATGTTAAAATCATGGGCTTGAGTTTCCGAAAACGAATGGATTATCTATGTAGAGTGTAGTAGGAATTTTCTTTCACAAATAAGTTCAGACATCTTTAGTTGCTAGAAATTAACATACTAGCATGCCATACTGTTGACCGCCTTCACCACTCCACATGCTCCTCCATCCTTCATCTGCCTCACACAAGCCGTGCAGTACCCAGGAACTATTTCTAACGACTGTGGGGTTTTTGCGCCAGATTTCGCGATACTAACATGTAAAGCAAGTTGTGTGTTTTTGAACTTCTACGGGTGTCGAATCCCACCATGGCTAATCTAGTTAACCTATTAAACCACCACAGTTATCACTCGAGCGTAACAGAAGACTCCAGAAGGCTAGAGTCTTTACATGCCGCAATCTGGTGCTCCCTCAAGCACTTGGGAGTACGCTCGGTAAGGCTCTCTTATGCTGCTTTCTATCATCATCATCATCCCCGTTTCTTATTACCAAAGGCCTTCTTCCCTCCACTCCTCAAACTCGGAAATTGTCGGCCTTTCCCTCTAATTGCGAATTTAGCACAATCACCAGCCATCCCTTGTTCACATTTCAAACCAAAAGTCACAACGCAGGACGGTTTTAGTTTTTATGTTTTCCAATCCCAACTCCTTTTCCTTTACTACATCGTAATCCTTCTTTCTCCTCACCTGAATTCACTCGTTTCCATAGAACCTATCGCTTTCTTATTTTATTCAGTTCGCTCGGTAAAAGGAACATGTGCCACTTCTTCTTTGAAATTTTAGATTCAAAAGAGTACTTCCCATCAGAAATATTGAGCTGTCGTTTAAGAGCCCCTGTTCAACGAGCGAGTGGAAAGACGAGAAGCGAAGCAAGAGGTCGTCTTATCTATGTTTCTATCTAATGTCTGACTTTCTCCCTGACGATCACCCTTCCCCTGTTTACCCAAGTTCATCACCATATCTCGCTCATCATGCTCATTATCACGGCTTTCGATCTTCTAAGTCCCAATTTGACTCCATGCACTCGACACCCGTACGGTGCTTCATGGCTTCTGAGGTCTATGCATTCTAGTTCCCCGCCCTCCAACTTGCTACCATGGACTCAAAGTTCTCGGGATTTTCGATCCAAGGAAGAGACCATGATCACCGAGTCCTACAACTTTCGGCAGTCACACCCCATATTCCCCCTTTCTCTCCATCCTACTACCTGACCATCTTGTTCCTTGTTTTTAAATAGCTAATACCAGCAATGGACCCGCAGTCCACGTCACTATTGTCTTTTAATCTCTCATAGAAAGAACCTTCGAAACAATGCCCTTGCAGCCCGACCACATGCAGTGTTAGTTTAACCATTGTAGAGGTCCAGTATCCAATTGTGTGAAGGAAGAAGCCAAACCAGAGGTTATAATGGGGATTCTCATATACCCGTTCAATCGTTCGTTAAGAAGATAAAAAGTTTCTCCACTTCTCTCCCAGTCCACGATTTTGCACGTCTAGGACCCCTCCCCCCCCCGACATAAGCTTTTCGTACCTGCTCTTTGGACGTCCAGTTGTACGCCACGACTCAACTATCTCTGCGATCTGCAGTCATGGTATGCGTCGCAGATCTCTTACCCTAGTAGAAGAGCGCTTCTACTTTCTGTACTCGAACCCAATACAAGAAGCAACTGTTGTATTTCTTCAAGGTCCAGTGCCCTATTTTGTAAAGCAAGGAGGCAAAGGCTAAGTATTTAATACGGGGGTGTTAACACACCCATTCGCTCCTGCGCATCATCGGGGTAACAACATTTCTTCCCATCTTCGCTCTAATAGGTTCTTGTTCCGGGCCTTCTCTCTCTTAGCTATTTTTTTTTATTATGTTAGTGTTTTTAAGACGTCTAGTTCTCTGCAACTGTTCCCTTGTCTCTAGGACCTGTCATTAGCGCGGACGCGGCAGGAGTTTTACTCGCGTGATTAGTGCAAATTCCAGTTTATTTTTGGCGGGAGCCCATATGGGTGTTGTTGGTTCACAAAGATCTTAAAGGACGCTTGCCTAAGTGCCATTGTACTAAGTAAGAAACATTGTTAGCCCTCGCGCGGGGGATGGCTATGTAAGGTTTATGGGGGTAAGGGTGATAAGTAAAACAAGAACAAGTACATGTGTGGAGATCATGTCGTCGCAACATACTAGGGAACGTAACTAGGGTAGGTAGATATATCAACCCTTTGAGTAGAATTAAGGAAGAATTTATGGAGGTGCTGATTTCTCTTGAAAATTATCGCATACTTGATAGATGCCTCATATACACCTAACGACAACACTCGCCTCCACCAAACCCACACACATCTCACCATCGACCACTCACATTCCACATTCCTCCTTTCACAGAACTAAACAAGAATACCCTATCATTTCGTTTTGAGTAATGTAATGTGATGCGCTATGCAAATGCCTCACTTCCCCCTCCTTTTCGTAAACAAAATGACAAACCCAGGAAGGCCTGAACTCCATTCCATGTTTTTCACGACTTTTTCCATTTTGCCTTGACCATGCCTCCGTCAGTCGTCGTCATCGTCGTTGCCGTCATTAGAAGGATTCCGGCCGTAGGCCATCCGCCAACGAGTCCATATTCACACAAACCACACTAACTCCCCCAAAGCCGGTTGCCATCTTCCACTCAGCCCCCCATTCCCCGGATCCTTGAAAAGAGCGAGACTCGTATCAGAAAACTCCCCTACTCATCCTCAGTCAAATCTCCATACTCCCACATTCCCCTCCTCTCCTCCTTCGCCTCTTTTTCCCTCCCCTTCAACCTCTCCACCAACTCCCCTGCGCCCCTCTCCCACGACCTCAACTTCCGTGGCACCATTGCCAACCCCTCACTCACAACCTCCGCATTCAAGCTCTGCTCCTCCTTCTTACTCTCTTTGGGATCAAACAGCGTAACCCACAAAGTCCCATCCTTCTCCACCATATCCACATTCGCCACGAGCTGTCTATCCGCGCTCTCCCCCGCGATAAAAGCTACTGAGTCCGCTAGATACTCCGGATTTGTCGGTAACTGCAAGAAGGACAGCTGCGCGTCCAGTGCTTGGGGTTTGAGTTTCGACTGTGGAGAGAACTGGGGTTGGGAGAGTGGACGCAGACGCGACCATGGGAGAAGTTCGGAATTGCCGTAGTCGATGTAGACGACTTCTGCTTTCTTTGCCTCGCGGTCGTTGCGCCGGATGCGCGCGCGGTACCATTCATCATCGGCTGTGAATTTGGCGGCTACGTAGTCGCCGGCTTTGGGGTTGGGGAGGGGTTGGTTGTTGGAGGGGTTGAGGTGGAAGTTTCGGAATGAGTTCATGAGTTCTGTGAGGGCCGCTGTGCCGGTACCGATTTGCTGCAGTTTGAGCTTTCCTGTGTCATCGACGTGCGTGATCACTACGTCACGGTAGTCCTTTCTGCGGGAGGCTACCGTGTCGCCATTATGACCGTTCGTCTCGGCGCCGGCACTTGTGGCTTCTTCTTCGCCTTCCTGGGTGGGATCGTAGTCGTGCCACAGGCCTTTCCGTGCGTCTTTGGCCTTTTGTTCCGCGGCAAAGAGCTCGTTGGCGTTTCCAGACTTCTCGGCGGAGTAGGCGTGTACGGATGCAAGACCCTCTTCCAGCAACGCCTTTGCGAAGTTTTCGCGATTGACGTATAGCGTGCCAATGAAGCCGCCCACCTTGTCGCAGTCCTCAACGTCGATCTCCACATCTCGCTGCTGACAGCGCTTATTCGCGAAATCATGAGCTTCTTGACCGAATGGCTCCGCTTTATCTGTTGGATTTCTCGCAGACCGCGGTGCACGAATGCCAGAGAGAACGAATGTCAGCTTGGCATTTTCACGGGGGACCAGGACAGTGAAACGAGAGCCAGATTTGACGAAGTCGACGATGGCAGGGACCTTGCGTTGACGGGATAGCAGTGTGAGCTGACGCTTGGCCTTCTCGAGAGATTCCGAATAGTCGACATATGCCTTCGCAGCCGGGGGTTTCGGTGCCCACATGCCTTTCTGTCCCTCTTGCGCAGCCTGTTCAGCGAGAAGTAGGTCGTCGTAGATGGGGCTCCTGTCTGTGTCTTCCTGTCGGTGTCGAATGACCGACGCCATGCCATTTTCAACAAGCAACAGCCCGACGTTCTTGCCCTGGAAAGTGACTGTGGCCATTTCGCGCTCATCGTAGCCTTCAGTAGCAGCACGCTTTCCGTCTATCGTGAACTTGACATGCTTTCCAATCAGCTTCTTGCGGAGGAATTCCTTAGCTTCCGGCCCCCACGGAGACTGCTTAGGATCCGAGGGCTTGGGCTGTCGAACGCTGCTGAGGTTGATGCGTCGCTCCGCGCCGTTCTTGTTCCGAAGGAAAAGCGTATCGGCGCTCTGTATCCTGCCAACCACGGCTTCGAGTTCTCCGGACCCCGCTTTCTGGGCTACATGGCCCTGGAAGAGACCTTGCCGGCTATCTTTGGCGGTCTTCTCAGCCTGCCGTAGAACACCCATTTCCGGACCGAGAAGAGTCGAATGGTGGTCCGTACACCTCGCAAGACCAGCCTTGAGCAGGAAGGGCGCGATGCTGCCGTTTACAGGATGCTTGACGTTTGCAACTAGCTGTCCGTTCGGGCTAACGCCGAGCACGTTGACGACGATATTGCGTTGCAGTAGCCTCATCTCAACGAATTGCTGGGCTTCCTCGCCGAAGGGCTCCGCAGGCTGTTCCTTTCCATCTGAAGGGTTCGTGCGTTTCGTTGATGGTGCTCGGATACCGGCCATGAGTACCATAGTCTGTATGTGTTCGGTGGGTGACAGGAGGAGCCGAACGATGAGACGGTCGCCAGAGAGGACTTTCTCCACAATCGCTATACCACAGTCAGCCAAACCAAAACCCAAATACACGCAAATATTCCAATCACGCACCATCGACCGCCTTGCCCTTGTTATCCTCGACGAACTTCTTCGGATCGCTCAGCTCAAAGCTCGAGTTGATCCTGCCTCCCGATTCCTGCCACACACCCTTCGAGTCTGCCTTCGCCCTAGCCTCCAGCACCTGGAGCTTCTCCAGAGTAGCAGCTGCCTCCTCAGAATCATCTTTCCGGCCTGCATCGTCCCGTATCTTGACCCAGCCTTCGGCAACAGCGAGTTCGGGTAGCGAAGTCTTGTTCGGCAGCGAGATGACGCCGTATTCGCGATTGGCGCCGGTGGGAATCTTGTACAGGACGCGGAAGTGTACGACCTTGCCTACAAGCAGGCGGCGCAGGAAGTCGCGGGATTCGAAGGCGAATTGCTGGAGTGAGGGAGTGAGTAAGCGTTGTTCTTGGAACACCCCCCGCATTGTCTGTCTAGGTAGAGTGTAGGGATTGAATTACGCACCTCGTCTCCCTCCCGCTTTAACCTGGGCGCAGACACGAAAGCGAGGCTGAGCGTGCGCTCTTTCCGAGGATCATTGACACTATGCAGGATAACCGTGTCGCCGGAGAGAACGCTCTTGACTTTAGCTTCGAGGGTTGCCATGATACTCGCTATCGATGTAATGCGCGGAGTGTGTGCGTTGGAAATGTATTCCTGTAGCTGGATTTAGCTACTGTGTCTTTAATGCTCGCTTGATCGGAGGAGGGTAGGTCGTAGCGGGGCACGAGATCAGGACGCACACCTTGGCTCCGGGGTAATGGGCTGCAGACGTTGGCCGAGGAGATGCAATTGAGTAGGTGCAAGGTGGATGCAGGCTGTGTATGTATGCGTGTGAAGGCGGTGGGGGAGAACGATGTTGTGTTTTAAATATGTGCGTTGCCCTGACGCCGAGTTCGTCGTTTGTGGGGTGAAAGAGCCTAGGCGAAAACGTCACCTGCGGCTCCCACGTGCACACACACAAGCAACACCATCTTCGCTCACCGTTCTCGAATATTTTAGGATCGTAGTTAACTAGACTTGAGGCATGCGTCGTGAGTGGTTGCAATTCATATGGCTTCGTCCCAGCTTCCAGCAACCAGATGAAGACACCCATTCCCTCTCACTAAGAGTCAGGGCAGGATGCCAACGTGCTGCAAATCGCACAGGAGGTACGAACGTCAACATTTATGTTAATAAGGAGGCGGTGACAAATCTCACTCGGGTCGTCGTATGAACTCCATGACAGCTAGAATATCGAGGTACTTTTGTCTATTCTCAAAGCATATTAACCCATCGAACAGATTCCCTCTCCTGATTCAATTTGACTTCAGGTTGCTGAAGCATGCTGTAGCATTCCTGGTTTTCTACCGCAGTTGGCTATCCTATGCATCCATCTAAGCGGAGATACCAATGACCCCTACATACCTCATTAGTACATGCTCATGCACCAGTCCGATCTTGAAGAACTTACCACAAGCAGGGCGACCACCAGCATTGCCAGTCTTCTTCGACTCCTCGTTTCCGCCCTTTCCAAGATCATCGGTGCCGGCGTGGACGACAACCGTACGCTACACACCCACACACGATATATCAGCTACACTCTTCAATCCTAGGGAGAGGAGTGGAGGCGGCCTTACGCCAATAACGCTCTCAGATCCAATCAACTTGATCAATTTATCCTGAACACTTCCCTGAGCATTGCCCTGACCGTCAGTCTTGAAGTTGCCCAAGTCACCGACATGGCGCTCATCATCGGATGGAGCACCGTGGGTCTTGTTGTGAGGGTTGACTATTGAACCCCATCAGCACTTACCGATATCGCAGAAAGGAAAGGAGGAAAGCAGCTTACAGTGAGGTCCAGCAGAAGTGCACCCATTAGTATTGTCTCCGAACGCATGAACATGCATACCACGCTCGGCGTTCGCGTCATGGCCGGTGATGTTCCAAGAGACAGTGGTAGCACTAGACTCGTCGGCCTGCTCGAAGGTCACCGTACCCTTGATGTTGGAGTCTCCACGGATAACAGCGACTAGAGCGAGCACGTCAGCCTCAATATGTCTTCTCTGTAGCACCTAGAGGCCATCAAGGTGTCTGGAACAAGGAGGTCTGATTGGAGAGACCGCGAGCATCAATGGGACGCCAGGAAGAGTGCCACAGCACTGATATTGCTAACAAGGTCCTCTAGCAAACCTCTCTTGCCCAATTGAATCAGAGTCCTCGTTTTTAAACACCTGTAATGGGTACTCGAAGCAACAATGTGCTCAAACTCTCTCACGAAAGCTGCCCCGCTTCTCCACATGGGGCAAAGCGTGTGCAAATAGGGAGCCTGACTTACCAGCCTTGACCATTGTGACGGATTGACAAATTTATATAACTCTGGATGATGGAGCTTACGGTGTTCTGAAGTGTGGAAGGTACTCTGGTTGAGGACTTCAGTTATGAGGTTTGGGTGAGAGGAGCAAAGCAAGCAAGCCCACCTGCGGCAAGGAGCTTAGGAATTTGGGCCAGCAAGCGGGGCACTCGGAGTGATGCAACTGGACTAACTCCGAAGCCGAAGCAAATTCTAGCCCAATGACTGATAAATCCCACCCTCTCTGACAAAGACGGCCTCGAATCACAGCATTTTCTCTGGGAGTCTGACTTCATTTCTCCGGGGACATGACGTTTGACGTTTGGGAGTATCTCGGTCTATTTTTGATATGTTCACTTTTGCACTTTCCCCACCACCCACGGCAATTTTCGTTAACTGATTAACTACAGCCCTCCGAATCTAGTTCCAGCTCTAATTCCAGTCTCAGCAACAGAGAACAGAGAAGAGAAAAAGGCGCCTTATGCTAAGTTAAACCGTGATAATCATCTATCAACCCCCCTCGTTCTCAACCAATCACCGATGTCGGAGCCCCACTGCCCACCGCCTCCGTCCACCGTCTACGCCTCGATCTTCTTGCGGATGATATCCTTGAGCGTCACGGCATCGGCGGCGAATTTTGAGATTCCTTCGCGCAGCTTCTCGACGGCCATTTGCTCTTCGTTGAAGTCGAAGCGGAAGTCGGCTTCGTTGCTGATGTAGCTCTTCTTCTCGATGTCGAGGGAAGATGCTTGTGATGCGTCGAGTTTTTGTGGGACGGGGTCGGTCGAGTTGTAAAGGCTCTCAAGGAGATTTGGCTATTTCTTTATAAGCATCGGGATGCAAATGATTTCTGGGTGGGTAAACATACCGCAATCGTCAAGTAGTCGCAACCTGCCAGCTCAGTGACTTCACCAACGCTCCTGAAAGAAGCACCCATGACAATGGTCTTGTAGCTGTACTTCTTATAGTAGTTGAAGATGGCCTGGACGCTCTTGACGCCTGGGTCCTCGGCGGCCGAGTACTCCTTCTTGGTCGCGGCTTTGTACCAATCAAGGATACGGCCGACGAAGGGAGAGATGAGGAACGCGCCAGCCTCAGCAGCGGCGATAGCCTGGACCAGCGAAAACATGAGCGTCAGGTTGCAGTTGATGCCGTGCTTGGATTGGAGGATCTCGGCGGCCTTGATGCCCTCCCATGTCGAGGCAATCTTGATGAGGATGCGGTCCTTGGAGATACCGACCTCCTTGTAGAGCTGTACTCTAATTAGCACCCACAACACCTTCGTTTCAGAATGGCGAGTCGTACCTCGATGATGCGAAGGGCCTTGTTCACTGACGCCTCTGTGTCGAACGAGAACCTCGCGTCAACCTCCGTCGACACCTTTCCGGGCACTTTCTTCAAGATCTCGGAGCCGAACTGCACGAGGAGGTTGTCCAACGAGGCATCAACCTGCTCATCGATGCTGCTGCCGTGCTCCTTGCCATACTCAACGGCGGCATCGATCAGCTTCGCGTACTCAGGTTTCTTGGAGGCGGCGAGGATTAGGGACGGGTTCGTCGTCGCATCTTGCGGCTTGTACTTGTCGATGGTGGCGAAGTCGCCGGAGTCGCACACAACCGTCTAAGAGCGAAGACACCAGTCAGCTCGAGCTTCGCGAAAGGATGCATAGTGAAGAAATCCGGGTCATCTCCGGGGTGTCAGGCGGGGGTGGCCGCGATGGCGGGGTAACTCACGGTGCCAGCGGCCTTCAATTGATCGAGAGAGCTAGACATGGTCGCGAGGAACGTCAAAGTGGATTTTAGGAATGAGATTGATTATGGAGGGCGTTCTGTGCAGTTAAGTTGTAGGGAGAGGGAAGACTGTTGGGAGGCTTTGAGGCGGCCGAGACAGCTTTCATGCAGCCCCTCCAAAAAATGCCTCCATCGTCACAGGTGGCGACGGCCCAGCAAAAGGAACCAATCGATAGCTCCACCGCCATCAATCCGCGCTTTTGACACTTCGACTAAGTAACAACTGTCCGTGGAGGCTGTCACGTTGCTGAAGCCCATCGTCATTTGGATTTGACATGATATGACCTCTCCTGACGGGACGCCCCCTTTCCCCCTGGAGCGCAACCTCATCTGGTTTTGTCGAGGAAGAATTTTCCCATCCACGGCCGCCAAGTAATTAGCCGCATCTCCGGCATTTGAAGTTTGACTCCAGCCTCAGGACTCGCAAATGTGATTCGAAATCGTTAATACTCTGTAGTATATCGTATTGGGTGCCACATGTTCGTACATCTCCGAATACCCAGCGGAAGAAGACACACGCGCACTGCAGCCTCACGCTTTGCCCTGCTGCCCCCACCCCTCCTCCCCCAACCACCCATAAACCTCTGGATAAGTGTCCCTAAGCTTACTCACAGTGTGTCCAGGCCCGCTGGGCCCGGGGTCATTCAATTGCGCTACTTTCCGCGTTTGCTTCGCGCCGACCTCGAGGATCGTGCCTCCGCCAAGCCCAGGCTCCTCGAGACATCTTACCATTGCTTCTGCGACTTCCTCGGGCGTCGCCCACTCGTCTTTCTCCTGGTCTAAGAAAGTGAGCTTCTCCGGATGTTCGGTCCACAGCGGTGTTTTGATGACTCCCGGCGCAACACCGTTGACGCGGATGCCGAGCGCAGCATCGAGGTGGCCCAGAGAGCGGATGAAGCCGTTCATGGCATGCTTCCCAGCGACATAGATGGGCGTTGCGAGGTTGGCGACTTGCCCTGCAATGCTGCTTATGATGATGACGCGCTTTGGATTCGTGACACTGACTTTCTCGCCCTGCTTTGGGCTGACAAACTCTGATATCGCTAGTTGTGTAGTGCGTATAGGATGCGTAACATTGATATCAATGCTTGCATAATGTCCACCATCTGGCGTGTCCTTCGATTTCGCAGACCCAGGAGGGTGCCAGAAGTTACTCCAATGAGGATCGTAGATGCCAGCACCTGGACACACGATATCCACGGTGCCGAACTCCTTATTCGCAACTGCGAACATGCGCGACAGTTGCGTCCAGTCTGTCACATCCGTTTTCTGGAATACGGCGCGAGGCTTCCCACCAGTCTTCGTGGCATGCTCGTCGACAAGCTTCTGCGCTTCGGGGCGAAGGGCTAGATCGGCAAAGAGAACATTGCAGTTGCGTGAGAGGAGTAGGGCCGCAAAGGAGAAATTGATGCCTTGTAAAGACGTTGGCGAGGGGGGGGTAACCAGCGGAGCAGAGAAACGTACCTGAACCAGCTCCAGTCACAATAGCAGTCTTCCCATCTACAGAAAATGGATGAGTACCCGAAGTCGCGTCTTGAAAGTAAGCTTGACTTGCGGCCATTGCGATATGCTTCGTCAAGGAGATTACCTGGCTCTAGGAGGTAGAGGAGATGGAGACGAAAAGTAAATGTCCGTTACTTTTCATCTAGGTAAGCTTGAGGCCTACTGCAGCTTTAAATATCTACACATCCAAAGGCCTTGGAAGCTGGCTATGGGGCAAACGGCTACGCGCATTGTCGTTCGGTCCACCATGAGTGAGCAAGGAGGGGTATTGTCACCACCGATTGCTCGGTGGAAGATGGTCCGGGGTAGGGAAAGTTAACCCCCAAACTGTCCCACAGGGCAGGTTTGCCGAACGTAACACGTGATCTTGGTGGCCCGTCTTTCAGGACAAGGCTGGGAAGGTGCAAGCAAGGATAATTGATCACAGATTGTTTAGTGAAGCCAAGTATATGTGAAAGGTGGTCAAAATTACCAATGTAAAACTATTTACCGAGCTATTGGACCATGGTATAGGCACTTGCAAGTCTGCACCGCTCTGATTTAAGAACAGGCATAGTGCAGATGCCTCCCGGTTATCCAGCTCTTTTACACAAACCGAAATGCCAGATCCGAATGCAATTGCTCGTACCTGCCCATAACACAAGTACTACGCAACCAACTCCGATTCCATGCAAGGGTATCGATGCTTAGACCGTCCAACTGAAAGCTAGAGTATTAAGGCATGGAGGCCTTCGTTTTCTTACTTTTAGAAACTCCAAAGGCATAAGAAGGTCGAAGGGTGAAAGATTCATGACAAAGACCGAGGAAGTGTGAAAGGGAGACACAGAGCAAGAAGTAGACCCAAGCAGAGAGGAATGGGGAAGCACGACAGCCATTGGTGAGGCTGGCTAAGATCGGGACGTGCGACGGAGGCTGTTGGGCAAATAGGTCAGTTCACAGCGGTCAAAAGTTGACCACTCTAGTGTCGTCATGGAGGAATTGGCGACGATATTTGGCGATTTCCTCCGCGACGACATTGGGGTCCTTGATATTTCTCTGGCGGAGTTCTTTTAGAACGAGCCGCAGTCCATCATTCCATCTCTGTTTTTCCTCGGGAGTCTTTCCAGGATTCGCAGTGCCCAGTTGTACAAGAATCTTATCACCTACACAATTGAGTAGCCAAGTCAGTCTGCGTACCAAAGGAATGAAAAAGGAGGCAATTACGCAGGGGATGAAATGAAATGCTCCCTAACTACGCACCGCTTATGCTCATGTCTCGAAAGTGCTGGCCGTCGCAATGGGGATCGTTGCAGGTACCACCCACAGCCTCAAATTGGCAGAGAGGCTTGTCTTTGTCAATCTGATGGCTATAAGTCATAGAAAGAAAACCGCCAGCTACATCCTGGGAATAGCTGGGATGATATCGGTAAGATTTGAACATTCGGAGAGCGCTTTCATATGGTACAAAACGGGCAGGCTCAGCAGGATCGTCCGACGTCGAGGTCTGTATATGGCTTAGTTCCACTTCCTCCAAGAGTCAGTCACGTACCGCTTCAGCCATCGATGTCCGCTGATCAGGCAATAGTAGTGATGGCAACTCAGGTGCTAGATCATCAGCGATAGCACTAGAACCAACGCCATTGTATGAGATCGACTTATTCTGCAAAGAGTTGCGTTGGGCAGGGTCCGATTCGCCGTCTGAAGATGTAGTAATATCCATGGCGTCGTTGTCGTCGTTATCACCAGGAAGATCAAAATTCGCCGCAGTTGCTTGGTCAGTGGCATCGCCGTTCAGATTTGGCAGCTCTTGGTCCAAGTCTGGTGGTTCATACTCACCCTCCTCTTCTGATGATGACATTGGTGAAGATGATAACGAAGACGCAGGTGAGCTTGAGATCTCAACCTCGTAATTTTCCCGTTCAGCATTTGCGGGATCGGGAATAAGTGGTTCAGCAGGCTCATATTCTTCCTCATCCTGAATCGAAGGAGATTCGGACATTTCCGCCTCCCCTTCCTCGGAGAGAATAGCCGTGTCATTGGTGGGATCCTGGACGAGTTGAATTTGTCCCGGCTGGTTGTTGGCAGCAGGGATTATGGGAGGTTCAGGAGAATAGAAATCCTCACTGTCGTCTAAGGGGGAAGCAATGTCCACTAAAGTTTTGAGCCCAGCACTACTCAGGCCAGATGCAAGTTGGGATGCATGGTGTTCTTGCTCTTCTACTGGAGCTTCTCCCTCAACCTTAGCAACTAGATCTGCGCCTTCTACCCTTTGAGATTCACTTTCCGACATGACCATGTCCTCTGACACTGGCGACTCTGCGTGAAGCGTCTTCGATAAAGGAGAATGTGTAGCGTCTTGGGGTAGATCAAAAGTAAACGCGGCCTCCAGAGGTCCATTTCGATTTGGTAAGAGTTTTACTTCAGATGCCTTGCTGGTGGTATTGCCACTCAACTCGGCCTCGCCATTCGGCTGTGTCGCAGATAACTCTGGTGGAGTGGAGCTCTGGGTAGCAGCGCCGTTAATTTGACTAGAACTAGAGGGTTCAAACGGTTGAGATTGTGATTCATCCAAGGGGTTCAGTTCATTGGCTTGAAGAGCGGATTGGATAATGTTTTGTTGATCGATTTCGTCTTTCTTGGCTTGAAGCTCGGCATGGGGCATGCCTTCCGTGTCAACTCCGAGGCTTTCAAGCTCCTGGATGAGCTTCTCTTTATCTTGTAAGACCTTCCTATTATTCGCTTCTAATTCTTCCATCTCCTTCAGAAGCTGGGCCATTCTAGCTTTGTTGCTTGCTAAGCCAGCCTCAAGGGACGGTAAGCCAGACTCGATCTCGGCTCGTCGCTGCTTTTTCCAATCAATAGAAAGGGCCAAATTGGCTGAGTTAGGATTTGCGAGTGGGTTGTCAGGCTCTGAAGGGTCGTTCACTTTCACTGACGCAGCTAAGGCAGGTGGGAGGGATCCAAGTGAGACCTGTGACAAGCTTGGTTTCGGTACGGTGGACGTTTCCGCATTCTGAGGTGCAGGAGAAGACATCGCAGTATCCTTCTTCCGTGCTTCCGCTGCAAGCTTTCTCTGATTCAGGGCCTCTATCTTCTGCTTCAAAATTGCAATGTCCCTCTCTTTCTTGCTGAGCTCGTCTTTGTGAGCAAGGCTAGCAGGCGTCTGCACGGCAGGTGGCGTGCTCACCACGGAAGCAGGCCTTACAGAAGTGGAGCGAGACGGAAAATCTGACAAGGGAGGCAAATTACGGAGCATGTGCGGACCATTGCGGCTGGAAGTCAGAGGGGAGGGGATAGCGGTAGACTTTGGGGCGGCTTGATCATCGTCTATATCCATATCGCTACTGCCAGATTCATCATCACTGACCTCGATAATCATGGCTTCATTATCATGTTCGTGTGGGGATTGGCCAAGAGGTCGGGTGTACGTAGGTCCCACGCCACGTGGAGTTGGTATCTCATCGAAATCTGATGCAACTGGCCGTTTGCGACGGCTCAGTGAAACAGTTGTTTCAGAGGCGTTGGCTACAGGCGTATTATGGAGCGGCTGGGGTTGGGTGGTGTTGCTCGCAGGCGAAGACGAATTCATGAACAATCCTGGTATTCCAGTAAACATAGGAACCCGAGGTGAGGGATTATGAAGGGACCGAGGTCCGGGACTCGTTTGAACGGGAGTTGAAGAGCCAAGCTGCGCTTGCTCGACCTTCCGTGCTGGAGATGAAAAGGATGTGGCTTTGGGCGTTAAAGATGAGCTAGATGATTTCGACAGCTGAGAAGAGGTAGAGTTTGCAGCTGGTTGCTTTGCCTTCATCGCCTCAAGTTTCTGGCGAATCAATTCAGTTTTCCGAGCTCTCTCGTCCCCTTGTAATGGATCCTTCGGGAGGGTTTTGCCCTGTAGCTTTGGGATCCCAGCTGCGTGGGCTGCTTGAGGTGTCATTGTTGTAGCCGTTGGTTCTGAAGCCGTTGGTTCTGAAGCCGGCGGTGTCTGCTGCAGAGAAGTGACCTTCGCTACAACAGGCTGTTTGCCCATCTTTGCAGCTTGCAGACGGGCAATATAGTCTTTGCGATCGATTGGAGACGGGGCCGACTTTGCCGGGGCACTTGATGCCACAGTTGTCTTTAAAGCTGTTGTCGACTTCGTCACGGTAGCCTGACCATTCGCTTTATTGACCTCAGTTGACGTGGAATAACCGTTAGGAGCGCTACTAGCTATGCCGATTGGGCCCCCTGTATCCTTCACGGATGGAAACTCTTGTGAGAATGGTAAGTTCAGCTGCCGGTACAGCGCACTTAGAAGAGGAGCATCCAAGCCTTCTTTGGCCAAAGAAGCGTATCCAATGTTGTTCTCATGCAAAAGCTTGATAAATTTCCTCGCCTCCTCTCGCTTTTGTTCCAAAACATCAGATTCATTGACTTGAGCTAATTGTTGATTCACTCCTACTGGACCGGCTGAGGCCTGATCTCGGCTTTGGGTTGAACTGATCAGGGTGCTCAGTAGCTGGTTGCGACCTACGCTGTCTTCGGCCATTGAAATATCTTGTGACATTTGAGGGACCGAGCGCGGCGGCGGTGGATGGATTCTACCGTTGGTCGCAGGTGATTGTGACATTCTATCACCATCACTCACTTCGCCGTCTTCTTTGTCGCTCTCCGCCACTTCTGCAATCCGCTCGTTGATCACGGGCTTCATTTGGACCGGAGTCGGAGCCAAGTGCGCAGGAAGGGTGGGAAACATTGGAGGAGCTGATGCGGGCGCATTCTGTACAGGCGGCTGCGCCTGGGGAAGTGAAGGGTAGTAATTCGGAGGCGGTGGAGGAATTGGTATTCCGTTCTGCCCGATGAAGGGAGGAGGGAAAGGTACTGCAGCGTAAGCATTCTGGGTTTGATACGTTTGAGGTGGCCAGTATTGATATGGCGGTTGTTGAGCGTTCTGAGCGTGGGATTGCATGTTAAAGCCAGCAAGACTGCCATTGTACAGGAAGCCTTCGGCAGCGGGCGTCTGACGCGGGCCGCTGCCTTGCGTATTGAGCTGGCCGGCGGGCACTGGATGCTGGAGTTGCTGGGGGGTTCCAGGCACGTGGAAGGGCAGGCCATACGGCGGTTGCGGGTAGTTCGCCATTTTGAACGTCTAGTCAACGCGATTCCAGTCGGGACGCGTGAGAAGCTAAGATTAAAACCTTAGTCGCATAACTTTCGCGGGTAACGCGAATCCGGCGCGTGGGTATGAGGATCAGGATGGAAGGGACGATGGAGGCAGGACGCCTGGCGGTGGTGGTACAGTGGTGAGGGAGCGTCAGCTCGGCAGAGCGCAAGACGGAGCTTTTGTAGACGTGAAGTGCCGGCTCGCAGATCCCAGGTGAAAGGACTTGACGGCTTTCGCGATGCACGGAGGCGATCGTGGGTGACGGTGGAGAGAATGTATTGATGAAGGTTGACAACGAAATCAGAAACTAGCTGGGCGGCAACAGCCGAAGCTGATCACGTGCACTCGCAGTGGGTGGACTTTCAAGGTTGCAGGGGAACGGTTGCTGGGCGCGGGAAGAGCGACGCGAGTAAACAAAGGCGGCTGCCCGCACACCACACACGTCTCTCCGCAATTGCACCCATCCACCTTTACCTTGACATCCTAGAACACCATCCTTGTAAATACATTCACTCTGCGTCTCTATTTGTAGAGACCGGCTCTCTTTTATTTTATTTTGGCAGGCCACCGAATGATGCAGTGTCCTGAAGTAGTACGGTAACAGCTTTGCCCATTGCACCTGCGACCAACACCATGAGCGCACCTGCTCAGAACGGCCCCAGGTGGCGAAACAGCCCTTTCGCAAGGAATTCTGCCTCGCCGTCTCCAGGCCCAACAACCAGTCTGTCGCGTCCAAAGTCCACTCTCGTTTCCCCGGCACTGGCCGAGCCGCAAACTAGCAATATGGCTCACACCCGCCATCAATCGCTCTCCCAGCTCAGCCAAGCCCCCATAGGACGCAGCAACTCGACGCGACTGCGGTCAAACTCGACTCGCGGTGGTATACCCGCGGGGACGTTTGCGCCTCAATTCATCGTAGATGGCTCTCAAGACACGTCTGAGGTTCGAGGCATCGAGGGAGAGAATGATTTCTCTGGCAAGCGGTATGTCTGGCTACGGGATCCTAAGACAGCCTTCGTCCGGGGTTGGGTAGTGGAGGACCGAGATGCCGGGAAGCTGCTAGTTCAATGCGATGATGGCACACAACACGAGGTCGACTCCGAAGCTGTCGACAAAGTCAACCCGGCCAAGTTCGATAAGGCAGATGATATGGCCGAGCTCACACATTTAAATGAGCCCTCTGTAATCCATAATCTGCACATGCGATACCAGGCCGACTTAATATACGTAAGTTAAATAGACTCTTCGTTGTTATGTCCCTAACGATCTGCTAGACCTACTCTGGCCTGTTCTTGGTTACGGTGAATCCGTACTGCCCGCTTCCCATATATTCGAGAGATTACATCAACATGTATCGAGGGCGGAGTCGGGAGGAGACAAAACCGCATATCTTCGCCATGGCTGACGAGGCTTTCCGTAACCTTGTGGATGAAGGCGCTAATCAGAGTATACTCGTCACGTGAGTACCCTACCTTTTAGAATAGAAAAAAAAACCCTATTTCTGACATTCAGATAGCGGAGAGTCAGGCGCTGGGAAAACAGAGAACACAAAGAAGGTTATTCAGTACCTCGCCGCAGTTGCACCATCAGACACCCCTCGAGCGAAGTCCAGTGGAAGGCATCTTTCGAATCTCTCGGAGCAGATCTTGCGTGCAAATCCAATCCTCGAGGCCTTTGGCAATGCCCAAACGGTGAGGAACAACAACTCATCTCGATTCGGGAAGTTCATCAGGATCGAATTCACTCGGACAGGCCAAATTGCGGGCGCCTACATCGACTGGTATCTTCTCGAGAAGTCGAGAGTCGTGAGGCTGAACTCGAATGAGCGTAACTACCACGTCTTTTATCAGCTTCTCCGTGGAGCTGACCAGAAGATGAAGCGAGAACTTCTCATAAATAATATGGATGTGGAGGAATTCGAGTATACCAAGCACGGAAACGACGCGATTTCTGGGGTTTCCGATGTGGAAGAGTGGAATGCCCTAGTCGAGGCCTTCCACATTATGGCCTTCTCCGAGAAAGAACAGCTTTCCATTCTAAAGACAATAGCAGCAGTTCTTCACCTTGGCAACATCAAGGTCATCCGAGAGAGTCGCCGCGCAGACCAGGCTGCGCTAGAACCAGATGCGATTTCTCAAGCGCATAGGGTTTGTCAGCTCCTTGGGATACCTACAGAAGAGTTCATCAATGCTCTTTTACACCCTCGCGTGAAAGCCGGACGAGAATGGGTCGAAAAGGTCCAAACTCCCGAGCAGGTCAGCCTGGCGATTGACGCACTGGCAAAGGGTATCTATGAGCGCGGGTTTGGTGACCTTGTTGACCGCATTAACCGCCAGTTGGATCGCACAGGAGCCGGCACGGATGATTCTCACTTCATTGGAGTTCTCGATATTGCCGGTTTCGAGATATTCGAGGAGAATAGCTTCGAGCAGCTATGCATAAATTATACGAACGAGAAGCTGCAACAATTCTTCAATCACCACATGTTCGTATTGGAACAGGAAGAATACGCCCGAGAACAGATCGAATGGAAGTTCATCGACTTTGGCCGTGATCTTCAGCCAACGATTGATCTAATTGAACTGTCAAATCCCATTGGCATTTTCTCGTGCTTAGACGAAGACTCTGTAATGCCCAAGGCTACCGATAAGAGTTTCACGGAGAAACTTCATTCGCTTTGGGATCGAAAAACCACGAAGTACCGGCGATCCCTTCTGACCCAAGGCTTCATGCTTACACATTACGCTGCTGAAGTTGAGTACTCCACCGAATCATGGCTTGAAAAGAATAAGGATCCATTGAACGACAATGTAACTAGGCTTCTCGCTGCCTCTACCGATAAGCATATCTCTAACCTTTTTGCTGACTGCGCCGACGTGGACGACGAGATTGGTGGATCCAGAAATCGTGTGAAGAAGGGCCTCTTCCGTACCGTTGCTCAGCGCCATAAAGAGCAACTCTCGTCACTAATGACCCAACTTCATTCAACGCATCCTCATTTTGTCCGGTGCATTCTTCCAAATCATAAGAAGCGACCGAAACAGTTTAGCGCGCCCCTTGTTCTGGACCAGCTACGGTGCAATGGTGTTCTCGAGGGCATCCGCATCGCGCGGACAGGCTTCCCTAATCGACTGCCGTTTGTTGAGTTCCGGCAACGATACGAGGTCCTTTGTAATGATATGCCTAAAGATTACCTGGAGGGCCAGGTGGCCGCAAAGATGATTCTACAAAAGCTCAATCTAGATACAGCACTCTATCGTGTTGGTCTTACCAAGGTCTTCTTCAGAGCCGGGGTCCTCGCCGAATTGGAAGAACAGCGAGATACACTTATCCGAGACATTGTTTCCCGCTTCCAGTCCGCAGCTCGAGGCTTCATTCAGCGACGCATTGCGCATAAAAGGCTATATCGCGCTGAGGCAACGAGGATTATCCAACGGAACTTCCAGGTATATCTCGATCTCCAATCGAATCCGTGGTGGAGACTCTTCGTACGTATGAGGCCTATGCTCGGAGCCACGCGCCAAGCAGCAGAAGTAAAAAAACGCGAGGAGGTGATTCAAAAGCTTGAAGCGCAAATGCAGCAGGAAGCGGCGGACAAACAGCGGGTCGAAGACGAGCGTAGACGAGCCGAAATGGACATTCAACGCATTCAGAAGACATTGGAGAGTGAGCGTGCTCTAGCTCTTGATAAAGAGGAGATATTCAAGAGGCTTCAATTGCGTGAGGCTGAACTATCCGAAAAACTTGCCGGTGCGTTGGAAGACCAGGACAAGCTTGAAGACCAGCTGGACGATTTGATAGAAGCAAAGAAGAGGGCAGAGGACCAAGCTGAACTCTGGCGTAAGGAGCTAGAACAAGCGGGTCAGATCATTGGCAAATTGGAAGGCGAGAAGCAAGACTTGGAGGACCAGATGGCTCACTTGGATCAACAACTCCAGGAATTGGAACATGTGACATCTGAACGAAACCAAGCTGAAGAATCTCTGAATCAGGAGATCAAGATGTTGAAGAGTCATCTGGGTCTGAAAGAGCGAAAATTGCAGGACCTGGAAGCGAAACTTCTTAAGACCGACCACGATTTAGATGTGAAGCTCGCGGCCTCGACCAAGGAATTGCAGTCAGCTAAGCGGCAGATCAAGGAGCTCCTTGACGAGAATCGCCAAGTCCGGCAACAAATCACCGATTTGTCATCTACGTCTACTAGTTATGAAGACCTCATCAGGCGAAAGGAGAGTGAGCTCGCTATCCTCAAAACCGACCTCAAGAAATACGAATCTGACCGGAGGATCTTTGACGATGAGAAAAGAACGCTTGCCTCTCGACACGATGACCTACAGAGTCGCCTTCGTGAGGCTAGGGCAGAATTGGATGCCATGCGGTCTTCAAAACAACAGCTTGAACGCGAAGCTGCTGATGCGAAACGCCTTCTGGAGGAGAAGATCTCCGAAGATGCAAAGTCTGGCGAGGGCCGAAAGATCCTTGAAGAGCAAATGGAAGATCTGAAGGCTGAGTTGTTCGAAATTCAGAGAGAGCTTAGTCGGGAGAGGCAGTCTCGTGATGATGTCGAAATGCTTGGAGAGCACAAATACGACACACTGAAGCGCGATTTTGACGCCCTCAACGAATCGAAGATCACGATTGAAAAAGAGATGTACGTCCAACAAGACATCCTGCGTCGAGCCACAGAGTCCCGTGCTGCTGCGGAAAAAGAGCGGAAAGATTATCAAAATGAGCTTCGAGGTCTTCGCGAGAAATTTCTGAAGCTACAGGAAGAAAAGCTAGATGCTGACTCGGCTGCTGAGCGCACACAGTCGAGGCTTGCAATGGAGCGTCAAGCTACACAGAGGAAAGAGTTAGAGGCTAAGGACAAGCAACTTGACCAGCTTGAGGCAGAGCGCAATGAGCTCGCTGAGCAAGTTCAGAGTTTCACCCAAATGCTCGCAGACTCGGACTCATTTAAGCTTCGTAATGATCAACAAAAGGAACGCCTCGAGCGCGAATTAGTCACTATTAAGGGTCGTCTCACAGCCTCCGAAAATGACAACCGGGCTCTTCTAAACAAGCTGCAGCAGAAGAACTTGGACATTGCAAGGTCGAATTCTCGTGCTGGAGACACACAGCGATCGCGTATCACTCAACTTACCGCCGAAAAATTAAAGATCGAGGAAGAAAACAAGCATTTGTTCCGCCAGCTAGAGGACGCACACCTCACCATCACATCCCTGGAGAAACAAAAGGAGAAGCTATCTCTCAGCCTTGAAGATCTTAACCATGAAATTACGCGAGAGCACAAGACGAGCCGCAACGCAGAAAAGACTTCTTCCACCGTCAACCTCCAGCTGGCTGATGCGAACCGTAAACTTGAGACGGAGAGGCAACTGCGCACTCAGGCCCAAGCAAACACCCGCACTGTTCAAACATCCCTTGACAATTCGAACCAAGAGCTTGAGGAGTGCCGCAACCAGTTAATGCTTCTCCGTAAGGTTTTCGACCCTGAATCTGTCAATGTGTCTATTACTTACGACGCCGCCAAACCCGACATTTCCCGTGCTGTGGACATAGCCGAACGATTGGAAGCTGCGAATCAAGCGTTGCGCGTTGCTACGGAACGGTACTCTCGGGCAGAAGCTCAACTAGATGAGTTGCGAGATAGGCATGAAGACGAACTCAACGAGATTGATGCTCGCCATGCTAACTCTAAGCGTGCCTTACTAGAAGAGATGAACAACAGCCAAGTAAATCAAGTGAGCGCTCGCCGGTCTCCCACCCATTACCGGAAAGAGAGTGAGAACAAGAGGCCATTCTCGAGAACAAATACCCCCACGAACCAGAGGCATATTAGTAACGCAACGAATAATTCAGCTCGATCCGACCGTACCGTTGACACCGTTTCCTTCAACAACCGCATGGATCTTGCTGCAGAACTTGAACTTGTTCAGAATCAGCTTCAGATGTCAGAAATGCGGAATAGACACCTCCAGAGCCAAATTGATCGATCTCCCATCAGGAATGGCTGGCAAGATGATAGCCCATCAGTTCGAAGGGTCCAGAAACTTGAGCGCGAGAATTTCCGTCTCCATGATATGCTTGACGATTCAGCAAAGAAAGTTTCAGCTCTTGAGCACAGTTTACGCTCCGGCCAACTATCGTACCAAGAGGTTCAAACCAAGTCCCACGAAGAGCTCTTCGATCTTCTTACTTCCCAAGAGCAGTCGAGGAAGTCGCTCGTGCAAGCACACAACACCGCGGTCAACGAACTCGCCGATGCGAAAACCGCTTTTGATGACATCAAGCAGTCAAGAGTTGCCTTGGAGGTTGAGCTCCATGATGTGAAGACCGAGCTAGATGATATTATATGTGAGCGTGAGCAGGAGCACGCAAATCACAATCAACTTCTCCAAGAGTTTGCCGACCTCCAGATCCGGCTTGACAGCGAGACTTCCAAGCTTGTCGATGTGACGTCCAGTCTTACTCTGTACAAGAGCCGAGCAGACGAGTATTTCAGCAAATTGGAACAGGCCGAGATCGCCGTGCTCAAGGCTTCTCGAGCAGAACAATTCGCTAAGACACAGGCTCGCGAAGCAGAGGAGACGTACGCGACCATCATAGCAGAGAGGAAGCAGATGGATGGCATGGTCGAGGATCTTCAACGACAAACTCAACAGTACGAAGAGCGTGTTGAAGATTTGTCCACGGATCTGGAGAGCGCATTGCAAGCTAAGAAGCGGCTACAAAATGAACTCGAAGACTACAGAAGTCAGCGTGCTCATGATATCGAAGATAATGAAACATCACTAGATCAGACAAGGAAAAAGTATCAGTCCGAATTGTCTACTTTGACTCACGAGCTTGATCTTGAGCGCGAGAACGTAATCTACGTTCGAGAGGAGAACGGTCGTCTCCGAGAAGAGATTGAGGAGCTTAGGAATAAGTGGGACGATGAAGTGCTGAATTCCTCGACCTGGGCTAAGGAAAAGAGCCGTTTGGAGATGACACTTCAAGACATCTCGAATTCTCGCGATGAGGCTGCCAATGCGCACAATGAGGCGCAGTCAAAGATCGTTAGCCTCTTGTCTCAAGTGCGCACTCTTCGTACTGACGTTGATGACATTGCCGCTGAGCGGGACTCAGCGATCGAAGAGAAGCGACGTCTGGAATCTCGACTTCAAGAAGCCGCTTCCAAGCTTGAGGATCTTGCTCGATCCGAATCTCCCGCAATGCGCAATGCTGCTACCTATGACCGTGAGCTTCTTGAGCTCAAATCTGGTCTCGCCCAGCAAGAAGACATCGCTGCTGCTGCTGTCGGCAAGATGAGACGTGCGGAAGCCCTAGCGCAAGAGCTTCAGAAAGATATTGTTGCGGAGAGGGAGTCAAACGTACATCTGCATAAGGAAAAGGCGGGCGTCGAGAAAACTTTGAGGGACCTGCAGCTACGACTCATCGAATTGGAGACCAAAGGTTACAGTGGATCGGCCGGAAAGGACGTGAGGTTCTTACATGGACGGATTCAAGAGGTACATCCTTCCAAATCAGGCTATTTCATCGAAGCAATGGTGCTAACAATACTTCACAGCTCGAAAAGGCCCTTGAAACCTCCGAATCGACTCGTCTCACCGAGTCTCGCAGCGTCCGCAACGTTGACCGCACTGTTAAAGACCTACAAAACCAGATCGAGCGCCGCGAGAAACAAAACGCTTCCATCACAGATGACCTCAGCAAGGCCCGCGACAAGATCTCTAACCTCCTTGCCACGATTGACGAGCTCCAGTCGTCCGACTCGGCAGCCCAACTCGCTGCCAAACGTGCAGAGCGCGAGCTTCGCGAAGAACGCGAAAAGGGCCTTCGTCTTGAGCGCGAGCTCGACGGTTGGAAAGGTCTGCGTGTCGAGCGTCGAAGTCAATTAGGTGTTCCGGGAGCCGGAAGCGATGCCGGGGAGGTTCGCAGCAGGCGCGGATCTTCCATCGGTTTGTTAATGGGCGAGATGGGCGAGGTTGCTGCTAGTGAGAAGGGAAAGGTTGGAAGTCTAAGGGGCGGACTCAGGAGGGTATCCGGCCAGAAGGGTTTTTTGTAGTGGGTGGGACTCTCGGGGAGGGGGTGTGGGAGTCCCGGTACCTGAATCCTACTGTTGAAGAGGAAGAAGAAGAAGAAGAAGAAGAAGAGAAAAAGGTTGAAGGTGATAGAAATGGAGATGGAGATGGGGGTGGGGATGCGGAAACCCTTGTTGAGCAAGATATTGAGGACGACGATTGGAAAGATAGTGTTGCAAAGGAAGGCGTTGGTCAGGGGAAGGAAGGAACAGATGGCATCAAGCGGAAGCGGACTATTAGGGTCATTATAAAGTCTCGGGCGTTTTTGTAATGCGTTTGATAATGATGGATGAAGTCATAGGATTGCAGGCAGGTTTTGTGGTCCTGTCTTCTGGGTTTGGAGCGCGGGATCCATAAAGGGTAGGGACAGCGAGGAGTTTTTTTGATGGTTGGAATGGTAATGATATGTGATCTTTACGCATTATTTGACAGTGTTTGAGGGTGCTTGTGTCTTGTTGGGTTGAATTATGAGTCTCGTTCTCTTGCTCTCTCCCTCTAACTCGTTCGGACCATACTAGCAGGTAGGAATAAGAATTAAGCGCAAATATTATTCTTTCACACATTTCGCACACCGGTAAAGTCGTCATCTTCATAAGAGACGTGTATCTTGTAAAGGTTCCTCTTGATTCTGCAGATGGAGCATGAGTAGTTTACAGCATTAGGAAGCCTAAATAACAATATTGTCCGTACGTAAGTACAGCTGTGTCCGTACACGCGTACGGCTGAATTAGGTTGCCTGAAACGTTAGCTATCTAGCCTGTGCGTTAGGGGCTATGTGTACTTAAAAGCCCTCTTTCTTTGTATAAAAAGAGAGGGCAGTAGTTAATAACAAGAAGATCTTTACCTACTTACCTCTTAGTACGCCTCTTAGGCGTATGTTTGTTTAATTAAACCTAGGTTAACTAACACTAATTAGTCTATTAACAGACTATTTACTGCGTGCGTAGCTATGCAGAGGATATTGTCCTTAACAGACAGATTTGCAAGGATTAATAAAACTGCTACTATACAAGAAGCTCACACCTACTGCGTGCATAGCTACACAGAGAAGGTACAAAGAAGCTCACATCTACTGTGTGCGTAGCCACACAGAGAGGGGTAAGTAAGCCTTATATGCGCCCCTAGATTAACTAATTGCACAAAGACAAGATTAGCAACCTGCTATGTGCGTAGCTACGCAGAGAGGGCTTACTGCTAAGCCTTTGTACGCCCTAAAGCCTCCTGTTAACACAGGCTGTGCAACTACTTACCTACTACATGCGTAGCCACGCAGAGGAGACAATACAGGCTGCATAATTAGAAACCTACTGCGTGCGTAGCTACGCAGAGGAGGCTCCTTATTAGCAGCCTGCCTTGTTAACACCCCCTTAATTAATTACCTGCATAAGAGGTAATTAATTAGTTAACATCTATTGCACATACAAAAGCCTGCGATATACCTCCCCCCCCCTACGTCGCCTAAACACGCTGCGACCTAACATCTATTGCCCGCACAAAAGGCGATTAACTAACACCTTCTCCCCCCCCTAGGGATTAATCGCCCGCACAGAAGGCAATTAACCTACACTCCCCCCTAAGTTATAGCGTCTCTATACACCTTATATAAAGAGTTGTTAGGGGTTACACGTGTGTCTAAAATAATTCTACGCAGAGAGGTAGATTTAGATCTTCTGCATAATAAAATAAATATAGACTCTCCTCTACTATAATAATAAGCTTTATACGCAGTGTACATCCTCTCTAACATGCGTAAGCTGCTAAGAGGAAGGTACACACTATAAAAGCAGAACAACTTTAAAGAATAAATAACATATAATTTTAATAACCTTTTTTATATAATTAGGTAAGAACTTTTTTTTGCTCTAGCTAAGCATAGGCACTATCTTAAAAGTAGGTTAAATTATATGTAAGCTAAAAAGCTAAAAGATATTATAAATAAAAAAAGCACTAAAAGTTAGCTCTAAAAAAAAAAGTAAAAAAGTAAAAAAAAAAAGTTACTAGTGTTTATACATAAGTATAGCTATGTCTGTACACATGTACAGCTAAATTAGGTTGCCTAAAACATTAGCTATCTAGCCTATGCGTTAAGGGCTATGTGTACTTAAGAACCCTCTTTCTTTGTACAAAGAGAGAGGGTAGTAGTTAATAATAAGAAGATCTTTGCCTACTTACCTCTTAGTACGCCCCTTAGGCGTACGTTCGTTTAATCAAACCTAGGTCAACCAACAAATATGCCTATAAAGTATATTCTAATAGAAGATAGAGGAGTAGCAAATCAGAGCATGGACAAGAAAAAACCCCTACAGCTTTTCACTACAAGTGTAAAAGACAGTGGAAAATCAAACCAGTAAAAAATATTAGGTCTTGATGAGAACGTGGTAGGTAGTGGAAATGCATGAAAGAGAGAGGGAGCAATTTGGTACAGGTAATCTGTACTACAGGCTCTATTGTCGTAGTTATTTCTTTGCGTTTGTGTACAGAGTTAAGCTGAAATATTAGGTAGGTACATACAATTTTCGATTCGTTCTACGGATCCGTAGTGTGATATTTGCTAGCAGCGTACTAACCATCGTTTACCCAACTGCTTGGTCTATATTCTGTCCACCCGGTCGCACATTCCTAGAAGAGTGGGGCCTTTTCCACCGTTGCGAGTTGGGTTTTGTGGACTCACAGATCCTGGATCTGCGGAGCGGGCAGGCGGCGTCATGATTGGTAATAGAGTTCATGTCTTGTTCGATGCATTCGGCATGGTAGTTGCGGGAGCAGATGTTAAGTTGAATGAAAGTTTGTACGTGGAATTCGAGCCTCAAAATCGGACATGGTTCGTCTATGGCTAGAGGAAGATTCAGGTGTGCGGGTCGCTAGCTTTAGGACGAGGTCTAATGAAAACTGTCTGGATGTCCTTGAGCCCTATGTTTTGTTCCCAAGGATAAGGGGCAGGCTCTAAGCTGAGATCTTGCCTCATGCCTTCTGGATCCCTGTCATATATGTCTTTGAAGTGATTCATATGCCCCAGGAAAAGACACCCGTTCTTCACCCATACTGATAAGGCATGGTGGCTAAAACTTTGTGCGCGCGTAAAGGCTATTCGGAAAGCACGTCCTCGATCATATCTGAGTGATAGGCCTCCAATTCTGCAAGGCCATAGTTGTCCAACTCCGTGTGGATTCCAAATTTATCACACGCTAGACAGAACACGGAATCGGATGCACAAGAATGTTATTGTCACTAATGCCTTCCTCGGCATACTCGATTCCGCTATTCTCTGGGCTGGGATAAAATGCTGCAGTATACGAGCGAGGGTAAGAAAATATACCGTATCAACAGCTCAATCTATTCTTTTGCTGTTCGGGGTAATTGCTCCCGGAGTGGCCGAAGAAGGGTTCCAATATCAATTCAGGCATGATATTTCGCTTCATCCGGCCCAATCGATCCAGCCAAGGACCTTGGTGTTTAATAGAACGTAGTACTGTTGCTACTGTTACTAATAGTATAAATCTCTTATCAATCAGAACGAAAGTAGGTTGTCTTCCGTTACTGTAGAGTTAATGAGGCTCTAGCTACTGCAGTAACTGGCTATACTGTTTAATTTCTTGGCGCTTTAGCAAACCTAGAAGAACAATTATAATCAATTATAACTAGCTACTTCCCTCTATAATTAAGGCTCTGCAGACTTGCTTACCTAGAGTTAAACTATCCGCGACTATATTAGCAAGATTGTGTCAAAATTAAGCTCTCTAGAGCCTTCAGAAACACCAGTTACTGCAGTAACTATGCTGAACAGTAGCTCCACCCTTAGCTAACTTCGCAGTTACTGTTACTGCCTGTAAGGCCATTTAAATCCACTCTATCTGAAAGAACAAAACTCTATTGCCGCTAGTAACGCACCAAAAACTCTACTGACAGTAACAGTTACGTTCTATTAAACACCATGCCAAGGACCACGGAGAGAAGCAAATATGGCCTCCGAAAAGCGCGACGGGCGAAGAGGGAAAAGACGCCGAGCACTTTGCTGAGGTTATCAGGGGGATTGTAGAATGCTTCGGGTGACCTTTATATGGAGTTGAAGGGCTGGTGGGTTGAGAGTGACTGGTCAGTCCTGGTTCGGATGGGGCCAGAAAATCAGGAGACCATTGTGTATGCTTGGAAAGAATGGATAAGAATCCTGGGTTTGGCAGAATGGATTAGTTTAGCTTCCTTCGACAGGTGAAAAAAGGGCTTATGCAGTGCCCCGACCTGCTACAGGGTGAAGCTTTGCTACTGCTCAATGAAGGCAATGTAGAGAGTATTCGTGAAAGCGAAGTGAATCTCAGGACTTAATATCTGTCCTTGTGCAGAGACCTTGGAGTTTAGCAAACGGATCATCTGAGCTCAAACTCCTGCTCTACAGGGCATCCAGGTTTCCCTTTATGGATATCATACAATGCTACGAACTCGCCATTCATAATGCCCGAAACGTAACATTCACCAACGGACTCGTAGTACGTTTCATGACTTCTCAAAACAAACGGAACCTCGCTCCCATGGAGGATAGCTATCAGGTCTCCTTCGCGAGTTGTGGGAGCATGCTGGCCAAATCCAGTAAATCCTTTGGGACCAATACCACAAAAGCCAGTCTTGGTTGTGAAGACACATCGTGCTTGCATAACTGATGTACACCGCTTTGCCAGGCGGACTGTACATTCGTTGTTGCATTGGCCTTTCGAGAGATATCGCCACCAATTAGTGTGGGTTCCAGTGTAGTTTGGAGGTTCTAATTTGGCACCTTGTCTGACATCTTTGTTTGCGATTAGAGTGCGCCAAAGCGGTTCCGCTTTGTCCAGCCAAAGTCGGACGTCGGTTTCTGAGAGGCCCACCTCGCGCTTCTCTTTGAGAAGTTGTTCGTCTACCTCCCACCACTTTGGGTGAACGGTTTCAACGATGTCAAAAATAATTCCGCAAAGGAAAAGGGATTCCAGATCTTCGGATGTCCGAACGCTCCATGTAGCCCGATGATGTCCTGATGCAGCATACAATGATGGGTCTGTGGGTTTCAGAAGTGGAATAGCGGGGATGTGCCCTGGATCTGATAATGTGTAGTTAGGGACCCACGATGGTAGTTTCGGTCCCGAGTCCTTCTTATTAGACCAGTGGGATAGGGGCCTCAGGTTCCTCTCGGCCTGGACAAGATGTACGGTAGTTCTCTTGCAGACTTCTTCAATAGTAAGAGAATAATCTGGCGAGAACACTTCCAGAGTAGGGGCAGAGGATAGACCGAGTAAAGCGTAGATCTTGTCTCGAGGGTCGGACGCGTTAGAGTTTCTAGTACGATACAGAAGGGAATATAGAGGCATTGGACTTGATTGCTCGTATCGACTTCTTATATCGTCATAACCTAGGAGGTCTGCGAATTCGGACTCGTTCCAAGGTTGCCTCGGAGCATAACGAATAGCATCGCAAAACGCACTCCATCGTAGCCAACAGTGTCCGAATATAATCCAAGGATCCCGGAGAGCAACCGTGAGTTCCTGCTTCGTCCAAATGCGATGAAACCAGTCGCGCAAGATAAGTGTGGCTAGTATCCCACAATCTTTCGCGTCGTAAGAAATCGCAGCATGCCCAGGACGATTAATTTGCCCTGCGTCGCGTCTGTTGATGCGTTCTAGAACGGAGAACGTCTCTTGCTCTTCGAGAATCCCAACCCATATGAGAACAGTGTGTGCTCGGCGGTAAATAGATGTCATCATTCTAACCTGTTGATTACGCTCCACCGTATTGCTCTGATCGATACAGATGGCGTCTATCCACATGGTACGCAGTTCCTCGGGATGACGGATATACCGCAGTGCCATATCTAGGTTAGAAGTGACATCGGCAGGCGCATTGTTGACAATAATGGTTCGACTATCATCCAAATTGCCCCAAACGTAGGATAGGGCTTCGTATGCAAGCGGTGAGTCGAGGGACACTGCTTCGAGAATACAGACCATGGGATCCTCCAGAATGCCGGGGACGATTGTGACTAGCCGTATTTCTGTATCCCCAAGCGGTAGTGGGGAGTAAATGTTCTTCGGAGAACTCGAAATGTAATCGGATAGCAAAGGTACAGATGAGTTGAGAGTGTGCTCAGAGGGAAAAGCTGCGGTGTTTGGCATGATGGTCGAAAAGGAAGATGGGGTATGGAAAGTTTCATTCGATTTCGAGCTGTTAACGTCATGTGATCGCGTCCTCGAAGAATCCGACGTCTGGCTAGCCGCATTTTGCAATGAAGACCCCCCTTTGGAGTCCATCTTCCTTCTTTTCTGGTCAGGAGGGATACTCGAGAAAGACAAGGGCGCTTGTGCGACTTCGTTGAGGGACACGTTTGCCTCTAGACCCTTTGGAGGATTCTCCTGTCGCTTCGGCATAAGAGGTGGGAACATCAATGAGAGAATTGATTGCTTCAGACAAAATAGTCTCAGGTGTGCAGGCGAGAGCGAAGTGGAAGTTGATGTCAGATTATGCATCAACTTATGAATTCGCTTGCAAACGACTCCGCTTGACAAGGTTGTTTGACTTTCCCTAATGGAGTTAAAGCGGCTCACCACAACACCTTGTCGATCACTCTCGACACCCAGAGCTCTTGCACCGACCTGATGTCCTCCTTCGTTCCCTACATTTCTAAGATGAAACACAATGCCAATAGAAGTAAGTTAGCCATTTGCCTTATGATAGCAAGGAGTTTACTCGACTCAACCTTTTCCAAGGTTAATGATGAAGGTCTTCATCATGCTGAAGCAAGGCTTGTGCATAGCATCAGAGACAATATCTAGCTATGCAAGCCTACAGAGAAGCAAAAGCTAATTTGAGTTTTTAGGGCTGCTTTTACACTATCTTAGAAAGGACTCCCCTAGACTAAGACCTTTTTATTAGTATTGCTAATAGGTAATAAGATTACTATAGAAAGCTTTTGCGTAGCATTGTACCTAGGCATTAGATAGATAAGGGGCTAGAGGCAAAAGGAGCTTCAGCCCTGCAGAGGTTCGAAAGGAAGTTCTAGTTTGCAATAAGATGCTTGAGGTTTGTGAAAGTTCCAAATCCGAAGACCTGAGACCCGTCGCCACATTCGAACGGTCTTTAGCTCTTGAAGCAACAGAAGCATCTAGCTGAGGAGGACCAAGAAGCTAAATCTGTTCAAGCGGCTTACTCTAGCGGGCTAGAGAGGTAGAGTCTAGAGGTGTGCACTTGCCACGAGCTTGTGCGCAGCGAGCTTGCGGGATCAGGGATATATCAGGCATTTTGACTCCATTAAACAGGGTAGCTTTTGGCGCGAGAAGGTTGAAGTATCACAGGGATATCTCTGCCCTGTGAACGCTTAAATGCGAGATGTTTCCCAAACCGTCCACACGAGTGGCAGAGAAGAGTGGATATGGGTAACACTAATAGAAATACTCTTTGCTAGAATAAGGTAGCGGGTTAAGATGATACTGTAGCTTGTGTCTACAAACTATGTTCAGGCCTATGTACTATTCCCTTTAAAGTATACCCATACTAGTCTAGCAGCACTGATAGAATAGATTTAATCTGGTAAACTCCTTCCTGGCACAAGATAAAGTGTTAAGGAGACGCCTGAGCTTGCGTCTACCCACCACCCACAGACACTGTAAATAGCTTCGGGCTGCTATCAAACACTGTACCCGCGACATCGCTGCCCCCATCTGGAGCGACATCGTCATACGGGAATGCATAACCACGTCCATCTCTCTGCACCTGGTGCAAAATCCTCGCATAATGGTTCGTAACATCATTCTTATAATAATCCGCTGGTGTGCTCCCATTGGGGAACTGATTTGTTTGCAACAAAGTGCTGCGATTGAAAGCCGCCGCCAATCTCGGGATGACCGCATTCCGCGCCTGGTTTGAGCCCGTCGCAAACGGACCAGTCGAGCAGGAGAAGATATCTGCAGCGCTAGGCGCGGAGAAAGTGCCTGCTTCACCAAGAGAGAGTTGGCCGTTGGTCACGCGGCCTGTCAGATTCCCAGCGGCAGCTTGCGTGTTGACCGTGAGGTCTTGGTTCGTAAATTTCGACCATACTTGCTGCACGTAGCTGTTCCAGTAATCGCCCCATGCGTTTGCATTGCCTACGAGAAGGTTGTTGGGACTAAGGGCTCGCAGAGGTTGGCCGTTGTACGAGTAGATTAGTTGGTCCCATGGACGCTTGTCTTTGCTTGCTTGAGCACGCAGCTGGTCCACCACCGTTGAGAATCCATTCAAGGGCATACCGGGCACGCTTTTAGTTTGTCCGCTGGTGTTGGTGAGCGAGATACCGACAGGAATGCTGACAAAGTCGACGGAACTGATGTTTGCGAAGAGCTGGGCGTCGTTGTAGGTGAATTCGCAGAATGTCCAGGAAATGTTAATGTTCGAATCAGTGGGATTGGTGACTGACGGCTCGACAATTGCAGGTCCAGGATTCACCAGAAACGTAAGGCGAGCATCAACGGAGAACCAAATTCGACCGCCCGCGATTTTTGGAATGGTCACGTTCACAGTATTTCCAGGAGAGCCGAGAGAGATTGCGACGTCCGCAGCAAGAGCAGCGCCGGGCTGAGACGGAGAGGTAGGAGAGTACACCGTGTGACCGTCTGATTGGATGAAGATTGGGACATTGTTGTTGCTGAGGGCGAGGCCTGTGATGTATGCGAAGACGTTGCTGCTGCTAGTTTTGTTCTGAAGCGCTATTTGGAGAGTATCAGAAGCTGCGGGTGCGAGGACTTGCTGGTACTGTTGACTAGCCATACAGTTTTCTTGAGACGGTGACATGTTCTTATATCCATTAATAGGTGCTTTGTTTGGAGGAGTTCCATTTGTAGCTCGGCCAGACTTGAGGTTGGGCTTGTGCTTGGCGATGAAATTACGGATGAACTTCTTCATGGTGGCAAATAAAAGCAAATAGTAATGGGCTAGAAATGACGCAGAAATGTAACTGGGAAGAAGCCGCTGGGATTGACAAATAACTAGATCACTCTATTGAAGGTCTGTGGTAAGTTGCACGCATGAAAGACAGCGAAACAATACCCTCTATATGTTAAATTTTAAAGATCAATGTGAAGGGGAAGACATGATTGAAAATTGTTACCCTAATGTCACCTTTGAGATGAGGTCGAAAAGATCGCCAACGCCGCCAGCAGCTCTGTCATCCTCGGAACATCACCAATCGCAATTCATAGGTTGACACCACCATTGCTTCCGTCCGCCGGGATCCCCAGATTCATCGCTAGAGCGGAGCCACGCGTCGCGCCCTCGTGGTAAAAACCAGGCCGAACCAGGAACCTGGCAGTAATGCGTTTGGAAATCTGGGTTCGGAAATAACCTCGCCTCTGGGTCCCTTTCCCTGCATATCCTCGACGGGACAAACGCGCAACGAACGCTGTGGAAGCCGTTACCTAGTTATCTTGTGGACTGGATCGTGGAGCAAAAGGGGGGCTCTCTGAACGGGAGGATCGGGGTAATGACGAGGGCTAAGGATGGCGATTGTGGATTTCCATACGTTTCAGGAAGGTCGGCCTGTTCTAGTGGCACGCGCTGCACACCTCTGCTCCATCCCCAGAGTCACAAGTCGCCTTCCCCACATTCCTGACTGACTCGCATTATCACGCTCAGAGTGGCTGTTTTTTTGAAGGCGCCTTTCGCCCGACAATGGCATTGTGCATCCGTCGGGCCTTCTATCACCCACACACCCGAAACTGGAAGGACAGCCCCGATTATGCGCATATGAGAGAGCTATGGCAAGAGAGTGGGTTGAACATGACTACGTGTCTAGGGTATTGATGCAAAGAGTAAGAGATATGTTTTCTTACTTTCATGTGGAGCTTCCGCGTGTCAACGCCATGGTGTGTTTAGGAAGGTCGCTGATCAGCGGTAATAAATTGGAATAGGAAGATCCTGAACTCCACCTGAAAGGGCTCTGAGATAAGTGCAGACCAGATCTGGATGCCAATTGCGTAGAGCAGAGATACGAACTAAGGCTTGCTGAATGATGGAATGTAGGTTGCCGATGACCTCCCTATGCGAAGCCAATGCCACACATCAACCATACTCCTCCAGCTCGTTGATATAGACGTGTCGTAGACAGTAAGGATACTCCGCCTAAGCCGTGGGAATAGTGACAGTGTATTAGAGAGTACCCACGCGCTGAGAGCTCCAGACCTGAGAAACGGAGGAGAGCTGCGAAGCTAAACGTGGAATGGCGCGTTTGAACCTGCATCACACATCACTTATCTTCCTGTCAGTCTCCGTTTGATTCTCCGTTTCAAGGTTATCATTAAGAGCTGAAAAAATGTGTCCGGTGTCAAAGGGGAGTGACTGTATCGGAGGTTAAAGTTCTATCTTACTAGGACTTACAGCAATGGAGCGGGTTCCGGAGAGGCTACATAGCCAACAAGATGAAGGCAGCATTAACAAAAGATGCATCACCTCCAATAAAATACTAGCTAGCGCATGTCCGCCTTTGAATTCCTCCCACTCTTTGCCGAAGCGAACTGATAATTACTCTAATTGGTGAAACTGTGCGTTTTTCTTCCCGGCTGACATCTGATAAGAACATGTCAAGGCCAGTCATACTCTGCCATCCGTATTAACGAGAAAAAAAAATCCACTAGACAAGAAATACACAATTGGCAAAAGGCAGACCCCAAGTTAGAGAGGGCCTTATTAAATGGCGTGTATGAGTATAAGAAAGCTATTGTGAACGATCAGATTGCAATAAGTTCCAAACAACCCCTGTCTGCCTCTCCAACGGGTAGGACTCTCTCTATTCGTAAGTTGAGGCAGCACGCAGGTAAGTGTTGAGATATCACAGGCACGCATACAGGTGCTAATGACACTATAGGAGCCAGATCAAGCGGTTGACGCAAATCTGTCGCGATCAGCCTCAAGTAGATGTCCGTTCGATCCTGTACGAGACCTCTAAGCCCATGGCCAGTTGTAGTAGCAAAACGGCATCTAGAACGGAGGGAAATCCAAGCTCGCCACAGAAGCGAAACATGATCTCTGACTTGAATACAGGAACTTCCTCTCCTTACTGTGCGTTGCTTCGAAATACCGCTCGTCATTCTTGGAAAGTGGCGTTTGAAGGATGTCGCAGAGCCGTTCCTTCGTTGAGGTCGCGCGTCCTGTCTCTGTCCGCCACACACACCTTCCGTATGACTACGCAACTGCAGGTACGCGAAATATGGGGTATGTGAGACTTCATAGGTTGGCGGCAATACTGTTGAACTCTCCACCAACCTCTTCCATCGCTAAACTCGTTGCATTCGTTCGTCAGCATCATTAACACATCTTGGACTTCCGAATTAGAGCTCTCTGCTCCATATCTTTCGCTTTCGTTACTATCTGCAGCCCATCACTTCCTGCCCTAGCCCCGGTACTATGTGTAGATTCACTTGGAACCGCTGGTCTTGTGGGCACTTCAATAAGACCCGAATAGAGTATTGCGATGTGTCGGCTTTGTTCACACCAGACGACCGGGATGAGCTTCCTTGCCATACTCCAGATGACAGCCCCGACTACAACAATCATTTTCCGGAATGGTGTTTTGGCTGCACATTAGGCCACCCTCCTGCAGAAACTCGCTTACACTACATTGAACTCCACCCGTTAGAGTGCGAACACCGGTTAACAGCGTCAGAAGACGAATACACGAGAGCGTTCCAGGCTACGCAGCTCGCACGGCGCGAATATGACAACTTATGCGAAGCCGCAGCTACTGGAGTAAGAGAGTGTATCAATTCCCTGGCCCGCGATCTATCTCAGTTCGAAGACCAATACCGCGCACTGGGCGGTCAATACTACCGTCAAGGCTGGTTTGCTCACCGAGACGCCATACTCCGGCACGACGCTTTTAACAGACTGATCGATGCGTTCCACGGCAACATTCCCATTCCCCATCGGAGGTTTTTTCGAGGATGGCTCGATCTTGAGATTTCAATCCGCGCAGCTCTTGATGCACTTGAAGATAGAAGCAAGATACGGGAGATCCGGGTGCAGACATCTCGAAAGGAATGTCAGGTTGCTACCACCTTTGTTCGAAATATTAACGAGAGTCTCAATCAATTGAAGTGCGACATCTCGCATTTCGAGTTCGTCGAAGAAGCTAATCGACAGTTTCGGCTCGATGGCCGACCAACAACCCGTGACCGAAATGCAGCGCTCTGGTACTGGCTTAAATGTCTTCCGGAAACTCATCTAGCGCTTCAAGCCGGGAAAAGAAGGTATCTGATCATACAAGATGCGCTCGGATGTTCTGATGAGGGGTTCGTCAATACCTTGCCACTTTGTACACCTACCGGACGATGGACGCATCGGCAAAGCGAGGAGCATCTAGACATTGAAACACCCACTACAGCGAGCAGCCATAATCGCCAACGCGAAGAGCGTCCGGAAATTGATATACCCATCATGACCAGTAGCTATCGTCGCCAAGTCAACAGGCGTTACAGACGCAGCTACGATGGGGGTGGGTCCCAATGCTCGAACGAACAAGATTGGGTAGACGAGATCCACACACCGAGAGACGACAGTGAGCCAGTAACATTTTCCGTCCGCAGAAGGCTTCTCGAATTAGATTTGTAAGAGTATTGCCCATGTCAATCCAGTATGGAGACAATGGGACTCTTGTATAGTCTTCGTCTAAAATTGAAAGTGATTTTCTTTCTTAACCAATGGTTTTTGGGTTCCCAATTTCCCTATATTTTCTCAGTATGTCTCAATAATACGCATATGGTGAGTATTTGAGCCCTCTGCGCATCTGTCAGAGGGAAACTCTAGGGCGTTCGGCTTCCTAGGAGCTTTACTTCTGGGATCTTCTCATTCAGTTCTCAGGGTACCTTTGTTTCTCTCAAAGAATCAAGCCATCCATAATAAATCACGCGATTACTGCATTTACACTCACAGCAAGACGGTTATACAATGCATGAGGGGTATATAGACAGTACAGCAAACTTTGGTTTCTCCCTATCACCACAATACAAAAGACGCTACTAATCTGCCATAACTCTAAATGGAAATATCTGGAAAAGCCATCCCGCTCTTAATTCGATAACGCCTAAAAACTGGTGCAATGAATTAAAGCCTTGGCGAATGGGTTCGAGATCAGATTAGGGCAATGTAATAGAATTAAATTTTCTCAAACATGAATAACGCCAATCCGGTATCTAATACCACCGAGTAAGCTCATATCACCCATAGCACGTCACTATCGAGCAGCATCTCTGGGACACGATTGATGCGGACTTCTATCCTACTCATCAAGGCTTTGAACAATCTTTGAACAACCTTTTCGGAGCTATTTGTGAGCTACTTTAGACGGCTGATACGCGCTTGCGCCACGTATGAGTGCCTTAGATGCGCAGCAGATCGATTAAAACATGCCGAGGCGGATATACTCATAGAAGAGCTTCTCCATCGCTATGAATGCTGGATAGGCACAGCGGCACGTTTCACTGAGGATCATTTTCAGTTTGTACGCTGGTACCCGATGCATATGCCCTCTCAAATTACCCACGATCCAGAAGGCTGGGCCAAGTTATATAGCCTGGACGAAGTCCCGCGATCATTTCAACGTGGCATGAAGTTAGAGCAGATGGTTCCACAAATGATTTCCCCTTAGTCTACCTAAAAAGGCGGTAGATCCGATTCCAAGGCTTAGAGTGGAGGAAAGGACTGACTGGGCTAGGGTGGGAAGCACTACGAAGGACTTTCTTCGTGAGGTCTTGAACTCGCTTTCTCCTCTTTAGTCTCACAGCGAGCGAATTCCGCAATACTTTCTTCTAAGCTCCTTGGCTAATACCCACTCACATTCTCCACTTCGGTCCCACAGCCAACCAACCTACTTCGTGAATGGACCTCTCGACTGTTACAATTCTGAATCGAGCGACAAAGAGGGTCAGCGGGTTCAATCTATTCGACCACATCCCCACAGCACCCCCAAACGCCCGTATCGGAGAACCAGCAACAGAAACTCCCCAAAATAGCGCGACGGTCCGGTCAGGGAGTGGACATGGGACTCAAAATCAGACTAGAGAATATCTCTGTCGAGACTTGGGCAACGTGTGGACTGGACAGCTGCTACATCGCACTCGAGAGACGGCCCGCCAGGGCGCAGGAGCTGGTGGACTGGTCAACATCGCGAGTGCCTATGAAGTGCCTGGGAAGTGGAGTGACCTTGTGTACTCGTAAAACCGCCTTCTCAGAGCAACGGCGCTGGGAACGCACCACTGACAAACTATCGCTATCTTTAATAGTCCACCATCACGTCCTCGACGAAACAATCCTTTCCACGCTGTGATATCTAGGGCTACCAGCAACCAGGTTCAAGACAATAATATATGTAGAGAGTTTGCTCGTCCAGTCGCTGACCGGATAATCAGTCAAGCCGATGTGAGGGTGCCGAATCTCCCTCCTTCACCATCCCGCCAGGAGTAGGGTTGCGAGCACCACCGGGAGTTCTGCTCCAGATGGCGGCGATTCCGAAACGCTTAATATCACGCTCGCCTTAATTATTGAAGATGCAACACCGACTTCCAACGAGGGGTACTACGGCTCGTACAAAGTGAACCGTAACAGTCATCTGTTCAGTACGAACTTACCCAGTTCGTGAGCCGCACCGTACGTTTAATGACGCCCTAGGGACGTTACGTAGCAAGGATGTATTACCCTTTTGAGAACAATCGCAGTTCGGCCCGCAGCACTGCGGTTCACTCATGTGGATTTGGCAGAGTTGTTTGAGACCGCGGTAGAACGTCGTGTCAAGTCCTACTTCTACCATAGTTCTCAACCCACACTACATCCAGGCTATACCAGATGGAATCTAAGGGTTGTCGGCAACCGAACGGACCCTTCCAGGTTTGAAAGAAGTAGATGTGAAGATGAAGACTTTGCTTGAATTCGCAGAAGATATGGTGGGGAGGATTGTGGGGAGGGCGGTAGAGGTCAAAGAGCAGGTGGTGCGGCTTCAAAATTCTGTTTGGTTTGCAATACTTCGGTGGAGAGAGTGTTCCAGAATGTGATGTTTTGCTCGTGGGCGGCGATGTTGCTGGAGGTGTAAGAGAACCTGGGGCCGGGAACGGAGGCAGGTTCAACTAACTGTGTAGAGCTCGTTAACAGAGGAGTGAAGGAGAGGTCTCCAAGGTGACTGTACATGGGTTTTAGGTGTGGTAAGGTTTGGGAATACGATTTCAACTTAATTCCATGAGCTCTGGATAGTGACAGCTATAGATTGTTGACTGCTGGTTAGATAAATCTAACTTGTAAAATTTCTAAGCCTCTTTAAGCTCCACCATATCTCAATCCTTTGGCTCTTAGAAGGACTGGGAATTTTCTATAGAACTCGCTGGACGATCCCCAAGCTCTGGGATATTCCCTACCTGTATTGATTCGACCATAATGTGACATTACTAATGCACCTGACGCGTGTAATTTGACGTATGGATGACTTAAACTGCACATAACTCAAGATTCATAACTGCACTCAACTTACGAGGCACATCGGAAAGTCTCTCACGGAGATGCGGAAACGTGATCGGGGCATGGAACCTGATAGGGAAGAAACCGATCCTCCCCTGCGGGCCGGCGGCCACCAAAAATCCTTCGAGCGCGGCCGAGAGGTGCGTGCGGCTCTGCTCCCGCACAATCATTCGATCGCGGGACATCGAGGGGCACCTGACCTCTCTGCATAAGGCTTGCATGAAGTTGCATGAGAATCACCATCCCTGCGGAATCTGCATGATGCTCGGTTCTCAGGATTCCAGCCCTGCGGCCTGGATAAAAGCAATCACGAAAATCTATCTAACAGAGATTGGTACGATACCATATTAACAGGGAAGAGCATGGGAATCATTCGCCCCACGCCAAGCGTAGTATTCCTCGAGCTAAGATGGGATAACTGCATAATGACCAGGACGTTCTTTCTATTAACTTAACGCCCACTGAATGAAGATGTGGGTATTGTAACTGACGCGAAAAACCTAATCCTAGAAGTAAAGGAGCCTCTATTGAAATATTCTGTATGTATGCGGGATGCAACAGAGTCCTTCTAAGGGGAATGCTGGGAATCATAGATGACCTTAGGTATTGAATCTGGAACTAAGTGATATGATTGGAGATTAGGTTGCGTTCCCGCTTGACTTGATCCACAGATCGCATTTGAGCTTGGAGATCGTGGTCCGATTTGCTTTGATTTAATAGCTCGGCGGCCCCGCGGAGTGATAGCATAGAAGGGTGGTGGAGTGACAACAGATTCCTCTTCAGAGCCTTGTGCATGCGCCTGGCTAAGACCTAAAGCGTCCTTATACCAAAGATCAAGTACCGAACATTCCCAGTCTGGAACATATGCATTGCGTGAGGAGACCTGCCACCGTAGCTCGAAAATCTCGAAGGGCGAAACTCGAAGCTTATGCAAAAGCCACTTGTTGACTCGATCGCGTGTGCTATTAAATATTAGAAGGTATTCGCTCAGCGTAGATTTTGTTCTCATATCCGTGTCCAGAAGCAGGAGGCTATCTCCATCACCAGATAAAGGATCGATGGAGATTGTGTCCTCGGGTCGCTCTGGAATGTCAGAGGCAATATCTTCCATTACCACATATTCTTCCAGAGTCATACTTTCGAGGAAAAGGTCTGTGTGCTCTGATGTAGTCATAAGAGCTCCCCCTATGCCTCGGAGCATTTCAGCAATGTCCTTGCTAGAAGCCAAATCTTGCAATGGCTCCAAATCGTGTGGGAGAAGTTCGTCTCTTAGCTTATGGATTTTACTCCTAGGTAATGTTGCCACGTCCTCGGTAAATGACTGTACGGGTCTCCGTGATAGCCCTAGAGGTTCCGTGTATCCATCTGTGCTCTTTATTCGAGTTGTCATTGGCCGGCGTGAAGTTGTCCCCGCAGATTTCGGTGTTGGTGTGGACTTGCGAGATCCATCCAGAAAAGTATCCACCATAAGCGGGACCTCACCAACTTTAACTCGGTCTCCTAAAATCGCCCCATGGAATAATGTGTAATGTCTTGGCTCAATCTCTTCTTCGCTGTCTTCGTCGCCCTCATTTTCTGACGACTTTTCGAATGATATACTTGACGGGACAATTCCGGCCGTGGATGTAGACCCTGCCCGAAGCTTAAAAAAGTTCTCGTAGCGGGATTCAAGGGTAGCATAATGCTCCGTCAAAGCAAATTCCGCCGCTCCGAGCTCAACATCCACGGCTTCATGAATGTCGTCAAAAGGTACGAGTTGGTCTCGAGCACGTTGTGCCGCTCCAAAGAGTCGTTCGAGTTCTTGATCCCCCTTAATACCCTCATTAACCACAGAGCGACGGAGATATTTAAAGAGTTCTGAATCGCACTGGCGTATCTGTTCCCTGAATATCCGCGCTTGAGCTCGCTTCTCTTGCGCGTCGACTCGTTTCCTGAGTACCTCGCCTTGCAGCTCGGCGAACTCGGCAAGTTCGTCCATGAATTTTGTATATAGCTTAAAGGCTGCTTTGTTGATATATGCATCGCCATCATCAGCCGGAGTGAAGATAGGTTGTGGATGTAGAGGGGCTGATTCAAGAGGATCAGTGGGTTGAGAAGAAGGAATTGGCATAAATATGGGTATCGGCGGCGGAGGGGGGGGGGGGGGGGGGGGGGGGGGGGGGGGGGGTGGTAAAGGAGGAACTCTCTCCGATATAGGCGGAGGTGTACTGTCCCAAAATCCAGGTGGAGGAGGTGGTGGAGAAGGCGGAGGAGGTGGAGGTAGAGGAGGAAGTTTGTTAGATATAGGTTGGGGTTCACTATTCCAGAATGAAGCTGGAAGGGGAGGTGGTGGTGGAGGCGGAGGCGGCTTAGGGTTGAACGGAACTACAGAATCCGACTTTCTCGCGGGCAGGACTTCAACTAGAAAGCGAACCCGCTTCCTCACCACAGGTGAGCTCTCCTCCACACAAGCCTCTCCGGCGGGGTCATGAGTATCGGCCTCGTCACCAGGTGGAGCAGTATCTGGCTCTTTTTCTGGGAAGTGAACGCGATCTCTATTCCCCCTTTTCTCCCTTTTCTTAGCATCGCCCAGAAGCACCTTTTTGGCGAGTAAGTTGAGCGTTTCAACTTCCTGTGAAACTTAGCAACTAAAAATTATCTTCGGGTGTGAAGCAGATATTACCTCGTCATCTACAATGTGCGGTTTGGACATGTTGTGTATGGAGAGCGGGATTCTAGCTAGACAGAACAATTGGTGGAAGGGGAGCAACCGGCAAGAGATTTCAGCAGGACAAAGTTGGTTCAATCGCTAAGTGTTTGCGTTTGGCGCGTTGAAGTAATTGTCTACTGCCCTACCCTCGTAGGTTTGATGTGAGGGAGTGAGGTTGAAGATGTCGAGGTATGGAAGAAGTGAGGCTCACGTCGATGCACAGGCCGCATGGCAGTCATGGCATATCACTTGACTGAGTTTGTGCAAATCGCTACCCCACCCCCGCGAGCTGCCGCTGTCGTGTCAGCACTCTTATCGGTGCAGTCATCTCCACGTTGGTATTGGTGAATATATAGAATCGTCTACCCTCTATGTACGCCTTGCAGCTACAGCTAATAACCCTGTCTTCCTCGCCTTTAGCGGCTCTTTGCTAGGCCCCATGGCCTGCTTGCTCCCTTCTACTCGGTTGTATTAAAACCCGGGCTCCTACCCCGCAAACGAGGTGCTCTCGCAGACTAGAGATGTAGTGAGTGATGGCTACTTACTCCGAGTGGCAATGGTCTGCAGAGCAGCGTCAACATTATTGCGCGGTTTACGATGAAGAGGGGACCTTGATCGAATATCAATGGGAACGTGGCCATCGACAGCCAGTGGCCCCCAGCCAACAGACACATCAAGCCCGGCCACAGCCGCAAGCACCTCAAACACTGCAGTCGACTTCACCAAATCCTACGTAAGCATTTCGGAGTCGATACTTTCTTGACGACTGCAACCCGAAGACTGCACTAATTCCACGAACAGCGTTCCCCGCAGCGTGCAGCCCTACCTTTCAGGGCTAGCAGCCCCTCCAGCGCAGTCATCAGCAGTTCCGCAAGCACAATATCAGACATCTCTACACCCAAATTATAACCAATACCAAGTATCTTCTCAGCCTCAGGCACGGAACTATACAATTTCTCCCCAGCTAAGCAATGCGGCACCTATGCAACCGGGAAATCCGGTCGCAGCGCATAATCAAATCCAATCCCCCTACGCGACATCTCCTCATACTTCCCAATCACAATATTATACAACATCTCATCTCTATGGAAACCAGCCGAGGTATACAGTTAGCTCTGCTACTCTCCCACAAGATATTCAGGAGAGTGTAGGCGGCGATAAGAAGCAACGATTCATACAGACAGAAAACACTGACCGACAAGACGAGAGACTCAGCACGCGTACGCCTTATCATTGTAAATAAGTTTTCTAATCTGCTAACGGTAGCAAGAATATAAACGGGTGTCTTCTCAAGACCAGGAGCAATTCTTTTGCCGAGGTAGGGTATGTTGCTCTATATCTTTCGCGGTACTGGACATATCTAAGTAGTCTTAAAGGTTTTCAAGATGCTTTGGACTGAGCCAGCCGGCCAGCAGAACTTTGGAAAGACTAGAGGCTCCACCCATTTCAGTGTGGTGTGGCTGGGCGAAGGAGTATATTCGGAGATTAGGCGATTTATAGTTGTGCAAAACAAAGGGACCTTTAGTCAGTGCATGTAAGTTCTCAAAAGCTTTCTTTTTCCCTTCCATTTCAGGCTGGCGGGATGTACTACTTGCGGATCTGTGAGATGTACAATTTCTTTACTTGTTTCATCTAGGATCGCCGCTGACAAGTACAGCCCTGTGCAAACATACCGACGCCAAGGCGCAACCAAAGAGGGACTTGTTGTAGACGATCACGCCATTGTCTATACGGGTCATTCAGGTGTACCCCCACCTGCCCTTCTGGCGGGCGAATACATCACGAAACTTCCCCTTCGTGTGATCCCATACAAGAACGAGTCTCTTGACAAGGAATCCCGTGTTAATTTTGGTAAGCCTTACGCCGTAGAGCACAACGTTAAAGTCGTCGAGATTGGTATGATTGCTGAGGAGCACATCCATCTTCTTGTCAACTATTTTACACAAGGCATGAGTATCAGATAAGTTCGAACTATTTCCGGTCATCCTTTCAGTGGACTAATGATTTCGTGTTTCGTACTCATCCATATACGGAGAGCGACCGGATGAAGTCCAAAGATATACGTGGAAGTGTTAAACCCTATACGATGTGCTCCATCTCCCTTCATTCCTCTCCCTTTCAAAATCTCATTTATTGGCCTTCTTCTCGCTATTATTATATGTTAACTCTCCTTGACTCTTTACACTATCATCTGAACAGTATGCTAGCCAACTTCCTTTCTAGGGCCCTACGCTCAAAACTCCATGGACTGTTGTAGCTGAGGGGATGCGGTAATGGGTGCACTTTGGCTTCATTTTGTTTCATTCTAATTTCCATTCACGCAAATTGCACAATTTGATTGCTTGTAATAATTTGATGCATTTTTTGTGCAGTGTAGTCTGCCTCTCGCTTTGCATGTATTTGCTCACGCATCTTCGCAATTCTAGCTGAAGGACAAGATATTCACACCCTGACTCGCAGTGACATCCAAAGTTTTGGTAGCATTGTTGCCAAATTCTTCTGTGTTCGGTATCCATCCGGATCAGCGGGTCTACGCCTTGATAAGCTTTTGCATGATATCTGCCACTAAATAGGCTCAGAATTCTTGTGCAATAAATGTGCCAGGGTAAAGGCTAATACCCACGTTTTCGGTTGCCACGACGGGATGCAGGGCTTCCAACGGGCCGTACTACGGTCCGTACAAAGTGAACCGTAACGGTCACGTGTTCAGTACGAACGTACCGAGTTCGTGAGCCGTACCGTACGATTAATGATGCCCTAGGTACGGTACGTAGTACGGATGTCTCAAAAATGCCTATTACAGACCATTTTCTATTCCAGAGTTATCTATCCACGCCTCTTGCCGCCTTACAGGCCTCATCTAGTCCTATCTGCTCTTGTTACTAGGGAGAACTAGTTATTTTATAGTTAATTAGACCTTAATCTTGCGTCTCTAGAGACCCATAGTCTTAGCTGTTTCGACTAGAGTACGGCGTACTTTAATCGAATCGTACTACTCGTACAGATCACGTGAGCCGTAACAGTTACGATACGTACACCTACCTCTCCTCCCCCCTGTCGTACGAACGTACACAAAATCTCACCCGTACAGGCCTCAAAATCGCCCAATCGTACAGTACTACGCCTCGTTGGAAGCCCTGACGGGATGTCCACACGCGGGGGCTAATGCAACCGTTCGTTAGCGTCATTTGCTTTGAATACTAAATTCGGTTAGCGGAGGAGTGCCCCAAAACGTCGGGTGTTAGCGTTGGAGTGGGATATAAGATAATGTGAGATGGCAAGCAATAGAGATTCATAATGCTGAAACAAATGATTCAAAGGGCAATGTCATCAGCCAGCCATGTATGAACCTTTCTGATGCCTTGTGAAAACAGTATTTTTGCGGTCTCGACAACTTAGGTGTCCGCAATGGAACGCAAATTCTAAAACAGGATGAAGGAGAGTCGCACAAGAGGGAGTCAACAGGAAGGCATATTTTATAACCTACTCATTAATGTTGCATGTCTTAACTAAGCTCTAAGCCCCATCAACCGGATGCATAGCCATACGATTTCGAGTCGTCAACCATGCGATCTAGTCGACAGTGGCTTTGAGGGCGGCACGCTTTGCCGCGCCTTAAGAAACATAATTATTTCAAGGGTCTGAGAGAGAAGGGAGATTTTAAAAACCAGGCAGCTAAGGCCTCATTTCTCGCTTGGTGTGTGTGTGATGATTTCATCCCCGGAATTGGAAGCGTCCCCATAGCAAGGCCGCGACATGTGGCTTCGAGCTGGCGGACTTGGCAAACACTGCGGTCAAGCAATGAGTTAACCGGGCGTTTCGTCCTCTTGCATCCAAGGTTTCTCCGACCTAGGTTTAAGCCAAAAAGATGAGTGAGTTTTGAGGTGGACTGGTTTCGTGTATATTATCTTCTAGCGCCAAACTAACAAAGGACTAGCTGAGAATGCAATTATCATTATTCATTACTTATGATCTCATTCGACGTGATGTAGTTGTAGAAAATGTTCTGAGAACTAGCCTACTAGGCCAAGCCCTGGAGCACGGACCAATATTTCAAATTCTGCCTGGTGCATCACCTTTTCTCTACCTCTTTACTCGCCCCCACAGACGCGAACCTAATCCCAAACCTACCTATATCGAGGAGTTCATATGAAACAAGAAAAAGCATGTAATATCAATGAAAGTGAGATGTTAAACTTCAGCAAGCGCAACCAAAAGAGATCATCTTCAAGCAGACGTTATCATGAGTTTGGACACAGCATGACACTCAATCGCGAAACGCGAGAGTGTATGTGAACGTATGGGATTATTGTTGTCCCTCGGACCTGTACCTGCGCCTTCGATTTCCACCACGGGACCTGGTGGATCCATGTGAGCCGGAGCCTTCCCCATGTCTCGGTCCAGTTGGAGCATCATCGTGGGGTACCTCCGTTTCGTTTCCATCATCTCCGTCATCGGTACTTGGAAGTTCTGTTCCTAAGCTCTGGTGGTAGGCTCTTGTATTCTCGGGGATTGGTGAGATCGGATAGCGCCCAGTTGAATTCAAGATTTGGAAGCCGTTTCCGCTAGGATCATCGGTTGGTCCCTGGCTGTTCTCATTTTGAGGAGCATACGAAGGCGCATGCGAAGGTGCATAGTAACCCTGGGCCGTTTCAGAGGAATTACTAAGACTAGGATCCGGTTGTGATACTTGGTGAGATAGTGGTCCAATGTTCCAGTGGGAATTGAATTGAGTGATGAGCTTCCACTCATCATTCCTGTCAACATACCCAAAATCGTCAATTTTCACATTATGCTCCACTGTGTAAACTTTGAGGAAATTAACGCGGGACATGGGATCCATTCTCCCCCACTGATTCTTTCCTATAACGCGAATGGGATCTCCCATGGGAAGCTCCCACGCCCCACGTGGCTCCTCGGACGGAAGTGGCAATGGTGCAACATCTCCGGTGTACATGATCGCGTGGTCTTTTTTTACTTTGTTTTCTGGTACTCCTCTTCCACGATAGGTTTGGATTGAGCTGCCACGGTTAGGAACCCGACTAAGTCTAAAGAGCTTTCACAGCGTAAGGGGAAATAAAAGGACGTCGAATGGTACTTACAGACAGGTGCAGCAGTTGTGACCTTCACGGACCACGACGAACCATCTGACCTTCACAAAAAAATTCTCTCCTTCAAATCTTGGCGTTGATGCAACAGTTATATTTTGGTTCATATCGCCAGCTAGTTCAGGCCATAGAACCCGAAAAACAAGACCTTTCTTAAAAAACTTGTGGCCAGGACGTCGAATACAGAAGCCTATAAGCCATTCAGCAGCATGTTACATGTCTAATTTATTCAGAACCTACTGGAGTCCAGCTTTTCTCTCGTGGATTCAGAATTTCCGCGGATTTGTCTGTGCGGTGTAATACCCAGCTGAAGAAGGTCTGGTGGCGTGCCAGGATTCATTACTACGTTGCGACTGACTACCTGTAGTCTTTCTGGGTCACTCGGTTGCGAATTGTCTCTTCTCTCCTGTGTGTTTTGATAAGGCATTGCTCGTGAGGGCCTTGTACCCTCCCTTGCCTGAGGATTTGGTGGAGCAATCTGGTCCTGATGCCATCCATGAAATGCCCTGGTTGGATTTGAAAGAGGCAGCTGGGGGCTACATCCTGTTGGCGTTGTGAGGGGAGGATTTGGGTGCTCGTAGCTAGCGTAGCTGCTCCCTCGATTCCAGCTCGGATCCCCAGGCCCTACCAGTACGCCCGAAGATAGAGATGTGCTTCTTGGAGTTGCTTCCATTGGGTTGAAATTCCTCTCTAGCGATATATTTTCGAATAGGCTTGACAGACCACTCGAAATGCTACAATTACTACTGTCATTGCTCTCGGTTCGGCCATGCAACGTAGTCAACGTAGAGGCCGATTCGTTCTGAGGCCGTGGCTCCTGCGCCCTGTTAAGGGGATTTGGTCAGGCCAATCTCACCAAAAAAGTTGGGTATAATACTACATACGCTGGGCTGGGCTGAGCCGCGACAATGGTTTGCACCGTTTGATATACGTAACACCCTCTATCATAGTCGTAGTAGCAATACGCGCTCCTTTCGGAATCCCACATCCAATTTGTGAAATCCATCTCTAAGCGTATAGTTCCTCGGGACACGGCTCGACATCACTCATAAATAGAGCCTTGACCGGAAATCTACCGCGTGATAATTTTGCGGCTCTTTCATCAAGGTGGCTTTTAATTAACTCCTCTGCGAGACCAAACAATGCCAGCAAGGTGGCCCTGCAGCTAGGAAACGTGAATGTGGCGCTGGGATGCATCCCGCTCAATATCGGAGGGGTGGTCATACAGTATCAGCTCATGCAGGCGCAAACATGCTGCATTCTGCGAATGAGTTGACGTTTGCAACCCTGCAATTCCCTTGGCAGAATAGCCGAGACGTTCTTCCGCTGAGAATCATTCTCCTTCACTTAACACATCCTTTTGGCAATGCTAAAAGTTGGTGGTCTCGCACTAAATGTCAACGCTTCAGGCCGAGGACGATCGGGACTGCCATTTAAAGTTTGTAGCCCCTGTCAGGTCAGCCTTATTAAATACTGCCTGCTTATCCTTGCACACAACTTCGAGTCTACATTGCAAGGCTACTAACGAAAAGCAGCTCGAGACTTCGAGAAGTAGGCTTGGGCAGTGGCGTAATATCTTCACTACAAGATGCCAATCCACCGCTTCACTCCAGCATCACACTCACTCTAAATAAAAACGTACCCCTCCCACCAGAATCTTCGCAAACAATTTCGACCGTCTCCACGGTAAAATCACCAGCCACTGAAGAACTACGATTCTCTACAGATGACGGAAGAACGAAAGTCACGCTCGACCCTGCTTCTCAGATATACATTATTCAAATATGGATGTCAGCTCAAGGGCATATCGCTTCGTTGCGGAATCTTATCCTTAGAGCACGGATGGACTTGAAGCGAGAAAGAACACGCTGTAATCAGCTGGAGGAGCTTTTTGATAATATCATGAACAACTTCATGACGGTTGTGAACACGGCAACCGAGCATAGCTCTTATCTTCATAGTCGGGAAGAACTGGAACATTTGTCAAGAAAGATGAATATTTCGAGAGATGATATCGGACGTCAGAGAGAGAAGAATGCTAGGTTGGAAGATGGTCTGTCTAATCATGAATACAGACTTACTGAGTTGGAAGGGGAAATCTACCATGAACTGGACAAGGAATTCCGGCTGGGCTCAAGTCAGCAATGCTCAACCGCTTCTCATGATACCCCATCTGAGCATGTACTGTCATCCGGCAAAGAAATAGCTGAGCCTTCAGCATCGCCACGGGATGAGTTATACTCTAGGATTGGGGACTTAAGAATCTTGTTGGATCGGCTGAATGAGTTCGAGTACGATTTAAGACAAGAACTTGATGAACGTGATCTCCTTCGGGCAGCAGGTCAACCCGATCTCTTTGATGAGGAGGATTTTCTGGAGGAGCGCAAAGCGGAACGAAGAGATATTCAGCTGAAGCTTGAGCAGACACAGGTGGAAGTTGATCGACTAAAAGAGCTATGTACGAGTCAAGGCATTCCATTCGAAGATGTCCAATTTACGGATGCCTTGGATGGCTCTTCCGCAGACACTTGTACGGGAACCTTAGAAAAGCACAACATCCCTGGTCACCGTAGCGGATCATCAAGTATACTCAGCACTATTTTCAACGCTCGCGAGAGAGTCAAGAACTGGTTGACCGATTCTTCCAAACTGGAAGCGCCTCGTTTTTTTCCCGCAGCAACAGAAGACGTGGACCAAGTGGCAACACAAGACTCCCAATCTGACTTTGGCTGGGTGGATCTCACGCTCCCCAGACGTCCCTCATCAGAAGGTATGCCTAGAATTTACGGTTTATCCGTAAGCTTGCCTAGTTTGACTCGAGGCCCCTCAACAGGCTCAATACTGCTTGATGCGCTTCTCCTCGACGCATCTGAGCCTCCCACCGTCACGTTCACAAATGCGGAAACTGTACAACGCCGCAGATGAGACCTCGTCTTACAATCGGAAACCCTACGCAGTGCCCCCGAAGTCCGATCCCATTCTCCTTTATCATACGCCGTGTTGCACCTCTCTGACGATGATTTTGCCTCTTCCAGACGGCACAGACAACTCAGCCTCCTGGCATTTTCAGCTATATACAGCCTTTAATGATATCTAATAGAAGGATAAAACTTAATCCCTCGCTTATCTTTCGGCTTCTCCAAACCTGTACCCGTGTTTGTACCACATTCCATTCGGCAATGCCATCCTGCTGAGGCGTTAGGCCATCAGACCGGAAACTTGCCTTATTCGAAGATTCATGTTATTTGCCCTTTTTGAGCCTCAACCCTTTCTTTGCACCACCGACGTTGCTGCTGACACGCCATCTTCAGGTTCTGGCTCTGGAAGACTCGTAATCATCAATCTATTTCGGCTAACACTGTGCTTTTCTATCCATCCACAACGCTATCACCCACAGCCAACCCTGCCACATTCTCCTGCACATCCAATCCCATCCAATCGTAAGAGCGTGGCTGCTTCTTCTGCGTACGATGTTTCTTCTTACTCGTGTTGGAATGACCGTCTTCATTGAAGATTGGGTGTACACATTTCCCTCTGCGTTTGATTGGCTGCCTCACTTTTGCATTTGGCGGAACGCTGGGCTCCGAGCTCGTCTATGTTGCACATCCCTTCGCGCACTCTAGTCACGAACGGAAGAGATGACTTTCACAAGACCAACCGTACCAAGTTTCACATTCTATTTGCCATTCTCCCTCAAATTGCGAATATTGGTTTTAGACCTTGGGCGAGGGAGGCTGGTGCGGCGTGATTCGGAAGGACATGTGCAAATGGACAGGGCACTGTGCGACCACTTCGTCTGTTGGACGAGTCGTTATTCAGGACGATGTTCATCGATTGCCTTGCAAACACTAGGCTGCCGTGTCGCAAAAGGAAATGGTCACCCCTCAATCATCCAATACGACTCCTGCAGGACGTGAAGCATGTGCACATCTCATCACGCACAGACACCACCACTCAAAGGATGCTATTTCGTGCATTGCGCTTCTGCTCCCCGGGTTGTGGGGTCAAGGATCAATTCTGTGACTCATTGGGCACTTTGGAATGAGGTATCGCCTCTTTCTTTTTCCCAGCCTGTTTCCGAAGACGTGGTCCAAGGGTGCGGGAGACCGCCCGTTTAATCCGCTGGGATGTTGCGGCACTTCAGCGGGAACGCGGGAGGTGTACGGCTTATGGATACCCTTTTTGGTAGGTAAACTTTTCGGGCTTGTGCTCTGAGATATCAGGGCGCACCAAGCGAAATGACTAGAAAGAGCGCAAGACAATACAAATTCTTAATTCCTCACTTATCGGGATGATTCAGCCATGACATGGGAGCGTTGTGACAATCCTCGCCAAGCCACGGGCGGAAGCATGAAGGCTCTGTGCAGGCCGGATTGAGGATTCATCCGGTGACCAAACTGACGATGGGATTCATGCCATGCTATTCCATGCTATTCCATGCAACGCTGACTGCTGTCTCTTTTCAAACCGTCCGTGCATTGCTGATGGCACTGCCTCCATAGGCTCTGGCGCCTAGAGTGCTGAATGTTGAAGCTTGCGAAGATGTCCGTCCTAAGACCACAGAGGTCACTTCTCGCGTCCAATGGACACGGACGCAGCATTTGTAGAGGTTTGGTGTACACTAGTATGAAAAGGCGAACAGTGTGCTTTCAAACGGCTGACTACACGGCCGCAAAAGCAGGATTAAAGCCTTGCCGCAATCTAGGTAGATCTATTGGAAAAGCAAGAGGGCATTTGCCTACTTGTCTAGACCGTCCCAGCCAATTAAGTTACTCAAATGTAACACCGATGCGACATGGCCGTGAATCGTTTCACTGGAGTCCATCCAGGTCATGGACCGGGGCGGCTGCGAAGCCATCGGGCCGCGTTGCAGAAGAACACGGCGTCCCATCTCAAATTATTCCATCAAACGGCTTTTAGACAACAACAAATAAACTTGGTGGTGGTTATCAGAGTCAACAGCCTTAACGAACCAATCAAAAGCAATTATCCAGACACTCAGCCGTGTGGCACAGCGCCTGTTCGATCCTGAAGGCCTAATGTTGGCGACTCTTGGACTGGAATCCTGTCGAATTGAAGGCAGGTCTCCCTGGTCGTGCAGGCGTCCTACCAAACGTCAGACATCTGTCGATAAAGTGTTGAATATGTGGTGAAGCAGCGCCGTGGCCACACAATCAAATTAGAGGGCAGGGGCATGCTGGACACAATGAGTGCTATGATATGACTCAAAGTCAATGTGCAGCTGGAACATCTAGGAACCAAGTTAGGGGTATTTAATCTGTGGGAATCCTCACGGGAGTTTCCTTTAAATCCAATGAAAACGATAGGTTTCGAACGGTGGATGCCGTCGCTGCAAGGCTACATCTAGATCACAAAATTCCGAACAACATGGGTATCAAATATCCTCCAATAGGAAATCGGAATAAACCGTCCCACGAATGCTCTAAAATATCCAAATGGGGCCGATAGAAACCTTGGAATTGAGATTCTTAACGCCGACTGAAGGTAATTAGGCAAACAACCAAGTGAGGCAAAATGGAAGGGCAGCTAGTATCCAAACTACGCTAGGAAATTCCCTAGAGACATTTGCTCGTCTTTGGCTCTTAAGTTTGGCACCAGCTCCTGAACGAGGCTGAGTTCTCGGATTATGCGGAAGAAACGAGATGCTGACGCGAGCAAGGAACCTGGAAGCGGAATGCAGTGCTTGGAATACGAGTAATAAAGGAAGAGCCAAGCTGAGCTAGGTTGGAACAGAATCCACCATATTTGGAAACAGCTATCGTTGCAGCTTGGGAGAGGCCCTCAACGTCTCTTTTGCCCGGGAGGTAAGATTAAGGCGAAGGGAGCCCAATGATGGCCACAGAGGAAGGAACTTGCATCCTAAGGTGAGGTGGTGATTTGAAACACACCTTCGAGTGTGCTTGGGAGATTTGATTGTTAGAGGTGTCCTGTAACATAGGTATATTCGAGGATGGATAGCTTTTTATTAACATTCTGCGTGATATGAACCGTATGGGGAAATCAGATATCTCGAAGTGCATCTTGGAGTTGCGAGAAGCGGTTACAACCTTCTTCCTTGGAGGTTACAAGGGTTAGCGAAGGGAGGAAAAGTATTATTGCCCCAGGGATTAATATCCTTACATTCTTATTACTGCTAGGCCATTCCTTGCCTGAAAAAAAACTTGTGATGCTAGAGATACTTTTGCAGCGCCTTGGTAAAAAGGGGCAGTGGGGTATGCTGCGTTGGCTGGAATGTTCTGAGACTGGCCTTGAGCGTGCCAGAGAGGGCGTGTTAGAGAATGTGTGGTATGAGGATAGGTTCAACGGTGAAGTCGTGTCTTCGCCAGTTATTGTAATTCCGTCAAGAGCGTTGGGAAGAAGCTGAGTTTGGCCTTTTTGTGTTAGGAGGTGAAACTGTGTGCAAGGGAGGAGCTCACTATTGAGGCCGAACCCTGGGATTGAGTGAGGGGGTGTTAACTCAAATTGCGGGAGGTTGTTATCGCAGCCCGACATACCTGACGGATTCTCTCTTATATTAGTATTGACTTTGGGATTCTGGCACTCTAGAGAACGTAGATCTGGAGGGCTCTTGTCCAAATCGGCATCGTCTGTGGCTGCAAAAGACTGCTCAGGTTCTACTGGACCTTGAATGATCTCCAGTTCGGGTGTAGAAAGTTGGTGCGTGGCATTCGATGCTATTGCTTCATTTTCGGAGACGACTGAGGCCTGAGCACTGTCATGTCGTAAGGAAAAGCGAGGTTCGAGATAAGTCTCCGTATCCGGGCCCACAATCCGGACATTGTCATCCTGCTCCAAGAATGATGAGGGATAAGAATCCGCACCCGGACGCGAGGGCAGGTCTTGGATACTAGTGGGAGTAACCCTTAAGATAGGAATATCACTGGGTTTGCTTGAAGTTGACTTTGGGGATTCAATTGGGGGAAATTCCGGGGCGATTGCCTGGCACACTTCCTCGGTCCAGGGTCGCTCCAAACGCTTATCATCACTCTCTAGGGCTGGAAGGGGAGCATAGTTGAAATTGGCATCGAAATCAAGCCCAATTTTGGTTTTGGGTGCCATGGACCAAATATCATCGGTTTGGTGCTGTCCAGGGGAGTTCGAGAGTGTATTTGGATTTAGAGACTTGCTTGTTTGATGAGTTATAGAATGTATCTCTTGGGGAGATTGATGTGACTCTTCGCTCATATCATGGGGCCAGTATTGCGTAGCGCGGTCCTCCCAGGATTCATGATCGGAGTAGGGTACATGGAATTGGGCAAGTATATTTAGATATGTTGTCCTCTCCACCGGGTTGGTTTTGAGACGTTCCAGTATCCAGTCTCGAATACGATGCTTGATAGCAGGATTTTCTAAAAGGGTCGGGACAACGCCATCAGTTTGGGCCCTGGTGATGGTATCGAATGACACCACCTTCCGTACTTCGAAATGGGCAGGGTCAGAGTTTCGACGGGTCATTACCGAGTCCAAGGCTTCGCGCTGCATAAGATCTTGTTTGAACTGTTGGATCTTAACTTCGCACTCGGCGATTTCGGTCAGCAAGGCACTATATCTAGTCACAAACTCTGAGGTCTCTGGTGCTCCACTTAGGTCACCAGATCTATGTCGCTTTCGGGCCTTTTGTTCTTCGATAAATTTGGCTTGTTCGGGTCGAAGGGCATTGAATTGTCTCTTGAGCTGGTCAAGCTTGGCTAAGGTAGCCTGATATTCCATCCGTATAAGAGCGGAAGAAGGAAGGAGATCCGGCCGACTTGGTTGTGGAGGGGGTTCTGTGTCTTTGTTAAGGGTGTATCTATTTAAGAAGCCATCTGAAAAGAGATCCTGAATTTCGTACTGGTAGAAGTCATTCTCCTTGTCGATGAAAGTCCATTCAGAACCTCCCAGTGAACGTTCGGCCTGCAGGTAATCTTCTTCCATCGATCCTAATATGTCCCGTTCTTGTTCAACTTTTCGATAAGCGGCATTAAGTTCAGACGTAAAGAGGTCACCATGCCTATTGATGAATTCGCGGAGCACGCTCATAAAGGCGGCTTCCGCATCTCCAGTTTGAACCCTCCGAATACGTACTTTCTTTCCCGCAGATCTCACATTGTCGCGCTCGAGGAGCAATTTCTCTCTTTCTTCAGCCAATTTCTCTTGTATTTTTGACGCTTTCTCAAATCTCTGGCGAAAGTATAGAACAAGGTCTCTGTCCAGCCTCCGGGGCTCTCCGGGACCGGCCCCATTCCCGTGCAATTGGAGTCCGCGATCGTGGATTCTCTCAGGGCTTGCTATCGACATGGCAAAGGATGTTGAAGCTGGCTAGATGTCCAGAAGGCTGGATTCTCACGACCATACTCCAAAGGATGGACTGGAGAAAGGCAGTCGCGGAACCGTTTCAAGGCTAATAAGCAAAGGAAGGCAAATCCGCGGGCTGAGAGCTCAATGTCCAAAAGTCGATCCAAATCTGGTTTGTCAAAGAAACCTTCCGCTAGTAAACACGTGGGATTTCCTGTCCAAAGTCCGGCGGCATACGTGGGTTAATGTTAGAGGTCGCAATGAATGATTGCGTCCCAAGCAACACGGTCTCGTTTCCGACAAGGATGGTACAGCCGAAGGGGTTAATGGCTGAGCGAAAATGTGGACGGAGTCCAAGCCCACCAGCCTGATAGATAAAATAGGCTAACGGAGTACATGCCTGCTGTGCCCTTCCAGAGCCTGATCGGTCAGGGAGTCGTAGCCCGTCGGCTGACATCGTCAAGCCCAAGAGGTTCCAGGCAGCTGGGGCGCCGCACGGAGCGCACGCCGCTTTTACTATGCAGCAGTATTTTTGCGCGCGAAGGGCAATCAGCCCCACAACCCAAATATCCCTGTGAAACGAGGTCGAAAATTGCATATGCACGCATTCTGCGCGAAGGGAGAGAAGCTATCAAAATATGCAACCATGCAGACCACACATCTCCCCCTCATCAACCCCAAGAGAGCGCTGTCCGCAGAGCCGCCCTTCCCTGGTTTCCTGTGGCTTGGTCTCATGATGTACTTATTGCCGCCCATCGCAGTTCCAAAAATGCTGATACCCGTTACATCTAAGAGCGGAAAAGATGGCATCCGGTGGCAATCCCTGGATCTGGAGTGTTGATTATAAAGACTATTACTGTGTTACGCAAGACAACTTCGGTAAGACCACAGCAGGACTTTGTTACGAACGAAGCCTAATTGACATTTCAGGAAACAACATCTACAAATTTGCCGGACTCAATTCCCAACCAAGTTCCAATATCCCCAACATGAACCTAGCATTCCAAGGTAATGTAGGGCCATACCCAACTACAGCGGCAGTATATCAGGCCTCAGACCCAAACATGCCTCCTCCTGGTGAATTGCCACGCACAAACCCCTGAGACATTGAACTGATGCAACGTGTAAGTTCCGCAAGATATTAGACTCGGAGTGCCCGATTTCATCCCTGGAACCCCCCACAGGGGATGGTACGAACCTTTGGATGACAGTAGGTCCAGCCAGGAATATTGGAGGAGTTGACCGAATTAAGGAATTCTAGGTTATCGGATGAGGACTGGTAGTGAAGCCCGCGCGTTCTTCAAGCAAGGAAAGGTACGATCTATGCATTTCCATAAGTGTAGAATTATCTGGTGTGCTTACAGATGGACCGAGGTCTTCGCCATGCTGCATTCAGAAGCAGCTAGCGAAACCCTAGCAAGAAATGGTGACGACAACATCACCGTTGTAATGCATCGGGGACATGTTTTTTCACAGATCCGTCGCTTTGTAATTGTCAAGGAGATGAGGAATTTCGTTTATGCCTGGTATGATCATCTCATTTACTTACTCTCCCTCTTGCTAACGGAACAGTCCAATCACAACATATTCTGGTCGGGGCACTGCAAAACCAGGGTGTGACCCATCAGAGCATGCAATTGTCTACTTCTCTGGGAGTACGCCTCAATTGGTCCGCGAAGAGAATGAAAAGTCCATAGAACTACAAAAAGAACCAATCGGCGTTAATCCTGCAGACACCAGTTTGAGAATGCATCCCGCATCTCGCATCCGATTTGGAAAAGCATACCCTATCGAATGGAACGTTAAAGTTAAGGACATAGGGGATGTCTTGCCAGCAGACAGAACCCGACTTTGGAGATATTACCTGGAAGGGCTCAGGCCAACAGACGATTAAGACGGGAAACCCCATACGTTTCTTCCAAATTCCTTTATACGTTGCTTTCTTTGCTTCCTTGATTGGAAGACTGAATCTCCTATCAGACCTCACATTACGTTGGAATTTCCCTACATCACGTTTCCTCCGCTAATAACGGCCGTTATATCTTCAGCAGAATTGCAGGCCACTTTTCCATAAGAAAATTTGGTTCTCGGAGCTGTGAAGAACATCAAATTGAACCCAGGCAAAGTTACTACGATTGGGGTTTTAGTTTACATCTATATATACGTTAATCCAACCTCGTTGAATTACGTCTCAAGATTTTGGTCGTCGTAGCAACTGTATTGTGTTAATTAGTAATCAGCGCGAGTTAAACCTTCAAACATGCATGCGCATATCTAATTTCTTCGGAATATCTATTTTCACGGTCCACTTTAACCCGTACATTCCTGTCGTTTCGCCCGATCGATTCAGACATCAATATTCGACGTGATTGACTCTCATTATTACTTATACCTTTCTAGGAGTATCTAGTAAGAGCCCACCGGTGGCCTCAAAGTCTTTTTGGAACAGTCCGACTGTCGGTGGAATAGGAACTCTCCTCTCGGACCCAGCAGATGCCTCTGCACCACTTCATGATAACCTTTCTACTTTTAACTTTCGACGCTTCAAATATTTGCTTCTCTATCCATAGATGCGTGTAGCTACTGAGAATAATCCATGAAAATGGCGTACCGAAGAATGTCCCGCTTTCCGACGAGCATTTAGTCAATGCAGAGGAAAATTCAATCTGAATGGGACTGCCTCGCCGAGAACGCTTTCACTGTTTGCTCTTGTGGCGATGGGTTGAAATGGAATCGGTTTCCTTCTCCATCTGCGGAATTGACGCAAATTACTTGTTCTTAATTTGCTAGATACGAATGTCATCAAGTCTACCATGTTTGAAGTTTATTGCAAACGGAAGCACCTTTATGTGAATGCATGTACAATGGCACTTGTATACAACCAAGCTTCAAGCTTAACGCGGGAACTCGAAGGACAAGCATTAGTATCTGTGTTCTACCCGTTACAGGCATGTCAAATTGCCTAGAAGACTCACGAGTTAACTTCCACTTTGGTCATTGAGGCCTTTTTTAGACATACCTTAGTTATTCCAGATGGATGTTGGCTCAGGTCCTCTTCCCTTTGAATCTGAAAGTCCCTCGAACGCACCCGATCATCTACTCGGGGAAAAGCCGTATCCTATTCTCGAAGTTCTGGGCAATTATGATCATGATCGAGAGGCAATTAGATCTCCACTGGAGAACCGTCTCGGCGATATATTAGATTGGTCGGCGGTATCACGTCCAGACCAGTCCCAGGATTGACTCTCGCTAGATGTATGGGCCTACTCTCAGGACCCATTCTCACTAAACGTGTGGATCCACATGATCCATCTCGCTCGATTTGAAACAGGAAGAAGACTCGCTGTTGCTCGAGTTGAAAGATGTAGCAGACTGGGAAACCCCCAATCGGGCAATTAGCAATCGACCTTAGCGAGGTGGTACCGCAATTCCTGTACAAGTTGTACCCGAGTACCACAGATCCTCGTAATTTTCTTAGGGTTTTAAAGGACTCTTCATTCACGTGGAAGTGTATAGGCTTCGAAACATTTTCCTTGAGGTCATTCTCAAAATCTCCAATGGATAAACGCAGGGTAAGGAATAGCTTACCCGTCCAGTAAGAATACCATCGAACGTTCAATCCCACCGAACGTTCAAATAACTACCAGCCCTCCAGAAAAGGGCAGATAAACCCTCTTCGTAGCTCACCTCGAAGCGGCGGCCATTTGCGAAGGCTATAGTGCGTAGATCCTGCCTCGAATGCTGACGCACTAGGAGTTTCCCAACTCCATGAGCATTTGTGCAAGCGAGTTCACCACAGAACTGCAGCCATCTCGGCCCCCATTGAATTAGCTCCGCAGTTTGAGTAAAGGCTTTTCCGGACGGTTTCTGCCAACCATCGCGCAAATTACCGTGCCACACTTCACATGGAGCTGTTTCGATCAGAATATGCCTGGGTACTGCTATTTCTCACAGAATTACTTTCGTAAAAGCATGTTCAAATTTGAAATCTTGCAGTTATATGCGTTCTGGTCTCCCTATGTATGAACGGTGCAGTGGACACGTTCTGAGCTGGAGATCAACAACCCAACATGTTCTAGTCGGTCCTCTCATCAGGCGGGATTGGCATTCATGCGCCCCAACCTACAAGCTGGCCTCACCGACCGTGAGACTACATACGGCAGCATTTTCGCCACAGCATGCCACAGCATGCCACAATGGAATGGCCTAGAAAGGAATTGCCACCCGGAATATTATTAGGGTAGAGGGATTTGATGGATTGAGGTGCATATTGCATCCTCTGACGAAATATTTGAATAAGATCTGAAACAGAAAGAAGTTCTATTTTAGATTTGAGATTAGTAGTTAAACTTTCTCATAGGAATTAAGAGAGACATAGCCTTCGGTACGCCCTCCAGGCTCACAGCTTGATAGAATTAGGTCACAGAAGGACTAGCATGAGGGCGAAAGATTGCTTGATTCATTCTATCTAGGTGCAGAGGCCCGCGCTATATACCTTCGCCCCTAGGGGGCTAGATGGCCTTGTAGGCCCTTACAGCCATGTCTTCCAAGCCCTTGAACCGACCCAGGCGGAAAACGGCTTTGTACAACATCCCAAGCTCACTTTGAGGTTGTAACCTCGGTTTCTAAGGAAGGGGATCAGATCTATGCATTTAGGGGGCACAAAACTCATTTCTTTTACAGACATCAAAGAATTCCTCGAACGTCTTAGATGGAACGGTGATATATGAGCTTGTGGGTGCTTGCTACATTCACGGAGTCATGCCGGAGAGCTGGATCAGATGAGGATTGAGCCTTTTGTGGTCGATTTGATCTGATATGACTGTTTTAAATCGTAGGCCCTAGTTGCTAGTGAAGCCTCATGATCAGTGCTTGAGCTGGACTAGAAGATTAGACGAGACTGGACGGAGAAACCGCAAAAAGGGCCTCGAGCTAACTTCAAATTCTATAGTGGACTAGATTTAAGGTTTTGGAGCTCTCAGAGCTCCCCACCTCTGACCTTTACTAGGAGAAGTGATATTTAGGCCTAAAAAGGACGACAGATAAGTGGCAAATGATAGTCACGTGATTATATCGCTATGCCCTAGCGGCAAGAAAGGCTCCGCGCAAATGGAAGCAGGATCACAGAGCAGTAGAACAGGAATAGCTAGAGACTAAGGAGGAGGCTCTAGTTAATGCAGACGACGAAAATTACGTACATTGGGAGTAGGGATTTATGCTCACTAGCATTTTGATGACTGGATATTTCAGAAAGATAAACACTACACAGGTGAGTCAAGAGTTGTCGCTTCCAAGATTGAACGAAGTGTTTTCTAGACATTCTAAGGCACATTTAAGCTGCATTGATTTGTGCAACTATATGCAGCGCTGCTCAGAACCTCTTAAACTTAGGAAACTAAATTTTCTTTTTATCTTATAGTCTCCACTCTTGGTGGAGACAGGGTCCTTAGAAAAGATTTCAAGGAAGCAAGAAAACATGTAGCCGTGAAGGGGGCATGAGTATGAAAGAAGTGATGTGTCGTGGACTATATGATGTATATAGCAGGGGGGGCCGCTAACACCAAAGCTGATTGGGGAGCCTATCGCAGAGCTTCAGGCTTCCAAAACATAAACAACACGATTTCCAATTTCAGTAAGGCGATCATTGAGAAGAGCCGAAAAGCTGGTTAGACATTTTCCAAGCAATATTAACCCTAAAATGTTCCCTAAAAGTCTCCTTAGACGGCCAAAGTGAAAGCATAACGTAACTTAAAGATAGCATTTTAGGTCCAATATCCAATATCAGCGCAAAAAAGTGAGTACATGAGCGTAAATCAACGTATATCAGCTTGTAAACGTATAGAGCAACAGACTTTGGAGACAGGAAGATATCTGCCTGAGGCCGGATTAGGACCAGACTACATCCCCTTGTTCTCGCGCACCCAGTATCCGAGGAGACGAGGAACATGAGGTTCTATCACTTGGCCTAAATCCTTGACCCTGACATTGTACTGAATTGGGTGGTGGATGCCAAAATAGATCCGGGAGGCGGGATGAAGGGGTTCAACATCAGGAGCTGGGTCAACCGTGATGCGTAGATACTTAATCCCAGTCTCGTTTGGCAGAAGTTGCGCGTCTGTTCCTGTGGTGTGAACTACAGAATGTTCCCACGGACGAAGCCCACGCTTTGTCGTAGCCCGCCCACCGTACGTAAACACGGGACTATTACTCGTTAGACTCGACCTATTTTCCAATAGAGGAAAGGACAGGTGCTAACCAAGCGTAGCAAAACTCGGGCTTGCGTTGGACTACTATGAAACGCCTGATTTGAGAGTGGATCGCAACGCCAAATTTAACGATAGAGACGGAGTCGTTGTATTGGGTGGCAGTTGAGCCTAGCGGCTCTGGAAATAAAACGGAAAACATCTGGCAACAGTTAGGCAACTATAAATGATGGCTATCCCCTCCGGAATGACCAACTTTGCCTTCCACAAAGAAGCTTGAATGCCGAACATAGAACGCTTTGTGGTGTTAACAAGATGACAATTTTTCGCCAAAATAGACAACTGACACTTATCCAGCGGCTCGTAATGTGGAATAGTTGGGACATTTGGGTTCCACTTTCCCTCGATGGATATGCCCTCGCCGCGATCAGGTGCGGTATTCTCTGTCCAGTTCAATGCATTTAGCTTATGAAAATTTAGACTAGACTCAACTACAATACATACTTGCTGGCTCAGAATTGTTCAAAGTCAAATTAACAATTTCTGCACGGCTATTACTTGGTGGAACAACTGCAACCCATCATTAGCCCTTGTTTTTATTCTCCATTCTGGCGCGGAACATACCTGTCTCCTGAGAAGAGATTTGAAACATTGGAGCAGAATTTTCGTATCCGCTGCTGCCGCCATGATAAGGAGAACTATGCTCTGAAGGTTGGTGGGAATTGAATCTCTGCTGGGAGTCGCTGTGCGTTGGATATTGGGGAGGTATATAATTTGAGTAAGACGATGGGAATGGCTGCTGGTACTGGTACACTGAATGCTGCGTGGACGGGAATCCCGAACCTGATGTAGTAGCTGATGGGTTATGATATAAGATTTGCTGATTCGAAGCTTGGGCATGATGTTGAGCGCCTATGGCCTCTGATTGGAGAGTTTGTTCCCCTGTAATGTCTTGTATCTGAGATGGAGCCTCCGATGGTCCCGAGTCGGCTCGTTCGCGCGAATCGGCAGCAGTGTGCCACACGAGGTCATAACCTTGGCCTGTCGGATGGTTAGACTCTACTTTTAGATGTCTCCATATTTACGAGCTAGTATGCAGACCATCTTGTCGTAAATCATAACGGTAATACTGTTGGCGTTGTTGGTCAAACTGCCATTTGCCTGGTTCGGACATGGCTGCAAGAGCCTGGACGCGTGCGTCTTCGGGATCACACAGAACATCATTGTATTAACGGAAGTAGCACATATTTATCCGCGGCACCCTTGGTGGTACCGATGGATGAGGCTCTGGTGCAGTTGGGTGCTTGCGAGGGCCGTGATGCGGAGTTGTCGAAAGCAATCTATGGTGTGCACACGCATGTACTCTTGCAGCATGGAGACTGCAAGAAGTGCGTGCGGGATGGTGAGGGATTGGGGTGGGTAGGCGGCCTGAGACCCGCTTGTGCACCAGCCAAGGTATGCCTGCATCGGGTGCTTATTCCGCTTATCAGACACTTCTTCCACTCTCTGCGCCGCTTTAACGCAATCGGCTGTGCTGGCGTTCCGAGGTTGGAGGATGGGACCAGGACATTCACCCCTCGGCAGCAGTCGTCTTGCGTCACAGCTGCGCGCCTATGTCGCGGCCCAGTCGACTCATATTACACCCCCACATCGTCATTCAGTCAGCAAGCTTGATCTTCTATTTTTCCTCGTGGCTGGATGCCTGGTCATGTGCCTTCACTCTAATGCAAGACGCAGAGCCGCAAAAAAGCCCCCCATGGATCGTGGGGTTTCCCATGCAGACGGCATTAGCCAACGGTCTGTTCCAAAAGCGCTTCAACCCCTGAATCCAGCTGACAAGAATTAGCACCGATCAGCATCACTCAAGATGCCGTCAATTTTACCATATCACCTATGACAGACTCACCTCTTGTTCCTGCTCCAGTCCTCCCTGGTAGTCCTACTGCTATGTTCAACTCTCTGATCCCAACCTTGCGCAGCAACCGTAGCCCTACTGGCTCCGGTTTTGAGAGTCCCACCGCACATGCGATGTCGGCCGAACCCCTACCCCAGCCTACAAAAGATATAGAACGGGAATTAGAAAGGGGGCAAGAAGACCTACGGAACACAAGGGAGGAAGCATTAGCGGCAAGATATAGCCTACAAATCCAGCGAGCAGAGCTCAGTGGTATTCGTGAGAAGACGGGAACATCGGAAGGGATCTTCATGAGTCGGCTACGACAATATCTTCAATTCCAAGGATTAGAATTGCCAGTCGAAATAGAACGAGTATATGATGAAGTGGGACAATTGCGCGAAAGTCTTGGAACCTTGGAAGCATCGTACACTGAAGCCGAAGATTACTACAATCTCCTCGAGTGGAGATACACTCAGAAAGAGACTAAATTCTTCAAAAAATTAAGCGGAGCCGATTCGGAGAGAGAGAGCAGGTCCGAGGCAGAACAGCTTCTAATTGAGACCGGGGAAGCTACAAGATTCGCGGACGGGCCAAACGAGATACCGAACATGCATTTCGCTGGAGACAACGCTTATCTTCCTGTCTTCGATGATTATAGTCCATCTGGTAGCGAATCTGCTGCAAGCGAACAGCGAAATCTCCGGGGACTTCAGACTCACACCCCAACCCACCATTCTATCGGAGACGTTTATGATGACCACTGCGGTGATCTACCATCGGGCGTACGAAGGAAGTCAGATCTTTCTGTACCATCTACCTCGTACAGCGAAAGGGCAACCGTACATGCCCATAAATCCCTGGCAAGAACTCAAGAAGAAATTGACTCCTGGATTCTAGGAACGGTGATATGTTCACATTACCAAAGATCACTTCTCAGGAATATTTTCACCAAGACTAAGATGACGCATGCTGCTTGGTGGCGGCTCGCACTTCACTACTGGAGCGTAGATTGTTTCAACGGTGACCCCGCTGGTTTTCACGACGCACTTCTACCCTCTCCACATATTGCAGCTAGTATAGGCCAGTCATCACTTGGATCTGCATTGTTTGAGGGCAGGCCAACATCTGAGATTTTGGAGAACACACGGGCTCCTTCACAACGTGACTTAAATACGGAACCAAAGGAAATGACTACTCAAATATCTAGCAACCTTAACTTCCATGATCTGGAGATCTCGTCGAAGGATGATAATAACACTGTGCCATGTGGATGTGGGGATTGCTCTGCGAGCTTTACTTGTCCATTTAAAGCTGTGGACTTAAACGAGGTCTCTAGAATAAATTCCGGTGGAACTACCGACACTCGTGATCACCATTCTGAAAATAGACGTGCTATGCCATCAGAAGCTACAGCCGCTTTCCAGCCTCAGCCCTCTGTTATCCAGCCGGCCGCTGCCCAGACATATCACCTTAACGATGCACCAATGCTGTCGATAAACCGCATTAGAATGGGAGGTGAGGTCTCTGATGATCTTATTCACAGGTTTCGAGCGAGAAACTTAACACGTTCGGGTCGATCAAAATCAGATCCAGGGGAGAAAACCACGGCGGATCGAGATCAAACTCAGACTCTACGAGAAATGGAAGTGATGGGGCCTTACAAATTGAGAATACTAGAACCTGAGAATATTACTAGACACCGCACTGATCTCTTGGATGCGACCGTGTCTCAACCGGTTTCCAATCCATCTATGCCTGTATTCCTTGGAAGCAATAGTAGCACTCAAGACGTTTTCAGATACCATTACCGGTCCTTTAGCGAGCAGCTTGTACGAATTTCCAATCATACAATATCAATATGAAAGTTGGCTAGAACAGCAGGAACATCGCAATAATCGTTACAAGGAATTTAGCTTGGCTTCGGGATTAAGCTCCGAAAATGCTTGGAAGCACATATGTTCCTACAAAGAATATTCCAGGACGTACGCTGAGGTGTCAGCTTAGTGGTAGATGCTCGAAGATGCTCCAAAGGAGAACATGTCAGTTGGGCTAAATGAGACGTCCTTAATGCATGCTGTGAAAATCCACAGTTTTCATCCATTGTTCAATCCGGTTATTCCTTGAGCAAGGGGTTTTTATGAAGATTGAACCTAATCTATCTCAACTTGTTATTAGAATCTTCACGCAAGAAACTAACCATGTGGTATTCTTCATAGAAGTACAGGCTAGGCCACGAAGCTTTGGGATTTAAATGCCTTCCCCCCTATGCCTTACAACAGCCATCTATGGAATACCAATATGCTGGCCTACGGGCCTAATGGCAGACAACACACCATTATCCAAACTTGGGCTTTCTGGTGTTGAAACACCCTTTCCGATGTAGACGGTAGTTTTATTCACCTCTTATAACTTTAGTTCATCTCTACTGTTCAATGTGTACAAATGGTACATCGCACGTGAACTAGCTGGACAACTTGTTGGTAAACGCCTCAAATGTCTCTAGGCAAAACCTGCCCAACGGATATGGAAATGCAATCGGTTAATTCGATTAGGCAAAGAAGGCAAACGCGGAATCTGGTCCTTAGTTGCTTTTCGCAGAATGTGGCATCGCTTACAGGGGTGCCGCAAATCATCCCCTGCTCTTGGAGAGTGCATCCGCCGCTTTTGCCTTCCCACCGCATGGCGCATATTTCAAACTATGATCTAGGGGAATTGTAGGCTGGAGGATGAAATCTGAGGATGTCTAAAAATATTGTGCTGGTGGCTGAGGGGTAAAATTAAAGGCCAGTTTTCGTCCCAAGGATGCGAATGCAGTGTGATTTCTCAGAGCGGTGTTGGGAAGGCAACCTGTCCCCATGGCTGGGTCCTCTGCGCGCACCAAGCCGCGCCTCTATATTTCATTCCGATCAATTGGAGCCTTGGGTTCACCTTCCGGTAGCCTTGGAGAAGGAGACGTCCAGAATCGGCCCCCTATCTCATATAGTGCATTTGGTCATTACTGAGGACCACAGTATACAATGAAAACACTTGGGGGTTTCGCGGGTTTGCGTCGACCCGAAATATGCCTCCACTTTCATGTGCGCCCACGGAACGCACAGACACCCGCACCTCCCCGCTGAGGATCCCAGTCAAACGGTCATGACCCACTCGAATCCTTGCGTCTTCAGCGTCCTCGCCATTCCAACGCGCTTCAGAGAAGAAACCTGCTCCCGTTACCCATTTCTCTGGGATGCACCTGGTAGGGCTGGGAAAAGCAAATACCAGGCCTGTAGTTCATTGATCTGTGGATTGGAAACAGATCCCGGCCATGCATGATTGCCACAGGCGCACTGATCTCGGCAGCGTGAAAAGGCAAACCGCAGACCACTTGAACGGATCAGCTCGGTCGTCCATCGTGATTAAACAAATCTCGCGTAGTGACACCAAGTACAACTACAGCCCAGAGCTCATGATTGGAAATAAATGAGAGTAATTGGAACGGCAAGGATATCGCAGGTAGGGCATTGACTGCCGTGTGCCACCAGCTTGACGCTCCCTGCACCTCCTAGAAGTGAGGCGGACGATCCAATCAAAGACGCATTCCTCCCTACTCTCCCTGGGTTCCCAGTAGCACATGGTTGGAAGGTAATAACGACGGTGGATCACCTTGAATTAATGATTACGAGACCCACGTATGATTAAAATGAAAAATACCTAGACACGGAATCTAAAGAAGGCGAAAGACAGTTATGATACGTATTGTTACATGTAATTTAACAGTGAATATAAATTCCTGAATGGCGATTGCTATATGTACAAGATAAATACCGCTCAAGGCTCAAAATAGAGAAGAACGACATGACTTTCAACGAGTCCTGGCCTTTATGTCAAGTGCAAGATTGAAGTGGCTCTCTTGACGACGTGATTGACTCAGAGTTTGGATATTTGACTCAAGTTGGCACATCGTGTTGAGAAGGCTGTGCTGTTTCAATTTGGATTGGCAGGGGAAAGTATGCACACATATTCAATTACTTACAATGGAGACAGTCGTAAACTTTGGAGTCGTCCGTTCCCTACGATCCTGTTTCCTGATTCCAGTAGAGTTATAGTCGTTATGACCCCAGATGAGGATAGGTTAAAGTTTATGCTCCAATTGGTCCCATTATTCATGCTGCAATTTTATATTCTCTCTTATAAAGTGAAGAGGTATTAGTGTCGCTGTGCCACTATCGTACCAGTTACTTCTAAACAATTCGCCCCTACCTTGTCCAACCACTCGCAGAAAATCTATTTCATCAAGTTCCTGCCTAAGGTGGTATTCGAAGTCACTCAAGCGGTGGAAGAGCACGCCCCAATTCGCCCCGCCCGTCATACAGCTCCTGCACCATATCCTGCAGGATGTCTAAATTCCCAGCGTCCTTTGTCTGGAGACCAGACTTTGTGTTGAGTTTATTTCTTACATACATATTTCCCATGCTCTCAGCTAAGGTATCTCGGCTAGGCTGTTAATACAGCTTGCTTCGAGCTCGCTCAATTTATACTCTTGATTGGAGCGTTCATCTTCTAATCGCCCAGTATGTTCACTTCGTTCCTGAAAGCCGATGCGTATCACTTCCGGTTCACTCCAAAGAGGATCGAAGTCACATCCAATCTGTAGTGTTATGTCCTGGGGTAAGTGTATTCTGGCCTCGAAGGCGGCCATGATTTTGCTCATAACATCTTGTAGAAACGGGATGCCACGCACATTGATACTTCGTACAGCAACATTCAAGTGCCACCTCTATGAATAACAGCGGCATGGGAATATCTTTCCCTTTCGGTCCCATGTAAGAGAACGTGCAGATCCTAAAACATTATTTGATTACGCTATTCCTAGCACTCAATTTTCCATGCTCCTAAGTGATATCATCCAGTTCTAAATAGTCTAACCGCCTAATATGCAGAATACTCTAATATTCCGTCTGGTAGCCCTAGGCTCCAATGCCAGCTTAAATCCGTCGTGGTACGCAGGTGATGAGGTTGTCGACCATCTTCTAAGGAATCTCTCTCCAAGCTCTTTGGGCAAAGTCAACAAAACACTCTCGGTCTACTCCATAAATCCTTAACTCCGAAGTCTAGGTACAGCTAAAACATTACACTTTAAGGGTATGTCCCATCAACCATGGTCGTCCCAGCCAACCAGAGACTAGACGAATCTCAAAGGTGACGCTCTTGCCACATTGTGAGAAGAGTGGGATAGCTGATATGTTTCACTCTCGTCCTTTTTTCAACATATGTAGGGAGGGTTCTTAGACGGAAGCTATCCGGGAATAAGTTTCTAGGTATATGTGAGTGTTTCCGGCGCATGAGAATGGGTGGAATGTCACTCGACCTGAAGCCGGGTTTCTATTGCCCCTTTGCATGTCATCACTAGAACAGTTATCCAATTTCATAGTCATATTCATCATTCATCTTTTCACATTCGCCGGCTGACTGATGAAAATAAGTAATGTTTGCATCGAAATGATTCCCAATTAGTACCTCAGCAGACAATGTGTACCAACCCGCATACGAAGTAAGTACTGGGGGCTACAAGGCCTAATTACCAATACACGCGTGCAGGACACGCCGGTTGTGCTGACCGACACGAAGGAGCGTATTTCGATGGCTTTTCGCAGGAATACAGCCGCACCGCAGCCTGGGTGGATCTGTTGCAAAAGCAAGGACCTTTGCGGGTTCGCCCCAACTGGGCGCCCAGGAATCATCTTCCAAGCGAAACGCCGACGCGAGACGCAAATTCGTGGCCCAATACAGTGCTCTCCGATGTCCGAGGTCGACACATGGATGACATTCACTGGGCCGCTTGACTCCATTGGTTATGTCACATTTGAGGCGCACCTCTTTACTTCTCGTTATTCGCTTTGGAGTAAAACAAAGAAGGGGAGGCTAGGTTTTCCCTTGGAGAAATATCGGTCAAGATAGCTTGTTGTCGTTCACTGTAAGACGAAGTAGATGCCTATCTACCTGTGGGGCGATGCAATGGCCAATGAAAAAAGAAGGCTGTGTGCATGCAACTCTTTGTCCGTCTGACCCTAATTGTTTGAACCTTGTTGTACTACCCCAGCGGATACCGAGGGCCAACAATGAATTGTAAGCACGTTGCCTCGTTGATGCATTCTGCGTTTGCCGACAGGATACCGCAAAGTCCGTGGAATTGTATAGCGCATAAGATATAGACTAGCGGCGAGGAAGAAGGGAGATTTGCTACAGCTGGTCTCGTGTAGTGAGACCTGTAGGGACTCGAAACCCTTGAAACAGGCCTCGAGGCGATCCGTTTTTGTTTCACTAACGAATAACATCTGCAGTTCATGACTCCAAAATCCAAGTCCGTCTCGAGAAAGCTAATGCAGCAAATTTAGGTAGGTCCAATTAACGGAATTCTCACTCAATTATCCAACAGTCCAAAAGAGAATAGTATTATCCCGAATGGTCATCTGCGGAAGGTTGCAGCCTGAAAAGTACAACAATCCAACGATATGGGTACCAAACATCCTCCGAACGGGGAAATGTGCAATGAACCAATAAAAATCTGTTGCGGGTTGCTTTAATTGTATCTCAATATAACGAAGCTACGAAGACCGAGAAGGTTGTTGAAGGAGACGACTCTAAATCTTAAACAGATGAGGGTAGTGAGAAGCCGAACGAGAAACGGCTAGGAAAAGGCAATCAATGTTTCCCGTTACGCTAGCGTTCTTCGTAAGAACTGACCACTTCGTGATCTCCCCTTAAAACGCACACGCATTCCTGCTTGTGGCTGAGCGCTCAGGTTCGGCCGAGAAACGAATTGCTGACACCAGTGGAAATCCTTAAAAAGGAAGGCAGTGCCCTAATACGAGAAGTTGTGAGATATTACTTGGGCTGTGTTGAAACAGACGAAGTATTGCCAATGTGGGAAGTGGATGATCCAAGGCAAACGAGGCCGGCATCTGCAGCTTGGGGAAATGGCGAAATTTCTAAATACCGGCCTGGACGATGTCTTCATCTGAGGCTGCGGAAGCTGTTCGATCAGGTTATTTAAACTGTTACGCGAGCAGTAAATCGTATGGAGATCAAAGGCCTCGAAGCATATTATGAAACTTACCAAAACGGTCGCAGCTGTCAATCTGAGTATTTGCCTAAGTCAGCAGGAGCAGGAGAAAAGAATGAAGCTGAGTCAGGAAGGTTGCCACGGATTTTTCGCCGTCGGCCGGAGCATTCTGAAGCTGGCCGTGACAACGCTAGAGAGGTAGTACTGAGGGATGCGTGGAATGGTGGGATGTATGAAGGGCAATGGGAAAGCCTCACCGAGAATGGAATCGGAATTTGGGCATCGGGAGTAGATTGTGTTTGGCCTTTTCGTGTTAGATAATATAACCATGCAAGTGGGGTTCTTACTATTAGGCCCTAAGGACTCTTCAAAAATTGGAGCCGAGTAAGGAGGCCTCAATTCAATCCGTGGGGCATGGTGATCTGGCTTAGGGGTAGTAAATAGAGCGTTGGGAACGAATGGTCTAGGCTCAGTGGTGAGGCTCTTTCGAGAATGCGGGTCTGAAAGACTTTGGCCAAATTCTGTATTAGTAGTAGGTCCCATAGAGTTCTCCGGTCTGGCTGGAGTTTCCCTCTGCCCCACCGATGGAAAAAGCCTTTGGGAGCGGACGTGGGGGGACCCCTCATTCTCGGAGGCTTCTGAGACCTGGGCGCCATCATACCGTGCTAGAGGAGATTGAAAGCCCAAAATATTCGCCATGTTTAAAGGTATAGTTCAAAGAATACGATTCGTGCCCAAAGGTGATGAGGTAGGAGATTTAGGATCCGGAGCTACGTCTTGGGCATCAGTGGGAACGATTCTTAACGCTGGGATTTTACTGCTTTTGTCTGTAATTGACTTTAGGTGTTGTTGTGAACGGAGCTCTCCAGGAAGGGGTAATGGCGGGACCTGCATCCTAATCTGCTCCTGAGGCTCATCGTATTCTAAAGACGGTGCCGGTGCATAGTTGAAATTGTCCTCGAAATTCAGCCTAAGTTTAGGCTTCCGTGGGGTAGAGGGGAAGTTGTCGCTTGGATATTGCCACTGAGAACTTTGGGAAGTGTTTTGGTTTGGAGACTGGATCGTGTGGTGGCTTACCGAAAACGGCTCTTTGATTGTCTGCAGTGGTTGTTCGCTCATGTCGTGTGGCCAGTATTGAGTAGCGCGGTCTTCCCAAGATTCATGCTCGGTATGGGGAACTCCGAATTGGGCGAGTATATTGAGATATATTGTCTTCTCTAACGGGTCGCCTTTGAGTCTTTCTAATATCCACTCGTGAGTGCGGTGCTGGAAGGCAGCATTCTCCAACAGAGTTGAAACAGCTCCGTCCGTCTGAGCTCTTCTTACGATATCGAATGACATTTCCCGTCCGTCGAAAGGGCAAGGATCAGAACTTCGGCGGGCAATTACTGATTCCGAGGCCTCGTGCTGCATAAGAGTAAGTTTTAAATGTTGAGCCTTGACTTCTTGGTCCGAGATTTCAGCCAGGAAGGCGCTGTATCTGGTCACAAATTCTGTGTCTGTTGTCCTAGTTAAATTATTGTTTTTATGCCGTTTCTGAGCCCTCTTTTCTTCGAGGTATCTGGCTTGTTGCGGTCGAAGCGCATTAAACTGCGTTCTTAGCTGGTTGAGCTTAGCCAAGGCTGCTTGGAGTTCCAACCTGACAACAGTAGAAGAAGGGACGGTATCTAGTACTGGCCCTGGTGGTAGACGGGGTTCTTCTGCATTGATGTGGGAATATTGGTCCAAGAATTCATCCGAGAAAAGATCCTGGAGTTCGTACTGGTAGAAGTCATTCTCCTTGTCAATGAATGTCCACTCGAAACCTCCCAGTGAGCGTTCGGCACACAGGTAATCTTCTTCGACCGTTCCCAACGCATCTCGCGCTTCTTGAACTTTCTGATAAGCAGTAATGAGGTGGGACGTGAAGAGATGTCCAAACTGGTTGGTAAATCCGCGGAGGAGGTTCATGAAGTCGGCTTCGGCGTTTCCAGCCCCAATCCTTCGGCTACGTACTTTCGTCGCAGCGGATCTCACATTTTCCCGGTGGATGAGTAATTTCTCTCTTTCAGTGACCAGTTTCCGATGGGTTTCTGCGGCTTCATCGAGTCTTCGGCGGATGCTCAAAAGGAGGTCTAGGTCCAGCCTAGGCGATCTTTTAGTGTCTGCACTATTTCCGAGCACATTGTATCTGCGGCCTTGTTGTTCACGGCTTGCCGTTAACATGGCACAGGACATGACGACCTCTGCAAAATCCGCAGAGTCTTATCTTCGCAAACATTCTCCAAGGGAATATTTGCGGAGGGTAGCCTTAGATTGGAATCAGGGTAGGGCAAAGCCAAATCCAGTCAACAGAATAAAGCGTCCAAATAATCCAAATCCGCTTTGTCAAACAGGGACTCTGCAGGCAAAGCCGTGGAATTCCCGTCCAATGTCCAGCATACGTGGGTAATTGTAAGAGGTCGTAAGATGAAGCCCATCATCCGACAGGAGCTCCGACACAACGGGCTAATGGCTCAGAAATAGGTGGAGGGATCGAAAGCCCGCCAGGCCGATACACATGTGCAAGAAAAAAGAAGGCAAATAAACGGAAGACCTGGATGCAGTAGCCTTACCCTCTGATCGGTCAACGACTTTTGGGGCAATAGCCTGTCGGCTGATATTCCTCCCAGGCCCCTGGAACGTGCGGCACGGAACGCACGCCGCTTTTTCCCACACCCTGCAGCCTTTTTCTTGGCGCGAAATGGGAGAAGCCATACAGCCCCGGCTTCCCTTGCAACAAGGTCACATTCACCAGCTCCTCCAGTCATAATCATCAATCGGCAGATGCACGCATCCTGTGAAGTGGAGAAAGCTGTTAAACCATGCCACCATTGCGACAATCGTCGACACCCCCTCAATATGTTGACAAGTCGCAGTCGCAGAGCCGCATTTCTCGGCGAACTTCATAGTGTATATATTAGCGCGTGTCGCGTTTGTGAGGATGATTCTTGCTGTGTCTAAGAACAGGAAGATGGCGCCAGCTAACGCTCCGGTATGGACGTGGAGCGAAACGTACAAGAAATACTATTATGTTACATACGACTCCAACAGTGAGAACCTCTTCAGGCTCTGTCGATCGGCTAACGCTAATCCCTTTCAGGTAGTCCTGTGTACCATTGGAGCGAGCAGGGCGGAGAGTCACTCCCATCTCAGCAAACCGTGGCACAAGCTGTCTCACTCACGTCGGACCAACAAACGTAAGATACATTTGGTTTGATTAGATTGAATCTAACTTTGTCTAGTCGAGGCAAGAGGGCCGATTCCGGGTCGGGATCGTCGCCCCAGAGCCAGTATCTACAGCCAAACTCTCCGCCGAATTCATGCCAAAACAGTGCGACCCAGGACACCTTCACCCACTACTCATCGCCAGGGTCTCAGCAGAATTCTCTTTCATACCATGGAAATGCGACTCAGGGTAACTTAGCCCAGTACCCAAGGTTAGACCCTCAGAATAATTCGAATACATACCAAATTGATGCGGGCTCATTTGTGGCAAGTGCAATTTATCATACCAACCCGATTCAACACCAAGGCGGTTCTACCTACTTCCAACCCGCCACTAGTTCATACGGGAATTCTGGCGCATACCAAAACTTCGACTACACTCCCTCCAGAAATGAACCAGACATGCCCGACCCAGGTGAGACAGCCAAACAGCTGTTGGCCATTGAATTGCCTAACACGACTTGAAAAGTTCCCCAGGAGACCAGGCTGGCCGTGCCGGGTCTTATAGCCGGTACACCGCAAAGGGGGTGGTACGAGCCCTTAGATTCTAGTAAGTGTGTGCAAAAGCAGCAGCTCGAGATGTGTTGCGTTAACAACTACGAAGGCTACAGAATGAGGACCGGAGCCGAAGCACGCCAATTCTTTAAGAGAGGGAAAGTATGTGTTTTCACCCTGGAATAAGGCTTAATCGGCTTGCTAAATAGTCCGTCAGGTATTTTCAATGCTGCATTCAGAACCGGCGGGAACACCGGGACGAAATGGAGACGACAACTTTTCTGTCGTAGCATACGGAGAGCAGGTGTACTCTCAGATTCGCCGATTCGTAATTGTAAAGGTGAACAGGGGGTTTGTCTATGCCTGGTACGTCCTTCGGCCGCTCTTTGCAGAGATTTACTGATCTTGAAGTCCAATTTCCACATATTCCGGCCGAGGCACTACAAAGCCTGGGTGCAATCCCGCGGAGCACGCAATCATTTACTTCCAAGGATCGAGCCCGCAATACGTTCAAGGCGAATACGGCAACGGAATGGTGAAAGAACCGATTGAAGTCACACCAGCCACCTCGGGTTTAACCATGGCTCCAGCTTCTCGACTCCGATTTGGGAAGATTTATCCAGTTGAATGGAACGTCAAAGTCAAAGATATTGGAGACGTTGTTCCAGAAGATTTGAGCAAGCTCCTGAATTATTACCAGGAGGAAAATGAAGAGTAATTGGAGTGAGCCACATAAACCTGGTGCGCGGCTAAGTCTTCTTCCGCGTTGCTCCCTTCCTCTCCCTCCACTGTTGGATTTTCCTTCAATCATCAAAATACGTTGTTCTTCGCTCAATCACGTTACTTCCTCCTTCTCTCCAACAAACGGTCTTTGACCCAACTTTCAGTCTTGCTTTTTAAGTCTTCACATCACCACAATTTGTGTTTGGTTGTATCACGTCGATGGGATCAATTCTGCTAGGGTAATAGGGCTGACTAAGTCTGGTACGGCCTCTTTAAGATGCTGATTTTCATTTTGTTCACCCCTACAAATACGTTAAAGCCATAACATAAGTATTCGTTCTCATTACCTAGGTCACGTCTGTGCTCTCTTATGACTTGACTAAAGTGGAACAGATGGAGTGTGGTCCCTTTCATGCTTAGTCAACCGTCCTGAAGCGAGGAGGGATGGAAAGTTCGCAGGCTACGTCCATCGGACAAGGCTGGGTCTGGGGGTGTAAGCGTGTTCTCGCCTTGGATTTACGGAATCCAACCGCGATCTTCTGTAATTGAGCCAAGATGTCGAATTTGAGCCCAACAAACGGAGTTTAACCCCGGCTAGGCGGAAAGAGTTCACGTAGTGATTAAAGTTGTCATCCCGACAAGTATGCCAAACAATATCATTATTTTCGCCAATTGCACTCACATATTTACTCTCTTTAAGTATTGCGATCGTATGTGTCATGACTTAATCTTCTCCCTTTCTTGCGGCAGTCATATCTCTCAAGTTCAATTTATTTAAATCCGGAAACCTCTTAAACGCGCTCGATCAAGTAGTCAGAAGGAAACCGTATGATATACTCGAAATTCAGAGCAACTTCAGGATCAAGAGGCAAATTAATCTCCATTCGTGAATTGTCTCGACACCACAGGAGATTGATCGGCCGTATCCTAGTCAGAGCTGTCCCAGGATGAGCTCTCGCGGGATCTTTGGGTCTACTACTAAGAGTAATTCTCAGCAAGATGTGTGGGCCTGTATGGTCGACCTCTCTCGATCAGAAACAAGTAGTGCACTTTCTGTGATTCACCTTGAAAGGTAGGGCACAGTAAGCAGTGTTCTAATGGGTAGTTGACCCACTTGTAACTGCAGTGAATCAACCGCAGGACTCAGTTACCTGCAGTTGCTCCTCGGTGGAGAATTAGAAGCCAATGTCAGGTACGTTGACTTTGAAGATACGTGGCCTATAAATTAATGTTTGGTCGACTAGATTCGCTACCTCAATTCACTCTCTTGGCGTCTGAAACTCCCTCGTTGGGTATAGATCCTACTGGATTAGCTTTCAGCCTGAGCTCCCTAAGGCACCACCTACGGGCACCCGCGTACCTGCAGTTGATCAACTGCAAGTGGGTTAACCACCCATTACGAACACTGGCATTAATGCCCTTTCAGATAGACAATTACTAGTTAGCCTTAGCGAGGTCTTGCCACCAATGCTGCACAATATGTGGCCTAGTGCTAAATTCCATGAAAATGGCGTTGGGGTTGTGAAGTGTACTCCCGTTCACTTAGAGTGATACAGCTCTTGAAGTGTTTTTCTTCACATCATCCTTAAGATCTTCAAGGGACAAGCGCAGGGCATGGCATAAGGTGCCTATCCCAAACAATGAAACAACTTCTGGCTTTCCAAGGAAGGAAGGATAACCTCCACAGTAATGCACCCCGAAGCCGCAGCCATCCTCGAGAGCCAGCAGTGCGTAGATCCTGTCTCGAACGTCCCTGTACTGAGAATATCAAAACCACATGAGCATTTTTGCGGGGGAACTCGTCACAGGACTGCAGCCATCTTGGCGGGCATTCTATTCTCTCTGAAACTTGATGAAAAGGCTCTGCTCAAGGGCTTTCCACCAGCCACTGTGCCAATGCTCACCTCCTATTAAGGCTACCCCAATTGCCTGAGCGACACAACTCTATTTGGCTTATTTTAGTTCCAATTAAGGCTCGGACATCGCAAGTCAGTAGAACTTGAACGATCAAAATTTGGTCCCAATATACGCTGGAGCACAGCTGCGATAGCCGTTATTGAGCCAACTCAAGTTAATCTGATATAAACCTGGATAATCCAACGGAGATGCCCATATTATCGCTAACAGAAGCGAATCTAGGCAAAAGAGACGAGGCTGTCTAGGTTTATTGGAGACACTGAAAACCAAGTCTAGTTCCAGTTTGATGGCAGGCAAGTTCAGCACCTCAATTGTCCATTCACGAATTCCCTGCATCTATTGAATTTGATGGTCCTTCTCGAAGTGATCGGACTAACTTATGCGCAGCGCCTAGCTCCACAAACGCCGTTTCGCTATGCCTAGAAAATGGTCTAGATTCTTGCAAATCCTCGTTAGATGATTGTAAACAAGAATATCTTAATCCTCGATGTCTCTCCCCCGTACATAGTACAGGCACTAATAGAGCATCGGCATGTGGCCATGTCTTAACTAGACTTTGATGCGACAGTTTGGAAGGTTAGAGCGCAGCTTTAGGACCCTTATCGAACCAAGCGTATAGTCAAGCTAGCCGCAGTGGAAAGTCGATATTGTAGGATAAATCAGAAACGACACTCTGTTGTAAGAAGGGAAGGGAGCTTATCCAATTCAAGGCTTTGTTGAAGGAAGGTAGATGGGAGGATGAGTGATGCGCTTGAGTGTGGAGGTAATTAGTGCGTTAAGGAAGTGGCTGTGCAAGGCTGAACAAGAGTCTCATGTATTAAATGATAGCTCATCCTTAATTTGGACCTCTAGGGCGATATTATCACGGCTCAACCCCGCTTGAATCTTCCCAGTAACTTTTAGAGCGGAATTTCCAAAGTGAAAGGTTGCAGTACTCAGCCTTGAGCCTTCAATACCGCAAACTAGATTCCTGAAGGGTATGAGCCTCCTCAAGAGTGTCAACCATGCTCCCTCACTGTCATGGATATCAGGCCATGAGTATGCGGGCGCATCAACGATCTTGCACCAATAATGGCGGCTTTTACGCTCAAATCCTAGAACAACCTGGAATCCAGGTATGTCGTCAGTAGGAAAGGCAAAATTCCCCTGCACTATATTTTTGTTAAAATGCAAAGGACCGAAAAACAGGACTCCGAATACGGTCTCCTCGTGGGGTGGGATCAACAACTCCATCTTTTCTGAGTCCCAGTACGTAGGAGGCCAGGCTTGAACGGCTCGCACTGCACGGAGGGATTCTTCTCGAATGAAGAAGCTGTACATCTCTTGAGCGAATAGTGTGGCCGGAACTGAGAGCTTTTGCCGCACATATATTGCACGTGGGCCCCAACCTTCCAACCGCTCCTCCAATAGAGACCTCAGAAACCCTTTTCCAATTCTTGCATACTGGTTATCATTGTCCAATTTCTTGAGCAAAATGCCTAATCGCTTCTTGTCGCTGTTGATGGTACGCAGGGAGGCTATGAACACACTATTCTCCGGACCGTGTTGTCGCATTTCGAGTTGGACATGCAAGCCAAGATTTGTAGAAGTGATTGGGAACTCCAATCCGACTAATGAGTCGTCTCGTTCATACGTTCCGCATAGTTTAAACTCTGCGGGTGATCTGGCAAGCAAGCCTCGGTATTTTGACAACCCGAATTCGTCCAAATCCCATGCGAAAATAGAGTAATCATCGGAAGTCTTGAGAATCTCCTCTTGTAGGCGGATGAACGCCTTTTCGCCTTCTCCATAGAGCATTGGCATTTGGATATCGAAGAGGCCCATAAGAGAGTATGCTGTATCTTCGATGCGAGTTGTTGAGCGATTCGACGCCCAGGACATCCTCTGTGCAACGCAAGCCTGACTGGGATCCCCGATTTCAAGGATCGCGGAGGGGATGCCGGTAACCTCGGACAATTCATCCATACAGGAGACCTTACTGCATAAGTAAGTCCAGTCTTGCGCATAAAACCTAATGGACTGGGGCGCTATCAGCTCTTGGAGAGTCCATCCTCGTGTGACCCATCTCGAAGATGCCAGAACATTTCTGAAGTGCTTGCGACCGGAATGCGTAATATTTGGTCCAAACGGCATAGCATCGGCAAGGTAGACAATACATCTGGAAGCGTTTTTATAATACCGATACATAGAGTTGATGGCCTCCTGCAGCTCTGCGCTACTTGTCTTGTCAATACAACAGGTGTCGACCCATATGTACGGGATCCCCAAGCTCTTTGCTTTCTCTGCGCATTTGACGATCTTCATATAGCCGGACCTGCCTGTGAACCACCTTTCAGAGTTCGTGAAAGCCTCCTGGACGGCATTGCTGTACTCGCCATTGAACAGCAATTGGAAAGCTGGGAACATGAGATGGGGGTCGAATGCCAACGTGGTCTGATTGGTAAATGCGGCTTGGTCGGTTAAGATCTTAGACATCTGCTTCAGCTTCTCAATCTCTAGCATATCTTGAAGAGTGATCTCCTCATTACCCCACGTGTGGGAAAGGATGGCATATTCGGGGAGCTCGCTATCGTTGAACAGCTTTAGCTCAAGGGTGTCCACATGGATGAGGCGCATTTTAAATAGTTATCACTGCTGGCGAGCCGACTTCCAGACCAACAAAAACTCCTCCAATCTGGTGGAGAAGAAACACTGGCAGTAAATAGGCGAGTTTTATCGTCCTATCATCTCAAAAAGCCTTGAATAGATGAAGTTGGAGGAAGATTGAAGAAGATTGAAGATTGGTAAGAGAAAGGAGAAAAGTCTATCTGGAGCTAAGAAATAAACCAAAGCAATATCTAAATGCTGCTTCGATAAGAGACTGATACCGGTATCGTGTTCGGCTGTTAAGTCACTACCCATGAAGGCTTTAGAACTCAGGAGTGCGAAATGGCGATGGGGGATAGTTTCTCCGATGCGGGGTGCGCTAAGCCTGATAGAGCTCGAGCCTTGGCATCGCAGAAAAGTTAAAAGTTCGTCCCTAAACGTCTATCTAAACCGCCAAAATTTGCAGCGCGCTCTTATTTCGCCACCATGAAACGAAAGCTCAATGAGCACGATGTTCCGGAAGTTGCGTCTGTGATTACGAAAGAACCGCAATCAACGTTTGACTCCTTTGGCTTAGAGCCTCGACTCCTCCGCGGCGTTCGCGACCAGCGATGGTCGTCGCCAACTCATGGTGGGATGAGGTTCCCTCGGAAATCGCTTGCATATAGGCTAACAAGAACCAGTCCAGGCCAAGGCAATCCCAATTGCTCTCGAGGGGAAAGACATCCTGGCGCGATCAGGGACTGGGACGGGTAAAACGGCCGCCTACCTCCTCCCCATTCTCCACAAAACTATCCGTCGCAAAGAGCGAGAAATCTCCACCCTCATCCTCGTCCCCACCAAGGAACTTGCTCTCCAGGTTACGAAGCTCACACAATCGCTTACCGCACACTGCGGACAAGACATTCGTGTACAGAATATTGCAGGCAGGGAATCGGATGTTGTGCAACGGGCCAAGTTGGCTGATTTGCCAGACATTGTAGTTGCGACTCCGGCAAGAGCAAGCGTGAACCTAAACAATGGCGCTCTATCGCTCCAGAATCTCGCACATCTGGTGATTGATGAAGGAGATTTGGTTATGGGGTACGGCTTCGAGGAGGACCTAGACAATATTGCGAAGAGCATGCCAAAGGGCGTCCAAATCTTGTAGGACCTTCCACTTCCGAATAGGGATGGAGGAGACACTAACAATTTTCAGTCTCATGAGCGCAACTCTAAACACCGAACTCGAAACCCTTAAAGGCCTATTCTGCCGTGACCCAGTGATCCTCAGGCTCGACGACCTCGAAAAGGGCGCACAGCTTGTGAAGCAATATGTCATACGGTGCGCTGAAGACGAGAAATTCCTCCTCATATACGCTATGTTTCTGCTCAAGTTGATCAAGGGCAAGACGATCATCTTTGTGGGAGATTTAGACAGGTCATACAGAGTGAAGCTGTTCCTAGAGCAATTTGGTATCAGGAGCTGTGTCCTGAACTCGGAGCTACCGCTTACTAGCAGATTGCACATTGTCGAAGAATTTAACAAGAATGTATACGAAATTCTTATTGCCTCCGATGAGAATGAGGTGCTAGGGATAGAAGCAAAGAGGAAGAGTAAGCAATATAAGCAGTTGGAGGATGCGGAGGGCCCAGAGGAACTGCCAGAGTGCGTTTCAAAGGCTCGCAAGAAGGTCAAGCTGGATACTACGGACGGCGGCACAAATGCGGATACCGAACCCCCCGCCAAATCCCAAAAGAAGACCAAGTCCACTTGCAAAAACGACTCCGGTGTCTCCCGAGGGATCGACTTCCTTAACGTCTCTTGCGTCCTGAACTTTGACATGCCGTCTTCCTACAAATCATATTTCCACCGCATTGGCCGCACCGCACGCGCTGGGAAATCCGGCACTGCCATCACCTTCGTCATTTCGAAGGACCAGTATCGCAGACACAAACCGACAACATTTGCAGGATGCGAGAACGATGAGGAGGTGCTGCGGAAGGTGGAGAAGCACCAGAAGGAGGGTCAGAAAGTGGAAGATTATGCATTTGACATGAAGAGGCTGGAACCCTTCCGATATCGATTTTCTGATGCGTTAAGAGCGGTGACGAAGATCGCAATTCGAGAAGCTCGAATCAAGGAGTTGAGATCAGAGCTCTTGAAGAGCCAGAAGCTCTCCAGATATGTACGCTTCCCATGCCCCCATCTATTTCCCAACAGATACTCACTGCACTCTAGTTCGAAGAAAACCCCGCCGCCCTCTCTCACCTCCGCCATGACCAGAACCTCAACCACCCAGCCCGTATCCAAGCACATCTCAAGCACGTACCAGACTATCTCCTACCCGGTGGCAGTAAGAAAGCGTTGACAGAAGATATTGGGTTTGTGGGCCCAAATAAGGAGAGTGAGAATAGGTTTCGAAGGGCCAGAGCCATGAATCGAGCAAAGGGGAAAGGGAAGAAGTTTATCAGGAATAAAACAGGGAAAATTGATCCGCTGAAGACATTTAATGCGAGGGGTAGGGGAAAGAAATAAGTTGAATTTGTGAATGCTCGAAGTTAAACCTGGTCTAATATAGCGAGGATCAATCCAAGGGTCGAGGCGATTGCAAAAACATTAATGCACGATCGCTGATGTTGCATCTACTATTTTTTAATTTGGCTTTTGCATGTGGATATGGGAATGGGATGCGAAAAGGGATATCGTTGTCTCCTGCTAGATTGTATCCAGGGCTCTATCAGATCAGCCATTCCACAGTATGCACTTAAAACCAGGAGGTGGGAGAAGAGTATGTTTGATTTGAGCTCTCTTCATCAAGTCTCATACTAACTAGAGAAGCGAGAGATGAGAAGGAATTGGTAATCTCTATGCAAATTAGGCGTCGATTATTTGCCCACCATCAATCTTCCTTCACCTTACACTTTCTGTGGAGGATAAAATAGCTTGGCAATAGCTGTTCAGAAGATCGGATAAAGTAACTCTCCTATCTAAGAGAGTTGAAGGCTCTCCTTATATACACCGAGCTTCGGAACATACTATCTCCAGATCCCGAGCCGCGTCCCAGGCTCTGAGCCCTAGCCAAGGCTCTCAGTATACACGACACTTTCTATTCACAACACCAGGACGCCATAGTCAGAATCTCGCCGAAGTCAAATAGCGCATGTTAAACTTCCCTAATTCCTTTCCATCCATATTGTCTAAGTAAATATACACATTGGTGGCCTCTATTATCACTTATCATTAAGGTATATTAATTAGCCTTACCCTGGATGTTCGCTAACGAGACATACAGCAAGCCGCCTTAACATCTCTGTAGGGACAATGTCCTGAAGATTGACAGTAGGTTCTTCCTGGGTTCGTCCTCCGGTTACGCACCTCTTCGATATCCCGGCTTGAACCCCTCCACAATCTTGCGCCTATCCTACTACCAACTGAGTACAAGCTGGGAGAATTAGGGAGCCATTACTCACTTCGTTCTGTTGCGGCTGTCCGTAATTATATTAGACCAGCTGTTTTGGAGGTAGATGCGTTGACGATTCAGGATGAAAGTGAAGTCAGCTTAGTTCTGAACCCTTTCCATCAGCCCTATACTAAGCAGAGAAGCAAAAGATGGGAACACATTAGTTTCCTCCCACCTCTAGGTTTCGTTAGCTCTCGAAGTACTTGTTGCAAGAGTATGAGCATGACTGCAAGCTCTTATCATTCGCTTCTATAGTAATTAAGCTGTCGATGAGTTGTCCACCATCAGTATTCCTTTACATCACTTCCAATACTCGACCTCCGGAAATTGTTCAAGGGTATTTCCAATTGCAGCGTTTTCAAAATTTGCATCACCTTGATTTACTAAACTCAGGTCAAGGCATCCGAAAATGCAACACTGAAATGGAACTGTAGCACACAAAATAATATGATTTATTGCCTTTGTCGTCCCAGGACTTTCCAAATGGGTTCATTGTTCTCCAAAGTCTTTATCTTCGCTAGAGGAACTTGGTTCAAGAAAATAGAGAACATGGTGATGAGCTAAGCTACTGAGAAAGAGTTAGACTTGTCCCCACCTAGTCCATGCCCTGACTTGAAGATTACCTGAAGGAGTTGTGGGGATGGAGAAAGCCCAATAACTGAAAGCCTTCGCATCTAAAGCGGAATTCCACGAGTTAGCCCGCACACCCAGCGCAACCTTTCTGGAAGAGTCCAAATGGAGACGACTTACCAGTTGGTCGATTTTTTGGGAGAGTTAGGGTAAAGACAAAGAATCCAATCAGACGAATGCAACGGTCGGCCATGTTCTAGCGCATACCGGAAAGACGTGTTGCACGATGAATATTTCCAAGTGTTGGGAAATGATTCAAGTTTAGGCTGGTGCTGGTCAAAAGGTCTGCAGCGGCGTTCGGTACTCGACTAGAAAATGCCATGAAATTGCACAGTATAGGTTTTTGTATTGCCGTCCAGATGTTCACGGAAGGCCTTTGCTGCTTCTTCCTTCAACTAATTCGTCGGACCTAGGTTGGGGAGTTTAGAGAGCATGCTGAAGACATCGACCATGCTGTCAAGTATCCCATCATTCGTAAAATCTTCAGGTGAACCCCGAATTAGTTGGCCCCATATTCGGAAAGTTCACTGACTTCAGATTTGAGCACTCACGAATTGAAGACCGATTTGGTGATATGCGCCTATACGGTGTTGGTCTTCGGTCGAAGCATTTACAGAGTAGCTGGTCAGTCGCATTTGCCGTCGTAGCAGGAACGAGGCATAGCCTCGAATTCGATGACATCGTAAAAGCCGATACAGGCGACAACCGAAGTCTAAAAAAGTAAGCATCAAGAAATACCTAATTCAAAGAGCCGGGATTTTGTTTACTTACGGCTGAGTGAGCGGCGAAATCACTCACTCACCCGCAGCGACTATAGAGAATCGTCCTGCGCACTTTAAACTCATGACCCCCATCAATTCAAACAGTGAAGTCTAAGAACAAATCAGACCGGACAATCAGTAAAAGCAGTGTCAGCTCAGACTTAAGTTGCATGATGGGTGAACATACTCAGGTAGAGCTGCTTTGACAACTCTTATGCAGACTCACCCGCATTTGGATCAGCTGGGGTTGCCTCCATGCTCAATCAAATTGCGCGAGATGTTACCGAATGGTTAAGGAAGGGAGCTGGGGAGAAAGATAGGGCGAGGGAGGGGATATCCTTTGTACTTAATCGATTGAGAGTTGGGCGCAAAGAGGTGGTCAATACTCAAGCCATGAGACCTTTCTCTTACTTTTTAAAAGTACGTTTCTAACGCAAATATCGTCCCGTGTGATGTGGGATAGCGGTGGGCAAATTCAAGACGTATCACCAAGTCGCATAAGTTAAATAAAAGCTATTTAGTTGCTACACTCACGAACGACTATGGTATATACAAGGCTGTCCCAGAAAAATGTCGATGGATGAAACATACCAGGAGGGAGGGTGACGGAAGGGGGATTCTGGATCTAAATATAGGAGAATGGTAGGGCCATTTGAAGGAATGATAATTGGAAGGTAAGAATATGATATGGGAAAGGGGATGAAAAGGATATTGAGAGTGACGAGAACGACGCGATAGATACAACAGGAAGGTCACTAAAGATTGTGTTCTCAGGGTGATTCGGGGTGAGATGATATGCAAAATTTGAGGGGGAGTAGACTCAAGGAGTTGGAGCAGGAGCAGGAACAGGATTCTAGTCGAGCCAGACTACCTGTGATACGCAGAGCACGTGACCCGGTCGTCCTTATCTGACTAAGTCCTCCCAGTCCTCCCCTGAGAGAGTTGCGGCTCGAGCAGGGCCGGCAGCATCTTTTGCTCCGGTAAGGTTCAGGAATGGGGCTCGTCGGATGAAGTCCATGGCATGTCTGTGGCGTGACGGGAGGGGCTGATTGGCTGCGGATGATAAGATGCAGACCATTTCGTGCAGGCAAGAATGCTTCCCGCTGCCCGTCGATTCCAGCGGTCTGGTAATCCTGAATGAATTTCGTGCCGTCCTCCAATGATGTTCACAGGAAATGGAGTTGGTTTTCCACAATAGGCAAGCGCGAGGGAATGATTGGGTCTGACAGCTGTCAGGACCTTGATTTCCAGCTGCCGAGTAGGTAACCTCACACATCATGTCTTCGAACAAAATGATAGTAGATATGAGCTATGCCTGGAGATTGGGTCTGGTTGAACGACACTCGAGCTCCTCAAGAGCCCAAAATCAGCCTCTTTGGGAAGGAGACGCGGAGTGTCGCAGCCTGCCCCACTAGGGCTGAGGGCGGAGGACGTGGCGCAACCGAGAAACAAGGTGAGGATCACTCCACTCGATGCTCCTGGCTCTGTCGCTTCAATTTTCATCAGCCAACGAAGAAGGTGTTTCGAAGCTTCAGGTGAGAGCAAGAGACACAGATTGAGAAGTGCTAGCAGATCAATTGTCGACGTTGAGGCTCTGGTTGGGCGTGAGACATCATGGGAAACCTTCCCCGCATCCTACTCGCGTAGTAACCCCACACCAGTTCGTTTTGGAAGGTCGCCGGCAAAACACACGCAGCACGCGTGACGCCAGGAGAAGCGTCCGCGGGCGGGAAGCGGTACGGTCCCTTATGTACCTGAGCTTCGCAAACCGTGGCAGCTTCGTTGTCCTTCACTCCGCATCGCCATTGTCTGCTACCTGAGGTCGCGCAAGTCACGGCCAGCAGATGCGGGTTCTCAGCTTCCTCTCCAGCCCTTCTACCTCGGAGACACGTTTTGGCTAAGTATGAGCTCCACAAACTGCCTGGTAGGGAGTCGGCTGGTCACTTTTCGACCGCGCGCAAGCTCCTCCCAGCTCCCCAGCTTGAGGCTGCACGTTTCGACGTTAGCCTTTCGCCCAACACCTATAGTTCATCACAAGTTCAATTATGAGCGTCTCAAGCCACAGCAGCCAACCGCGTCCGCCCGGAGCTTGTCCCGCCCTAAAACGCTGTACCTGCAGAAGCATGTTCCGCAGGTCCCATCCACCGCTGTTGCTCGCTATGCATCCCTTGCAGCGGATCCGCATGACGAGGAGCTTCCAACTTCTCCCCCCTTCACCGCTGGTCCCTACGCAAACCTCACCGTGGGTATTCCTCGCGAGAGCTTCCCTGGGGAACGTCGAGTTGCCATAACTCCACAGAATGTCCAGCTGTTGCTGAAGAAGGGCTTCTCTCGCGTATTGATCGAGCGTGGTGCGGGCGTTGAAGCTCAATTCACCGACGAAGCATATGAGCATGCAGGAGCCAAGACTGTCGACCGCAGAACGGTCTTCTCTCAGAGTGACATCCTTCTCAAAGTTCGAGCTCTTAGCATCGATGGGCCTGATAGCGAGGTGGATGCCATTCGAGAGGGCGCCACTGTCATTTCTTTTCTCTATCCGGTACAGAATAGACCTGTCGTAGATAGAATTGCTTCTCGTAAAGCTACTGCTTTTGCTATGGATATGGTTCCCCGCATTTCTCGCGCCCAGGTGTTTGACGCATTGAGGTATACCTACTCTTCCCTTCTAACCCTGCCCCTACTTTGAGGCTGACATGCAGCAAAGTTCAATGGCCAACATTGCCGGGTACAAAGCCATCCTGGAAGCTTCTAACCACTTCGGTCGTTTCCTTACTGGCCAAGTCACTGCCGCCGGGAAGGTATGCTACGCTACAGGGTATCGCTGTCCGGATATGGAATTAACATACTCCAGATTCCCCCATGCAAAGTCCTCGTTATTGGCGCTGGTGTGGCTGGACTGAGTGCAATTGCAACGGCAAGTACAATTTCCTCTGTATAAGATGTCAGGCTGATCTGGTGTTATAGGCCCGTCGCATGGGAGCGATTGTACGTGGATTCGATACTCGTTCCGCAGCTCGAGAGCAAGTTCAGTCACTTGGTGCAGAATTCATCGAGGTTGAGATTGAAGAAGAGGGATCTGGAACAGGAGGCTATGCAAAGGAAATGTCGAAGGAGTTCATCGAAGCAGAAATGAAGTTGTTCACGGAACAGTGTCGCGAGGTAGACATTGTAGTCACTACAGCATTGATTCCTGGAAGGCCGGCCCCAAAGCTGATCACTAAAGCTGTAAGCATACCCTTACGTGAAAGAGGATCTATTGCTTACTATCAGGAAGATGCTTGGTGCCATGAGGCCCGGATCTGTTATTGTCGATCTCGCCGCTGAAGCTGGTGGCAATTGTGAAGCAACTGTCCCCGGAAAACTTTCGAAATATCATGGAGTAACGATAATTGGTCCGCACGAACTACAAGTCTTAGTCTTCTATGGTGGCTTATGATGAATTAGGTTACACTGACTTGCCCTCGAGGCTTCCAACTCAATCGTCGACCCTATACTCGAACAATATCACTAAATTCCTCCTTTCCCTCCAACCCGCAGACCAGAAGGAGAAATACTATGACGTAGATTTAAACGATGAAGTCACCCGCGGCTCTATCGTGACATACGATGGCAAAATTATTCCTCCTGCTCCTCGCCCGGCTCCCCCTCCGCCACCGGCTAAGGCACCTTCGCTTGCCGACGCCGCTGCGAATATTGTGCAGCTTACTCCCTGGCAAAATCAGACTCGTGATGTTGCAGGGATCACGGCAGCAATGAGCAGTGCTCTAGCTCTTGGAAAGTTCACTGGGTGAGATCATCTATCTTTTTTTCTTTGTCTTCCTCCCAAGGTTAATCGTTTCCCTAGACCTCTTTTCATGGGAAATGCATTCACGTTCGCTCTGGCGAGTCTTATCGGATATCGAGTCGTTTGGGGTGTTGCACCTGCATTGCACTCTCCACTTATGAGTGTCACAAATGCTATCTCTGGTATGGTTGGCATAGGAGGATTCTTCGTCATGGGCGGCGGCCTTCTTCCCCACACCATTCCCCAGACATTGGGAGCTTTGTCCGTTCTGCTCGCTTTTGTCAACGTCTCAGGCGGTTTCGTTATCACCAAGCGCATGCTGGACATGTTTAAGCGCCCAACCGACCCTGCTGAATTTCCCTGGCTATACGCAATTCCAGCAGTACTATTTGGTGGAGGATATATCGCTGCAGCGAGCACTGGAATGGCAGGCCTTGTACAGGCTGGCTATCTCGTCAGTAGCGTTCTCTGCGTGAGTTCTCTCTCTGGTCTGGCCTCTCAAGCAACAGCTCGTCGTGGTAACATCCTGGGAATACTCGGTGTCTTTTCTGGAATTCTGGCTTCACTTCTTGCTGTGGGCTTCGAACCGGATGTCCTCATGCAATTCGGCAGCCTTGCCGCCGTAGGCACGCTGGCTGGAATGCTCATCGGCCGACGGATTACCCCGACTTCCCTACCTCAGACTGTGGCTGCGTTGCACTCCGTCGTTGGCCTGGCTGCTGTCTTGACTAGCATTGGCAGTGTTCTGGGTCACACGGGGGATATCTCGACCCTCCACATGGTTAGCGCTTATCTTGGTGTTCTCATCGGTGGGGTAACCTTTACCGGGAGCATCGTTGCTTTCCTCAAGCTTGCCGGGAGAATGTCTTCGAAACCGCTCATTCTGCCAGGCCGTCATATCATCAACACATCGCTTCTCGGAGCTAACATGGCTACAATGGGTGCCTTCCTCACTGCCGCTCCTGGGGCTCCACTTATTGGGGCCGCTTGTCTGACTGCCAATGCTGCTCTCAGCTTCGTCAAGGGCTATACTACAACTGCAGCCATTGGAGGTGCCGACATGCCGGTCGTCATTACGGTACTGAACGCCTACTCTGGATTTGCGCTCGTGGCTGAAGGTTTCATGTTGGATAATCCTCTGCTCACTAGCGTTGGCGCGCTCATTGGAGTATCTGGATCTATCCTTTCGTACATTATGTGCGTGGCTATGAATCGATCACTCACCAATGTTCTATTCGGCGGTATTGCAGCTACGCCGCAGGCGCAATCAGAAATAACGGGAACGGTCACGAAGACGAGTGCAGAGGAAACAGCCGAGTATTTGATTAATGCCGAGAATGTCATCATTGTAAGTCCTCCTCCAGCTTATGAAGTTTTGTACTGAGCTTTAAACCAGGTCGTCGGCTACGGCATGGCCGTCGCAAAAGCCCAATATGCTATCTCCGACTTCGTCAAATACCTACGGTCCAAGGGCGTCAATGTACGTTTCGCCATCCACCCTGTCGCGGGCCGCATGCCGGGTCAATGCAACGTGCTCCTCGCCGAAGCCTCTGTTCCCTATGACATTGTACTTGAAATGGACGAAATTAATGACGATTTTGGCGACACTGATGTCACGCTTGTTATCGGTGCCAACGACACTGTGAATCCGATTGCGTTGGAGCCTGGATCCTCGATTGCAGGTATGCCTGTGCTGCATGCGTGGAAGAGCAAGCAGGTGGTTATTATGAAGCGAGGGATGGCGAGTGGGTATGCAGATGTGCCAAATCCGATGTTCTTTATGGAAAACACGAAGATGCTCTTTGGAGATGCGAATGATAGCTGTAATGGTCAGTCAACCACCAAAGTCTTCTGAGTGTCGTAGATCATTTGCTAATTATGTCTGCTAGCTATCAAACGCGCCCTAGAGGAGAGGAAGTGAAATGGCAAATGATTGATGGATCTATTGGAGGATTCGTTTCAACTTTATCTGAATTGAGAGGGAATTTGCAGGTGGAAGGGTGAGGACGGCAAGTTTTGGCTCTTGGATTTCGTGCATTCTGTCTGGAGTGTCTCGATTCATGAGCAGCATTAGTTAGCGGTGTTTATTAGAATGCAAGACATACTCATCCTACTGGTGCTTGGCCCTTTTCCTCATATGTTTCTGTTCGCCTGAAGTCGTGTGATGAATGGTAGCCTTGGAGAGGAGGAATTGATGATCCCTGTAAGCTACGCCAAGCCCTACGTCGATCACAAGGATTGGATCGGGCGATGCGTGGTGACGTACATGGTTGTGCAGCACATCCAAATCTTGGATTGAGGATATAAATCTATAATGATGTATTCAATGCTGAATTCACGCACAAAGCATTCCACAGAAACTTCCGTCAATATCTGAACCTCAACACCAACTGACTCCTAAATCCTCTGCACACACATCCGAGACATCTAATTCGACCCGAACATCGTCGTCGTGAGCAAATCTCCAACCCAACAGTACCAAATAAATTAACCTAAAATACTAACACACATCCTCTCACTAGAACAGCACAATGGCCTTCCCCCTCCTCTTCACTCTTCCCCCCTCCAACCGTCACGAAGTCATCCTCCTCGACCCATCCTCCAGCAAACCGACCCTCAAATCGCTAAACAAACAACTTACATCCACAATCGCCACATCTGCCAATTGCGCGGAATTCATGGGGAAATACAAATCTAAGGACGTACAGGAAACAATTCAAGAGCTGAAAGTGCATTGGGCGGAAGCGGGGAGGGACCCGAAGATGTGGCCGGAGTATACGGTTGTGACGGAGGAGAATTTGGCTGCGGTGCTAGAGATGTTGAGGTTGGGGGTGGGGAAAGATGTGTTGGAGGTTAAGGTTGGGAAGGCGGAGTAAGGACTGTAGGTGTTGGGGAAGATGGAAGGAAGGAGGACAGAAGGCTGTGGGTATGGGGTGATGAGGGAAGATGAAAGTAATGAGATTGACTGGTGTTGTGACAGTGAGTAACGCAACTCTAGACAATGTGGTTGATATTATATAAGGTATTGTTGGTAAAATTATTTGGAATTTCAGATGGACTTTAAACATGTCATATGGCCCACAACATTGGTGATCCGAGCACGTGAAGTTCAGTGTTCTTTTATTCGTGAGACCATGATTCCAGGTTTGCATTGATCCATACCATATTGACAAATATAGACACCCATTGCCCGTTACCATCGACCCTAGTGTTGACGAGGTGTAAGAAGTGCTAGAAAAAAATTGAGAAGACATGAATATCCATGCCGATGATCATCTATGTTGCCCAGCGACTATGCAGCGTGACGTCGAAGCCGAAATAAGTGGAGGGTATCCATACCAATGATAGACCATGAACCCAAAAATACGATTAAACGCCGATATCCAGAGCAAAATGCTGCTGCATATGCCAGCAGCCTATGCAGTATGCAGATGATTGGAACGAAATCAAAATGTTAAACGAACCGATTACGCTAGATGCTGTTGATGCTGCTCCAATCACTTCTCCGTCTGCTCGGCAATCATGCGCTGCCAGTGGACCAGCTCCCTGCTTAAGTCGTCCATCATCTGAAGCGTGTTGAGTTTCCTAAAGTGTTCAATATCATCCTCATTGTCCTTAGGCCCCTCCTGTTTCTGCTCGCCGTTGACCGCGGTTGGAGACTGAACAGACAGCGCCGACGGTGGCTTTTCCGCAGCCAATTCAACCTGTCGCTGGGTGATGTAGTTTTGCATATGGCCAGCCGGTCGTCGTATCTCGTTCCACGATAACTTCTCCAGGCGCCAATTCTTTGATTTGCCTGGCTTGTTTCCAGCGGCTCCGTCACTGCTCTCGTGCCCATTGCCAACCCCATTCGTGACAGATATCTGTGGAGAATTGGGCGTGTCGTTCGCTGCCGGGGACGCGCCGTTCGTTGCTGGTGTTGGGGCATCTCGCGTGTATTGATTCCGGCCAAGTCTACTCTGTCGTTTTTGTGGGGGTCGCCCTGACTTTCTTTGTACAGGCGCGGGTTTAAGGTCGGTGGAAGACGTGTCGGGGGCAACGGATTCAGACGCCGAGGGAGCCATTGAAGGGTCCTCTGCTGGTTCTACCTCGACCGTGTCCGGATCTGCTTAAATGTCAGCCACGACGCATAATTGTCAATCCTGATTTTCTTACCGTCGCCTTTCCTACGCTCAGCGCGGCCCTTCCTCCGATTTGCAGCTTCAGCCCGCTCTCGTTCGCGTTCCTTTTCCCTTAACTCTTTTTCCCGCTGACTCTTGGCCGCAGCTCCCCGAGGTTTCTGCTTGGGTGCGGTAGCCTTGGGTATCTCTTCATCAGACCATAGGACTGGGGAGTTGCTTGGTGATCTTGAACTTGTGCGCTGTCGCTTGCTTTCCTGTTTGATTCTGCAGCAAAGCTTGTCAGCAAAGCAGCCGGCTAGCGGGGAAACCGAGTCACTCACTCTTCGCTCTCGTCGCGTCCGCGCTTCTTCCTATTCCCGTTTTCCGAAAGAGTAGATGTCCCCTCATTCTTGCTCTCCTCCAACACCTTCCTAAGCACCTCGTCCTCGTCATAGGCGGCCCGACTATTCATGGTTGATCGCCGCTTGCCCAACGACTCGACGCTTGCCCTATTGTTTCTATCCTTGTCCTTAGGCGCCTTGCTTTCCGGTTCCTTTGACAAAGATGTCTTCCGGGAGGTCTTGGAGTGGTTCTGCTCGTAGACGGGGAGATAGCGCGAGTACTTTTGTCTAGAAGCGAATCCTGTCAGTGCTAATTTTATCATGAAGGGTGATGGATGGCGGTGCCACAGATTGAAGACCGACTAGAAGCCTTGCCAGCACATTCAGGTGAGTTGGCAATTAGAAAAGCGTGGTCGCTGGATCCAGCCGACAAACCCGCTATCGTGTATGGGAAGGAAAGGAATATTTCACGCACCCTTTCGAGCTCGTCATGAGCTTGTGCAGGTCTTTTCTGCACTCCTCGCAAAAGTACTCATCGGGGCTGGCAGCTTCGTCCATGATGCCGACGCAGCCGCCGTGCTGCCAGACCTTGCAGATGTCGCATTGAATGAACAGGCCACCTGCTTCATCATTCTGCACGTCAGAATCTGTCAATGAGGATGATTGACCATCTCTGGACTTGCCGCCATCTGAGGGTGCACCCGGGTACTCTTGCTGCCCGCACAGGCAGCGCGTGATCTCTTCCTCCTCAGCAATCTCGTCCTCGAGGTCCTCCTCGAGCTTTGTAGAATCGTCTTCGTCATTGTCCTGCTCGCGGGTTCGGCGTCGGGTCTGCGGCCGCTCGACCTGGGAGCCGCGATGGGCATCGTCGACCTCCTCCGAGGAGAGCGAGTGGGGAGTAGAGGACTTTTGGGGGCTAGACTGCTTGTGAATCGTTCTCGCCGCTCGTTCTGTGTGTCTAGATGAGGTGGACGACGAGGAGCCGCTGTGTGTTGCCGGTGCGCTGGAGGTTGGCTGGGTGGTGCGAGCCCGCGAGGAGCGTCGCGGCGACATTGTGACTATGCTCCGGTGCGACAGCCGATGGATGGATCAATGGTCGCTGGTGCCTGGAAGGGTAGTGGGTGCTAGCTACTGGGCGTAGCTCGACTGTGGGCGTGGGGAGAAGGTAGCGCTGCGAAGGCGGAGATTGCGGGACAAAAGCTTCGCGAGCTTCAAAGGGCGACGACGGGATGGATTGGCGATGCAACAAGAGAGGTGTAGTGTCCTAGAAGCATGGTACAGTCCTAAGCGGTGATCCGGGACAGCGAGCAGTGACAATGGGGTTTGGGCAACGGAGCTGGAAGCGTGAGGGAGCAAAGAATCTCATCGAGTCCAAAGTGGGCGCAAGACGCGAAACAATGGTTGATCTGTCCGCCCGTAGTGAGCGCTGCTACGGCGGGCCATATCCTCCAAAACCGCACGTGACATGGGGCCTCGGCATTACCCGGGAGGCCGTCGTCGGGGTAAGGAGGGGCATGAAAGGAGGATACACAAAGAGGAGTTCAAGTATCATTCTCGCCGGCCATGAATGAAGGGGGGTGGCTCGAGAAAGAGCGTGCAAGTCAAAGATCTGTGGTGACCTGGAGATGTCGCGCTCGAAGTGGACGAAAGTAACCGTGACCGCTACGGCTTGGCATGAGCTCCATTGGGCCTAGCGCTATCCTTGGAGAGGGGTTTTTCGCGCTTCATCATTATGAGTGGCTGCACTCTTTCACTTTGACGCGCCCTTGGTTGAGCGGCACTTTGGACGCTTTCACTCAAGACAGGGCCAGAATTCACTTTTTTGCGAAAACGTACTGATGATCACGTTTTATCAGTATCAGATTGGACTTGTTTGCAGATCATTGCATTCTCTTGCCTGCCCGCAGCATGCATATCCTCAGGAGATGTTGTGCCCATTCTGGTATTTTTCTTCCTATGCACTATCCCCATTGTTATCTTCCGTCCACTTCTACTAGTCCGCTAAGCGTTGTGTGTTCCTGGTGTTGGTGCTCCGTTATTGTCCACTGCACTGAAGCCAACCTTCTGCGTCATGCCGTTCGCAGCTCGCAGGCTCGGATCCTTCGCCATGCCGTTGTGTGTTCCATTGAATCGTAGGTTGGAGATCCCCGGGTAGCCCTTCACACCAGTGGCCTTCTCAAGACGAGAGGCGAGATCCTCTGAAACCTCGCGGAAGATACCGATCTGGCGTTTGATGATCTCTTTGTCGGAGCAGTTGGCCATGTGTCCGGAAACATTGCCGATGAAGCGTTCCTTGGCGCCATCATCAAATACCTTCTCCCATAGAGCGCGCGGCGCATTGAAATCTTCTGGTCGAATTTCAGACAAGAATGTGACGGCCTTGCCGGTAAAGTGGCCATGGGTCTTGTTGAGGTCGACAGTCCTGTGGCGGAACGAGACGGGCTCGATGGAGGAGAGGTAGTTCGGTCGCGCACCCTGGTTGTAAAACGCCATGCTTCCGGCTCGCTGGAAATTGGCCATTCTGTATGGGACTCGAGGAGCATTGACTGGAAGCTGCTGGTAGTTGACTCCAACCCGATGACGGTGGGTATCTGGGTAAGAGAAGAGTCGGCTCTGGAGGACTGGGTCGGCAGATGGCTCAATACCCGGAACCATATGTGATGGGTTGAAAGTTACTTGCTCGATCTCAGCGAAGTAATTTTTAACGTTCTCGTTAAGGAAGAACTCTCCGACCTTGCGAAGAGGAAACTGCTTCTGCGGCCAGATGTGGGTCAGGTCAAAGACATTGATCTTCTGCTTCTCCCAGAGTTCCTCTGCCTCCTTGGGTGTCATGGTCTGGACAGCAACATCCCATCCGGGGTAGTCGCCACGCTCGATGGCATAGAACAGATCTTTTTGTGAGTGGTCGGGAGACTTGGACGCCGAATCCGCCTGGGTGATGAACTTGGTTCCCTGCTTCGACTTGAAGTGGAATTGGCAGTATACCCAGTCGCCATTCTTGTTGACGAGCTTCATGGTGTGTCCGCTGTATCCGTGCATGAAGCGGTAGCCATCGGGAATCCCTCGGTCACCCATGAGGACCATGACCTGATGGATCGACTCGGGGTTCTGTGAAAGATAATCCCAAAACATTGTCGAGTCGTCAGCACCACTCAAGTTAGTGGCTGGGTGACGCTTCTGGGTGTGAATGAAGTGTGGGAATTTAGCCGGGTCCCTCAAGAAGAAGACCGGGGTATTGTTGGCAACCATGTCCCAGTTACCCTCGTCGGTTCGGAACTTGACCGCGAAGCCTCGAGGGTCGCGGGCGCAATCGTGGGAGCCAGACTCTCCTCCGACAGTGGAAAAGCGAATAGTGATGGGACAAGACTTTCCAGCCTGGAAGATGTCCGCTAGACACAAGTCATCCAGGGGGTCGGTGGTCTTGTAGTAGCCGTGGGCACCGCTTCCCTTTGCGTGGACGACACGCTCTGGAATGCGCTCACGGTCGAAGTGGGAGAGGAGGTCGATCAGGTGGAAGTCCTGGAGCAGAAGTGGGCCATTATCGCCAACTCGCTGCGACTCATATGGGTGCGCATAGGGGACGCCATTGCTTGTGCAATAGAGAGTGTCCTGCGACTTTGCGTTGCGGTCATCAATGTAGTCGCGGTACAGGTCCCCGTTCTGCTTTCCGTCTGCGGCTTGGGCAGTCATGGTGGGCAATGGGATTCTGATATCAGGTTTGATGGAAATTTGGTACAATTCAGATCGATATACAAGACCTAGCTACAAGCTGGCGGACTTGGGTTTAATATAACCCCCTCCCTCTCCTGCGGCGAGCATTGGCGTAATTGAGGCGGGGTGATTGGCTTTGGTCGTTCGATCGTTGCGGATGGTGTCGCAGTCAATGACGATTCTACTGGGCTTGCCGACCTTGCCCCGCAATCCCGCTTATTCAAGACCCCTGGCCAGACACCGATATTGCTAATCTCGAACATCGACGACGAGCACCTCCACTTTTCCAACTCTGCTGCCAGAGAGACCCCGCCGCAATTGGCTCGCCTCAGCAGCATCGTCAAGCAACGTTTGTTGCTCGACCGTTTTTGCCCTTTTCTCACACGCTATCCCGCTAGCTTCTCCTCATCACTCCCCACCCAGACACATCCAATGACAAAACGATCGAGCTCCAGGTGCCGAGGGACGCCTCCGCCGGGAGGACTGCATGCTGAGGAGTCCCAGGTTACAGGCGTGAAGCATTCCTCGAGAGGGGAAGCCTGCAGGTCCGCTACCCCTTCAACAAGTAACTGGTACCACACGTTTCTGCTCCACACACAGACAGCTCTCGTGGCACAAACATACCGTGTCATGACCTGAGGGGCGGGTATGCTTTTGTGTCAACTTGCTCTTTCTTCGGCCCACCTGCTCCCGGTCTCAAGTCGTCTCTCCGTCTCCCGTTAACTGCTTGGCCAAGCTCACGATATGCTGGCCACTCACATTCTTCCAGCACAAGCGGATCCGACACAGCTGCTGCACTCCGCAGTCACACAGCAATTGATTGCGCCGGCTGTACCGCCAGCTCGGAATTATCCTACATAATCGATAAGTCACGAAGCCCTGGTCATACGCCGCCAAGCATATGATTCTGGGGTCCGAGCGTCTGCCCCTGATTGGCTGCGCTGACGTTCCTCATTTGGATGATACCCTTCTCTTGTTTATCTGTCATGGTACCTAAGTATGGATGTACTCTTTTCCATTCTTCCATCACGATGGCTGTTACCGCCACCGTTGCTCCTCGTCTTTGAGGGCTATCATCTCTAATATTGGTCTGTTAAGTCATGGTTCACCATAGAAAGCTGTGGTCATGCCAATCAACTGCCTCCGTTCGTGCGAGTCCGCGAGGTTCCAGGTTTGAGTGCATGGAATGCTGCATAGAAGAATGCAGCGAGATCTGGTAGAACTGTGCATATGAATGGGCCGTCTTGCATTCATTGCTATCTCCAAGATACCAAACATGTTTCCAACGCCAGCATTGCTCCCCAGGGGCAACGTGTGAGTACTCCCATATTTAGCCTTCCAACCACCCCATTATCAGGCATGCTTATTATAAGACCAGCCTTAATCGGTCGGAGTATCACTACGGACCCCATCGTTTCAAGTTGAGCTCAATGGAAGTCCTCTCCAGACACTCGTCAGATTCGTTCGCCGACGATTCAACCGTTAAGACAACCTCACCCACATCGTCAACCGCAAGACCGAAGAAACGACCATGCTATACAAAACCAACGCGCGATCCAACTTCGTACATGACTGCAGGACTGAAAAAGTGAGAGCTTCTTGCCCTCCCACTCTATGCTGAGTTTAACAATACTCAGGCACTTCGAAGATGCTCAGTTTTCAGACCTTGTAGTGCGGTGTAGAGACGATGAATATCACGTGCACCGAGTCATTATGTGCAGCCATTCGCAGTGGTTCGCAAAAGTGTGCGCAAAGACCTCACCGGTACGATTTCCAAAGGTACCTTTTCGCGAGTTCCACTTATGCGTGCTAGGAGACGATAACCCAAACCATCGACCTGGGCGCCGACGACCCCGATGCCGTAGATGCTATGTTGCAATATTGCTATCAACTCGATTACGCCGACAAATTCCTGGGCTTAAGCAGTGCCGGCTACACCATATACACGCTCACACCTCACATTGACATATATCTCTTAGCAGAACGATATAGCATTCCAGGTCTTAAACAGCTCGCTCTTGAGAAGTTCGAAGTCCGAGCGGCAGTTTTATCTCGCGTAGAAGTCAACAAAGATAAATTCTTCCAGGCAATTCGGATCATATACGCCTCAACTCGACCTGGTGAAGATGATCTTCGAAATTCTGCAGTGAAGTTGTGTGCAGACCACTCAGAGCAGTATATTCTACAAGGCGGAAAGACTGCAGCGAGGGTGTTTAAGCTCATGGACGACATTCCTGCCTTCCGCATTGACTTTATTAAAGAACTAGCGTCAAGGCTAAAGTGAAGAAAGCAATCCAGTGGTTTGTGTATGATAGTGCATCTCTCAGCATTCCTCTCTAGCATCATCATCTAAGGCTTAGGGAATGGCTTCCATCGGCGTGACTAGGACTTTACATTGAGGGCCGCAGGGCAAACTTGGGTTTTCTTTAGTCGCCACCACGGCTTCCTTCGCCCTTTAGTTTCCCCAGTCATTTTGTATTTATTTCATTCACCGCCGTGAGCCGGTTGCCTTAGTAGCAAGCTTTCCCCCTCTTTCTCTCATCGCCGTCCACCTTTTCTCCCGCTCACTTGCTGTTACTTCTTTAAAAAATCACGGCACACACTCTGTAGCTCTGACGTCACGTGTCTGTCTATCGACTCTCGATCGATCCAATTGCCAGATACAGCCGATTACTACTAACATCACAACGCGAGAACTCAGTGAACAGCCTAATTCAATACGCGCCCGGCGATATGGCTACCTCTGACTCCTCACCGTCGCTACCGTTCGTCCAGGGCTCCTCACAACTCGACGACCCTTTCACTTGGTCGCAATCGATCAACGCACCAGCTCCCGATGCTTCAAATATGACCTTTATGCATTACCAACCGTCAAATCTACTAGTATATCAATGGCCCAACCCCCCATTTCAGCAGTCACGACTATCCAATTTCATCTGGGGGTGCATGTATGCGGAACTTCAAGCTTCGTCATCGCAAATCCGCCAGGCGCTAGTACCAACGTCTACCATCCTGTCAGCGCACCAAGAGTCAATGCAGAGCACTATTACCGAATTGAAACAAGAGGAAGAACTCCTGCTGCTTTCTCTCCTCGAGTCGGGACGATATTCAGACCTGATCCTTTTCTATGACAACGGCAACAAGCTAGAGTTAGTACACAAGGCAATTCTGTGTAGCCAGATCAGCTGGTTTTCCCAGGTCCTCGAGAATCAGGTGAGACTCCACTCCTTCAAGTCCGGCCAGTACTAACGTGCGGGTCTTCTCCACCTTTTTAGGTCCCCGGCTCTATATCACTCCAACTAGAGGCTGATTTCCCATTCGCGGTCAAAGCCATGCTTGAATTCATGTACCGCGGCACATACGCCTCCACATTCGCCGCCGCCACCGAATACCACCACCACCTTTCACTCATGGACTTCTCAGTCCACGCATACATTGTCAGCACAAAGTACTCCGTCCGCGCGCTGCGCCAATTCGCAATCGAGATATATGTTACCAAGGTACGTAAGTTGATTGCCCATTTCCGCGATTGCCCTGCCAGCACCCGCCAAGTAGATAGCTTTGTAACGTCGGTGGAGTTACTGTGGTTGGGGACAGAAGGGAGGGGGGATTGGATGAGGAGGGTGGTTTTGGGGGTTGTGAGGGAGGAATGGGAAGTGTTGGCGGGTTGGAGGGGGTTTGGAGAGTTGGTCGTGAGGAACGCGGAGTTTAGAGGTGATTTGGATTCGTATTTAGGGGAGAGGGGAGAGTATGTAGTGTGAGGGGAGGGTGAAAGGAATGTGTTCGGAAGAATGAGGAGTTAATAGAGGAGACAAACGGTGTGTGATTCAAATAGAATGGAACTCCCGGTCAGCATATACTGTCCATAATGTCCCCAACGTTGCGATGGTACACTGCTAGAATTGACATGGTGGAATCAGTATAATGAGTAAAAAGCTATTCTTCTTTCTTCGCCTGCTCAGTAAGGCAATTTCTTAGCTTTCTAGCCTATCTATACGCACTGCTGCACAAAGTATTGTTCTGCCTTGGGAGAGACTCTAGAGTCAAGGAGAACTCCGAATACTCTTAGCTGCATTCTCCTCTTGCGCCTTTTCCTCTAGGTATGTTCTCTATATAAAATTCTGTGTATTACACAGTACAATGTTCTACCATAAGATAGGTTTTAGAGTCGACAAGTAATCCAAACTATCTTAGCAGCACTATCAGAACAAGGTCCAGCGTGACTGGGTCTTGCTGCACCCTTTTCTCATGCTTTTTGCTTCAGAGTCTCTATTGAGAAATACCGTCCGTTCTTAACCCCCGCGCTCTCACTAACAATAGCTATCTTGCGAGCGTTGTAAACGCCAAGAACCCCTCCTCGGTGCACGTGAAGGCGTACTTCACCGCAGAGTGGCGACCCCGGTATGGCCCCCTCGAATCGACCGCCAAGAGTGTCACCCAATTAAGGCCAACTTCTCGTCAAATCCACCAGGTTATGCAGCAAGAAGAGGAGATGAAGAGGCAAGTGAAGACCGAGCACGAGCGGTTTGTCAATCAACAACTCCACATGATCATATACTAACTATAGCATACAAGACTACCCTACCCACAAGGCCAGGAGCGCGAGCAATGCGATATCGCCCATAGCAAGTTCCCGGGGGCCGGCTATACAATCGGTTACGAAACAAAGAACATCAGTTCGGCCTTGCCCGTTCAACAAACACCCTCTTTACTCCGAGAGCCGCAGCCGGAGGCAACCGTATTTCTACTGAATTGGTCATATGTATTCGTTTCGAACACTATGACTATAGTCACTAACGAATGAATCATTCCTACATATGGGTCGACCGGGACAACGGCTTTTGACAGATAGGTAGAGTCTGATTCGATGTTTTTTATGGTACCTCCAAGATTGCAGGCTTAGCTCAGGTATACCATTTCACTTTGGAGGGCACGCAAGCGCCTTAGCTAGTGAACATCTCCACAGCTGTGCTCGCACATGGGCCAATAATTGGATGCTTCCGGAATTAAAGTGCGGTTTGCAGGAGAGGATAAAATGCAGATGTGGAGCGGCTAGTTGGTTTAGGGGAGGCATAGATCTTACCTAGAATCCGTGTGATAGGCAAGGAACTCGACCATCATGGGCTTGTCTATTTTGATAATGTTCCGAGCTTCATAGGAAGTCACCAAAGTAGACCCCATAGTAACTACTAACGTCTACCTACGTAGTGGTTTTTTGAGCAGCTGGGGATTTTCCTGGTTTCCCGATATGGCAAAGATGTGCTAGAAACCCCCAATTGTCGCACTTCGACCTTCCGCCTCCACCTTAAGCTCGACCCACGAACTCTTCCTTCTCCACTCTGTCCCTCTACTTCAGGAGCTCTGTGAGGAGGATGGTGAGAGGAGTGGATCGAACGCCCATACAGCCTCTGCGCTTCTGTACCCTCGTGCCTCACGTTTCGGGGTGGAGCTTGCAACGTGACATTGGGGTTCCGCCTAAGGCTTTCGGAAGGGTAAAAACATAAGTGATTTGTGTTGTCTACGAACGCAATACTACTAGATTAATATTCACCTTATTTTATCGACATTTTCTGTGCTTGCCCACTTCGTGAATCGTCTTAGAAAGGCCCGTAGGACACAATGATGGCTGTTGGATCCATTAATTGCTCACTTGATTCAATAGATTACGATTGACACCGCGCAACATTTTTCTTCACTTATACCCTCTCAACCGGCCTCGAAAATGAAATTACCTTACCCCTGCAGCTAAAAGCCTACTCTAGCTCAACCCGGGTAACTCGATAGGACGTTATCTATTTCGACATGTCTACAGCTACGTAATTTTTGCATCCTTATAATTCCCCCACTGTCGACGGACGAAGAGGACACCTAATATAGTGAGGCAACTAACTGCAATTCCTCCAACTATTCCGCCTACTATTGCCCCGATAATTGCTGGCTTAGACTCGGAAGCCGGGATAGAAATGCTAGTGCCAGAAGGTGTTGGACTTGGGGTGGGCGATATTGATGGCGATGGTGACAGGGCCCCTGGTGTAGCAGTCGGATTCGACGCGGAAGTAGTTGAAGAAGAACTAGAGGAAGGTGTTGTTGTGGCTGCTGTGGTCGGAACAGCAAACAAGCTGTCAATTACGAAACTTCGGCCACAAGCAATGTACTCGAAAGATTGGTCAGGGCCATTAATTAGGAGAACAGTGGAGCAGAATTCCCTCGCATTGCTAAACCGCCAACAGTCTGTCAGCAAAACTGGCTTTGAATCTCCCTGAGAGAGATATCATACCAGGAATAGGTGATCATATCAGAATGTTTAGACAATCGACCACATCCGTTTGTGCAGGAATGACTATCCAAGCAATACCCGGCGAACCCGCAATCCGTTGCTCTGACTACATCTGTTGTGCAGAAACCCCACAGCCCATTCGCAGTATCAACCCTACATCCAAATCCAGAGTCTGCTGTTCGAATGAGTGTGGGATCGCCATTTAGATATCCGCAGGTCGACACGATAGATGTGACTTGCCGATTTTCAAGCCCTTGGAAGGTCCCGAGAGCTACCGTAGTAGCACTCGATTCTTGTGTAATTCGGTTACGAAGTAGGGCCGGACTAGAGAATGCAAGGCCTGAGATATAAAAGAAGAAAACGGAATGTAGGAGATGATTCATTTCACCAAAAGAGGGAAGATAAATGAATGACTGAGCTCCCCAAAAGTGTTTCCAAATGATGGAAACCGGTATCAAGGACCCTACGAGAAGTGGTGAAGGCATGATCTTGCATCGATTATTGACTCCTGAGTCAACCACATGGACATTGCGATACCTCCGGCCAATTACTTAAGTGGTATATATCCCCCAAGGGGCCAGGTAGATAAGATTTCTCTTAGTACTGCATGCACCCCCTCGGAAAGAGATCGGGGGCTAGCAAGAGTATTGGATTCCGTCGGCCATAGGGTCCAAGCATCTTGCGAGCTGAATGTTGTAAGAACCTTAACAACGGGTGGTTCTCATGACAGACTCTGGAAGAATTTGTGTAGAAACTTGAAAGAATAGAAGATAAATGTATGGGTCAGGAGGTACTTCTGCTCGGTACTTTAGGGTATTTGAGGAAATGGAGTTGGGGCCGGGAATCTAGTACCAAGATGAGACTCGCCCGAATAGACCCCACGAAAAAGTGCTGACAAAAAATTTCTATTTATTTATTTACTGACATGGAATCTCGCTTACGTTTTCTGAAGCGCCCGCTTATTGTTGCAAGGGTTGCGAGAAGGACAGTTTTGCATTGCAGCTTCACATGAGGCGGCGTAGTTCCTCATGTCCTCGAAGGACTCGTCTGCGCCATGCTCGCATGTACTTAGAGATTTCATAGGTTGCATCTTCTTTATGGTTATTTCTCATTTCAATCTCGCGTCGAATAACATGGTTCATTCTACATTGCGATGAGGAGGAGCATTCGATCAATTTTCCAGGCTTTCGGCCTGCTTGCCGTCATATTATTCCTCGCTGTTTGTTCGAGGTACTCCCAATATGGCTATGATGGGTTGCAAGCCAAATCTGTCGGTTTTAGAAATTCAGTTCCCACTTTAACAGGTATCCATCATATCCCTTTATGTGTTTTTAGATCTCGACTGACGATGGAGTAGAAGAAGCGAAGACAGCGACTAAAAATGACACTCTCCTTGCCCAGGCACCCTCATATATCCGCGCTATCCTGGATCCAGCGGATACAACCTTTCCTCGGCTGGAATGTCCCTTCTCGAATGTGGGCCGCTACACTTACCTTAACGCCTCCTCCAACTCGGATACCACCAGACTACCAAAGTACTTCTTCGCCCTCGACCTGCACCAATGTGTGCAGCTACTCCCTCGCTTAATTGGTTCTATAGTGGAAGCAATAAGATTTCTTGGGCCAGAGAATTGCGTGCTCTCGATCGTCGAAGGACGATCCGACGATGGTACATTCGAAGTCCTCAAGGAACTTCGTGGAGACATCGAAGGTCTCGGAAGCCGATACATCCTCCAGTCGAGCGACATCAACCCCATGGCATAGGGGACAGACCGGATTGAAGCTCTTGCTCTGCTTCGGAACTTAGCTGTGAAGGACCTTGTCGATAACCCGGCAAATTATTCCCAAGATACAACAGTTATTTTTTCGAACGATATTGCTATGTGCATGGAAGACATTCTAGAGATTGTCCACCAGCGGGCAATTCAAGGCGCCGACATGACCTGCGCTATGGATTGGACATATGTTAGTGAAAATCCAACTTTCTATGACGTGTGGATCGCGCGTGGAATGACAGGTGATTCATTCTTCCACATCCCCGAAGACGGCAGTTGGGATCTTGCATGGAATCTTTTCTGGAATGACGAGAAATCGCGCTCGCGATTGATGAACTTAAAGCCATTCCAGGTGTTTTCATGTTGGAATGGGATGACAGCATTCACTGCGAAACCGCTCATGGAGGGTCAAATAAAGTTCCGAGACCATTACCCAGAAGAATGCTTTCAGGGAGAACCGAATTTGTTCACAAAGGATATGTGGTATTTCGGCTATGGAAAGATTGCCGTAATACCCAGCGTCAATGTGGAGTACAGCGATAAGGCTGCAAAGAAAATCAAGGCCTTGAAAGGGTACGCTTCAAGACATGTCGCTAAAGAAGGAGACGACGCTAGGATTGAATGGGAGACTACGCCTCCAGCAAAAGTTAAATGCATGCCTGACTTCAAGCGCCAGGAATTCGTTGCTTGGGATGAAGGGTTGACACACTTTGGGCAAGAGAGTAATTATATCACTCGGAGATAAATCCACTAGAACGGGAGCACGGCTATTTTCAACAAGATACCCTAAACAACGCCAATGAACTCTGTAAAAAATTTTCAGTATTGGTGATGATATTCACCTAACGAACCGCTGAGAAGGTCGGAGCTCGATCACACAGCCTGGGGGGGATCTGCTGAGTAATTTTCAGATAGATCCTCTTCGTTGAAGGCCTCCAACATACCTGATCAATTACCTTTCTGTACCAAATTTTGTATCATTTACACAATTACAATATAGAGTAGACACAACGACGTTTCTTCTCCACTGGTCGAGGCATTCCGCGTACAGCCTAGGCTAGTCCCCCAGATCTCTACTCTTGGTCAGAAGATTTGGTATGTTACTGTGAATCCGATTTCGTATGAACCTGATGTTATATGGATATGTTAAGATGGGAATTTTTTACAGACTCGACGGCTCTCTCAACGTTGAGTCGGCGTTGGGAATAGTCTGTGCGCTGTGCATGAGCATATTCAACCCACGCCTGGGCACCGTCCGAATTTGAATGAAAGTCTCTTTGTTGAATGTAACTCAGAAAAATTCTTTAGTTTCGTACAGATTATGATTTCACATGCAATCAACAACTCTCCGAAGATTTTTAGGTTGATAAAATATATCGATGTTGCCAGCCTCAGCCTAGCTACATACCCGACATATGCAGGCTAATATCAGAGCGCCATCAATCCTAAGATCCTCCTAATTTTGACATTCAAATTCCCCTTCCTATGGAACATCCCCATCACTACCTAGAAAGCATGGCGGTTAGATCTCGGAAGCCTGAGGATTATCTTTGCTTTCGGTGGGAATGGTATCGATGGTAATTGTCTCACGGTAGCCTTCGCAGCAAGGCTGAGAGTACTTAACGAATTTATTGTGTGACCCAGGTCCCACTAGCCCGTTTGCAGCGGCTTCAGGAAGGTTAATGATATTACCATCCAGCGTGGAAGTAGAGATTAGAGAGATGCGCGTGATATCTAGCTTTTCGCTGCATTCCCATGGAGCTGAGAATATAGGTATGAGCTCCCAGACGCACTTCTACACCAACCAACTTCAGACCCCAAGCTCTTACTGCAGGTGGGGGTCTTACTTTAGGCAGAATATATCCAAAGACAACATTTGAGCGACAACGTGGAAGACCATAAGTCCATACATTACCCGACCCGTTCAACTAAACTCGCCACCAGGGCCCTTAGATCCTCAACAGAAGAACTAATGACACTATCACAGCTACAGCCCTCTGGGTTTGTTACTCGACTCACATCCAAACCATGTTCAATAAGTCGGCATCTAGAATTCCGGTAGGAGCCAGGTTGAATTCGTAGCTACATTAAGGTCGCCGGGAAACGCGCAACGTGAACGTCGACCTCCCAGAGAAAACTAACTTTGCCAGTGGAAGGGCGGCCTCCGGCGTAACGTGTGCGAATTGACAAAGGTGACACTCTAAGTTACCAGCTAATTTCTTTTTCGAGCGTAGTGAGGGATATGGCTTTACTGTAACTAGATAGCTATCGATGGTCAGAACTACAAGGTCCATTTGGTCTAGCAGGTGACGGCTTTGTGAACGGGGTGGACTACTCTTCATGAGAGCTGCCACTAGAAGGGGGGTTGAATGCCTAGTTTTAGTGGTTTCACTGCGCAAGATCTGTCACTTCCGAGATTCTGTGTTCCAAAGTTTATGGAAGAGTACTCCTCAAAGTTTTTCGCCCTAGAACTGTACTTCGTTTAGCCACTACTTTTCATTTTTCACCTTTACGTTGAAGCTGATTGGCTGGCAGTTTAGTCCCCCAAGGCCGGCTGAGTATGATTCGGACTCGAAGGTTCCACCCGAACTACACCCACGCGACACAGTACCGAACCAAAGAAATATACAGATGTCGTTCTACGGCAGTGGTCCTGTACGATCTCTTGTCGTGCGTGGTCCTCCCTTTCCCCCACTCTCACCGAGAAAAGCAAGTGGTAATCGTCCGGAGGATGAGACCGGTACGTGCCGTTTCGTTTCAGGAGCGGGTGCAACATCTGATTGTCTGCAAACGTCCAGGCTCATCTTACGTTCCTTTGGCCGTACGCCCCCCACGACGGAGGTGATACTATTCCTGGTTCCGTACCTGACATCCGTCGCAATTCCTATGGTTGGCACGCCTTGGGCGTCCAAGGGAAAGCCGTCCACCAACCCTTTCTGCCGTGACATTCCGATGCACGATTTGCTCTGGAACCTAACACTTGCTTCATGTTAGCGCACTGGGTAAGGATCGACAAGGGTTATCGCAACGAGCCTAGCGCGCGCGTCTTATCGATACTGGTCCATCTGCAGGAACCAAAGACGCCAGGGGGAGGACGTCAAACTTTCAACCACCACCGCCAATGGTCTCGAAGGAAAAAGTAAAAATTCTGCAGCCATACAAAAGTGGAGCAACGCCAGAAAATTCAGCTCGGCACTCTGCGTGTGGTTCTAACCTTCTGTGACAGGCCGCACCTCTCACGCCTCTCCACGACATGCGACATGCTGGAGTCCGTCAGCGACGGAAATTGCTTTCACACATGGCGCACATGAGAGCTGTGGCTACCTCAGCCCAAGAAATGGCTTGTATGTAGTATAAATGGGGGCCTCTTTGTCTTTTTGTCAAGTCTTCTTCATTGTGTGCACTGTAGCTGTAAAGTCCAGTGAAGTCCATTCTCTTCATTTTCACTCCTTGCTAACTCTTTGACCATTCACTCTTTGATTCCAGAGACGTACACTCTTTTACAGACTCTTGGAAAAATTTCTCTTCATCTCTATACCACCTTCATTTTAAAGAACCAGCGCTCTCACGTCTCCGTTGATTGTGAGCTCCAGCTTTGAAGAGCAGATTTGATACCTACCAACCACCAACTACCGATTTTTATCAAGATTTGACATCTTTGGCTACCACTACCACTGTCACAATGTTTTCTATGATTGCCAACACCCTTGCATTGGCCTCTATCGCTGCTGCTGGCACTGGAATCTCCATTACCCCTCACGATCAATACTCCAGTTCCGTAGGCGTGTTAGGCTGCAAGATCAACACCAATCGTGTTGCCTACTGGCCCCAACAACCCGGTTGCAATAGCGTTTGCGTTAAAGTGACTGCCAATGGTCGCTCCCTCAATCTCCTCCAAGTCGACACCTCAGGCGGGGCCTACGACATCAGCTACGATGCATGGAACTGGCTCAGCACTGGGCAAAATGCAACAGCCTTGCCGACAATGGGCGGAGGCATCCCTGCAGAGTATGAGTCCGTTCCAATGGACGAGTGCAAGGACCTGATGAAGGATGACAAATTGCCTCTCATGGCCGCCCACTCTATCAACTATTACGTTGGATGCCCCGCAGGCTCCTGGGTCCATGAGAACTCCCAACTTTGGAACATCCAGAACTCGGTTTGCACGCTCGGCTACAACGAACTCTGCACGCTCGACCTTGCTATCAGCAACCAACCCAGCTGCCCGCACATGCTTGGTGATCAGTCTACGCTTGCGGGTCAGCCCGTGTACAACGTTGCATACGGAACCGGCAAAGAAAGTCTCGCACTCCAGTAAATGATGTGCGAGCCACCGCGATTGTGTGGCAGCGTGATTTTCGGGGAGAGATTTTGGTGCTTCGCTTGAGCATTTCTCTGTATATATTTAGTCCTCGATTTTGGAATACCAAAAGTTTGTGACAGAGCTCTCATTCTTTTGACTCGGACTTGCCATTAGAATTATGAGTGCTCGTTCCACTCCAGGGGTTAAGAAAGCTGGTCCCCTCACAGAATTCAATTACTACAGCCTGAAGAAGGCCCCATAACCTGTCATAATCTGCTACCTATGGTGTCTTCTAGAGACGAAACATTGACGGATCAAAAAGTGGCTGAGGGATGATGGGTTCCTAACATAGCTTAGCCTTGCCCGCCGAAAGAGGACTAGTCTCGCTGGTGCCTCCAGGGCTGATTTCCGTCTCCTCCATCAAAACCGCCAGAGGTCTCCCAAAAATAATCCGCACTGTTGTATCGCAGATTTTCATAGTTCGCAATGCCTGGGGAAACTATATCCGTGAAACCCATTCAAGCTTTCGAGCTCCATCCCACCCCAATCCCAACTACATCTTTCTTTACTCTCCCCTCCTCTTCTAGAAAATTAAGCACACGAATCCTCAGCACGCGCAAAACCCATTCTGTTTCCGATTTCGATTCCGGAAGTGACAATACAAATACCCCAGAATACTACATTGACACCTCGGCCTCTTCCTCCCTCCTCATCTGGCCCCTGAACAACTCCCAAGCCATCAGCATCTTCCCCGGCTCTACTTCCATCTCTTCCATCTCCAGCCGCCAGGCTGAAAACAAGGGCTCGATATCCCAGGGTCATGCCATGCTAGGGAGATTTATGTGCACTATGGGGGGCATTAGTACACGTGACCCTCTTACGACAAACAGAACGCCGGATTTGTATGTCTCGAGTGGATTAGGTCATGGAATCTGGAGCGATCCGGTATTGGAAGAGAAGCTAAGGCTTCCAGGAGAGGGTGAGGGAGAAGCTGCGGGGTACGGTATCAGGGGAAAGAAAGTGAAATGGCATGCAGCAGGGTCGAAATGGGAGGCTAGGGTCGATAAGAAGGATTGCGAGATTGAGTGGGAGGGGTGGGGGTATCCTGAAGGTGGGAGTCTGGTATTGACCGGACGGGGGAATGTACTTGCATTATATAAACCCAGGTGTGCAAGCTGGGTGAAGCAGGGTGGTGAGGCAAAGGGGATGAAGTCAGAAGGAGATGGGGTTGGGATAGGGGTGTTGGGAATTTGTAGTGAACGGATTGATGAGGAAATGGCGAGGCATCTGTTGCTGTCCGCTGTTGCGATTGAAGAGCAGATTATGTGGTCGAAAGGCTTCAGGCCAGAGCTTTATCATGCGCAATGGTCATAGATCCAGCAGCTGAACTCAGCGTCTATGTCTTAGAATATGGAGGAGGTGGGTCGATATCCGATGAAAATTCCGGCTCGATGGGATCATCCGGCGTAAGAGGGGCCCTGGGTTCGGAAGGAGCCCTTGGCTGGTGGCAAACCATGGGCAAAAGCTGGATCGGCCTATTCAACACCTCAATTTCAAACACTTTCCCTGCACACTCCACCCATAGCATAGCGCTCATCTCATATGTCATTGCTAGGCCGTGGCTCCGAAATGTTGGTGGCATCGTATTTACCACAGTAAGATTCGATGACATCCTCAAGTGACATACCATCGTACATCACAAATCTAACATTCCCGGCCGCATCGAACTTCTTGTTCAAAAGATCAAACTTCTCCACAAGTACGCTCCTTATCTCGTGCACTTTGCTGGAAAGCACGGGTACGCGGAGGGTAACTGCGCAAACATTTTGACACGGACGCCGCGAAGAGTGACGGGAGGTGGATCAAGGACAGAGTCGCTACGGCCGAGATGAATATTAGATAGTGTAATGGGGAGCTTGTCGCCAACATGGGCTGAAGACGGGGCATTGACAGTGATACTGAAAATTGCGAAGGGGTCGGAAGGTCTTTCTTGATCAAAATAGTTCTTCATGCGGGACATGAAGTTCCGCTGCCTAGTAGCTGTTGTAGGGTCGAGGATTCGTGTCTGACGTCGGAGCCAGATGGGTTTTCCGGGGAGCATTTGTGCGGACGGAGGTGCCCCGGGGGTTTCTGGAGGTGCAAACCTGAGCTGTTTGTCGTACTTTGATATCTCGGGAGAAGAAATTCTTAAATCCGGTAGCGTTAGCCTCGAGATAGTAACAAACTCTTACACGCCCTTCTTCAACAAACAAAGACGACGGAAGCGCATGACCCGGCTGATTTTCAGAGTCATTGCTAGGTTTAAATTCTACCCCCTTCTGTAGACCGGGCCCCAACAACACTTTTTCTGGGAATCGAAACTCAAATGGAAGGGTCACATGAGTGTCCCCCGTTTTATAGAGGCTGACCAAGTCCGACCCGGAGAAGAGTTCTTGGGTATAAGAGAACAAGTAGAAATCAGCATGGTCGGTATGGTCATTATCTGCGCCACTTGTGACGTAGAATTTTGACCGGCCTCTGAAGCTTATGGTGACGCGTGTGGGGGTCCTTTATGCTTCTATCCGGACGGTTCCAAGGACTCGGTCGCCGCAACTGTAGAGTCGATGTGGAGACGGGATGGAAACGTACAAGGGGCCGGGCTGGGAATTGTAGAAATCCATGAAGCCTGACGGATTGTAAAACTGAGGGCCGATCACGTTCTTCAAGAAACTGTATCGAGCGACATAGACAACCGTAGGTGAAACTGAAAAAGTTGACGAGAATCAAAGCTCAAGTCCATTGCTTTCGGTTTATTTTTTGCTAGTGAAAAACTACAGAAATGGATGAATGCTGATAGCCTGCGTTATTTTGAATGATATGTGACATTCGAAGGATTCTATCCCTTGGAAGTCACTTTTCATAAGGATAGTACACGTTCTTTCATTCACTCTAGGGTTTGTCTGGTCAGCGCAGCCTCAAGCATAGCCATCTATTATTGCATGATGAATTTCAACGGCATCTAAGCAATGAGAGGGGCAAAATGCATAATCCATAATTGAAAAACATATTAGAATAAGGGCTATGATAAGATGGAAGAAGCTCAGGGACTAACGCTTCCAAGTCTTCGTAGACGCTAGACCATATCAGGAATGACTCTGAGGAGTTTCATGGAAGGCTCCTCATCTCTCGTCAGAATTTCAGCCTGCCTTTGGGCATCACTTAATCTGACTCAAATGCCCTACCTTGTTCTGACTCCAGTTTAAATTTGAGTTGGAATGTAAACCCTCCACCTCCACAGATCGATTCATAAATACAAAGCAATCTACAATATTCCTAGCCGCTAATTCCACAACAATGTTCGGCTCACAGGGGGACTTAATGCGACAACATCGCCCATATGATTTACTCGTTCCTCTCAACAGTGTTGACCTCTAGGTGGTATCAACCTCAATCATAGAGAACTTCAGGCCCTATGATAAATTTACGTTGCATGAGCTACACTGATCAGGTTGATCTCAAGTTGTGGTGGTGTGGTGCGTTGGCTGGGAAACTCGCCCGGTGAACTATCCACGTTTTGGGCCTGCTCTAGCCAGCGTTGGCTAACATTCTGCGATTCGTGCAGCTTTGGTGCACTCCAGATCTGCTTCTTTAAGACTCCTGCTTGCCTTATCTTCTTCCTCTTCCTCTTCCAACTTCCCTTTTCGTATATGCTGCGCTCTTTACATTTGTTTCTGATCAAGTGTGTTATCTTGGGAATGATTTCATATTTACTACCTTCCCCCCAACCAGACTTTCCTCCTCCTTGGTAATGTTGCACTGACAAGGCCAGACTAATAATCAAGTCTTCAAGAGAGATTAAGCCTCCGGATCTAATCAGATCTGGATTATACTACTTCACCGACTAAAATATAGCTAGTCTCGACCGTTGCTGTCCCTGGAAATGCGATCCAATTTTTTATTTCGCAGGACAGCTTGTCTCCAAGGCGCAGGAGATCCAGTGCCGCTTCAGCTCCGTAGTAGAGCACAATGGCCTCGAAAAGACCATCAAAGACCTGTCTCAGTTGACCACTTAACTACAACATGATATCAGTACTTCAGGGCCAAGTACGGCCGAAAACGAGCGCGCGGTTTGCGATTTATGTTCAAAATGTGTGGAAGTGGCAAGGAAAAAAGTATTTGTATAAGGAAGATATCCTATCATAGATTAATAAAATAGCTCAGATATTCTAGGATATAGGAGAGTAATACCCTGATACCACACTATCTCCCAACGTGACTGAGTATGTATTCTACGAGCATTCCAGACTACTTACGGTTTCCTTCAACGGACTCGCTAGCCATTTATTAAGCTTTTGAAATGCTATGGACAGAACCAGCCGCCGCACCAAACCCTGGGCACACTCGCAGATCCGTACATTTTAGCACAGAGGGATACGGAGAGAATGCGTTCACTGATGTTCAGAGGTTTGTTGTTGTGAATAATAAACGAACATTTAGCCCGTGCATGTAGTTGAAATGAACAATTTCTAACTCTCCTGGCATACGGCTGACAGTTTTCGGCCCCATTCAAATATATAGTGGGTAAGTTACTCGAAGCCTTGGTGTAGTAGCTGCAGATCACGGCATCATTAGCACAGGACCTGAAGGAGGTGAGCCAACATCTCTGCTAGAAGGGGAACACCCCACGAAACATCTTGTTCGAGCTAATGGCGCAGATCATGAAATACTTTCCCTTCAAGCCTGCGTCAGCTATAGTAAACCGTACGTCGTGGAACATAACGTCAAATTGCTGGAGATTATTGTGGCAGAGGAGCACAAACATTTCTCGGTGAATTACTTCCAACAAGCTACGATATTATAAATAATGATTAATTGTTTCTGGGGGAAGGCGGATCTAAGTAGCTGTGGTGATATTGCACATAATCCGCAGAATGCAATCCATCGTTACCATGCATCAGTATGGCAGTGGTGAGCTAGTTTACCTTCTCGCGGTATGTCAGACGTCAAGGCAGTCAGTAATACAGTCACACCTGGTTTACACGTCAGTCTGAACAATCGACGGCTCTTAGAGATAGTTTATAGCTGAACTAGACCTGTAGTGTTGCAATTAGGTGTGAGCGATCTTTCTAATTCGCAAAACAGGAGATTTCGATGATAGCAGTACCACGGAACCCTCACTATGCCTCCTCCCCCTACATAGCCAACTCTATATTGCTCTTCTCAACACTAAAATAAGAGCACTAGATGAAGCCATTTTATTTCAAGCAAACTCGCTAGAAAATAGACCCTCCATAACCAATAAGGACTAGCTACTCAGTAGACTTGAGCTACTCAATAGACTTTAGTTCAGCTGTCGAAGTCAGTCTAGAACGGTCGAGTGGCAGCATTCATTCCCGCTGCTTATGTCGAGTATTCCAAGCGTTGAAATGCAGAACATACCGTAAAACAACTCGCTGGTTTGTGTTAGTCAACCGTCATGATGATGCTCAGTGTCGGCCGCCAAATGTATATTCTTTCGGATATTTTCTTGTGGCATTGGGCGGGTATCAAGATGTATTTGAACTTTCGAATGTGGTCTTGCCGTACAACATCTTCCTCTAACGAACACCCCGACATGAAATTAATTTTCGTTCTAAAGTAATCATAAAATCATTGAGAAGATGGCCACCGGATCGCAACCCCCTACACTGGTGTCTGAAAGACCAAAGAAACCGCACTATAACCGAATTAGCACAGGCTTTAATATCATCAAGGGAAAAAACTTACTCATCCCCAGCCGTCACCACAAAGGGTCCATCACCCTGCACAAATCCCATGATTCCTCCACCTTCACCACCTCCTCGATGTCCTTTCCATTCTCCCACCAACCCTTTTGCAGCAGCTGCAGTACCACCTCGTGCATCCCATCTCCTCACCACGCCATCGTAACCACAGGACGTCAGCAGCGCCGAATTTTTCAAAAACTCGACTTTGACGACTGCGTGCTCGATTTCTTGATCTGCGTGCGCGCCTTCAATTCTTCGGCGGACAGCAAAACGGTGAGCGGTATCGAAGAGTGTGATAGAGCCATCGACGTTGCCCACGGCCATCAGCGTTAAAGGAGCTGAAGTAAAGGATATCGTTTCTACATTATCATTTCCAGCCTGAAGAGAAGCGAGAATCTGTCCAGCCTGGCCTGCAGAAGATGTTAATGCTTTAGGACTTCCGGCTTGCTTTGCACCACCATCCTTGCTACTAGCACCCCTTCCACTTGATCCTGTGGACGGCGCAGCCTGACCTATTCTCGGCAAGCCAACAACACGGATATTGCCTTCTGGCCCCCCTACTACGGCGAAGGTACCATTTGGAGCAATGCCAACGCTGTAAAGCCCACCATCCACTTTGAATCGCTCGTCTAAACCAGTCAGGCCCACGACGTTCTGACCACCCTGCATACCGGCCAAACCCGCAGCCGCAGCATCACCAAACACATCCCAGACGTAGAGGCTCGAGTCTTCGGACACGGTAGCCAGTAATTTTCCATCCGGACTCCACGTACCCGCCGTGCACGTCTCCGTATGTAAATAGAAAGCCTGTAGAACTTGCAGCGGATTTGACTTTTCCGCAGCATTGATTTGGTAGACCCATACGGAGCCGTCGTTCGCGCCAAGTGCTACGACATTTGGATGATCGGGGGAAGGAGATGGTGAGAGCCAGTTGATTTCTTCCACCTCTTGCGCCTCGGCGAGGAATTTCCATCGTTTACCGGCAGGCTCACCTTGCCAGGTTCGTAGCTTGCCGTCTAGGCCAGCGGTGACGATATACTGGCCTTTGGGATGCGTGAAGGTGATTGAATTAATTGAATCCGTGTGACCCTCCAGTTTGAACAAACTCTTCAAGCTCTCCCGCTCCTGCGGCTGACCGGTTGCTTGGGGCCCAGTGGATGTCTGTGAGGGCGTCGCATCAAAAACGTAACCTACTTCGTCGCCGCCACCTGTAGCTATAATCTCAGGATGCACAGGGTGTTGCGCTATGCAGAAGATGCTGTCTTTGTGGCCGTCGAAATGAGCTGCGCTGTCATTCTGCAGTTGGATCTCCTCCATATTCACCTCTTCAACTTCACCGTCTTCGCCTTCCGACTCCATAGGCGCATCCCCATCATCGGTGATCTCTTCGCCAGCTTCAGCTTGATCTAGCATAGCGTCATCGTCATCCATGTCTGTGTCTGTGTGTTGGTTGTGGGCGGACATCGTCAAGAACGTTTAAATCTAGATTTACAAAATCGAGAGAGTGAATGTAGTAAAAGGTTTGTCCGCAAGAGCAGGAATATAAACGGTGGTGCTTAGAAATGCCACAGTGACAAATTCCATCAAGAACTTTTTAATTCGGAAGCACGTCGGAGGTAGGAATGCCGACGTCATTACTAACAGACGCATAACACGTGATTTATACGACCAGATCTATATACGACAAAATTGCAATGTTCTACTCAAACCCACGCATACGTAATTTGAATCCAAGACATAGATTTGAAAGGCTAAAGCTTTGCGCCCTTCGCTCTCCTACTCTCCCTCTCCTTGTCCCTCAGGAACCGTCTCAAGATCTTCCCGCTTGGGCTCTTTGGAATCACATCAATGAATTCGATGCCTCCCTTGATCCACTTGTACCTGGCTTTGTGCTCCTCGACATGTTTCTGAATCTGGCGAGCAACCATCCGGTCATTCTCTTCAAGGCCGACGGCTGGTGATTTGACAATGAACGCCTTCGGGACTTCACCCGCGTCATCATCGGGAACTTGGATGACGGCGCAATCATTGACAGCCGGATGCGTTAGAAGATGGGCCTCGAGCTCCGCGGGGGCTACTTGGTGTCCCTTGAGGTTTATTAGCTTTCCTTCTCCACTCCATTTCTATTACAAACGCTTACCTTCACTTTAATTAGCTCCTTGATCCGGTCAACTATGAATACGTGTTCATGTCCCAATGGCCCTTTACGAATCACCGCTTCGTCTCCAGTTCGCATGTATCCATCCTGGAATGTTTCCTTGTTGGCCTTTTCATTGTGCAAATAGCCTAAGACAACTGAAGGAGACTTGACGAGGAGTTCCCCGGGCTGGTCATACCCAGTGATCTCAACGCCTTCTGTCGTGACGATCTTACACTCAACGGCTGGTAGCAGAGAACCCGAAGATCCAAACCAGATGTCGTCTGGGCTAGAGGAGCACACGACGGTGCAGGTCTCAGTCAAGCCTTTTAGTTTCGGTTAGTTTCCCGCGGTTCATACCGTTCGTACAAGTAAGCTCACCATATCCTTGGCGGATGGCCCACGACGGGAATATCTTTTGCAAGTCTTCTGCCGTCTCCTTTCCGAGAGGTGCTGCCCCCGTGAATATCGACCAAACGCTACTAAGGTCGTATTTATCTAACACACTCTTATTCTTTGTCATCAAAATGATAATCGGGGGAACCTATTCCAGTAAGTTTCGTCTCACTCCAGTGGGAGGCACGACCGACCAGAAACAGCGAGTTAATCTTAAATCGCTGGACGGACTCTAAGAAGGTCGTGAAATCGAATTTAGGCAAGACTATCACGCCGTCGCCGCGGTAAACACTAGCATGGCAGATGACAACCAAACCATATATGTGGCTCATTGGCAAAAGCCCGAGCGCGACATCGGTGTAATCGGTCTGCTCTGTAGGTAATCTCTTTGTATCTCGATATGGCTTATCATATACGGCAATTTGAACTACGGAGAGTTAATGACGAACATTTCCGGAATGGATATCCACTTACGTGTGTTGGCGATAACATTTTTATGCGAAATCATGACACCTTTCTAAGAATTGTGAGCGGGGCATTCAAGACAAATTAGAGCGGGTGGTTCTACCGGCAGACCAGACGTGCCACTTGAGTAGCACAAGAAAGCAGTGCGCTTTGCGCCATGACCTGGCTCCCAATTTAACGGCTCCAAACGGTCCAGCTTCTGGCCTTCTCGGATGAGGTCATCGACCGTCTTCATGCCACTTGGGCTGCTCTTTCCACCAGCGAATTTCTCAGGTACCTCAAGGATATAGATGCGGTTGCTCGGTATCCCTACTTTCTGTGCGGCTTCTTGCGCGGCCTTGAGCAGCGGGATGCAGGTGAAAAGAGCTTTCGCGCCGGAGTCCTTCAATTGGTATTCGAGCTCGGCTGCTGAGTACGCGGCATTCACGGGCGACTGAATTCCACCAAGACGGTGTGTGGCCCATGCTAGCGGGAGCGTGTCAAGCTGGAAGTAGTCAGCACATCGGCAGCCGTGAAGCCAGGGCAGGAAAGCGCGAGTCGTACCGCATTCACCGAAAATACGGCTACGACTTTGTCCCACTCCGATCCCTCGTTTGGAGACCAACCAAACTCTTTCGCGAGACCTCGCGCCAGGTAGTCAACTCGCTCCTTGACCTCTAAGCTCGAGTAGTGTTTTCCAGTTAGGCCGCAGGTGAAGGGAGACTTTGAGTATCCTAGCGGGTGTCGTCCATAGTGCTCCTCGAGCATAAAGTCGGCTATCGGTATCCCGTCGGGCGGGTCAAAGGGGAGCTCGGGGACCCACGAGGGGGCGGTAAACGTCATGTTGGCGGCCGTTTGCACTTGTCTATTTGGCTACGTGGATGGCAGCTGCTTGAACTCTAGATTCCGCAGGCCAAGAAGCACAATTGGGGAGGAGTGAGAAGAGACGAAATCAGGGACAGGGGCTGTCACGGCTTTTTCATGGCTTGAAGATGACGCTTAGCAAGCGCCTTCGGATGGCGGCCACAGCTCGGGGATGAGCACCATCAGCCATCTCCGCATGGGGAGCTTGTCCCAAGACTCCAACAAGAAACCTGGGGTAGCCTCGGTAATCCTGATACGGCTAGCTAATAAAGCTGGGGCCCTTTACAACCATGCACGGCACGTGCACGCTGGTTACAAGACCGCCGTGCTCTTAACAGTCTCCCGTTTCGCGGCTTCAGCAAATCACAAACGGCAAGAGATAATTAATTCAAAAGTTTACGGAAGTAAAGAGATGCCTCCTTTATATTCTAGTCCGAATATTTTATTTGTATTCTTATATGAAGTTTGAAGTTCCCTTAGATTTTGGTAGATTTGTACGGATTATGGGTTGTGAGCTTTTGGTGTGCGGCCGGCCGTTGAAGTCTCGGCGCTCACGATATCATGTCTCCACGAGTCCATGCCCTTCAGCCTTTAAAACGTCCAAATATGAAATGGAGTAAATTTGGTGCAGATACCACATGTCTGGCTCCGCCGTCACAACACCACACGCTGCTCTGCCATGCTACAGCGCGAGTCTTGGTCTCAACATTCACATCCACCACTCCAACTCAGCCATTCACTACTTCCTTCAAGGGAAATGTGCAGGGGTCATGATTCACCCATTTAATATTCTTCGCTGATTGAAAAATTGGCTACTTCTGTCTCAATACACTTCAACAGCAGCCATGTTCTGTGCCCAGAATAAATACTTTTGTCCATCGGTCCTTTCTTCTGCTAGATTTCTCTCCTTCTGCAACGCTTTTTGTTCCTTTAACCTCAATATACTACCTTCATATTGTTATGTTCGTTCGTGTATCCCAATTTCCACCATGAGCAGCTCTGAGCCTCCTACTGAGTTAACTTTAGCACCAATTGCTGCAGATAGCAACACCAAGGGCAAGAGAGATTCCCTAGTGTCACAAGACACGGCTCAAGCCAGTATTTTTGATTAGGATTTCCACTCTTTGGACGTTCCCTGTTCTCAACACGCGCCCTCTCTTGAACTAAGCCTCCAAGTTCATGGTCAAATGCTCACTAGGAATTCAACGAAGTTCTCGCCCTCGACTACTTCAAGCAGCAAAAAATCAGAGTGTAGAGTGGGGGTTTCCTGTCTGGTGTAGAAGGTGCGCGTGGGAGAAAATGTGGTGTTATGGGTGATTATGTGATGTTGATAGTGAATCTAGAAGATGGTTATTTGACATCTGGCTTCTGTACTTGAATGATTGTTTGATTTATGCGATGTAGGGTTGAAAGTTGTTGGAAAGTTGTAGTGATGTAATTAGTGCCGCAACGCCTGAGGGACTCACTTAACCACCATGGTAGAACACACAGGAGTGCGAATGGAGCTTACTGTAACCCCTTAAGCCTATAATTAGCCACTTATTTTGGCATCTTCTCCAAAAGTGAACCTCTAAATCAAGTGAATTTCTGCATGTAAATGAGATATCAGAGCTGTAGGGAGGTTCTAGGGTATCGGGGAGACCCTTGCTTCCTTAACAGAATAAGCAGGGGCGTGAATGAAGCTTTCTATGTCTTTGCACCTCCATCTATCGCTGCATATCTGTGTTGATATAGCTCTAGAATTTGACCAATACCATAGATTAAATAGACTATTTACAATCTAGAGATCTTATACTATGTAAGGAATGCCCTAGAGATCTATGATACACGAGGAGAATAGTACAGAGTGTGAATAGAGGTACTACTGTGTTGTGGAGATGAATGAAATCCTTAATATTCCTTCTATCAAGTAAATATCAATAACACCTATCCCATTTGTCTACTACACGACAATGAAGAAGATAATAGGGGCCTCCTTAGCCGGATATGCAGTTGAATGTTCACTACGAATATTTTCGGAGTAGAAGGCGAGATCAGGGGTTCTTATTGGCTTGTATTGTTGTCTATAAATGCTCCCAAAAGGTTCGGCCGAAGGAAAACTTATGCTGCTTATCTGCCTTAAGCATCTAGGCTTTGCATTTCGGACCCGTCCTTTAGAGCCTGTGTCGTAAGGCGCATCACCTTTTCGGGTGGTTACGGCTGCGGTATGGACTGGCTACTGACTAGCAGAGAACTTGGCCTTTTAACGAACTGCGTCTTATCCGTTGCCGTATGATATGGCATCAGTCACGGGTACGCGCCATCCCTATGCAGCACACTCCTTGGACCTATTGGTAAAGAATGCAGAGGACAGAGCACTGTCAGTGGCGTCCGAGCCAAGAGCCATAACCGCTTCGAAGTGCCCCCACTCACCCATATTTCTGCGTGACTTCTTGTGAATCTTCTCGCGAATCTTCTTGTGGTTTGTCAGGGTATCGCCATCATCTAAATGGACGAGCTTGCGCTGTCCTGCATGCTCTCCAACCTAAGCGTTTCTCGATAGCTTAGAATTGATCTCTACAGCACCCTCACGGATAATTTTAATGCACAGAAGGTTTTCCAGGCCCCATCTCTGCTGTCGATATCCTCTAGCGACGTGTCTCTTTAAAGCATGCAACTAATTATTACTACTTCCTGCTCCTAGCGACGGTCCCGTGATAATATCTTCTACCTACCTGACTATCTAGAAAAGCAACCAAAGGATCCACTAGAAGTTAAAGACACCAAGACATCTCGAACAGCACTCAGAGAAAGGTAGAGGTGCTCCAAAAACCCTGTCAGCCTTTCCCCTAATAGAACGAGGATTCCTGAAGCCGTTGTTAACAAGTGATTTGATGGTATTAGGCTTCTTATTCTATAATAGAGACCTTTATCTAGGCTCCCTACTCAGGCTATGCGCAAAAGGGGGTACCCAATGTCGAGATTAGAGAAGAGGGGTTGAACATCCACTTGCATACCTTCTAGAAAAGCCAATGTACTCTCTGATCCTTGCTCGCCACCCTTAGCCACAATACCAATCTCCACAACTGGCACCATTCAGCAAGAAAGGGGTGGAATACACTGATTCGTAACTACCTCCACCTCCTCCTCCTTCATCCCATAAACTCTCTTACAAACTCCGCCACCACCTCTGGCCTCTCCACCATCGGCAAATGACCCGCCCCATCCACAACCTTCAACTCCACACCAGTCCCCAGCGTCTCCGCCATCTCCTTCATCGTCTTCGGCAGCACGCCATCACCCGCCCCAACTACAAATGCACCTTTCCCCTGATACCCCCTCATCAACTCCCTAAAGTCATATTGATACAGCGCTTGAACACTCTCCTTGAACCCCTGCAAACTATTCTCCTTCACCATGTTCTTGACCCTTTCAATCTCTGGCAAAATCGCAGAAGAAGCGTAACTCTCTTTCGTAAACCACCTCCGTACCGTAAGCTCAGCTAACTGGTTACCTACGATGGGTTCACCAGACGAAGCCTTCGCGCCTTCCGTTTCGCAAACTTCGATCCGCTCGCCCCATGCTTTTGGATTCCCAGGCGGAGCGACGGAGTTTGTGTCGCAGGCCACGAACGCAGTGATGCGGGTTGGGTACTTGAGAGCTGCGTTCAGCGCAGTAGCGCCGCCAAGGCTGACGCCCACGGCTGTGGCCGTGGGGACGCGGAGGGCATTAAGGAGGGTGATGATGTCGGAGGCGAGGACGTCGACTGTAATTGGGCGTTTGTTTTCTGTGGGGACGGAAGTCCGACCCCGGGTGTTGTAGCGCAGGATGCGGTATTTGTAGTTTGTAGTTTTGAGGAGGTGAGGGACGAATGAATCCCAGATGCCGATGTTGACGAGGATCGAATTTACGAGGACGATGACAGGGGCATTGGGGTCGGAGGAGCCTTCAAGACGGTAGGGGATATTTACTCTGTCTGGAGTTGTGACAAAAGACTCAATTGCCGGATACCCCGTCAATACAGCGCTCGCGGGAATCGTCTTCGTCAATCCATCTGGGCTCTCCGCAGCCACAGTCTCGGGCGTCGACAAGGAAGAAAGGTCCCTAGGTGCCGGTCCAAACGTATAATACAAATCATACGTTCTCCTCCTCTTCTCACCCACCACACTCCTATAAATCTCATCATTCCACTTCGTACTTGTCGCAGCCACAAACTCCGGTCCACCCAACCCATTCACAGGCGCATACTCATGTAGCGCTAGAAACTCCTTCTCCCTCTCCGGCTCCAGATTGCTAGTCACAAATCTACGAGTTCGTCTCCACCCTGGGACTTTCATGAGAAGTGGGATATGTTCTTCTTTATACCACCTTGCCAATTCTTTCTCCTTATCGTCACCGGGATGGAGACTCAAAAATACAGCAACCATAACATTGCCTTCCGCACAATTTTCCATATCCTCCATCCTCTTAAACCCCTCCCCTCTAACTTCCTCCACAAAATCGTAGAATCGCCTATCAACTTTAATCTGCTTCATCGTATCCCTCTCCCTCTGGCTCTGCACCGGTGGTAACCGCAATTTCGTGTACACATCTTTCGTCAACCAGTCCATATCCTCGATATCGTAAATCGCCATCCATTCCGGCCTAGTCTCAGAAGCAGGGCTGTGGGCCAAGATGTCGTTGGCGCGGTACCGGAAGCCATTTTGGCAGAAGCTGAGACGGAGGCGGCCAGGGCCGTGTTCATTGTTGTACCAGTCGTGGAATTGGGGGATTGGGAGAGAGGATTTAGGTTGCATAGTTACGTAAAGGATGCCTGGTGTTGGTGCCATGGCGAAAAAGATATTTCCAACTTCCCTCTAAAAATCAAAGCGTTGAAGATGTGAGAGGGAATTCAGGATTGGTCTGCAGGTAGTCTGATCTGATATGGCTAAGAAGGGTTGTTGGGAAGGATCAAGACAGAAAGAAATGTAAGACGAACGAGTCCTCCACAACAATCCCCGACATTGGAGAGGCCGCGCCGCCATGACGAATGCGGCTGGGGTGTTTATGAGTTGCTCCGGTGGCATCTGCCGGCAGAAGGTTTGGCCTGGAAAGTCGAGCAACGAAATTGCCCCGCGTCAGTTCCGAGGTCGGAACTGGGCTGCCCCTCGATCGAGAATACGCCGAAATGTGCGTGTGCAACTGAAGGCGTTTTTGATTATGCACGAAGTCAGCCGAAAAGATATGCAGCTAACATATTTCATCAGTCTGACAGGGGTTGCAGAGTGGCTCGGTATGGGTGCCGGGAAGTGGAAGCTTTGCTTTGTGTCGCGCATGTCTAATTTCACAGTCTACCTAATCACCGAATCACAAGAAGGAATGCCAGTGTGACAGAAGCCATCTATTGCTATACCCTTTCCTGCCTTAATCATACCAAATCGCATTCATTCCAAAGCCCGGCTCCTTAATCTCCAGCCTCGCCACTCGAGCCAAAAACTCCTTATGCCATCTATATATCTCAATACCCCCTTTCTCATCATCGGTCAAAGCGAGCCATTCATCTGTCCAGGGGCAAGGACTGACAGCGTTTGAATGACCACCGCTTGTCGGCGTAGGGTTGAGACAAATCTGGCGCTCAATCACTCCATCCGCATTGACCTTGAAAGCGGCGATGTAGCCTGTTAGATCAAAGGAATTTGCCCGCGAGGTAGCGAACAGGTATTGGCTGGATTGAGTGAGGAAGACTACGTCGCTGCGGTACATTTTGGGGTTGGGAATGTCTATGGCATGCTCATGAGTATTGTTTGCTGATATTCGAACTGCCAGAGTACACTCACCGGGAGGTATCAGTGGATAGCTTTTATGCGTATACACCGGCAATCGCGTCTTCTCGTCGATTACATACTCGCACAATCGATTCCCAGCCTCCATCAAGGCATACAGATACTTCCCACTGGGGTGTATTTCTACCCATCTTGGATGATCGCCTTTCGCTGGTGCATCCACACTGCCAACCAGTTCCACCGTTCCATCATTGTGCTTTTTGTGGCACCACAGTCGGTTGGCCCACATGTCTGCAGAATATAGATAAGTTTCTGTGGGATCAAACACCATGCCGTGGATCGCAGACTTATCACAGTATTCATAGTCTTGAATGTGCTTGTCTATACTGCCATCTTCCTTGACACTGAAGACATTGCCGTAGTTAGCGTAGTCGTAGAATGGGTTTCCGTATACACAGTAGGGCGGTTTCTTAGCCGCGAGAACAAAAATTGCGCGCGTTCCAGTGTCTGCTTCTGCTGCCTTCGCTGCAGCTTTTCAGTTAAGTGCTGTTGTGAGTCGAAGTCTGAAGACGTACGATGACCGCCCATGGGGTGCGAAGAGCTGTGAACAATTTCAGAGGGGCTCGTGACTACATGACTAGACCATTTCTTCATCGACGCGCCGTAGATGTTCATTCTCCTGTGCTAGACGAAGATAATGAGCCGTTGACCGCAATTGGAAGGCAAGATGCACCTACGTCGAAGGTCATCCATGAAATGGGCTCATTTTGAGGAATCTCTGTCTTCTTAGTGACTTTTAAGCTTAACGCCTCGTCGTCGAACTCGACCGTAACAATGATGCCTGGTGGGGTCCATGTCCCTACCATGAGGTGGTGCTTCATGATGCCGTGACCCAGTGCCTTGAAGACTCTAGGGAAAAGGGAAATCCTTACTTTTCACCAAAAAGATGTTTTCTCCCTGCCCCATCGCGACGTGCCTCATCCATGCCCCGAGACCATGGCCGAGGGTGGGGGAATTGTTCAGATCCGGGGAAAGCAGCCGGAAGAAAGCTGGGTAAGTCTTTACCCAGAATGACTGCACCGTGATTGGCCGATCTTACATCACCATTGCGGGGCAACAAGCATCAGCTTCGGCACTCGAATGTAAAGAAATACTACGGATCAAAAGCCGATGGGCTTTGCCGCCATTGCGCTCAGCAATTGCGGTCGCGGGGGGCTGGGTGACCTGATATCGGCCGGCTGTGACGGGTAAGAAGGGTTGGAGACCCAGGAGGTTTAGATTTAAGACGGTGCCTGGTCCTGTTGGGGGATTTCCAAGACAGACTTGCATTCGCAACTTTCCACAGACTTCAAGCTTCAGACTCAGGCTCTTCTTATTCTTCACTACCCTTCTCTTCTTTTTAAAATCCAAAGTAGGATACCAACTTTCAAAATGTCCGCGCCACACCGATTTGACCCCAACTTCACCGACTCCGTCATCAATGCTATGGGCCCGAACACGGACCCTCGCACGCGCGAGATCATGACCTCTCTGATCCGGCACCTGCACGACTTCACGCGCGAGGTCGAGCTGACCGTCGACGAGTGGATGGCCGGCGTCAAGTTCATCAACCTAATCGGACAGACGTCGACTCCCACGCGAAACGAGGCGCATCGCATGTCCGATATATTTGGCCTGGAATCGTGAGTTGTGCTATGCTTCAGCGGCTACAATTAGTGCTAACCGTTCGTGTTAGACTTGTCGACGAAATTGCCCACAAGCACGTCAATGAATCCGGTGAAGAGCCCACATCCTCCTCCATTCTCGGCCCATTCTGGTCGCCCGATGCGCCTTTCCGCGAGAACGGCGGCAGCATTATCGTGTCTCCTCACCAGGGAGAACAAACCCTGATGCACGGTGTCATCACCGACCTCGATACCAAGAAGCCTATTCCCGGCGCTGTAATTGACATCTGGCAAGCCTCGTCCAATGGAAGGTACGACTTCCAGGACCCAGAGAACCAGGTGCCGAACAATCTGCGAGGGAAGTTCAGGTGCAACGAGAAAGGCGAATACTGGTTCTACTGCTTGAAACCGACTGCCTATTCTCTGCCCACGGATGGTGAGTGCTCCCTGCCCCAGATCTGTAAAACGAATGCTGACGAGACCAGGTGCTGCTGGAGTGATTTTTGAGGCCCTTGACCGACACCCCATGCGACCAGCCCACATCCATCTCATGATCACTGCACAGGGATACAAGCCGGTGACCACGCAAATCTATCCCCGAGATGACCCCTACGTCACCAACGATACCGTATTCGCTGTTAAAGACGACTTGCTCATCGACTTCACTCCGCGCGAGGGCGACCCGAAGGCTAAGCTGGACTTAGTATACGATGTGCGATTGGCACCGAAGGAAAGCAAGACTACCCCAATGGAGGGCGTAGCACGCTTGTAGATTAGAGAAAAAGGACGCGAGGAAATTGCATATGCCTTGTAACGCATGTGGCGTTGGAGTTCTGTAGCGCGCTTTGGTTGGTCGTTCAGATGGCGGTACCTGCATTTGATTGGAGGCTTGATTGGACTGTATATATTATGCCTAATTCATGAAGAGCAATCTGAAGCCTGGATCTGTTAGTTCTTTCCGAAGCCGGTGAAGTCGGTGAAGCCGACAAAGCAGGATAAAGTCTTCTGAGGAACGGCTGCCGGTACCGATATCTCCGACAGAACCCCAGGATTCCCCACACTCTGTTATGATGTACCGAGCACCGTTCCGATGGGTCCCTGAGATCTATCGGTACCTCCTAAGCTTCGCGAGTACTCGGTTCATCCAGTTCGCCGTTTAGCAATATTAAATACTACTGGCTCCGGCCCAGCTTCCTCAAGCATGAAACCCACTCCAATTCCCGCCACCTTCAAACCTTTATCACAAGATGAGGGTTTCATACGCCCCAAAAGAGCCCCCAAATTCAAACGACGCACCCATCTACGAGCGCATATCCGCACGCCGCGCTCCACGCCCACTCATCCATCTGGATCTGGCTCTACTGCAATCACCGCCAGTGGCAGATGGCTGGAACAGCTTCATGGGCGCAATCCGCACTAAAACCACCATCGACGAAAGCATCAAAGAACTCGCCATCTCACGTATCGCGGTTCTCAACAAAGCAGTCTACGAATGGGACATCCATGCCGCCCTGGCACTAAAGGGCGGCATTACACCCGAAGGACTTGAAACAATATATAACGCCGAGGTTGTCAGGCTCGGGGATAGAGTGAAGGATAGAGATGAAGGGGGATTGACGAGGGAGCAGTGGGTGGTGCTTGCGTATACGGATCAGATGACGCGGGGAGTGGAGACGAGTGAGGGGGTTATGAAGAAGTTGAGGGAGTTTTTGGATGATAGACAGGTGGTGGAGTTGACGGCTACGGTTGCAGCATACAATTGTGTGAGTAGGTTTTTAGTTGCGTTGGATGTGGGGGAGAAAAATGGGCGGCCGATGAAGAGTGTGAAGGAATTAGAGGCTGAGCTGAGCGGGGACAAGTGATTAGTATTGACTTTGCTCCGGGGGGGAGGGAGCAGGCGCTGGCGGTGAACAGAATTGTGGGCTTCCGTAGCTGAATTCCTAAACTAAGAAAGCTCAATCGCTTATGGGACACCATGTGAAGCCGTTTCTCGGACCGTGCGTCTTCCCCGCCTTGAGCCGGCGAAAGCCGTGCCGCGGTTCCCCAGACTCCAAGCCCATCGTTCATCCCAATCCAGGGCCAGAATGATTACCGCTCGCAACGTCCACGACTCTCTACCACAATGGCTTCTCTTCAACCCAGATTCCTATCTCGCAGCATCCGTCAGCTAGGCAGACACCAACCCCGTCCAGTGTTCCTCCACGCGCGCCGCCATGCTTCCACCAAGCACCCGAGAGGCTTCGTGCCGCCCTCGGCAGCAGACCTCGAGGAGCTGCGGGAACGAGTACAGGAATTCGCGCGTAGGTGCCCCCCCCCTTTTGCTCACCTCGCACAAGCTAACGTCATCTCCCAGGTCGCGAGATCCCCGACGAGCTGGCCCTGAAGACTGACCAAGAAAACGAATTCCCCAACGACATGTGGAAGAAGTTCGGAGAAGCTGGCTTCCTGGGCATAACTGCAGATGAGGAATACGGAGGCCTAGGGATGGGGTATCAAGCGCATTGTGTGGTTATGGAGGAGATTAGTCGGGCTTCTGGTGTGTTCGTTCGCTACCTCGTCCTACTTCCATACTTGCACGAAGCTTTGCATGGGTTGCGTTGGAGACACATGCTGACATGTTTAGGAAGGCAGTATCGGTCTTTCCTACGCCGCACACTCGCAACTCTGCGTTAACCAGCTTATGCTCAATGGATCCTCCCAGCAGAAAGCGGAGTTCCTGCCCGGACTGATATCTGGGGAACAAATCGGCGCTTTAGCAATGTCGGAGCACTCAGCCGGGTCAGATGTTGTAAGCATGAAAATGACAGCGAAAGAGGTCGATGGTGGCTACCTTCTAAACGGCACGAAAATGTGGATAACGAACGTATGCTCCGCCCCTCCTCCCCGTCCCAATGGGAACCGAGCTAGTCGAGCAGAATGCTAACCCTTCCCAGGGTCCAGACGCCCACACTATAGTCGTCTATGCCAAAACCATCCCCTCGGCCGGCAGCAAAGGCATAACCGCCTTCATCGTCCCCGCCTCTTCCCCGGGCTTCTCCTGCTCCAAAAAACTCGACAAACTCGGCATGCGGGGCTCCAACACCGGCGAACTCATCTTCTCCGACGTCTTCGTCCCCCACTCCAACGTTCTCGGCGCCCCTAACCGCGGCGTACGCGTGCTAATGGAAGGCCTCGACCTCGAGCGTCTCGTCCTCAGCGCCGGGCCCCTAGGCCTCATGCAAGCCGCTCTCGACGTCGTGCTTCCCTACACCCACACCCGAAAACAATTCGGCATCCCCATCGCACACAACCAGCTCATTCAAGGCAAACTCGCAGACATGTACACCAAATTCCGGGCCTCGTCGTCGTACACGTATGCTGTCGCTGCAGCGATCGATAACTCGCATGAAGCGCCGGTTATCAAGACGCAGGATTGCGCGGGCGCGATTTTGTTTGCTGCGGAGAGGGCGACGGAGTGTGCATTGGATGCGATTCAGCTGATGGGTGGTATGGGGTATGTTAATGAGGTGGCGGCGGGGAGGTTGTTGAGAGATGCGAAGTTGTATGAGATTGGGGCCGGGACGAGTGAGGTTAGACGGATGGTTATTGGGAGGGTGTTTAATAAGATGTTTGATGAGGCAAGGTGAGGAAGGAGTGGGTGGGTGGGCGGAGGGATTGTGTAGTGTACATCTAGTCTGTTAATCTCGGGTAGAAGAGCAGATGGTATGGTATGGTATAAATGCCGTACTTACTCACACTCCACATTTATGTTCTATCTAACAATAATGGATTGTTTGCTCCTGTCAATTGAGGCTTGAGCCTGGAGGTTAACTTCATAAGCTTGTGTGGTTTCTGTCGTAGTTGTAGTTATTTGTAATTATTGGGACTTTATGTCTATGGACGTTGCTGAATTTCATTTGAATTCCATCTACCAGAAAGCCTCTCGCTACCCATCTACACGAATCTAGTCCAGTCCTACCCAGAGACGCCCAGAACTCTTAAGTCATCTTTTCCTCATCCCAAGCCCAAGCCCAAGCCTAAATACACCATAAGCTCTCTCCTCCCCTCTCCCTCCCCTTCCCCTCCCTATCAAGAAATCAGCCACCACCCAACCCCAACCGTAAACCCCAATACCAACGCCGTCAAAACCCCCGCGCCAGCCTTATCCCCCGTTGTAACCACCTTCGGCGCATCCTTCGGCCTTTGGCTCTCCCCTGTCCCCGCCGCTGGATTCCCCTTGCTCGTTCCCCCATTATCCGCCGAGTACGGCGGTCTGGATTGGCTGATAAGATTACTCTGAATAATCCCCAGTGCACTCATTTCTTGGCCGACCCCGCCATTCCCGTCATAGCTGTCGTAATACCAGCGGCTTCCGCACATGGTGCCGGATTTGCCGCCGTTGCATTGCTTGGCGGCAGCTTTGGCAGAGGCTTGGAGGAGGGGGGTGAGCTGTGCGGAGGTGAAGGGTGCGAGTTGTACACAGACGGCTAGCCAGCGGGAGAAGGATGCTTTGAAGGACCATTGGTCTGTGTCGCATTTCTGGTTGACCTCGCAAGCTACTTCCACCATGACGCCTTTTTGGTCTTTGGGGAAGAATATTGGGATGTGGGATAGGAAACCAGAGAGGCGATCACCCCAGGTCGAGTTGCCGTTTGTGTAGTTGTACATCTGCTCATGCGTTAGAACATCGTTTGCATTTGAAATCTGGGAAAGGGGTGAAATTAGGGGGACATTGGGTACTAAGACTTACGTATGCTGTCCCAGCAATCAAGATGCCGTAATTATACGTCCATTGCATTTGATCCGCATCCACGCATCCCTTCAACACATCCGTCCCATCATAGACTTGCATATCCTTCGTTAACAATGGGCTCTGCATAAGCCAATCAAACGCCTTCTCTGCCCACTCTGCATACGTCGCATTCCCGGTATACTTTGCCAACCTCGCGCCCAATTGGAACATGCCGCCATTCGCAGCAATGTTCTTGTAATTATACCCGCCGATCCATTGGTATATTTGCCAGCGGAGGCCGCCTTTGCATTGAGTAGTGTCCCAGCGCTTTATGAGTTGGTTCATGACAGACTGCGCGAGAGCGAGCCAGCCAGGTTTGTCGGAAGGAGGGTTCGGGAATCCGAGTTCGGCGGCGGACATTACAGAGAAGGCCCAGAAGAGCTGGTCGTCGTTTCCTTCGTCTTTGCTTTGGTTCGAGGGCATCTATTTACGTCAGAATTCTCGATTCTACACATTACCTCTCCACCTTTTGGAGGGAATCATGCCGTCTTACAAGATCTGCTTGTACGCCTATTTGGAACAGAATCGCGTCTCTGACTGCATCATTATAGGTTGTGTCGTTGGTGTAATACCAATAATCAATGAACTGTCCAAACATGGCACCAGCTTCCCACCAGTAGTATGGAGGATATGTTAGAAGACCCGGAATTCCGCTCAAGATTTTAATTCCCCCGCCACTGGGCTTGTCTGCATACAAGCTGAACAGGTTCCCAGCGACTGCTTTTGCAGCACTCTTCACGGAGTCTGTGGCTTATCTCAGCGTGTGACCTTTGAATAAAGGAGACAAGAGTGGAGATTATGATGGAAGTTTGGGAGGTTAGCACCTAGAGCATGGTGAGACTACGAGACAGGCAGAGGTGTTTTACCTGGTTGAGTAGGATCTAGATCTATTGCATCCACTACGAAAACATTGCGACTGAGTAAATAGAAGGATGCTAGGGCTTGAAACCCACCGAGTAACCTCATCGCGGCATGTGTTTTAGTTAAGCGACGGACTTGAAGAGACTAAATTCCGTCTGGGAGGTGTAAGAAAGAGTGAGAGTGATTGCAAGAGAGGGAAGTAGTGAGAGCGAGTGGGTGGAGAAGAGGTCCGGGCCAAACAGACAGCGTAGTCAGTCAATGTCGACAGGTAAAGGATGGGGCGCGGAGGCAGCGAACACCTGTCCTAGATCCTTTCTCACGTTCGGTGCCACCAAATAAGTGACTAGGTCTCGGGCCTACAAGGCGATATACGAAATCTCGGACTCTCAGTGTCCGCCAAATGGAATGCGTAAACCAAGTGGTTAAGACGGCTGCGCAGCTGCCAGAATGTTGGTGGATGATGGCCCGCCCCAGACTCTAGTGACCTTATCTCGTAGTCACGAAAAAAAGGTGTTTCGTCTGACCAGGATTTGCGCGAAAAGTAAGAAACAATGTGGCGGAGTGGGAGGAACATTCTGTGCCAAACAACATTAATGACCAGGGCCAAGCATCCTGCGGATCCTATCGACCACTAGCTAATATCGTGCGTTAGGACTTGGTGACACTTACAATAATGCCGCTTTCACTGTGACACCTTGAAAGAATCGCAAATTGTCAAGGTTGAAGGAGGGTTGATGTTGGCCCAGATTCGATGGCTTGATGCAAGCCGCCAATGCAAGATTCAAGCTTCAACTCGCAAAGCTTGCCCCTGGCTAAGACGATTTGGGTAAGCGCCAACGGCTGGGGACATGAATCTATGTGCAAATTGATGTCACGCGTTGGAGATGAACCGGATATTAGGGTAAGACATCATCCGACATCTTCTCTCGTTAAGGCTGACTCTAGGCATAATACTCTGTGCATACGACTGCAACTACATCCTGAAGACGCCCCACTGCGTCTCTTTCTCGGTGTATTGCCCGCCCATTGCTGCCTGTAGACTTAGTCCGAGGACTTTTCGTGTGTGTGCAGGAGGGATGATTCCATCGTCCCAGAGGCGGGCGGAGCCAAATGTAGCCTCGCTTTCCCGTTCGATTCTTGCTTTGAGTTCCGGGTCTGCTTGTCTTCCGACTGCCTCCATGACGGAGGACAGCTGTTCTGCCCCCATGACCGAAGTGCGCGCGTTGGGCCAGGTGAAGAGAAAGCGGGGAGAGTAGGCACGGCCGCTGGGAGTTGTCAGTGCCATATTCCGCTACAGTGGTACTCGTAGAAGGTTGAAGAAGGGAGACTTACCACATCCCATAATTTCCAGCCCCAGCGCTCGATCCAAAGACCACAGTAAACTTTGGTACTTCTACACAACTCACGGCAGTAACTAGCTTTGCACCGTTCTTAGCTATGCCTCCCTTTTCGGCATCAGCTCCAACCATGAAGCCAGAGATGTTTTGCAGGAAAATCAATGGAATATGTCTCTTCCCGCACAACTGGACAAAGTGTGCGCCTTTTAGCGAGCTCTCAGAGAAGAGGATTCCGTTGTTTGCAACGATACCGACGGGGTGACCGTAAATCTTCGCAAACCCAGTGACGAGCGTTGAGCCGTAGCTAGGTTTGAATTCAGCAAACGAGGACCCATCGACGATGCGGGCAATAACTTCATGGGCGGGGATTTGGCGGCGTAGGTTTGTTCCCACAACCCCTGACAACTCTTCCGGATCATACAGTGGCTCTTGAAACGTTGGTAACGTTGAGCGTGTTGAGGAGAGGCTGCTGTGCCAGTTGAGGTTGCTAACACTCCTTCTCGCAAGCACAAGTGCATGTGCATCATCCACAGCCAAATAATCCGTAACACCCGAAATCTGACTATGCAGCTTCCCACCCCCAAGTTCCTCGGCAGTAACAACCTCGCCTGTTGCAGCCTTCACAAGCGGAGGCCCAGCGAGGAAAATGTGGCCCTGCTCTTGTACGATGATACTCTCATCGCTCATACTAGGCACATATGCACCGCCTGCTGTACACGGACCCATGACAACGGAGATCTGCGGAATCCCTATACTTGACATGCGCGCTTGGTTGTAGAAGATGCGTCCAAAGTGCTCTTTGTCTGGGAACACATCGGCTTGATGAGGAAGGTTCGCACCGCCGGAATCCACAAGATAGATGCATGGAAGACGGTTTTCCTGCGCGATGGACTGCGCTCGGAGATGCTTCTTTACAGTAATAGGGTAGTATGTTCCTCCTTTTACTGTGCTATCATTTGCGACAATGACACAGTTTACGCCCGAGACGGTGCCAATACCAGTAACGATGCCACCGGCGGGAACATCTTCTCCGTAGATCCCGTATCCCGCAAGCTGCGAGAACTCAAGGAATGTAGTTCCGGAGTCAATGAGAGACGTTATACGATCTCTAACCAGCATTTTTCCACGCTGTACATGCTTGTCTCGCGCCTTTTGTGGTCCTCCGAGTGCGATCTTCGAATGTAAAGATGTCAACCGCACCATGGCTTCATCCATTTGTCTCTTGTTTTCCTGGAAGTCGGCAGAGCTGGTATCTACCGCTGTCGGTAAAATAGATACAGCTTCTGCATGGTGAGAGTGCGTGAAAGTTGCGATACGTCTGACGTAGTGCCGCTGGCGGAGACAATGAGGTCGTGGGCGGAACGACAGGTGGATGGAGTGTCGAAGGAGGGCCAAAGCCTCTCGAGAAGGAATTACTGACGCCATTTCAGGGTGTTCTTCAATTCGAAGGCTAAGTCGCGGGCATTGCTGATGTTTAAGAACGCTGCGGTTGATGTTGTTCCTTGGAAGTTCCAGGATGCCACATGTAAGCCGACGCCAGCCGAGTGTGGGGAAATGCGCTGGCCCAGCAAGGCATTCATGTATCCATGGTGAACAACTACTTTGTAGTTACTGCACGAAAAAAATCGCCATAGTATGGAGTTCTCCGATATTAATAAATTAACAGTTCTCAAGATGATACGTGACCTACAAGCGGTGTGAATGGTTTTGTTCTCAGAATTAGCCTACAGTATGGATCACTTTACGTGGAACATAACTAAGGTATCTATCTGTTAACTAGTCCACTTGCTTGGACAGGGAGAATGTTAACAGTATACAAATTTCGTGTCTTGATATATTCCTACTAGGTTTCACGTTAGGTGATAGGATGCAGCATTTTCGCAAGGATAAACGTAGAGTTATAATTCTATCCTCTAGGGGTATGTAAGAAGAAGCAACCGAGACTCGACCATAGCCTCAACCCATTACTGGACGATACTGCCACCAGTCCGCCCAAACTCAGCCAATATTTTGCAGCCACTGCAGTCAAACGCCACCAAACCCTAGCCGCAACTGGACGGGAAGATTAAGTCGGTTTGTCACACCCTATGCGCCCAAGTAACTCCTTCCGATCCCCATGACCCGGAATGCTGATGCCGCTGGTTCTGCTGCCGGAGCTTCGCTTGTAGCGAACACCAGGACTGGCCTTGCGGACAAAGGTCAGAGATTCGACACCAACCTCTTGTTCGACTGGGAGCCACTCCGGAGCAGACTTGACAGTATGGAGGGGATGAGATGTCTTCAGGTCCGGCCGATGCTCGTCTTCGACGCCAATATCTAAGTCCTCATCCTCATCGTCGGATCGGTCATCATCCGCACCTTGGCCAGTTATGACCTTGTAGGCTACTTTGATGACCATGGCGAACCAAAAGAGCAGAATTACCTGGAGGGCAAGGAGAAGGTATAGGAAGCTCCATCGGATGGTTGGATTCCAACAGATTGGACCTTCTCGGTTGAGGTAAGCTTGGAGGATATTACTAAAGATGTTATTGCCTCCAAGGGCGTCATACTGCTCGGCTGAGCTTGCTAGTACCACCGAGCCATCGGGAAGATAGCAGCCTGGGGCCATGGCACTCGGAGTGTGGGCATAGATAGACCAACAGACAAAGGGGAAGAAGATATGACGGGTCACAACCCAGACAGCCATGAAGACTCCGAAGGCAATGTCGCAGGCAGTTGTGTAGCCCATATATTTGAGAATTTTTGCAGTCTGATATTGTCAGCAATGTATGAGGGGAGCGGAAGGGGTGGACTCACAGGAAGAATGATATCAATCACATCCATGATGCACAAAATAACAGTGCCAACTCTCATGTGGAGATAGCCATAACTGGCGAAAAGGAGCACACAAGTAAAGATGTGGTGTGTAAACATCTGCGCGTAGTCCTTGCGCTTCTCTTCAATGTTGACAACAAGGATTTGCTGAATCCAAAACGCAAATTGGACGAGGTAATACCACTTATGAAGTCCGCTCACCTCACGGAAAGGCCATCCATGCCACATGCCGCTAAGATTGAGCCAAAACTCAGAATGGTACATAATGTACTGCGAAAAGGGTCAGATTTTGCCACTCAGAGTCTCAAATTGTAGCCAGTCAAGAAGAGTAGTACGCACCATGCCGAGAGACCAGAATACCGAACAGTATACGATCAGCCACGCCTGTTCTTTGAACCTCACTAGCTCTTTCCTGGTTCTAATTCCTCCTAACCGCGCGAGGGGGTCCAGGACGTAGTCCATGATGACCGCACGAAGACCCGTGAAGATGACAATCCATAGCAATACTAATGGAACGTCGTCGTTTCCGCAGCCGTATAGGCCAGTCTTGGGGTTGTAGTAGGAGAGGTGGAAGAATTTCGAGGTCCGTCGCCGAGCACGCGGGAAGCAAATATGCGCCAAGAAGATAAGGAGGAGGAGGTTCACCGAGATGCCTAGGGAAAATGTCAGTGCAAATCAGTCACGCTGCTTTTTCCGGCAACATACCTATCTGGTGCTTGCAGATTTGGGTGCAGAGCATTCCGAGCAAACTTTCATTCTTGACTTTCTTTTTCGAGGGGACTGCAAGCGTTCGGCAGGAATGTGACCCGTCTACAAAGCCATTGAACGCAGGAAATGCTGCCTTGCGCTCCTGGGCGGGTATTTTCTGCGTTTCGGTAGCCCAATTGAGGTCGTTGGAGTGGGGGAACCCGTTCGCAGCAGAGCGTGGAGGAGCTACTTTAGCCGCCATTGAAGCAATTGGGGCGGCGGGGTGAGCAGAAAGTGATTTTAGCAGCGAGAGGGCATTGGGGTACGGTGTCTGCTCGAGGTGTAGGGAAAATGTGGGTTAAAAGGAGTTTCGTTTCTGTTGTGCGTCTGCTGCGGGGATGTTTTGAGACGGGCGGTGTGTTCAGGGTTGGCGGACCATGTAGGACTGGGAAGCTAGCGCATCGAGGGGATTTGCGATTGCGATTGTTGAGCGGTCATAGAATATATAATGCAGACGCGTGGAGAGCGACAGGAGAAGGGTGGATTAGGTAACCCTCCTCATGACCATTCACACATAGCAGGGCAGGTGGACAACGAGCGGCGCTTTGTATGCTTTGGATGTGGACGGTGGTCTGAGCGGCCGATGCCATGGAGAGAGCTTGCTTTTGGCCTTCTCGCCAAGACGACATCTTGGTGGTCAAGGGAGAGCGATCCCCGTCGTTGCAGCCAATCATTGTGCCATGTGTTGGCGTTACATCTCCCCACACTGCACATAAACGTCGGGTGCATGCACGGCAAGATTGATGCGAGTTGATCATGAGGACCACCTACACAGGAGAATTCCCTAATGGCCACACTCCCAAGACCCAAACAATAAACAGTAAAACGCAATTCAAAGAAGAGAATCCAACGGCCTGCACTTCCCGATGATGCACCCAAATTACCATCACTTTCCTGAGTCTGGCCTACGAGAAGACAGGGAGAGTGAAAGATCCCAGTGTTCCGGCAACTCCGCAAATCCCATGATACCAAAAGAATCTCCTTTCCGACCCTTCCGCTGCTGCACTCGCCTGACTATAATGTCCGTCCCTGCTTAGTTGTTGCTCTGAGAGTTCAGAATCCTCAGAATAGCTAGGAACAGGTTGATAATGTCGAGGTAGAGAGAAATCGCAGCAGCAATCTCCTCCTCGACGTGGTAATGGCGCATGATAAGCTGCGTGTCAACCAGAATGTAGCCACTGAAGATGAGTGCCGCAATGATGCCATACCCGAGGTCGACTTTGTTATTGTATGGGAAGAACATGGACATGAATCCGAAGAGAATCATCACCCAGAGAGCGCCGAACAAGTATGGCATCCACGACGTGAAGTCGTACTTCGACTGGCAGGCGAAGAGGCTGAGGGCAACGAAGATACCGAATGTGAATATAACCGCCTCCAAAACTATCTTCGAGTCCGTTAAAGATACAATGACCGAAATCGAGTAGGCTTCCATGGCTGTGAATCCGGCGAGGAACAGGAGATTCGTAGGGTATGACTTGCGCTTCCAGAAGGTGAGTCCAAGAAAGATCATAGCTCCGAAAAGGGATATCCACATCATCCACTGGTGGGTCTGAACCCAGTGCTTGTATGAGTCGCTTGCCATCGAGATACCGCTAAGAGCTGCTGTCGCGAGGAGTTGAACAGTCCTAGACACTATTAGCCATCCAGCTGCCCAGGATACTCTGATACAATCCTTACAATATCGCGTAGACCTTTCGAATAAATGCCATGCGGATGTCCAGCGTCGCCTCGGCGACAACTCCTCCAAACTGGACAACGGTTAGCTCCAGTCTCTGGATTTCCTGGATAAGCTTACCTTGAAGTCATCCGGAATGTTGTCATCAACGCTCCGTGGAACACCACTCAGAAGAGCCTCTTGGGTGGAGGCTTCAGCATCGTAGGATGGTGGCGCTTGGGTATAGCCCTGCTCGTCCAGGGAATCGCGTTGAGGAACGTTGTGGTATTTGGGGCCACCCATGGTGTGCTGCTACTGATAATGCGTTGAGAAGGCGGATGCGTCGAGGGAGAGGCGGTTGTTGGGAGCGAAGCTGAAAGAGCGTTGGAGAGGGTAAGCATAGCCCACGCGTTAAGTGACCGGACTTTGATGATGTAATGGAAATAGGTCACGTGCAGGGCCTCCCCTCTAGCTGCTTTGAGAATCCCAGCCTCCTGTGTCACGAGGTGAGCTTTCACTACCCTTGTTGGATTATACTATATTATACGTGAAACATTTGTAACCTTGTGAAGTGCTTCATGAGCTAATTGGATAGCTGGAATTATCGATGCCTTTACATACGACATCGGCTGCAAGAAAGAATCTTCTAAGGTCCTGTTAAGCGGCAAGACAGCCCGGCATTAAACTATGAGTGAAGCTTAAGCTACGCTAGCACTACGCAGACTCTGTCGTATTTGTAATCATTAATGCCTTTCATTGCCTAACTGCCTCACTGCCGTTTTTGCCACTCACACAACCTCCACCTCATCCTCTCCACCAGGCCCTTCTCATTTCTCGTTGGGTCATGCCTCAGAAGGTAAGAAACGACGCTCAGATTTGGACACAGACTCGAACTGGATTGCATCCTAGCCATCCATTTTGATAGCATCAGACTAGCCAAAAAAACTCAAACAGTAAGATATGAAGCGAAGGGAAAACAGCCAAACTCCAGGTGAATGAGCAAGAGAGCAAACCGATTGTTTGGTAAAGTACAAGTTGACGCACTAAAGGCCAAGAAGCCAGAGAGATGTGTAGTTGTAGGTGGGAGCCTATGTAGGTTGCTCGAATGTAGGAACTCGAGTGGGTCGGAGTATGGTGGTAGAGGATTGTCGGTAGGACGTTGTGGAGCAAGTATTATTTATGAGAGGCCAAAATCCGGGTATCGCGCGGGAACTGTATAGCTGGGACGGGCTTTAGACGACATCCACCACATGTCCAAAATGGGTATGAATACCATCGCCTACAACCCCTCCAATCTTCAGCAAACAAACCCCCCAAAATTCAACATATGGATGATCTCAAGGACGTGGTGGGTATCCAGTCCAAGGCATCCGGAGAAGGTAATAAACACTAAGGAAAGTCGTGATTGCCAGGTCGTGACAGGAAGATCCAGCCTTCGCAGACTATAGCAAGATCAGGTAGTTGCTGGGAGCAATACCAGTCTCGCCATTGGGCTTCTTGGCCTGCCACCACCTTCCGCTGACATCTGAAACCTCAAGTATATCGTGTTTTTGGAAGCTGATCTCGTTCGCATCGTCGGGATTCGCCTCATAGCTGTAGATGGCCTTGGCGCGATACGGGTACTCGAGCGAACCATCTTGCTGTCCCTCCTCGACACCATTGGTCGGCGTTTGGACATTGGAAGTGTTAGCCATGCCACCAAATCGGGGCTGTGAAGAGTTCCTAGCATCCGCTCCAACAGGGCCACCTGGATAACCCGACACTGGTGACGACGTCTCAAACCCATTCAATTGGGCGGACGTGTACATCTGAGGTGGCACGTTTGGAGCCGATGTCTCTGGACGAGCACCATAATTGTTGGACATGGGGCGCGAGTTGCGGGAGCCATTCGTCTCTTTGTGGAGGGCATACGAGTCAACAAAGGCGCGGTGGCTGGCTTGCGGCTGAGATCCATAGTAGAAGATCCAGACAATCTAGGATCATCCATTAGCACTGTGGACATTGCACGGATTTGGGTCGCACTTACGCCAATCATGGAGAGCAAGATAAAGCCGGCAGCGGCCGCCTCAAAGGCAGCGACGGCCGAGTAGACTAGGGAATTGACAGAGGAGGTGGTGAAGACGAGACCAGCGGCGAGGAAACCCACAATCTGGCAAGATTTAGTAGGCGCAACCCAAGGACATTTTTTGCAGTGATCTTACCGCGACATGGTAGGTCCGCTCCGAATCCGACGCAACAGTGACCGTAACACCGATGATGCAGAAAAGCATGAAAACCAGCGTCCACCATGCGAAGTTCGGAAAGCCACTGTGGATGGCAGATATTATCGAGCTGACGAAGGCTATGATCCATGCAAGCTGTACACAAAAGTTAGCCACTCAGTCCCTCACAAAGCCTCGACCATCGTGACACTGACAATGCCGATAGAGATAGTCGCCAGCGCAAACGGGTCCCCCACGATGCGGCCGATGGAGAAGGTCGAGCGACCGCCATAGCTATGTCCGTTTTCCATTTTGCGAAGAGATGGCGATCCGAGGGAGCCGTAGGAGGGCATAAGTTCAGCTAGCGAGCACGAAGAGTATTACAATGTTCCTAGATGCGAGGGCAAAGGAGCGTGGTGCCGACTTAAAGACTCGGCTCGAGGCTGGCGAGCGTGGTCTTGTCGCGGCGGGAGGGCTGTGGTCGGGTGTTGGGGCGTCTGGCCGGAGACGGGGAGAGAGGAGGTCACGGTTGCAAGGTGGTGGGAGCGGACTCGCAAGACTTGGATGGCGAGCGGGCAACCAGGAGCCAAACGCGAGAGAGACGCTGGAGATCGCTGCGACTGGCGGCTGCAGAGTATCGAAGTGGAGAGCGGCTTGGATGGGGTCGGTGAGTGCTTTTGGGAGGAGGAGAGGCGAGCGAGATGGGACAGGCCCTCAAAGCGTTTCACCTCAAGGGGACGGGGTCGCGAACCATTGGCCAGCCCGGCAGGTGGGCCGGGGATATTTGGACCACGGGCACCAACAGGATTAAAATGGCAGCACGTCAGCCGTGGCTTGCGCGCAGCACTTGACCAGCTACGACACAGCGCGCCCTGGATCCTTTGTTGGCTGCTGGTTGACAAGCAGAGACAAGCAGAGACAGACGCGGCGGAGACGAGGCAGAGCAGCAAGAAGCCAGCAACACCTCTGCATCTCGTCTGGCGGGAGACGCCGGCTAAACGGTGGCCGCATATCCTCAATCAACAGAAGAGTGCAACGTCTTTGTGATTCGCTCAGCCTCGTGCCGCCACCGTGTCTGTGAATTGGGGCCGCAGCCCTGCCATGTGGCGCTATCTGGCTAATTTGCCCTTCTGCTTTCCTCCTGCACCTGGCCGGCAGCGGAGCCCCTCAGCAGTTAGTGAGAATAAAGGCCTTCCCCTCCTTGAGCTCTGCTGTTGCTGTGCCGCCTTGATTGCTGCTCTTTGCGGCCCTACTGTGATCGCCATTGCCCTGATTGTGCCCTGGCCGCAGCTGCGGTTGATTCGTCTGAGAATACTAGCTTGCTGTACCACCCCATCAGTCTCCTACATTAACGTTCGCCTCCAGGCTGAGCGGCCAACACAGCAGCTGCGCGTGTGCTTTTCGATCAGACCTTGAGCAGCCCTGGAGGGGTAGACGATCCCGCGTCAGCATGCAGGTCCGACACAAGCTTCGTCTGAGACGGCGATGAAACCATGATCGAACAGAATAAAGCGGATGGATGCCACCCGCTTCACAAGAGACCCATCGCGGACTCATCACATTGAAAAACATGGACGATTGGCGCTAATTGGTGCTTGTTGCGGAAATATATTCTTTCATATACCCAATTTTGACGCTGGACGCATGAAATTCTGAAGCAATCGTCTGCCCTTTGTGCATCCATTGCTAGCTGGCTGAAACTTGTACCTGCCTAGAGAAACACATCTGCCAATCATGTTCTAGTGAAGGCCAACTTGGAAGCCTGCGTCCTCGGCGCGTGACAAATGTTCGTCATATCTGCACCATGCCTCCTCACCATACCTAAGCAAGCTTCACAATTGATGTGGTGGATAACAGCATCCCGGATAACATGGGGAAGCTGGCACTTGCCATGGTCTGCATCCCGCATCGCTCCGAACAGCATGACAACTCACCGCGTCAAATACCTTTGTAAATGCGCAACTGGAGTCTGATGTCGTGGATATGCTGTGATAGCGTGTGCTTCAGCCCTCTTCCTCCTCCTGCTGCTGCTTTTTCTTGAATTCGGCCCTGATCGCAGTCCGCTCGGCATTCTGGAGCCGTTTGTGCCATTCCACCCAGCACCGACCTTGTCCAAGCAAATGAATATGCTTCACCCGCGAGACTATCATTCCACTCTTCTTCCTTAGCAGCGAGATCTGGAGAGCTTGCAGAAGGTGGCGGTTCTCAGCTTCTGCAATGCGGGGGCGAAGTTTGGCCAGCTTTGAGAAGCCATCCGTTTGCGGAATTTGTTGGTCATCGAGGGTCTTGAGCTGGGAAGCGGTTGTTGCAAAAGCCGGTGCGCGTTCCACAACTATGGCAGTCTTCTGCGCTGCGTCAAGTCCAGCACCGCTTGCATTTTCAAGCTCCGAGGCCTTAGGTAGGAGATCCGAGTGATTGGCCACTGCATGTGATTAGAAAGACTACCAGTTAGGTAGAGAAATGGCCGCGTACACAATTGTTGCACATCATTCAAAAGGACAGTCTTCTTAGAGAGCTCCTGTAGAGACCGCTCGATCCTCTGTATCCGTTCCGCCAAGGCCCTCGGCTTCCCGTCGGCGGCAGGTTTCACGCCGCCCAGAATGTATTCAATCCTGTCCAGGCGAGATTCTAGCAACGCATATGTGAACAGGATGGCTTCTTCATACTCGTCCATGGTGGCGAGAGGTCAGGTGGTGGGTGATGGTTGACACTGAACGCTTGACACGAAAGCCCACCTGCCGTCGATAATTTTAGCGCGGATCTAAATCCGGGCTTGGCATCTGGCTCAGCCTAGGCTTTCAACGTCAGCGGTTCACTTTCACCACCTCACCTCTTCATATTCCATTTCTATCTTCACCCGCCTTCCCCGAGCGCATCGCCGCCCGCTCTGTCCTACACCTACGCCGTCGAACATTCACTCTTCCACCGCATGGTCTCGCGATTACCAACTCAGGAGTGTTTCGCTTATCGTCGACAAGCATGGCCAGCTACTCCGCCATAGGCCCCGAACCAGATGATACCGATCCCTTGTCCACAAGCACGGGGTCGCTGCGGGGAAGAAGGTTCGAGTTCCCCAAGATATCCGGCGGAACTTGTGCTAACACTTTTGTAGGCGTGGAAGAGGAAAGAAAGATATCGGATACACCGGCCAGGCATCATGGATAAGTAGTGTCATCAACATAGTGAATACCAGTATGGACTTCCCGTTAGCTTCCATATTCTTCAATCGCTAAGCGAAGTGCAGTCCTTGGAGCCGGTCTTCTCGCCATGCCTTCCGCCCTTTCAAAGATGGGCATCTTTCTCGGTATCTTCGTGATTGCGTGGGCTGGAATGACTGCCGGCTTTGGCCTCTACCTTCAAACCCGGTGCGCGAGATATGTAGAACGCGGCCACGTGTCTTTTGCCGCGCTATCACAGCTCACATACCCGAATCTATCCATACTATTCGACGCTGCAATCGCCATCAAATGCTTTGGGGTCGGGGTCAGCTATCTCATCATCATTGGTGATCTAATGCCTGGAGTAGTGAAAGGATTCGCACCGGGAGCTGGAGAAGCTGCCTTCTTGATGGACCGACAGTTCTGGGTCACTGCCTTCATGTATGGAGCAAAATCTATGTCCCAGATGTCACTTACTAATCATTCTAGGCTAATCATTATTCCTCTATCCTTTCTACGGCGTCTAGATTCGTTGAAGTACACGAGCGTTATTGCTCTATGTTCGATTGCATATCTCGTGGTCTTAGTCGTTGCTCACTACATCAAGGGCGACACACTGCAAGACCGTGGGGAAGTCCGAGTCTTTCGATGGGCTGGCCCAGTGTCAGTTCTTGCCGCATTCCCAGTCATTGTCTTTGCCTATACATGTCACCAGAACGTAAGTCTGTCCAAATCCAAGCTGGCTATTTACTTCTAACTCATGCAGATGTTTTCTATTCTCAACGAAATTGCTGATAACTCTCATTTCCGCACCACCAGCGTCATTTTCGCAAGTATCGGGGCCGCTTGCTCCCTTTACATTCTTACCGGTATCACTGGCTACCTGTCCTACGGCGATAACATCAAGGGGAACATTGTCAGCATGTGTAAGCATCTCAAGCTGCGTTTTTCTCTCGTATGTCTGACAAATCTTAGACCCGACGGCCGCTCCATCAACCATCGGGCGTCTAGCCATTGTGATCCTGGTCATGTTCTCCTACCCCCTTCAAATCCATCCCTGTAGGGCTTCCATTGACGCTTGTTTGAACTGGAGGCCTCGTCGCCGTAATGCTCAGAACGAATCGTCTCCGTCTCGCAACACTCTTCTTAACTCTTCAAAGGGTGGTACCAAGCTGAAGCCTGAGATGGGCGATATCCGCTTTGCTGTCATCACCACCATCCTCATCGTTCTATCCTTTATCACCGCTATGACGGTCTCCTCACTCGAGAAGGTGCTCGCTTATGTTGGCAGCACTGGTTCGACCACAATCTCCTTCATCTTGCCCGGATTATTCTACTACAAGATCTCAGACCCCGACTCGACACACCATCAACGGCTCGTCAAAGATGAAGATGACGAAGATGAGTTCGACAGTGCCGATGCAGAAGGCTATGTCATGAGCGATGCGCACAAGAGCCGGCACTGGCGCCGAGGCCTTCTGCGGAGCTTAAGCTTAGCACTCGCTATCTATGGTGTGTGTGTTATGATTGTGTGTTTAGTGACTAACACTTTCCTCATTGCGTCTCATTGAGCCTCATCGAGCGTCATAGCATGGCTTTCACTGTCATTTCAAACGAGCGATTTAGAGCATTTGCATGGTGTTCTTGATTTAGACATGGGTTTTGGATTAGGTTTTCTGGGGAACACTTAGGGACTATGGGCAGCTTCGCCACCGTTCGGTTTACAATAAGACTCCTCGCTGGAGCTTCTTCTGTTTTGCATGCTTATACGTCATCTGCGGAGGAAAATTGTACATATTTCAAATCAAGACTTTCCTGCCTTAACGCCGTTTGATGCAACCTGACCACATCTCCCACAAAATGCCTACCTGCTCTATTTATCTACGCTGTCTCGGTCGCGGCTGCTGTCGTAGTGCGCGGTGGTATTAGCGATTTGGCTGCGGAATCTGCTTTGATCACCTCGTTCTTTATCTGTCCGACGCGAAATTTTGGCTCCAGTATGCCGACCTAAGATTCAGTTAGCTTAATTCAACCAAAATCTCTCCAGGTGCCCTCCTCTCATTCAAATTCCGATCTCTCCTTCCCCTCCAACTCCACAATTAATGTGTCCTGTCAATTCCTTCCTCTCAGCTGTTCAAATACAAATGCTAACATACCATGCTCAACAGCCTCCAAACAGTATCGCTCGGCTGTGCGCCGACACCAACCCAATATCTTGCCCTCGAACTATCGAGCATGATTTCTTTCCATGGCCGTCCGTTTGTATCACCCGGTCGTGGTGGTTGTGGGATGGGATTGTATGTTCCGAGGACTTCGAGGGGTTTAGAGTTACGTGCTGTTCTATATTTCATGTTAGCAAATGTACCGGTGGGAAACATGGGTTCGGATTTATATTTGGGGGAGGGGAGTTGGAGGTTAGAGATGCGCGGAAGGGAATTGTATTAGAGCTGGCGGGATGGGGATAAAGAACGTACCGCGCATGCGCGACGACAATGTTGTAAAAGGGTGAGTGGCGCTTGCCGAAGCGTGCTAGGCGGATTCGGAGGACCATTGTAGATTGGGAGAGTTCACTTCAGAGCTCATGTTTAACATTGTGAAGTTTGCGAAAGTTGTCTGAGAGCCGAGGTTCAACCGAGAGACACGTGATGACTACTAAGTTGGACTTTCACATCTACTGGCAATTTCAGCTGTGCATTCTGACAGTGATTTAGAGTTTGTTCGTGATTTTTAGATCCAAAAATATGTGATATAGCTAGAGAATTTGGTCCCAGGACCTCGAAAGTCTCGCTACTTCACTTGTCCGACTATTTCGATGATGTGATGTAATCACCTTTCTCCATTAGAACACGTTCATCTTCTAGGCCTCACCACCATACAATTCCTTCCTCACATAAATCTATTGCCGCTTTTGGGTTACTAAAAATGGCTCTCAGAGTAAACAATAGCCCTGCCATGCACTTCACACGCCTAACAATTCCAAGACTCTCTCTGCCAAGAACGCCGCTGCTCTTGACCAAGAGCTCATGTCCGCAGGCGCGTTCTCAATCGATCAATTGATGGAGCTTGCTGGATTAAGTGTCTCACAGGCCGGTATCTTCCTTCTGTTCGCTCACAGAGTTGCCGCTCTGCAAATTCATTCCTCTTCTGACTTACATGTTCTAGTGTTCAAGTTGCAGCCGCTGAGTAAAGGGAAGCGCATCTTAGTGGCCTGTGGGCCTGGAAACAATGGTAAGTGAAATTGATAATCAGCGAAAGTAAACCATGAAGGATCATATATGGTTCATCTAATTATGAGGTTCAGGTGGTGATGGACTCGTTGCGGCTCGACACTTATTCCACTACGGATACCAGCCAACAATTTACTATCCCAAACAGAGCAAGAACGATCTCTACCAGGTATTTCCACTTTGCGTAACCTCTTTTCCCTCGCTCTAAATCTCTCATTTCATATTCAAACTCTCCCTCAAACCCCACAAACCCTCTATTAAACCCCAAGGCCCTGATTCCATTGCAGCGCCTGACAACCCAACTCCGCGACCTCCGCATCCCCTTTACCAGTGACTTTGAAACCGCCCTACACCAGACCGACCACATCGTTGACGCCATCTTCGGCTTCTCCTTCTCCGGTGAAGTCCGTGAACCCTTCCCAAAAGTCATCCAGGCACTCCGTGACACAAAACTCCCCGTTCTCGCCGTCGATGCGCCATCGTCCTGGAATATCGAGAGCGGGCCGCCAGACTCGGGGCCTGGGAAAGTGAGCGAACCAGGCTTATTAATTAAAATTGCCCAGTTTTCGAGGGAGGTGACTGACGATTGGTTTTAGGGATTTATGCCTGATGCACTGATTTCACTTACGGCGCCGAAGCCGTTGGTAAAGCGGTTCAAGGGGAGGCATTTCATTGGCGGGAGGTTTTTGAGTCCGGAGATGGCAGAGAAGTATGGCTTGGATTTGCCTAAGTATGAGGGATTAGATCAGGTTGCAGAGGTGCCAGCCGGGGAGGGCGAGAAGTTGTGATGGGAAGAGGAAGACCTAGGATTTTTGGAACAAGAGGAGTTGGTGAAGGGGCGGGGTGGAAGATGGATAGAGTGTAACGAGCTACAATGACGCGAGGCATGAGATTTAAAAGAGATGGGTTGTCACGTGGTGTTCAATGAATTGCAAGGATATTTTAAATGCTTGATGTTTGGATCTGCAATTCATTGATATGTAAGGCTCGTGGAAAGGACTCTAGCCAGTAATATAACTCCATAACTGAACCCCCACGTGTCGAGTTGTAACTCAGGGTAATGGCCCTATTCCCAGTGATCTTCAACTCGAAAATTACGTTACCTGAAAACATCTACAGCCCAAAAAAGCTAACGGCTAAATGTGACTAGAAAAGACGGCGCTGCACATCATCCAAGTTCCTTCCACACCAGACTCCTGGGACCGACCCTGTATACCCTTTGCGCCTAATATGTGAACCAGCCCGGATCCCAAATGTAGCGAGCATGATGGTATTAACATGTTGGGTTAAGAATGTCTCATTGCGAAGAGGGCCATAGGAGCTTTCCGCCCAATGCCCTGAGGCGCTTATTAAACGCCCGAAACGCCAAACATTCCAATTCGTCATTGCGCGTGTTTCATTATCCAAATTGGCAATCATAGATGTTGGAGGAATGGGCTACTCCAGGTACCTTTTCCAACCCTCCTTGTATACCACCCTCTTCCCGTCAGAGTTGACACCAACTATGAATTTCTCCCACCTAGCATCTCGACCAGCTCCGATGACCAAAAGTGTGTTGTCATCAAGCCATCCAATTAGCCCTTTTGTGGGTCTTCCACCAGGAACACCAGGAATGCCGGCATTGAAAGTCGCTGATTTTGAAGCTGGACCCCAGCCCACATGTTCGTCCCCAATTTCGAACTTCGTGGCGGCAAGAGAGTAGATATCTGAAAAGGGCCGTGGTAGCAGGGGGACTTTGGATAATATGCCCCATTTGTGTGTCTTTGGATCTGGCTCGGGGGTAGGCACACTATTTGGCGTTGGGAGCTCGAAGATGTGCAGGGTAGACTTGTCCGATGTGACGGCAAGGAGGGAGCCAATGGGCGAGAATGCTAGAGAGAATATGACGGCAGGATCAATACCTCGACGCAGCTCTCCGATTTTCGTACAGCTCGGAAATGACCAGATACGTATCAGTGTTCCCTGTTCGCTGGCGGTTGCTACCACATCGCCGTTTTTACTCAGCGCTAGCGCACGTAGCGGACTATCATGAGCCGGTATGATACTGACATTGCCTGAGTCAAGGTGAAACAGTTTGACCTGTCCCGGAGTTCGTCCCGGAAATGCCACAATTTTACTACCTAGGGAGCACAGTCCAAAGGGGTTGTTCACGGTCTCGTAGTCCGCGATCTTTTCTGGCGGACTCTTCATCTTGTATATGCCCACATTGTTCAGAAGGACGACCACAAGGTGCGACTGAGAAATGCGAACTCGCTGGATTGGTGTCTTGAACTCGAGACTGGTGGACACAAGCTGTGTGGCATCGTTCCAGATTTGGACCTCGAATGATGTGTCAGCCTCGACAAATACCCAGCCGGCGTCTTTGGGGCTGACTTTGTTCTGGGGGAACTTAGGCTGCTTTCCACCTCCGACTAGGGCAATGTAGCGGGTGGTGCTCAACATCTCCGCGCAGCCGATGCCGCCACCGACCTCTCGAGCGAGCTTCAAGTCACCAGATTTAGAGGTAAAGACTGGCCAACTCGGTTAGTATACTTAAATACATGCTATGCCGAAGGCTTACCCCGGAAGCCAGTCTCGAGTGCAACAGAGAAGCACGAGTTGTCAGCGTTGAAGGAGGCGGAGAGAGCGAAAGGCCCAGAGGACTCGTCGATTATCGGCCGAGTGTTCATCTTATATAGGCGGAGGTTTTATGTGGTAGAAAGAAGTCTAGGTCCAAGACGAGGTATGGCTACCTAGTTGCGAATAAACTTGAATGAGTGGGAGCATGCTATCCTTAAGTACATGCTCTGCAAACAGCGCGACAAACAGAGAAGCTGGCGGTGGTATCATTTTAGCTCCATGATAGGAAGCAACATCGAGATAGGGTGGTCACGGTCAGGTAAGTGATGTACAGTGGGAGTCGGCGAGCATTGGCGGGAGGCTGCATTCACCCCCGTGTCATGAGCTCAAGCTCCTCGCTTATTCCTGCGCTAGCCGTTCTGAGAAATAGTCACGGGTAATGCCGACTATTTGTCCAGAAGCGTGAGATCGGAGTGTTTTTATATCAGCGTCGCAAAGATTGATGCATGGAAGGACAGTCTCTTCGTGTAGATTCGACTCGTTGTGATAGTCCACCCCCATTTGCCATTCAAACGGCGAAACGGTAAGGAAACAGACGACAAGGAACTGTTGCCTGCTCCGAATCCTCCTCGAAGTTACCCCATCACCATACGCTGCTTCGAGAGTGAATATCCACATCTGACGGCTCTTGACGCTTGTGAATAAGAATCGACCGACGCCCCAGGGCCCTTTACCATTATCTTCACTCGACCCTGCTCCATTGTCTGGTCGCAGAAAGCGCGCCAGGTGGCAGCGGATAGGGAGCAGTAGCAGGCCAGGGTCGTGCACTAGCGAGCCCCTTTGCATTGCGCAGGAGCTGCTGCCAACGTCCTAAATTTCCCCGTCGACACCTCAACACCATCACAAACAGTCCTCCGGCGTCGTGAAGGCATCCCAATCCCATCCTACTCTATCCGTCCGCCCCCCTCGTGGACATCGACCCCTCCGAAAACGTATCATACGCACCGCTCATCCTCAGCGATGTCTTCTGTACGGCAACCCCCCCGAAACCTTTCTCCCCTGCGGGCACGAGATGCCTCGCCGCACCCGACACGCTCTCTCAATCGCATTGGCCGTTTGCGCTAACTCTGTTCTAGATGCTCAAGACCCGCAGGAAGAAGAATGTCAAGAAGGGTATCCAGTTCTGCCTGATGGTGTGCGGCGCCTCGGGAACAGGTTCGTGCCGCTGAGCTCCACCACTTCCGCACCGAGTATCGAGCTAACCTTGCTTTCCTGCCAGGCCGGACAACCTTCGTGAATACCCTTTGTGGCAAGAAAGTGCTCCAGCACAAGGAGTCGGACGACCCGACCACGGCACACGTCGAGGAAGGTGTCAAGATCAAGCCCATCACGGTTGGTAGGTGGCTACGCAGACTACATTCAATCAATGCATGATACGGGAGCAATTCGCTGATTCAATCTCGTCAGAACTAGAGTTGGACGAGGAAGGCACTCGTATTTCGCTCACCATCGTCGACACGCCCGGTTTTGGCGACCAGATCGATAACGAGGCCAGGTAAAGCAGGCGCCACCCACCACACAGCAAATCGTGCTTACGATGGAACAGTTTCTCAGAAATCGTCGGATACCTCGAGAGGCAGTACGACGACATTCTCGCCGAGGAGTCCCGTATCAAGCGTAACCCCCGATTCCGAGATAATCGTGTCCACGTCCTCCTGTACTTCATCACACCTACCGGCCATGGGTAAGTTGCAATCCACCGACACAGCTGAACCCGTCTCACATTGACTAGTCTCCGTGAACTTGATATCGAGCTGATGAAGCGCCTGTCGCCCCGTGTCAACGTCATCCCCGTTATTGGCAAGGCCGATTCTCTTACCCCCGCCGAGCTGGCTGAGTCAAAGAAGTTGGTCATGGAAGATATCGAGCACTACCGCATCCCCGTGTACAACTTCCCCTACGATATCGAGGAGGATGACGAAGACACGGTCGAGGAGAATGCTGAACTTCGTGGTCTCATGCCCTTCGCCATTGTGGGGTCCGAGGACGTTGTCGAGGTCAACGGCCGACGGGTGCGTGCCCGGCAATACCCATGGGGCATTGTCGAGGTAGACAATCCCCGTCACTCGGACTTTTTGGCCGTGCGAAGCGCGCTTCTTCACAGCCATCTTGCCGATCTCAAGGAAATAACGCACGACTTCCTCTACGAGAATTATCGTACCGAGAAGCTTAGCAAGAGCGTTGAGGGTGGTGCAGGCGCGTACGTTACCCTCCTCCGTCATGTTCTATTCTGCGAAATGCTAATTGCCACGTAGGGACTCATCCATGAACCCTGAAGACCTCGCCAGCCAATCGGTACGCCTGAAGGAGGAGCAACTGAGACGCGAGGAGGAGAAGCTCCGCGAGATCGAGGTCAAGGTCCAGCGGGAAATCAACGAGAAGCGACAAGAGCTCCTGGCTCGCGAAAGCCAGCTCAAGGAGATCGAGGCCCGGATGCACCGAGAGCAGAGCGGGCAGTTGCAGGAGCACGACCACGAGGAAGCTTAAGCGGCTGGCTAAACTTTGTGGTGGATGAAATCCGGCATTTGCCGCTGTTGGGAAGCTGTGGATGGGGCGCTTGCATCAAAAATCAGGATCCAATGAACAGGAAATTGGGGTTGCAGCGGGCGTAGGGTCCTTGGAGCAGGGAATACTCACCACTATTTCTCAAGATGACGGTGCCCTTGTTCTAATGGATGGACTGCCTTGCAGATTTGGGACGGGACGGGACGGGACGGGGGCCACATTATAGTGGAGGACTTCTCTTCTTACCCGGGGGTGTTCGTTTCGACAGACATGTTGATGTCTGGACTTGTCTTGACATGGCCCTTTCATATGTTTTCTTACCCTTCGATACTTATTCCCCCCTTTGACTTCCATGTAGGAAAGTAGTAATCCAGTTTTCGACTAATAATACCCCGGTGGTCATGTATTTCCTCCTTGACTTAGTCAATCTCTACTGTGAAATCGTGCTGCACATTGTCACGTCGTGGAAACTCTTTCGAAGCTTGTAAATTGGGTGTACCAATACTTCCCACGGAGAAGAGCGCAACACGATGCGGTCAGCAGCAAGGTCGCTCCTGTCACAATTGCTCTGAGCTACCCTCCAATCGCCCTCCTCAACACCACTACACAAGAAAGTTTCACCTTCCATCTCCGTGAGGACGTACAGCATCCTCGCCGCCGTCACATGCTTCGCTTGAACCTTGAAGAAATCCCCAGAGCTCCTCACCATCTAGACCAGCCCCATGCGCGACACAGGCAGTTCTGTCGGGCAATATGATCAATATCAGCCCCGCGAACGTATTCACCTGCATCGAGCTCAACAAGTGCACACACCCACACATGTATTTCTGCATGGACGGGCCGGTGGACGAATCGAATTCCTCACTTTTGCCGTCGCCGATACCCGATGGACCGTGAGTCTCAATCCTTCCGAATCCCTCGTGATTCTCACGCCAGCCACTGTTATTCTTGCTTTGTACTTTGAGTCTCGCTGCATGCAGCGGCTTTTGAATTTTTGTTGTGCGTTCGGTCGGCTATCAAAAGCCACCGAGAGACGCGGTGTGGTATGACTGCAGCTCTGCATGAGAACCGCGCCTATCATACCATTTCCGGGAGGCGAACGTCTTCCACAGTATTAAACCATGAAATTTTCACGCCTCTCATTCGTTGGGGAAGAGGTACGTTCCCCGGTTGAAAGCCTCTCGAACCACTTCAATCGCGGCCGTTGAGTCGTCGATTTTTGAAATCCCGAGTCCATTTTCAGAACACAGCACCACTCTCATCACGATGCATGCGACGGATGAAGAACAACGTGGTAGGAGGACATAGTGACTTCTCTCGCCACAACATCACAAACATTTCCTGCATACGCGCGACAGGCGTGGGGATGTTTCAGCCGAACCACACCATTTCGGTATTGGGTAGGATGTGGTTGAGGCAAAATCTTTTTCACTTCTGTGTGACGCTGGACGCACAACCGTGGACCAGAAGTCAACGGCAAAGCCGGGCGTTTGCAGCGGGAAGGATTACAGGTACTCTTCACGACGACGACGCTCGAAAGACGGCGTCCCTTCAAGGGATTCCGGATGACGGTGGCGTACATCCAGATATCGACCATGATAGGTTTCTCAATCTGTCATGTTCACCGTTCAGCGCGGCTAGCCGGCGGATCCATGACATCCACGAATGAACTCGAGTTCGTTGATCTCGAACGTCGTTGGATTCTAGATTTCATGCTGGAACCACACAGATATTGCACTGCCCCGCCGCTTTCCAAGACATTCCCTCACCCTCCAATTTCTTAGGGTACTTTCAAGAATATCGCGGTTTCCGCGGTTGACCTGGGGTGGAGGTAAGAATGATGTCCAAATGTCCCTTGTCCAACTTAGGGAAAGAATTGTGCCGAAAAGGCACCCGCTAACCCCCTGGGCAATGGTGCATCCAAATGTCGTGCAGAATGTGGAGCTCTGCACCATCTCGCACAAATGTTTGTCCTCCAAGAGGCTCTAGATTCAACTCCAGCCTGCATTTTCTCCACACTTCGTTGACGAAACGTGCTTGTCGAAGACATGACAACGGTTGAGTAGAAGGCGCATGCAAGCTCACAGCCAGAGGAATATGCCCAAGGATGCCACGCGATAACAAACGGTGTCGTCTGCACGAGGACAGGGACGGCCAGCCTGGGGCGTGCGCTCAGATGGGGAAAGAGGCAGAGCCTCCTGTTGCGCTGCCCTAGACTGGCCGTTCACGATACTCCGCCGAGTCATAAATCCGATTCTATGCGTCGATCCCATGGTGTGGACTCCCGCCAGCGTGGCTCTGGAATGCCAGGTGACGACCTCATGTCTTACTCTCGTGTCTCACACAGGCGAGCACTCTATGTGTCACGTCGGCATTACAGCAGTCAGGATGCTATTCAGAGATTTTCCTCAACGATTTCACACCATCCACCATGGCTGTATCAGCTGATAGGAAGCCGACGCAAAGAGCTGACTGCTGGGACCTGAGCTTGGCTAGGACCGATGACAGGCGCCACCATTTCGTCAAGCTTCGCGAGAGGTCCGCTTACAGCGCGAGAGTAAGCCCATGTCGGAAAGCACTTGGGGCAAGGGTTTTCATTGAATGCATATCATCCTTACCGGATCCAGCCCTGCCATTACTCGAGCTCGTTCAAAGGAACCGTTGAGATGAATTGGAGATAACTTGCTCAACTACCCTTTCAGCTTGCACGCATACAGCAGAGCCATGGAGGTGGGATTTTAATCACAATGGCGTGTTGAAGCACGGACTGCAGCGAGACAAGACCTGCATCGAGGTGAGTGTTGGATTTCTCCATCCGAATTAGGAAGCGTGCACAGATGCTCATATTCTCGCCAATCGGGTTGCAGATCTGCGAGGGTTTCCGCCAGTCATTGGCTCTTGCTTCCAATTTCAGCCACTCACTACCGAAGCCGTTCAACGCCTCTCAAACAGACTTCGAGCCCACCGAGCTACGAACAGACGGATGCAGGGAAGTCGTTCCCCGGCGCTGAATCCCTTCTAGTACTCTCTACTGCTCACCCAGCAGCACAGTTGCTGGCGGTCACGGCGGCTGAGCTAGTAAAATGCATTCCCCTTAAACAATACATCATCTTACGAACTATCGAGACCCTTTTGCAATCATGGCGAGAGCCAAGCAGGCATCGATACAGTTCTGCACCCTCAGCTTTGCGGTGGAGCCGCTCCGTTTCACGAACTCTTGCTCTTGCGTTCATATAACGCTTAACAGCTCCACTCGTGAAAGTCCTGTTATCGCCACGTCTTCCCGATGCCAAACCAGCCCGCTGGTCCCCAATAGCACTCTGAGATACCCATCAGGTTCACTGTCACACCTCCTGTCCACACCATAAAGCCACAGCCCTATGCCCCTAGGTTTTGGCTGAGCGTTCCTGAACTATTTCTTGCTTTTGCTTTAGTCCTCGTTCCTAGGCACATCCTATTTGCCAATTCGTGTTTTCGCAAACCTTCTGCACTGCAGACTTAGGCGGACGCTCCCAACGTCATGGATCCCCAGACCTCCATCCCTCCAGTAAGTCTCCCTGGAATTCGCGGATATTCGCCTGCTAATTCAGACTTCAAGGCTGCAAACGTACTCGGGGTATGTCAACCATTCTTCGGCGCCTCCCACATTACTGTGCTAATCGTAATCTTCTTTAACAGACCATCGGAACTGGTAGGGTCGTTGCTCTAACTTGGAAAGATGCTGAAATTAACTGTGACCAGTGTAAGTGCAAGCTATGGGTTAAGCTGTACAACGTCACTAACGGCTCATTGAAGTTGCTGGTGTGTACAGGTAATTTTGCCATCTCGTTCTCTGCTCTATATTTGTTTGCTAATTCCTCTCTCCAGATTCTCCCACAGTAAGCCTACTTGTCTCCCAGGAAAATCCATCCACTAAACCTTCAAGAATCTGGTATAATTGGCGAAATAAGAGCACCGATGGCCTCCCACTTTCAATGCTGATGCTTTGGTCTTCTTGTAATGATCCTCTATTTTTAACGTTTAACACGAGGACTTACAAATATAGGTGCTGTACCCTTCGGTGTATACGCAATTGTTCAGGTGAGCTACTCGCAACCGGACGATTCTTCTACGACTGACCCTCGGCAGCGATTCAACTTCGCGCTTCAATTCCAACCTCAATGCTTTGGTGCCCTCACATTAATCTGCTGGGGTCAAGCACTCGTATACTCCCAGTGTGTTCTAACCCGCTCTACGCTCTCGCTCTCATACTGATGGATGGAAAGCCGATGGAGAACGTGGACGGCCACTCTTGCAACGATTTCCGTTGCCCTTGGACTCGGTCTGATCGAGCTAGTTCTCATAATCACTCTTCGAGTAAGACGAATCAGCTACACCGTTGGCTGGAGACGTTGCTAACCTAAGAGGCAGAGACCCTACTATAACGGTGTGAAATGGCCTATGATGATGATGGCAATCATTGCGTCTGTGATGCAAGCCGCTGGGCTCATTCTTCCGTACTTCGAGCTGGCTAAGCGAAATGGCCGTGTCATTGGCATTAGTATGTGCTCCCCCCTCAAGTCTCATAGCCAACGATGCTAAGATGCCCTAGATTTCATCTTCCTCGCCGTGGATTATTCTGGGGCGTTTTTCTCCGTCATGGCATTAGGTAACATTGCTCCATCATTCCATCATGATACTTCGCGTCTTGGCGACGTACAATCTTGGAAGCCTGTCTGACCGCAACTAGTCGCACAAAATACCTTTGATATCCTCGGAGGTTCGCTTTATATTGTTTGGTCAGTCGAGCCCTTTCCCACACAGAGACGCCGCTAGCTATTACATTTGGTCGCCCAGAACCTATCTTTACGGTAATGAGCGTTCACTGACACCATGAAAGCATGTCCCTCGAGACTGGAATCTTCCTCTCCCACTGGATCTGGCTCTGGCGCGTCCGGCATATACGTCGCGAGGCCAAGAAAGCGGGGGTGTCCTACGACGAATACATTGCTAGACACCCGTTCAAGAAGCTCAGGCGTTCCGATTCAGTCGATGTAATCGCTGATGTTGAAGCATGCCCTGTCGATTCGAACCGAAATTCCACCATCACACCCTTGGAGAAGTGCAGGATGAAACCAGCGAAAGGCTCCCTCGACTTCACCAAAACGGAGGTTGCTAACCTCGACCCTGCAATAATAGGCCAGGGGAATCAACCTCAGAACACTGCAGATTCCGCTGGCCGGGTCTAAGAGGTAGATGTAATCAAGATAATGCCAAAGGAGAATCACGAAACACGACTTTGAATCAATACCATGGAGCTGGAGTCCCGGTCATCTGCCAACATCGCTTTTGTATTCCAGTTGCTCTCACGACCCACTCAATATTCACCCTTTCAGAAAACGAAAAGCACTCTCATTACACAATTTCCAGGGTAAACAGCTTTTCGTTCAATCAAAAGCGTTTCATCTTAGCCTCAGAAGCGCCAGGTTCAGTCATTTCATCAATGTACTATTACGGGCTCTTTCAATCTTCATCTAGTTCGTATATTTTTAAGTTCATCCAGAGATCTGTGGGTGGTATTTGTCTTTAAGAATCTTTGCTACCGGTTCCTTACCTACAAGACGCATTCGCAGCGCTGAAATTTTAATTGGACTGGCAATTGAAATAGGTTACGAGTATAATTAATGCGACGGATTCTTTTCTCCTCTGCGGTATCTTTCCAAGCTTTTCGGGCGTCAAGAGGACAAAACTTTCAGGGTCTACTAGTGCCACTAGCAGTAATGAAATTCTATTTGACCGCAAACGCTTGAGTCGCGAACAAACAACTAACTACTCAAATCTGTGAAATAGAAACGCAAGATGACCAATGAGTTGCTGACATTTCCTCCACGTAGTTTACCCCGATTTAGCGTCCTCGGTATATGTCGGTGATAGCGGGGCAATTAGGCAATCCCTTTTCAGCAGCCGACCTCGGGATGATTGTCGTAAAGCTAATTGCAACGCTTAGTTCTTGATCTTAAGTACTGTACTTAGCTGCAGAAAGTCTCATCCCAAAGCCCTTTTTGCGATATACTCTCGTCCAAATTTAGTCCAGCAAACCCAGCACATTCCGTAAATACCCACTGCTACCTACCATAGGCTAGGGTCCACAATTCCAAACACAACCTTGGAATAATTTCAAGGGATTCTGAAATTATATATCCTTCAAAACATCCCACATTCTATCCCCTAACTCACCCTTCCCCAATCACTTATGTACCTTCCCAAATAAAATAAAAATAAAAAATGTCACTATCCCTCCCAACACCCCCCTTCTACGCCATCCCGAATATCAACAACCTGCGCGATGCGGCCCTTTTCCCTGGTGGCCTCCCAACCACTACCGGCGGTAAAGTCCGTCCCGGAATTCTGTTTCGCTCAGCCGATGTCTCGCAACTAGATCGCGGCGGCTGGAAAGCTATGAGAGAGATTGGGATTGGGCATGTTTTTGATTTGAGGAGTAAGCCGGAGGTGGAGAAAGTGTGGAGGGGTGTTACAGGGGATAGGAGGGAGGAGGGGGGGGAGGGGAAGAAGGAGGGAGAGGGGCAGGAAGGGGTTGATGTTGATCCAATGGGGGTTCGCCCCGGATGGATTCAGATGATGGAAGCGGAGGGCGTGGAGAGAACGTGGGTGCCGGTTTTTGAGGAGAGTGATTATAGCCCTGAGAGGTTGGCAGAGAGATATTTGAAATATATGGGAGAGGGTGTTGAGGTTGGTACTTTTTCTTGAGCCACTTTGGAGCATGTATTCGGGGATTTGTGGCACTTGTCGTTCTAGTTTCGATTCTGAAATAAGAGACGCTTTGACGTTTCGAGAGATGAGAGAATGAGGTGGAGGGTTTTTTGCTTCGTTCTTTTTGCTAAACGACATTACTCGTAGCTAGAAAGGAAGCTCATACGCTAACAAGAACACAGGGTTTCGTCCAAGCCTACCACGACATCCTACTCCACGCCGGCACCTCCTTCCGCACCATCCTCCTCTACCTCGCCAACCTCCCACCACCCACCCCTATCCCGACACTCGACACCCCCAAACCATCTACGTTCCTCTCCAACGACCCCTCTGCCCCAACACCCCAAATCACCACGACTAACCAGCCCCTCGGCGCTTTAATCCACTGCACAGCCGGTAAAGACCGCACCGGTATCTTCTTTGGTATCCTACTCTCCTTCCTGGGTGTCCCCATCCCGACCATCGCCGCAGAATACAATCTCACAGAAACAGGCCTCCAGCATGCCCGTGACGGCCTTGTTGCCCGCCTCATGAAATCCCCCGGCTTCAAGAAATACACGCTGACTCAGATGGCTGGGAGGGAAATGAGTGCCACAGAGCTTGCGGAGCTGATTAAGTCGAAGGGGAGTCATATAGGTGGTGATGAGGGGGAGAGGGAGAGGGTTGATGGGGAAGAAAGTGCTGGTGGTGCGGGAGAGGGGGAGATGGAGAAGGAGATTCCGAAGGAGGTGTTGGAGAAGGGGAGGAAGGCGGCGTTGAGGATGGTGGGGGCGAGGGTGGAGAGTATGGTTGAGGCGTTGGGGATGGTGGAGAGGGAGTGGGGGAGTGCAGAGGGGTATTTGAGAAGGGTTTGTGGATTGGGGGATGAGGAGCTGGAGGATATAAGGAGGGTGTTGGTTGTGGGTGGGTGATTGTGGGTGGGGGGAAGGGAGGTTGTAGTTGGGGGAGGGAATTTGGAGATGGCTTGGGACACAGTTCTGGAAAGATTAAGGGTGAGATAATGAGTAATATGAAAGACCGTAGATCAGAAATGTCGAATGATGCGAGATCGGATAGTATTCGGAAGGTTAAAGCCATGCAAACTGTAATGTATTTCTCTAGCACTGGCCCTGCTAAACGCACTTTAGTACAGCGCGCACAGAATCCAATACCATTCCAATTTTCGACTCAATCTTGGCCATACCGAAAAGGTAGGTATTCCAAAGTTCCGAAGCCGCAATTTTGTGAAGACTACACGTCCTCAGTAGACGCCGAATTCGTCTAGGCGGTCATTTTCAGATCCTCTCAACATTTCTCGGGATCCTGGCAAATCTGCGCAGTGAAATGTTACTGCTGATCCCCAGCCTTATTGCATATAATCCCCTTGACCTTGTCGTTGTACTTTTTGCCCACATTCTGGTTGCCGGCGGGGGTAACTGTAAGCACTTGGACATTGTGCTTGGTCTTGCAATCCTTGGTTCTATTTGATAGTTAGTATACCACCGTTCGAGATACCGAGACATTAAAACATAGGCGAGCGGCAAAATTGTGAGACTTACAAGAACAGCGAGCACTCAACCCCCTGCGCCGGTTGCAAGGACGACATGTCCGGGAATTCGGCGCTGAGATCTCGACACCGATCGGGGAGGAGGACGAGATCGCGCCACACGCCTCCATAGTTCATGTGCTCGAATACTCGGACCTGCTTTTTGTTAGCCACGCCTTCTTGCCCTGGGTATGAGATCCCCGCTCTTGGGCTTGGGGAAAAGGATCAGAGGTAGGATAGAGATAAGAGCTCGTACCTTGGGAAGGTTGTTCCGAGTAACAAGATCCCCGGAGGGGGTTTCAGGCATATCGAGGGCGTTGGAGTTGCCTAGAGCTTCAATGATAATGCTACGCGTGTTCATCTTCAGAATCGGCGTTGCCGCGGTGAGAGGGAGAAGGAAAGTGAGGAGTGACGCGAAGAGCATGGTGCTAGAGACTAGATGATTTAGTAGGAGTGTTGGAGGTATTACTGAAATGACTCGAACAAGAATTGTAGGGCTGGAGGGCTGTTGACGTTGAGAGTTGTGATGATGGTGGAAAGGAGATTGAGATGGAGCGGGAGGTGGAAGGGTGAAACGATGAACAAGAAATGGGCATCGACCGTGCGACACCGGTAGGGTGACTCTTTCCATACCTCGTGGGGGGAAATTCTTGTGTCCATGCTTTAAAATCTGATGATCTTTCCCAAGGTCTCGAAGCACCTTCTTGATGTACTTTAGAAACTCCATTGATTGCTTCTAAACGGGAGTAGAAAGGAAACGACGATTAACAAAGACTAAGGTCTAAGATAGGGGTTCCCAGTCTGCAGGTCCCTGTTAGGTGTATAGCAGCCCAAGAGTGAATGAAAGGGGAAGTAAAGACTGAGCTTGAAGCCTTGTGTTACCATAGCTACGGATGTATGCAGACATTCGCCACTATGCTAGTTCAGTCAGTTTACGCGCGCTAAAGCTATAATTCAGGTCGGTGAAAGGGTATAATTCTCCGCATGGCCTCACTTTAGATCTAGAGTATAGCGCTAGGAGGGTATGAAGGATAAGGGGATTGCTAACTAGGAAGATATGATTCTGGGGTTTCGCGATGATCCTGCTGCCTAGGACAAAGGGAAAGACCAGCACGTTGTAGTCCGGCTTCCAAAAAGGAATCTAGAAAGGAGATCATCCGATAATAGGGGACAAGACCTGCGGAGGTTGAAATATGAGGACAACAAATTCCTGTAAACCCTAAACAAAACCCTTAGGAAATCCATTGACCACCCACCTCCTTCCACCCCGCAACTCTCTTCGTCCCTACGTACCTAGTGTCTAGGAGACTTTCTCTAGATACGCTAGGTTTCTTATATACTATTTCTGTGGCTATGGTATATTCACCAAGCCAGATGGCGAATCTGCTTTCAAGGAAGGGGGAGTGCAGTCCGATGTTCTGGGTCGCCAAAAGCATTGCTAAGGTGATTTTACCCAGGGCGGGCGCAAGAACTAAGCCTGTAGATAATGTCAGTCAGAGTCGGAGTTTGAGGCGAATGGAGGGAAAGATACTTACGTGGATATCCTGCAGCTGTGGGTGGCTGCCGTACCACGGTTAGGATCATCAAATCACTGATATACTATTGATATTCCCTCAACTGCATGGAGAATCGAGTAAGCCAAGCCTACAATTTTGCGTCGAGTGACTGGCACCTTCTACCCCCTAAAGCTAGTCTCCGACAGTACGCGCTGTCTTTCGTAAACATTCACCTATTGGTTTGATGCTTATGCATGAAGAAATTGATGCTGGACGTGAATTATCGTACTTTCATGGGTGTGGTGGCTGGTGTCGCTTTGGGTATGGAAGGTTCGGACAGGCCCAGTATCCCTGTGTTGGCCGCAAGTGGCTCCCACGGCAAGGAAGGCGAAAGAGTCGCTCTGATGTGTGTGAAGGAGTACATCGTTGTTCTGGATATTGGTTGAACATGTTGTGGGTTGTAGGAGAGTTAAACCTTCGATTGTTCGTCCACAGAGACATGGTGATTAATAGATGCTATTAGGAAATTGTGATGGGGTAGGGGTGGGAAGAACGAAGGAAGGAGGACTGTTTGGTGGGCAATGCAGAGAATGTGTCACATCTGTGCTGTGAAAGTGATGGTCAATTTGAGGATATCCGAGTATCTGAGGATCCGAGGAGGCCTCGCCGACCAAAAACCAGCGATTTGATATCACTAAGCTATATGGCTGATAAAATTTGGTCGACGAAAGAGATAGATTTACGAAGTAGGCTATGTTGAGGGTATAAAACCATGCTGATCCCAAAACGCACACAAAAGAGCGAGAAGATCTGGGATATGGATACCCTCAAATCATCAAAAGATCTACGAAATATTCATCGTAGACTTTGACCTGTATTCAACAACGTCGAATGAAACATACAAGCCTCTGGCCCCAGCAACCCTCGAAACCGCGGCTCTATGTGTTACCGCGGGGGGTGTTGGAGGCAGAATTTGTGCCTTTGTTAATCAGTCCAGCGAAAAACGAGGCAAGCTTATCGTTGTCCATCTTGGGATCATGGGCAGGTGGTGGCGTTAATGGAGCTTCGGGAGATGCTGTGCGATTTGCTTCTCGATCCTGCATGCCCCCCTTGATCAGCTCGAACGTTCGCCAGAGAAAGAGGACAAGAAAGGCGGCTTACCTGCAATCGCTTGACCATTTCATCCGCATTTACTTGAATGCCACCCATATTGAACTGAACAGGTCCAATGTGTTCTTCCACAACGCCGCTCACGTCCTCATTCCAGGTCATGTATGAGGCATTATCCTTCTTCCGGGCGTTCTTGATCTTCTGTTCGTTCTCATCTTCACGGCGCAGCACTTCTAGAGTGGCTAGCTGTTCTGCGAGGAAGGCCTGCGCGTCTTTGCTGGCGACTTCAACTCCGTTGGCTTGTTTCGAGTGTAATGCAGAGAGAGGGAAGTCTTGTTCGGGGTTGCGGATCGTCTCCTCGTAGATAGACGTAGCTGAAGGGCCTTCATCCTGTTGCCCAGGCCCTCCATTTGCTGCAGATTCATCCTCTACTGCAGCTTCGCCATTCGCTGCAGCCATCATATGTCGCGGAATGTCAATGTCGATGGACCATTTCTGGCTGACTCCCTCAACATCAAACCCCTCTCTCAAGATCCGTATCTTTCCCCATGAGTCCCAATTGGGTGGTACCAGCACTCGGTCCCGGTCGATGACATTGTGTTTTAGTTGCTTCTGTTTTAAGAGTGACTTGATTCCAAGTGTCGAGTGGACCAAAGTCTGGAGAGATCCTGGAGCAGAAGGCATCGTGTACACCAAGCTGGCGCCATGCTTGAGGAGAATTGTACGCATATACTGCAAAATGAAGTCAAACTCCTCCTCCTTCCACCCACGCTCCTTCTCTAGAGCTTCAATCTTGTCGGCATTTTGACAAACGACGCAAAGAGGGATGCCCAGAGGCTCGTCCCATTCTCCCGGCCCAAGCGGTACTTTGACATTATCTGAAGCACTGCTTCCTGCCCCCTCGGAACCCCCGAGGCCGCGCCCCTTGTCTTGTAACAAGGAGATGTTCTCCTCCAATACTTCTTTGGATGCATCGTCGAGAGACAGAATAAGAGACCGTAGGACGCGGATCCAGTCACGCAGTTGCCGTATCCAGAGCCATGGGTGATTCCAGTCGAGGAGAATGACTACAAGCATATGAGGTAGTGTGCGAGGATTAAGATAGGGTTTGATCAGGGGGGTAAATGAGGGCGAAGGGTTCGCGAGGAGGTAGAGCGAGAGGCGGGCGAGGGTATCTGCGTCTGATTAGCTCCCGCATCGGGAAGTCTGAGGAAGAAGCGTATTTACCTTCATGATCCGTGTCAAGAACGTCCTGGTACGTGTAACCGAGGGCAAACTGGTTGGCAATGGGGGGGGCTCGACCGCGATCTGGAGGCCTCCGGTTGCTGGATGGGTCGGTCGAGACTGATTCTAAGAACTCACGCTGTGTTTCTGGGGTTCCGCCTGCAAGACGAGCTTGTCAGCATCCATCCCATTGAGCTTCGCTAGTTATGTCCATACCTAGAACGAGGAGGCTCTTCTCAGGCAGCCTTTTCCCACTCGAAATGTTGTCGAGCATGGGCTTCCATATCTCCTCCTTCTCCTGATCGCTGCTTCCTGGCCGGCCATGTATCCCCGATTGCCTCGACGGAAAATTGGAGGTTCGGCGTGACGCGCTCGCCATGGCGGAGGTGCTTCGGAGGTCTCAGGGCGCGGACGGCGCGGTGGTCTCTAGAGATGGGCAGAGGTAATACAAGCTGTTCAATGAAAGCGTGGTCACAAGGGAAACGGAAGACACTACATGCGACGAAGAGGTTTGTGGGGTGGGGGAAGTTGACGTGGTGACCTCTTGCTGCACAGGCATGCAGGGAAGCTCTTCGCCGAAAGTTCACGCTAAGACGGAACTTTTGAGCTTGGATCTGGAGCCTCGACTTCGGCAGCCACCACCGCCCATTCACTCACCCACCAGCCTCTGCTGGCTCTCCAACGCAATGAACACGATCCGCAACATTCAGAACCTCAACAAGCGCGAGCTTGAAGAGGGCGTCAACCCCGAAGCCTCCTGGCACACCGACTACCGCGACACGGCATTCATCTACGTCGGTGGCCTGCCATTCGAGCTCTCCGAAGGCGACATCATCACCGTATTCTCGCAATTCGGTGAGCCAACATGGATCAAGCTTGCGCGCGACAAAGAGACGGGCAAGTCAAGAGGATTTTGCTGGATCAAATATGAAGACCAGCGAAGCACCGATCTGGCGGTGGATAATCTGGGCGGGGCTACAGTCATGGGCAGAATCTTGAGGGTTGATCACGCGCGGTACAAGCCGCGGGATGATGAGGACATGAAGGACAATACGATGGGCGATGTGAAAATGAGCGATGAGGAGGAGGACGGAAGGAGGAAGAGGCGGCGAACCGACAGTGAGAGCGAGAGCGAGGACGAGCGCCCCATGCTGCCCGAAGAGATCCAGCTTGCGAAACTCATTCGGGATATAGATGACGAGGACCCGATGAAGCCGTCCATGCTTAAAAGCCAGCAGGAGAGAGTTGATGCCGCGCTTAACAAATACAACAAGACTAAGAAGAAAGAGCGGAAACATCGCCATTCGAGACGAGGCAGGAGCAAAGAGCGCCACCGTGACCGCGATCGCCGGCGCATCAAGGATGATGTAGATGAAGATAATCAGACCAAGTCACGTCGACAAGACAATTTTGGGGATAGACATCGGGATAGTTTGCCAGAGAGACAGAGCACCGGAGACAAGGGCAGGGACGACGCGTTGAGGCCCTCGAAGTCAAGGCACAGGGGCGACTCAAGGACGAAGGAACGTGATCATGACCGACGCCGAGGCAAGTCTGACGATGAGGAGGGTAAAACCACAAGGTCAAAGCAACCGTCCCGACGGGATCGGAGACATCGGAGGCATAGCTCTTCTTCATCTCGAGAATACTCCGAGGAGGACTGTCGGCGGGGGTATGGTACTTCCGATCACCGTCAGCGGGAGAGTCGCCGTGAAGATCGCCCACATAAACGAACGACGTAGGTTCTAGCTCTCCCATCGCACAATTCTCGCAAATGCATAGGCTCACTCGAGGGCCTGTATGATTTATCTCCAAGGTCCTGGAGTATGCCTTCCTTACTGGAGCATGAGCTAGTCATTTATAAATGACGGATCATTTTCGTAGAAGCAGACCCTCCATTGTGCGTGCCCCCGCTGTTTCCTTCGCCAGTTCCCCTCGCTCCTTCCCTATTCTTCCCTCTCCTCCCCAACCACGTCCGCACCGCGTCGGCAGACATACTATGGAATATTTTCGAAGACCATGAATTCCATCTACTGCGGCTTCCTCATGCATCAGTAGCCCTCTCCCTGTGCTCTACAATCTGTTTTTCAATTTCTGGCGTCACCCCCTGGTGGGTAGCCACGTGCTCCAGTTTCCCTTCTCTTGCCGTCACCACTAGCTCATGGGTGTTCTGGTCAATGTGCAAGTCGCTCGAGAACACCACAACATCTTCGGTGTCGCCAAAGATCTTGGCCATTTCTTCAAGCGGTATGCCTTTGGTTTCTGGCAAGAGGAAGAACATGAGAGTGGTCCCAAAGAAGGTAATGATGATGAAGATCTATACGAGTGTGAGTACCTGTCTTAAGCCGTTGAAGTGGGCATGACTGACCAAGTAGAACTTCCAGCCGATGTTTGCAAAGGCAGTTGTCGTTGCTTGCAAATACACAAGGTCGGTAAGTGCAACGGTGGCCATCGAGAGGCAAACACCTTTCGCGCGAATGTGATTCGGAAATAGCTCCGAGTAGAAGACCACCCCCGCGACATCAACACCCATGCTGTATACCCTACTATAACGTTAGCCAAACCCCACAGCTCGGAGCTTCGAGGAGACCGACGCTAAGAAGAGATAAAACATCGCTAGACACCCGTGTTAGACTTTTCCACACTTCGAGGCTTCCATGGTTGACTTGCCTACGCCAGCCGCCAGACCAGCCTTGTTGGTTGCCTCTTCTGCAAAACTCGCAACTAATGCAGCCTCGAGGATCAAGCAAACGCAACAGCCGCCTACACCGAACAGCATCAGGGGCTTTCGGCCAACCTTGTCCATGAACATGGCGCCGACTGCATTGAAAACGATTCCTACAGTTATCCACCCACACTACAGATTTTCGTCAGCTTGAGGGACAACGCGACAGAAGGCTCATACCTGGAATTCTAACTGCTGTTTACTACAAAAGTCAGTGAATGCTCTTTATCTGTTGACATGCTAACTTACGTTCCATAGCCGAGGGTCGCATAAAGGGATGGGCCATAATTGTTGATAACAAGGACCCCTGTGCTCTGTCCGATGAAAGCGAAGCCCATTGCCAATGCAGTGCGCCTTCGGTAGCCTTTTTTTGTAAACATTGCCCACCAGCCGGGTTCTAGGGTACGATCGAGCTCTGTTTGCTTCATCATTTGATAAAACTCTCCGCGCGCGAACTCTTGGTCGGGTCACCCTTGATCTTGTGGATCCTGTACACGATATCTCTAGCCTTCTCAACTTCTCCCTTCATTAGTAGGAACCTCGGAGACTCTGGGACGACGCATACAACTGCAATCATCATGAAAGGCCAAAGTAGAGCAAGACCCAACGGGCCACGCCACTTTGCTGTTTCATTGTCAGCAAAGTAAAAGGCCATACCCATGTAGGATGCGAGCGCGTATCCTAAGGCGATGTTGACGCCGTTCATGCCGACGAAAAATCCGCGTAACCCTGGAGGAGCCAATTCTGCCGCATATGTTGGGGCTTGCTACATCAACGTTTGGCCTTGCATGGGCATTTATAACACTCACTGACTGCCAAGAACCCCCAACTCCCCCACCCAGCGATGAAACGAGCACCGATAAACATGGCTACATTCTGTGACCCGCAGAGCAAGGCTCCACCGAATAAGGAAAATAGAGAGCAGTATAGTACCCCCGCTTTACGACCGAAATGGTCCATGATATAACTGGCGGTCAAGATACCAATCACTGCACCAGCCTGCCTCATATCAGTTAACTGTAGCCCAACGTACAACTACAAAGGCTATACCTGAAATACTCCGTTCATGGCTCCAATCAACGCCTCGGCATTTCCAGTTTCTTTCCCAGTCAGCGGATCTATAAGACCCATATAGATGAGGAAAGGAGGTTCGCCTAGTGTCGTTCCAATAATACTTGCTGGGTATCCGAAGGCAATCTGCCCAAGACTGACAAGGAAGCAGACAAAAAAATTGTAGCCATTGAACTGGCTTTTCTTGGACGGGGCCATAGGTGCAAAATTCGAGGGTGAAAAGAACTGATAAGTGTCGGTGGGACTAGCTCATATATGTATATCTCTCAATCCCTTATTGTAGAATCGAGAAAGGGTGAATACATAGGTACCGGACTCTCGAGCTATATTCGTCGATTCAACACTACGAACTGCACTCCACAACACGATTCATTTAGCGCCTCCTCCCCCGCAAATCCTCCCACATTCTAAGTGTGGCCGACCACGATTGCAGGGATTATATTGTGGGCTCCGCAAAAAAACCGGCGATGATTTAGTTCGCCCTATTATTCGCACACTCTGACAGAATCTGGGCTACGCGGGAAGTCAATGCTGATGGAAGCGGATACCAAAGTGCAGATTTAGTTGACTAAGTTGTAGGAGTGTGATCTATCCATTTTCTGTGTGAGGTTTTATATCCCTTCCTTTCACAGAATTTGAACGTCGAACATGACGTATTTCTCCAAAGCTTTCCTGCATAGCGTGTCTTTGACCTATCAGGAAGAGCGCGGTAATCTCTTATTCAGTCAAGGGTGCCAAAATGCGGGTTTGTAGAAGTTTCTCTTGCCAGTTGCTGGGTGAGGAGACAAGGAGCAGTCGGATCGCTTACTCCGAACAGATGACTCCTATGAACTGACTCTCAATACTCAGTCGGCGGCGGCGAGACATCAACAACCCCTTGCCTGAAACTCGGTAATTACTGCGGGGTTGAAACGCCAGCGCTAAAAGACGACCATGGTTGATGCATTGTTGCCATATATTGCCGAAATGAGCCGTAGGGTTTAGCATCCGCTCCGCCTTTGCTGATTCTAGACCTTGGATATCGCTTCACTTGCCCATCCAAAAGTAAGTCGAATATTCCTTGGAACTGGCGAGGTAAAAGCTTGACTTTTCCAGCGCACCGGTCCTGGGCCCGAAGCGCAAGTCTACCATGGAGGTGGTGCTGGTGAGTCCACGTAAAGTAACGCGGTTCTTGATACACCTTTGAATCAGCAATTCATTTGCATTATTGACCTTCAGCCTATACTCTTGCCTGGTTTCTATGTTCATTATGACTACCTGGAACGACCGACCTGGAATGAACATTCAGTCAAGTGATTTCCAACTGTTTCCCCTACGGTGGCTCTCCGACTCGTTTTAGTCGATATTCGAAATGCGGTTGAACTCAGTTACGCCCCTTGGGCCTTTTGAATATCAGGAACTGCTTCCTCAATAATGTTCTAGACGTGGAATTGCATCGGTTAGGGACTACGAAAAGCCGGTTCAGTAGGTACATCCACCTTGTGCTAATGTAAAAATACCACCCCTTGCGTGGCATAATTCATTTTACAACAACGAATATGTTTCCGCCTCCTATGCGGATGCGAACCTAGTGAAGAGCGTTTTAAGGTAGCATTTGGTTCTCCTTACTCGTGGCTTTGTTTACTACGTGAAAGCTGTGCTCTCATAGTGAATAACTCATTTCATTACACGTCCTTTCTCCTACACTTCATATCTGGCCACATGTTTGTCTTAAGACTAGCACTAAGTTTGTCGAAAGCCAGCCTCTCGCAACACTGCAAGCACTCACTTTTGCTTATCTCCTATTCGAAATGTTTTTGATTGGATCTGAATATCAATTTTACTCTAGCCTCACAATTTCGTTTTTAATTTTTTTTAATTTCATACGTAGTATTCTCTATTTAACTCTCAGAGTTTTGCAATCCTTTTTAAAGTCTCAGTAGCCACTCTCCTCACTTCCTCCACAATCTCCTTGGCACCTTCAACCTTCTCTACCAGCCCCACCCCAGTTCCCGCCCAGATAGCTGCCCTCCCCTTCCCCTCAGTCGCATATCCCAAATCTTCACTCTTTGTAGATTCTTTATGTAGTCTCCTAATTTCCTCGATGCCCACCCCATTCAAATGGTCTGTGTAACTCTGGACAAGGAGACTTCGTCCGTCATAAGGCGCTGGCCATTTATTCGGCCCGTTGAGATTATCGAACAACTTGGAGCGAGTAGTGGTTTGGCCTCCATCTTGCGCTTCTAGAATAGCTGCCCTATACTTGGGATGTACGTCCGTTTCTTTCGCTGCGAGAAACCGGGTCCCCATTACCACACCCTCAGCACCGAGCGCAAGGGCTGCTGCCACACCTCGACCATCAACAATCCCTCCACTCGCGGTGAGCGCGATATCTGTGAGCCCTTGTCTTGCAAGAGCATCAGCAGCTTCTGGCAATAACGAAATGATGCCCGCTCCCTTTTCAAATCCATGCCCTCCTGCATCCGCGCCTTGAAGGCACAAGACATCTGGTTTTGCAGCTTTGGCGATGTAAAGCGCAGACTCCACACTCCCACACTGAATCCATATCCTAGTCTCGGGACTTACTTCCCTCATACCATTCGCCCAATCCGCGTAATCATCCAGCTCCTTCGCAGCAAACAGCCAGACCACACTTGGCTTAAACTCTTGAACCACGGGCAATGCATCCTGGAGTTTGAGCACAAACGGAAGGAAACTAATACCTACAGGGAGAGTTTTGTACTTTGCACTGGTAGCTGAGAACTCAGGGCTGGAGTTGAAGGCTTCGGACGCGGTTTGTAACTGGAATCGTAGATCTTGCATGTCGAAGAGCCCACCTATTAGACCCAAGCCGCCAGAAAGAGATACAGTAGAGGCGAGGTTTCCGCCCGCGACTCCGGCCATAGGGGCGTTGATTATGATGGGTGCCGTTGTCCATGGAAGTTGGTCTTTGAGAGATGCCATGTTGAATGTTGACGAAGAGCGGTGGAGTGGAGACTTTGGGTAACGTGGTGCAAGCGCATGGAACTTGGGAAGCTGAAGTTGTTATAGACTCTTCTATCGTAAGTGGAGCTACAATAGGGCAAGCCCGTGAGTGAGATCCGGGGCTTAGTAAGCGTGATGATGACGAGAGCAGAAATTAACATCTCCGAGGACATGCCTCGTAGGCGTCTATGCGATTGCAGATGGGTTGGGAATTTGAAGGTTGTGGGGACGAATCTGGTTGCGTCTAAAGCCATTTGATGCAGGGACGTCTCTGCACTGGTCGGAGCACGTCCTCAGATATGCTAGCTTGAAAGAGCTATGTTCAAAAGACAAGGTTAAAACTTCGTTGCAGGGTTATCGAAAATATGAAGAAGAGGAAGTCCCTTGTTGTCCTTGATGCATCAGCTCTGCAACTTAGCTCCGCGCTCACTCGTGTGTCCAGAAGGAGTGTGGGAGTATAGGAATCCAACAAGCTTTGTTGATCTCTCGGTGTGTGAGAAAGTGCATGTAGGGACTCGAACATTCACGCCCTTTGAACATCCCCTACAACGAGCCTCTAACACGCAAGATTCTTTTCTCCTCTTCCATCCTTCCCCTCCTATAACTGGCTTCAAAATAAAATTTTCCCTGCTTTCCCATTACCTTCCCTTCACACCCTCCCGTAATGCCCGTTTCCCCTCTCCGCCCTAAAGTCTCCGTCCCTTCAGTCCTACAAAAAATCACTAAGCCCTTCTACCCTAAAATGATCGCCCTCCTCAACAACTCTATCGAATTCCGCATCGCCAAGATACGCGGCGAATTCATCTAGCACTCCCATCCTACCACCGACGAACTGTTCTACATTCTTGACGGTGTGCCTTTGACGATCAAGATCCGGAAAGAGCGAGACAATGAGGGGAGTGAGGAAAAAGTTGTTTTGGAGAAGGAAGATTTATTTGTAGTGCAGATGGGCGTGCAGCATTGTCCGATGAGTAAGGAAGAGACATGTGTACTTATGGTGGAGAGGATGGGAGAGTTGAATACGGGGGATCAGGGGGTTGGGTGAGTGGGGGAAATAGATGCTAATATGGTGTGTGTAGGGAACGGACTGCAGCTATTGAGGATGCGAGGATGGAAGGTTGAAGTCGATGGGATTGCAGGAGGAACAGTGAGTGTTGGTGTGCTTGAAAGAAACCCTCGATGTGATCGTACAGAGCATTGTCCAAAGCAAGCACCGCTGTTGGCGAGAAGTATTACGCTCGTCATATATGATTAAACATTAGCTCAATAGGATGCAATCCTGCGCCATCAACAGAATACTTCACCCTCGAAGTCTCAAATTACCTGTTGAGTGTAAAATTAGATTGTCAGAGGAGAAGGGGTGGTTGGCGTTGAGACTCTCGGGAAGTGAATTGTTGGGGGTAAGTAAGCGATACGCCTTTCCATTTTAGCGATAGCGTGAATTTGGAGGAAAGGCAACGGAAAGCGGTAGGAGGCTTAGCTAGACCCCTAGACCCCTTAAAAATCGCGGAAAATGAACTTTTTTTTTAAACAGCCACGAACCTGCGCCCCATCCTACGCCCCCATTGCCAAATCTGACTCTATTAAACGTGGTGGCGGAATGGCGACGCTGCCGCACGACGAAAATTCAGATTCCTGGCAACTCTTGGCTCTTATCTATCAGAACCATGGATCTGTACACAGTGGATCACGAAATCATCATGTCTGGACAAGTAAAGGGACTCATGAGATGGACTGACTCTAGAAGGGGTTTCGTTGGGTTTGATGTCAAATCGAGCTCATCTTGTTCGTTGCTTAGTTTGCTTTGCAGGAACCGTGGCTGAGGGCTTGAATCCTAGTCGGTTCTCGTATAGCATTGTCATCCCATAGCCTTGTCGCTTGTGTATCTGTGCTCTCCTGTTTTCCGTAATCTCCATCCTCCAGATGTCCTCTTCGCACTTTCAACATGCCCTGAACTGTGTTGTCCTTTTCCAAGTCGTTGCGTCATCATGTTTACGCGATTTTTCTATGGTTTTCTGATATTCTTCTCCTTGGTCGCGTTGTACAGCCTCCACTCAGTCTCATCGCGCGATCCAACGTCAGTCTTTTTTAACCCACGTGTTGGCTATGCGCCCGCATACTCCACGATCAGAAAGCAGGAAGCCGAAACCTTCATTCATGCAACAACGAATACCACCGAACGCCCGCACACTCAATCGTCAAATACCCCGAAGAAGCTCTGTGTTGGCATACCCTCTATAGCAAGGAGAGGAGCGCGGTATCTGCGCGTGGCAGTCGGGTCTTTGCTCGATGGCTTGACGCCTACAGAGCGCGATGACATATACTTCATAGTCTTCATACCCCACTCCGACCCGACCGTTCACCCCGCGTACAATGAGCATTGGCTCGCCGACCTCACGGATGAAATCCTCGTTTACAACGATCTGCTGCCTGTTCAGGCTGAGCGCATAAAAGATTGGGAGAAGGAAGGGGGTTTATACAAGGAGAAGGGCATATTTGACTATTCATATCTGCTCAAGGCGTGCTACAGGCAAGAGACACCCTATATCGCCATGTTCGAGGATGACATTGTTGCGATGGACGGGTGGTATCATAGAACGGTTGCCGCAATAGAGGAGGCAGAAACGCGGTCAGCGTTGAAGAAAGCTTCTCCGAGCTGTATGTGAAAGTAAGAAGCCATCATTCATACATACTTACACTTGTAGTTCTCTACCTCCGCTTGTTCTTCACCGAAGAGTTTCTAGGCTGGAACTCCGAGTTCTGGTTCACGTATCTTTTTTGCTCCATCGTTGTCTTTTCTCTATCCACCGGCCCTCTTGTCTATCTTCGCTCGAAATCCCCGAACCTGAAACGCCATCTTTCCGACCGTATTTTGTTAATTTTCTGCGGTCTCATTGTTGCTCTTATTGGCCTCTTTTTCGCTCTCGGCCGCGTAACAGTCCTCCCTCTCTCAGCTGGCGTCAACGAAATGCCTAAGTACGGCTGCTGCTCACAGGGCTTCGTGTTCCCCCGCGAAAAAGCTATGAATCTCGGGAAGTTTTTCGAGGAACGCAAAGCCGGTTTCGTGGACGTGTTGACGGAAGATTATGCGGACAGGAATAAAGAGTTAAGATGGGCCATTATGCCTAGTGTGATCCAGCACGTCGGCCGGAAGAGCTCGAAAGTGGATGACTATGGACCGATGAGTAAATTTGGAATGACCGTGGCAGAGAAGATATGGAACTTTGGATTTGAGAGATATAATGCAGACGAACTAAGAAGAGAGCACTGGCGGGCCACGCATTCGGGATGAAGGCATCAGACACTACATCTTCTAGATTCTGTCTCGCTGGTCTCGCACCCCAACATCGGCTACGAAATGATATCCAAAGACCCGCTGGCTTAGCCGAGGTTATATGGGGAATCTCACCAGGTAGCGCTGTAACTACTAGTTACAGGATGCGTGCGAATCACGTCTCGTAGAACCCAACATGGACCGTGGCAAGGCTTGCAACGTATCTTTGGTGTAGAGCAGAGGAGGCTGTGGGGATCTCGAAGTGGATGTAATTTGAAAAAGGTTAATTTGAAGGGGGCCATGTAGTTCGCGGGAAATCAATTCACAAGATGAGCTGGATTCGAGGTAGAGCATTTCCAGGAACAGGTGTTCAAAATATCGCGAAGACTTGTTTCAGAGGATGGGCTGAAAGAATGTTTATATGTTACTTGGAATACGTGTGTCCCACTTCGCAAACCTCGCTTAGACCTTTTTCTTCTTATTACCTTTGTAATGTAAAATATCATTTAAAATGACGATATAGAGAAGATACCACTGAAAGTCCACACTAAGGAGTGAATGCTACTCAGGTAGCGAGGTAAAAGCACCAACTTCTTACCCTTAGTCTATCTAGCGGCACACTCCATAAACTGACTGTTCGTATTGCTCAGGGCATTCTTAACTAGCAAAAAAATCTTCAGATCCTCGTTGTGTCACCCTTCAAGCATATCGCGACCATAAGACACATTTGTCTTCCTGCTCCTACGCACGAAAGATATTCCACAAGCAACCCAACGACAAGACAAGTTTTATAAATCTTGGGTACCTCTAGGCCCAACCGACCACTGCGATACTTATCTGCTTATGAATTGCTACAAGGTGTTAGGATATGTGTTCAGATGGAAAATCCAAGAGGACAGGTGTGGCCGTATACTCTAAAACAGGATTTCTATTTCTGCCCAGGAGCACTACTGGAGATTTGCACACAAGTGATGGGGGAGACAGAAGAAGACAAAGAAAGAACGACAACATTACGCACAAGGACGGAGCGGCCGTAAGGTCTATGGCCATCATCAAAGATCTTTGCCCTTTGAAAACCCCTATGTTTGCTCCCAAGCTCTTTGGTCTGACTCCTAACACTCTCCGATCCGATTGCCTGCTCTTCATCTGTCTGGGTTAGACCTTCGTCTCAAGAGACACTCCATTCACAATGAGGTTTGCATGGCAGGTCTCAGAAGTGTCCGACTACATAACAGCACCTGTAAGCAACAATTCCTAGGCAAAATCTGGCGCTGGAGCCATATGCACGAATATGCTCTGCATTATATAAATCATAGAGATCCCAGGCCTTCAGCCCAAAAATACATGACTTTTCTTATAACTCATGCTCCTTGCAAGGCTACAGACACAATGATCAGGTTCTTAGCATCCTTCAAGGGACTCGAACACTGCGTTCAACCAGCATTCCAAATCAACGAAGAAGAAAGTAAAGACAATGGATCAACCCAAGATCAACCGCAATCCCTTCAGAGATTTTACCTAAACCAGCAGACTAAAGATTGGCTGAAATCACAGCAGGATACTCTGAGAACTGTGTCCCTATCGGAGAAGCACCACCTCAAGACCCAAAAGAACTGGCATTCAATTACTATCTCCCAACAGGCCTATCCACCGCATTCCCAGTATTAGACACAGCGGTACAAACCCATACCTTTATGGAGGAGGCTTAGCAGTGTGTCCAACCGTTAGTTACGGAGCCTTTTGGAGGCTGTATAGTACAGTTACGGAAGAGGAGGCTGTTACTAACTAACTGTACGGAGGAGATGACGTCAGTGTACGGTTAGGATACAGTAACTGAAGTATATTGAAGTATTATGAAGTAATTGCGCTGAAGCTAAAGACTATACCCAATTAGGAAGTTGTGATACCCCTTATGAGATCTACTGTTGTTGATCTTACTGTTTTAATGTACTCTGTAAGCTTAGTCAGCTTACTAGTAACAGCGTTGTTACGTAACTAATTCTTCTGCAGTTGAAGAGCCTCTATTGTCGACCGCGTTGTTGATTGGGATAGGAATTGGGACATTATAATGGGCAAAAGAATAACGTAGATGGCATAGTTGCTGAATTTGTTAGAAGATTGCTAACAAAACAGGCAATAACGGCATTCTCCGCATTAATCTCCGAACACGAGCCCCCTGGCCCTCAGCAACCTGCCTTCAACCGCCCAAAACCACCAAAAATCCTATATAACTACCGTAAACGGTTAGTACAGCAGCCTCATGTATAGTACAGTATACTGAGTAGATGCCCTGTACGTACGTACGTGACCAAAATCAGTGTACTGCAGTACTGTACTATTAGGTGTACTAACGGTTGGACACACTGAGGCTGAGGTTGTAGTTGTTGATATTGCGGTATATTTATATTCTCATTTCCTCCGAGGGTTCACTATCAAGTATTAGGTGCAATTGAAGATGTTCTCAGGCCTTAGATACCTTAATCTCACCGCTCCAGAAAACTCGGCAGCACTGAAGTTCTCGAATATACCACCCCACGTGTTGCTGAGAATACTAGCGAACAACAACAGATCGTCATGCATCTCAACGTCTCACGACAGAAAATGCAGAAATTGACTAACGCGCAGGGCTGCCACCTTCAGATGGCTGAGGATTATCAGACCGCAAAATGCATTAGGACAGAGGAACTTAGGAGAGACATGTCGTGGTTTGGGGGTGTTGGCTCTTGCAACTTACAGCGGTTACTCGCCATTAATTCATAGTGTGATACTGAATCAGAATAATGAATGTGCCATAGTACCCTTGCCAGATTCAAGCCTCTAGCTATCGAGCTGTCGCTTTAGCTTTTATTTTACTGATACATTCCAACTTCCTAGTTCTTGCACTGCTACTTAACCAGAATAGCATCTGTCCCTCAAGCCCCTTACTAGTTCCAAGCTCTCAGTCATTCGGATGACTTTATGATCCCTCAAACACCTACAATAAACCTCGCTGAAACCTTTGCCTCCAACCTGACATCCTCAGGCTGAAACTGCAACTCCTCTCTTCCCTGTGGGTGCGTCCCCTCCATCCTCAACTTCTTCCCATAATGCAACTGCGGCCTCGTGCTCTGAGAATAATACGTCTCCTCCTTGACACTTGTCGCGACTACCTTTTTCGCTAGGTCCTCAGCTGGCACTCTTGCAAACACCTCCGCGTAATCCCAACCCCTCTGAATGGCGTCCTGTGCCGCGAGTTTCCTCGCACTGCCACGGATACCATTGAGTGTGTCATCAGTAAGACACCAATTGATCTTCTGGATCTTAATATTTTCCATTGCCGAAAACTTCGTCGCCAACGTGTTTAGCACATCAAAATCTGAGAACTTAATATGGAACTCCACACGCGCAGAGTACGTAGTCGGAAACATGTTGCCATCTTTGTCGGGCCGTTGCTGGTGGTTGGAAGTGTCGAGTGTGCTCATGGAATAGTGCGATATAGCAGCTCCACCCATTGCGTGACCTGCTGTATTGTCTTGGTAGCAATGGGGGAGGATGGCTTCGCGGAGTACATTCGCGGTGCTAGTTACTGCTGCAGATGCCTCAGCTGGGCTAGGAAGTTGTCGTGATTGCGCTTGGAGGACTAGGATGGCGCGATCGGCAGCGTGGACTACATAGCCTGAGCCTGTGACGTTGATTTCTAGACCTTCTTTAGGAGCTGCGGAGGCCATTGCGGGATTTGGAGTTTGGAAGAAGAGTATGAATAAGAGTACGTAATGGAAAGTTTGTGGAAAATGGATTCGATGAAATAGAGGTATGCGATGTTTATATATTGTATTCGCGGTTGCTTCCTGAACGGCAGCCTAGGGTTTCGGGTGAAGCCTAGCCTAACTGCACGTCGAAGTATTCAGAGGTTGTCCGAGACCTTAAGCGAGGCCCTTGAAAGGTGCCGGAAAGAACTGGGAAGTGATTCCTTCTTTTCTTAAACATGCTTGATCGTAGGGTTTACCTAGCATCTTGTCCTATACAATTCGCGTCGCCTCTATTGTACTTCTTTACAAATCTTTCTCGGGAAGTTTGTACTCCTCTCCTCGAGTTCAATAGCTTCCTCTCTCGCTCCTTTCGACTCGTGTCCCCAATGCATAGTTCCTCTTCCTATTTCAAAGGCACCCGATGTAGCGGTTCCGGGTGTCCCAGCCCCTCTTATTAATCCTTGTTCTCCACTTCCTGTGCTCTTATCGTCGCTCAATTCATACGGACCCTGAACACTACTTAAGTTCTGCGAATGTATCGTGCTGTGACGATGGGGCTGTGTAATGCGGATCTTGAGGGATTTGCTCTTGTTGGAGCCGGAGGAGTACCCATTAGATGGATCTCCTGTAGTTGGAGACAGACCCAACCCACTTCGAATGAGCTTATAGAAAGAGCTGAAGAGCGGGTAGTAAGCTGGGAGAGAAGCCACAATACAGGCCGAAGTGATGTCCAGCATATTCCAGATGTAGACGTCGTGGGCCATATCTAGAACGTGTTAGCTAGGTGCACCATCCTGGAAAACAAAGTGGAGATATTGAGAGCGGATCGGGAAGTGGTTACTCACAAGTATAATCGGGTCTCTTCTTTCCAAAGATGATGTTCCTGACAATTGAACACATCACACAGAGCATGCCGAAGGAAAAGACTACACTAATTCCAACCTTTTTCCGTAGCGGCATCTGTAGAGACCGAAAGATAAACAACGGATAGATCAATAAGAGTAAGTCTGTACTAATGTGCATCGCTCTCAGACCTGTTTGGAACTTCGTATTGTCGAGGCACTTGTACTTCGACCGGTCGACTTTAGCCAACGTAATGAAAGACCATCGTGCCCAGATTGGTATGCACTGAAAAGCAGTTCCAAACAGTGAAATCAATCCACAGGCAAGTATGAGGCAGAATAGAACAATAGTGATGTAGCGGAAGATAATAGAGTTTGTGCTTCGAGTGAGCCGACGAATGAAGAAGAGTAGGGAGAGTTTTGAGCAGTAGACGCTGAAGTAGAAGATTGTCTGGCCGATGGTAAAGGTCTGCTCGCCACGTTAACACAGGGGATTCAAGATTGTAGCTGTAGATTGGAACTTTCGGATCATGCTCTAATATTGGCAGACAAACTGAGGGGGGAAAACACTCAACGTACCATATACAATCTTTCAATGTCCTCATACGTGCAAAACCACATATGCTTTCCTAAGCACAGCCCATCCGCAAATGCGCTTAGGATATGTCCATCATACGCCGCCGCCACCATCGCTGCTGGCACCACGAGTGCGTCGTCCCATCCGAACCCCCACTCAGCCCTTCTTCGCCAACGGAAACAGAATCTGCCTGCTGTCACTAGGATAGCAAGCGACATGAACGCTGCAGCTGCAGTCTCAGTCCGCCATGCATTAGATTCATTAGCAAGATCCGATTTCGGCGGCTGTGGACGATGAGGACCAAAAGGGAGTTTAGGGTTACCGTTGAAATTCGTTCTGTAAGCCACCATGGCCATGCGGATGAGACGGTCACGATCTGTTAAGGGCTCATTGCCTAGCAGCGCTGACTCCACCATGGCCGCAGCTTATCTGATGAGGCTATTTCACGGAAGATAGGTGATCGACAAAGAAGCCAAATTTAAGATAGACGCTAGATCCCACGAGAATTGTGGTGGTGGCGTGCGGGTATGTATATGCGGTTCAATATGCTACCAGGTGCTCCTTTCGACTACCGAGTGGCATGTTCGAGAGAATTTTTCAGTGACCAGCTAATATCTTCTTGCTCGGGAGTGTCCGTGTTGACCCAGGAACAATTTAATCACTGCGATATCAATTGCCGACCCTGGTGCAAGATGTTTCAGCGGGCTGCACACGTTCTGTTAGCCGCCTGCGTCCCACCAGCACGAGCAAGCTGGATACTGGCATGAGACTCCGACAGTTCAGCTTGCATGTCTCTTGAAGGCTTTCGAGTCCCCACCGCTCGATTCCTAATCCTATGCTCTGTGACGCAAATGCGAAGTAGACGTCGGGGGCCTGCATGGCCGAAGCAAGGAATCATTCGCACAACAATTTAAGGTCACGTGTGCCCTCTCATGATGGTTCCAAAAATGGGTTTTTGTTCCAGATAGCTGGGAAGATCAAAAGACCCGGACCATTAGCTCTTCGTGATGTTGCTTGTTTCGACCTGCCGTTCTTTATTGGGTGTTCAAAATCCCAGCTGATGGTTTAGCCTGATGGCGAACCATGCTAGAAAGTAATTTATACAGAACACAACAGCCCTAGGTCGACTGGGAATTAATGTATCCAACAGAAAAATCTCATGAACCGATGTCCCGACGAAGAGTACTGATCAGGTACAAAATTCCCACATCCATGGGCGAAGAAAGAGAATTCAATTCCCCGATGGTGTGTTTGGTACGTATGAGGGACGAAAACGTTGGCTGGGTATTTGAGTCTCGCGAGGCTCATTCTAGAGGCCTCGTGTTCATTGCGCGCTGTGGGGATAATCTCTTGTAGTCCAAACCCAAAGTTGACAAGGTCCTGGTAGCAAAGCTTGCGTAGTCCCTGAGGCCAACACCGTAGCCTGAAGGTCTAGCGATCCTACCCTGGCCTTCACTCCGTCTTTCCCTTGTCTCTTCAGGTACGTTCTATTGCAAGCGCCTTTCCAATCTCGACGCGAATTCCATTGCTGCTGCACGAACAATATCGACCGCGGGAAATCGGCACTGCCACGTTTTTGAAATTGAACTCGTAGATAAGTGGCCAAGATACCCTTTGAATGTTCCATTTCTAAGCATCTTCGTCCCCCTCCAATTTCTATTTTCAGACTGCTCTTGTGCTACATTGTCCTTGCTGAGAGGCGAAATAGGTGGAACGGTACGAAGTTTCTCAACGGTGGTGTTTGTATGCAATGTGGCTCACATGGGTGTTGTGTGGTCTTGCTACTTCAAAAGTTCTAGCAGAGTCGTTAGGGACTTCAGCGGAGGCGATCAAGTGGTTCAAGTCGGTGCTACCAAGGCCGATTCCGCAGCTGTCAGGGGAGTTCATGGCGTCTAGGAGCTACTTCTACGTTGGGGGCCGATATGAAGATTCGGTGAGCTCAAAGTGTAGCTACTGTGTACAAAGTCACTAATCATTTGTCAGCAAGCTGGAAGGGTGATGACCGGGCAGATGTATGTGGAGAAAATAGTCCCACAGTCTGGTAGTTGGGGGCAGCCAGCCAAGCAGCAGTACCCCATCGTCTTCATGACCGGCGGTTCTCAAACTGCAACGGTATGTGATGTGAAGCGTTCAAGATTTACGGGTGTATGTTGATAGACTCTTGTAGAATTGGCTGAACACTCCAGATGGGCGAGCAGGTTGGGCTTCGTACTTCCTCTCCAAAGGGTACATAGTCTACCTCGTAGACCAGCCGCAAAGAGGCCGTTCACCTTGGGTTCCTACCGATGGCACAGTCTCGATAACAAACGTAACTTTTGTCCAGAACTTCTTCACCTCCGGCCAGAAAGCGAAGCTGTGGCCTCAAGCGCATCTCCACACCCAGGTAAGCACCGTGCTAATACACCTTAGTCTTATTAGCTGACCCATTTGGTGTAGTGGCCTGGGTCTGGTGAGCCTGGTGACTCAAGTTTTGACGCCTTTTACGCTGGCGAAATTCAGCAACAAACGAATTCGACCAAGGTCGCTGAGAACAATATCAACGCATTCGTGGCTCTTTTGGACCTAATCGGGGATGCCATACTAATATCCCATTCTCAAGCAGGACCACATGGATGGGGCGTCGGTGACAGGCGGCCTGATAATGTCAAGGCTATCATTGCTCTTGAACCAGAGGGACCACCATTTGAGAACCAAATTATTGGTGGTGGGCCAGCACGCCCATACGGTCTAACCACACTACCTCTTACATACTCGCCTGCGGTGAAAAATCCCGCACTCGATTTCAAGACGGAGCGTGTGAAGGCCAAGAGTAAAGATGTTAGTGATTGTGTTCTGCAAAAAGAGCCCGCCCGGAAACTCGTCAATCTATCCAAATTTCCTGTTCTCTTGTACGTGACGGAGGCTAGCTACCATGCATACTATGACCATTGTACCTTGGCGTACATGCAGCAGGCCGGTATGGATGTCGATTATCTGAAACTACCGGAGGTTGGTATTATGGGCAACGCTCATTTCAGTTTTATGGAGAAGAACAATATGCAAATTGCCCCTCTATTGGACGCCTGGATCAGGAAAGTGGTTAGAGAGTAAAACACTATTCTTGGAGTTTGAACATAATTGTACCTTAATGTAGTTATAGATCGACCAGAATTTGACCTCGGCAACATTGCACAAAGCACGTGGGTTCGGCTTGGGAAATTCAGTTGGGAGTTTGTAAGGACAAAGGCCTTGCTGAAGTGGGCATGAGCATACCTAGTAGTAAGTGCTCTCGTGAAAGCTTCAATAATTGGCTAGAATTGGGGGCAATTAGAAGGACCCACCAGGCCGATGGTGAAGTGTGATGGAAGAGCCTACGCATCGAGAAGTGCTTCCAGAGAGAGGGGCAGCCGAAATTGCGCTAAGACATATAGAGCTAGATTGTGTTCCTATCGATAGCGGCCTCAACACTATTCGTATCGGCAAAACTTGCCGACCCACACAACTCTCACCATTCTGAAGCGGGCGCTGAAACCTCTCTTTTGCGGAGAATATTTAGCTTTGCTTCGGAGCTGGAGTGGCGATTTGCGAGTTTATCGTGGCCCGATTGAACATTCCTTTCCAAGCGTGTCTCCGCTAAATTCTACGAAGGCACTCTTCCCAAGAAACCAAGCATAATCGTGAAACATGCTGCGGTAGATGCACCTCGTTGGGAGAGCTCATATTTCTGTGTACTCAAGCTAGCTGCAAAATGTGTTAATTTCTAACTCTTCGTTTCCGGGATTGTGGATATGATCGTTGGAAATCGTCCGAACGGCAAGCTAGGTGTAATACTGTGGTACATGGCTTTCAACGCCACGGGAAGTCACGAAGAAGCCGCTCTCTGCGTACTCAGCTTCGTGGATAGGAGCCAACAAGATATTTCCAAGGCTCACCGAGATTGAGTTCCCGATGAACTCTAAAGGTCTTTTCAGGGTCTAGCCAACAATATCTGGGAACAACCCTGAAATGCGACGTCACCATGCACATGGAAAACCTCACTGGAGGATCCAGGATCCATCACATGTTTGAATGCAGCCACATCGTATTGTTCGCTATGTACGGGTAAAAACGAAGTCGGCTCTTGCGTACCGGAAATCGTTTCCAGTTCACTTGTTTCTTAGCATTTTCTGCTGTATACGGTTCTCGTCCTGCGGACAGGTTTCCCATCATTCATGCTAGCATTAATCCTCCCCAGTCCTAACGGATGCCCCCACCCGTCCCACCCTTGTCCAGCCCACATCGGCCTTCACTCCATCCTACGGAGGACAAAGGACGAATCTCTATATCGTTATCTCATGGCTACTCCGACATTCGTATAGCAAAGACCGTTCATCGTAGTTGGTACCGAAAGAACTAATAAAGTATAATGAAGACCGATAAGAGATACCCTGGAGCAAACAAACTTTTGATCCCAGTGCGGACTCAATAACACCACCATATCTGGCCACTGATAGATGGTGGGTGTGAAGTGGCAATGGCTGTCAGGATGGCGTTCTAGTCGTGGTAGAAACTTCGAAGTTTAATCGGTTACCAGGACCGTTACGTGTCTTCATCGAAGCCATCTAGCAGCTCTAGCCCTCCAAGGTCCTGGTTTGAGTCTGCGGTTGTTTGACTGGGCGACGTTTCGAAACCGTGATCAAACTCATCTTCGGTCTTACAAAATGTACTGAGGGTCGGGCTGTCCGCCTGGTTGTGTTTCCGGGATCCCATCATATTTTCGCCATCAACTCCCAACAGATCGCCGGCACAGCGTTGCAAATATTGGTCCACAGCCCAGAAGCCGCACCCCGCATGTCGCAATACTTCGTTCTTGAGCTGCAGCACCTCCTCTCGCAGCAGTCCTACGTTCTCTTTCAAGGCTTTGTTTCTTGTTGAATATTCACGAGCGCGAGCCTCAAGCGAATTGATGTATTCTTTCTTGCGTTGCCGACACTTATGTGCTGCGACGCGATTCTTCTCAAGATGGGTTTGGCGGGCAGAGGCGACTTGGAAAGGAAAATCGTCGTGGCTGAAGGCCTCGATCGTCTGCGGTTGCGATTTCGGTCGACCCCGCTTCCGCTTGGGCTGTTGTGGGTTGTTGGGGTTCGTTGCCCGGCGCCGTCTCGGGGACTGATCGACTCCTTGTACCTCATGTGTCTGCCCACACGGCAGAGGCTCCTGTTGCCGTGATGGGGGTTGATAATCAGCGAGAGCCTGTATCCGCTGCCGCTGCTCGACTGGAATGGAAGATTCTTGAATAATTGAATCGGGTCGGGACTCAACCGGCGAAAGCTCTTCAGGCGGGGTGACTAGTCCATAGCGCTCGATGGAAGCTTCAGAGAGCAGAGACGGCGGAATGGTGAATGCAGAAGGAGGGAGTGAAGACTGATTGGGATTACTGTGAAAAACTGGCCATTTTCCAGATGAGGGATGCGGGTCGTTCAGGGCTATGTAGGCATTGTGCGCCCAGTCGAAGGTGTTTGAATCTATGTCCATAGCGGCCATGTGGTCTGGGTCAAAAAGGAGGCTAGGTGTCGAGATGAAGGGATGGATCTTATGTGTGAAGATAGACGACGGAGAAAGAGGACAGCAACAAGAATTTGCCGCAAAGTTGGGCAGCCGTGAAGGGGTTAAGAAGAGGAGAGCTGATGCGTGGAAGGCAGGCAGATTAGCCGACGCCCATGGACAAAACAAACGGGAATCGCATTTCTCCCATTTCCCATGGCAGATTCCCATCAAGATCGCCGATCCAAGATGCTATTACGTCACTGCCAGCGCAGTGACGAGTGAGTGCACTCGAAAAGGATCAAGCCTCGGCTGTGGCTCAGCAAACTTACGAAGAGCGGACAATGACGGACCGCCAAGGCAGTGAACGAAGGTAAAATCCTGTTTCTTCACTAGCAGCTTGCGACCATCCTATCTCCTGAATACCTTATTCCCGCCTTGTGTGAGTGTCTCTCCTGCCACGATCGCCACCATGTAAAGTTGCCCAAGTCCTGATCGGGGCAGGCATGTTCCTATGCTATCAAGCTCTACTTTGCTCCAAGCAGAAAACGTTATGGTGAACAATCTGCCAGACCTTGCACTACCCTCAATAAAAGATATGTCTTCATTTCTTTCCTATCCCTAATCTCAGTATCTATAATGTTGGTGGTCGAAGTTCATGTCCATCTATCTGGAGGGCAAAACCCGTGACTTCTCAAGTCTTCCTGTTTCAGTCCAGTCGAGCTTGGGAGAACAATTAAACATGCAATAACCCCCTCATGTTTTTCTCTCGATGCTTATTTCGCGAAATTTGCCTTAATACAACGATCAGCTTCTGTGAGCGTCAATTTCCTCCTGCGCTCCGTGAAATCACGAGACCACGTGGGCCGCTATTCGCCCCAACCTAGAAACTCACGATTCCTCAATCGCCAACAATAAAAAAGCCCACTAATTCCATTTTCTTCCACTAGCACGTTTAGAGTCTCAATCAAACAGCCCGAACCCCGACCAAATATCCATCAAGTCATAGCCTTTCCTTCTAATATCCTCGTTGTCGCTTACCTGCCACGTCTTCACCATTTTCTCCACTTGTTCCACAAGGCCCGCATCATCTGGCCTGGACGAATTGTTCAGTAACTCCTCTGCAAGCTCGATCCTCAACTGATCATGTAAAGTCAACCAACTCAACCTCGTATTCGAGATATCGCCAAGACAGATCGCAACACGCGGCACGTCATTGCCCATTACGCGTTTCAGTGCCTCCTTGACAAAGCCCAGCTTGTTATGGTACAACCTGCCAGAGATCCTATCCACGAGTTTCGCAACCTCTTCAGCAAAGACCTTACATCTCTCCTCCTGAGTCACGGATTCTCCAGGTGGAAGAGGAAGGCCGGGGTATTTTAGTAACCAGAGTCGCATCACATATGTATCCGGAAGGACAGGAGGCTTTCTGTTCGGATCGCTCAGCCACTCTTTCGTTCTCAAGGTATTGATATACGCAATTATGGCTTCCACAACGGGTTTTGTATTCTCAACCCAAGTTTTCCTATCCTCGTCGCTAGTTTGATAGACGGAGAATGGTGGGGCTAGCTGTGTGGTCAGGTAGTGGATTGAGTGATATCGAGGCGCGTCTACAGCCATGATAGCGGTGAACAGTTTTAGGATCCATTCCTGAGCTTTAGCGACTGTGATGCCCATTTCTTCGGATAGAACAGTAGGCCTGAAGTCCTTTTTTAAAAGACCAATGAGATAGGTTCCAAAACTTGATATGGGGGAATTGTTATAGAACAAGCTGAGCCAGAAACTGACATCTTTTCGGGTTCGTAGGGCTGGGTCGTCGTCGAACCTCTTGTTCAGCGCACAAACCACATCTGGCTTGGAAAGGTAGAAGATGGTGAAATCGAGATACTCTTCGACCAAAGTAGCTGGGAGATGAGTTGTTCCTGTTTGCAAAAGCCGGAGCCAGACCATCGAGGCTCTCGGTGGTATGGGGATTTTCAACTCTTCAATACCCTTCTCGCCACCAGCATATTTCTTCAAGAACACGTCAATCCATCGCTTTGTCTGTTGCTTCTGGCGGTCGATTATTGGCAAGATAATGCGGTTCGTATAAGCAGTGCGATGAGGGAAGTCTTGGGAGACGTTGGCTAAGAAGTCATATAGCATTGCCAACATGGCAGGAATGTCATAGAAATTAACTTCAGGTAGAGTGAGATTTGATGATATGGATTCCCAATCGGATTCGGAGAGAGGATGACGCTCATCAAGTTGGCCTGCGAGCGGGATTGCGGTCTCAAGGCATTTGAGTACTTTTGCAGGTAAAGTCTAGTCTTGTTAGCAATGTGATCATAGGTTAGAATGAGAGGGCCTTGGAGAAAGTTCAGTCTGGCGAAGAAATACATTCGAATGTCTTACCTCATCGCCATCTTGCGGTGATCCAGACGTCTTCAGAATACTTAGTAAACTACCTAGAACAGCATTCTGAATGTCGATATGCGTTGTTTTTTGCGACAAGGTAGTGAGTAAACCCAGAGTAAAGCCCTTGGATATAAAATCCGCCCCATTAAGCAATTGTGCTAAGTACTTGATCGTTGTAACCTTAATGTAAGGCTGTGGAAACCCATTTTCGCCTTCCTCATTTGCTGTATCGGACTCCTTGGCCTCTGGGGATCTCTCTTGCGCCATCTTCTTAGCCTCCACCTGTTCTCGCAATTTCGTAATAACCGCTGCAGCAAAGGCGCTGACGCATTGTTGCGCTTGCGCTGTTGGTAGTCTCCGGAGAAATCCAGGTTTTAAAAGTGTTCGATGCCAGGAGCTTGCATCAGGTCGCTGAATGATGGCTCGAACGGCGAGATTAGATGCTATATCCGGTCTATCACTCTGCGTGAGCAGATGGACAAGCGAGAATGCTAGGCGTTCGATATTGTTGTAATCCGGGTCGCCGAGCCTCATCTTGTCTAAAGACGCTATCGTGTTCTCGGTAAGCCTCGCGAGAAGAGCTACTGGGGCGGATTTGAGGTGGCAACGAAGAGTACTGATCGCATTGTGCATACTAAGATCATCTTTGCGCAGGAACTGTTCATCAAGGTAGGCAGTGGGGTATCGAATATCGCTTTCGGCTGGAAAAGGGGCAGGCAGAATCCGTGTATCTGACTTGTTAATTGTGTCCAGATAGAGGAGAGCGGAAAGAATTTGGCCCTCACGAACGGGGGTCTTCCTCTTCGCTTCTTCTACTATTCCCTTAGACCAGATCGCAGCTTGTTCAAAGGTCTTTCCAGGGACTTCGGTGGGAATGTTATCGGGAAGTGGAAGACCAGGGTACGGATCTGGTGAGAAAAATCCCTCACCGGCGATACTTAGGTCGACGTATGTCATCTCTATTGCTCGCTCATCAATATCCTCCCGCCTCGGTGGTAAAGGATTCCATTCCACAACCTCGGAGGGTTCATCCACTATAGGGATGGTTGGATAGTCGTCATAATCAGGCCTCGGAACGTAGTCTTTCGGCCAGAACTCTCTATACTTGTGCTGCATGTTGCATTGCCAATACCGAAGTCCTTCATCATCGCTCATTCGAGGCCTACTCAAAAAACGAATTGCATGATCCCAAGCCCGTTGTAATCGTCGCTTCTTTTCCTCATGAGGAAGGCACTTGGGAACGAACATTTTCATGGCAAAGTGGTAGTCGTCTACAAATTGCCCAATAGCGGTCCTGTCATCTTCATCCTCGGGATAAGGTGTGAGTGCCGCAATCGGGTCGAGGAAAATAGCTGCATTTGTGCGTGATGCAATGTATGGGGCTAATATATCTAGAGAAGCAGTTCGCAGAATGAATGGGCCGATTAAGGTTTGAATAGGCAGTCCACGAGGATAGGGAGCGGGAAGTGTTGCTGCGCTTGGGTGAATGGTGGGCCGGTATTCCTGCCATATGTCATCCCTTGCTTTAGCAAAGTTGTCAAAGAAGCGGTAGGTGGAAGGATCATCGCCTTTAACTTTGAGTTTGGAATATCCTTGGTAGCCCAGGCAACCTTGAGCGGTATCTCGCGATAATTCTTTGTTGTCGCTCTTTAGACAATCTTTCTCCACATCGAGGAGCAGCTGCAATGTATCTTCCCAAACGATGTGGTAGACCTGGTCGTCAGATAGATTTAGATCTTTTTTCAGAGTAGGAACACGTTGCATCCGTCGCTCAACAATGTGTAAAAAGAGATCTAATGTGCCCTGCCAATGGTATCCAGCATATGATGGTTCTCGCAAAGCTAAACATGCAGTTTCGAACAAAAACCGAAGGGCCTTGTTTGCCTCAACAACGCAGCTGCGGAGCTGTAAGGGTGTCATTTGTTTCGGGGTATCAGGAGAGATAGCACATAGCAAGTCCTTTTCTTCGTCCATATGGCTTTGGTGTAAAACAGGAACTGTGAGCTAGAAAAGTCAGTGTTAGTGTAAGGCGATCGGAAGACATTAAGAGTTCTTACCGGATCACGAATGAAACGACGGGTCCACTGGAGCACTTCAAAATGTAACGGAAGTGAGCCACTGGCGACAGCATATTCCACTACCAACTTGATATGGGAGGCGCGTTGAGATTGATCAGGATTCGACATAGCCTTCTTCTTGAGCCATTGTATTGCTACTCTCGTTAGCGAGATTTAGTCATTTCAGGAAGTTTGAACTCACACTGTTGTGCGACACTGCGCGCCTTCTCGCTGCTTCCACTCTTTCGTAAGAGATCGATCTCCATCAACTCAAGATCCCCGTTTACACAATCGTTTCCCTTTGCTGCACAGATTCGAGTGAACAAGCCCAAAGCCTGTCCGGCATCTAGCAGATGGAATATATCATTCCAATAATATGCCTGGAGTCTCTTCAGGTCGCTGTCGATGTCGATATCGATTTCCATAGCGACGAACACACAGAACTTTAACTTTTCATAGCGCTGAGACGGGGCTACTTTTCCCACATGTTTCTCAATTTCCCAAATATTTTCCAAGTAGCTGTGCTTCTGGCGGCCATGCGAGAACAAGGCGGTGACCTGTGTCTCGAACATTTTTGGACGACGGCGCCATGCAGACAATGCGAGATCTAGGAGACTACCATTGTTCCACTCAAGTGCGATAGCTGCATCTGGTTCCTTCTCAAGATATTTCAGAGCTAGGCCGACAATCTCTTGGATGTGCATCCAGCCGACCCTCCTCCTCAAGGCCCGTCGTAGAAGAGGTTCCACCACGCGGCGAATAAGGCCATGCGTCGAGATCGTGGAACTTTCTTCTTGGGCAGCCCTTTTCAAGATGTCGAACGAGAATTGCAATGAGGCAGAGAATCGAGGTAAAGAGCCAAGGGATGAAGGCCATCTTTCAAGCAGTGCGGAAAGCCACTTATCCTCCAAGGGGTAGGAACCAAAGACCATCTGAAGACAAATTGGCCTGAGCGTATCGGCATGATACCTTAAAAGTAATTTGTGTGGAATGTCATTCCATTCATCCTTCGATGGCTTGCACAGTGTGAATGTGATGAAGGCTGAAGTACACCCTGGGACAAGCTGCTTGTAATACTGGGCCATAGGACGCGGATCTGGATTCCTATGCTCGGTTTCCGGGAATTCATCTGACAACAATGCCTTCAGAAATTCCGTAGTTCTCTTCCTCTTTTCCTCCACATCATACCCGACGGCAGAACGAGCAATTGCGTAGCACATCTGTTTGACTTCCAGCACAGAGAGATCGACAAATAAATCCAGGAGGCCCCGGATTCCACCGAGGCCATCCCATGTCTCCTTCCACTTTGATGACCTCAGCTGTTTTCCGACTCTCTTTATACCAGATTTGCGAATCTGAATTGAGACGTTCTGTTTCAAAGCAAGGCTGATGGCGGAGGGAGACTTGGTGACGCCAAGCCAGATGTCGAAGATGGATGGCTCCAGAGAGCCCCGTTCTACCGCTTCGAGCAGCTGCAGGGAAAGGGTTTCGACAGAGGATGAAGCAAGCAGATGGCGAAAATACTTTGAGCTTTCAAGCGGGGTGGAAGAAGCTCGAAGGCGCCCGAGGTCCAGAACAGGCCCCATGTTTCAACCAACTCAGCGTGAATTTTATTTTGGAAAGAGTGGCTGAGATGAATGTAGAGTCAAGGGAGAGATGACATGCATTTACCTATATAGCTAACGGCCAAAGGCGGAAGGGCAGCAAGAAGGGAGCGAATTGAAGGACGAGCGGTGAGATCATCGTTTTCGACGCACTAGGCACGGGCCCTCTCAGCCGCATCAGCACTTGTCTGTCCTGGCGGAACTGTTCCCTTTTCTTTGCGCCCCATTTCTGGACAAGGGACTCTGCAGTGAGACATTGGACCAGTGCATTCCTCCCATATTCATTCACGGCCTCTCGACATAGCGCTAGCGTGTGACGCCCTTCCTTGGAGAACCTCGGCCTCTTGTCAGCCACGCCGACATCACCGCCATGGAAAGTCGATATGAACACCTGTGGTCAACGGCAACGATCTTGGACTCTTAGATTGGAGTACTAGGTCGATTGTCGCCTCCGCTCTTATCCTTCCTAGGGTACTTCATGGGAAACACTCCTATGGAATTTGTCTAGGACCATGTAGCTTTAAACGCTTCTCAGTGCAGGGAATTTAGCCCGCACTTCGCTGACTACAGACACCCTCCCTTGATGTCTCGTCTAGCAGTATACTACTATGCTTCAGAAGCCTCATCTTCAATCCAAGAACCTTATACTCCGATGCTGACCAATATAGGTGTCTGCATTGTTTTGCGGGCCACATCCTCAGTCGTTCTCACATTATCCTGCGCAATGATCCTTCTCACTCTCTCGTTCTGTAATGCCCGCTCAAGCAGCGCCTACTCTTCCATTTTCCCTTCGCGAGACTTACGGGTCTCAGTGAATCATTGTTGAAACTCTCTCTCTGAACTCGCGCGCAAACGCAGTAGGCCCATGATGGCATGGAGAAGATTCACACCAGCTGGTGATAGATCCCTAATTTGTTGCGAGAGCGCTTCCACCTGCGGCTCAGCTTGTGCAGTTGTGTTGTATTCTTCCAAGGTATGTATTCATGCAGTGATCAATCCTTCCCAGTGGAGCGAAAATATTATATATCGATTGGAGATCTCTATTGACCCTTGATCCTTAGGGTCCGAAGGCTTAGGAGAACTCGAGGAAAGGGCAGGAAGCATCTCGACAATGATTTGCGCAGCTGTTTGATCTAGTTTCTGGGTGGCTTTGCCGCGAGATTGACTCGGGATGCGACAGAGACGATGAAGTAAAGGCTCAGTTAAAAATCTTTTGAGGTTTCCATAGCAGGTAGAAATTTCACAACTCCTTCGCCTTAGACCGAGCTTCCGAGATGGACTCCGGCATCTGGCATGCCTCCGGCCTAAGATGTCCGTCCCAGGAGGACACATCTCAAAGAGAACACATCGGGTGCGCAAAGATCCATGAGTGGCCACTTCTGGAGTGAAATATTTTGCTGTACTACGCTTATCCTCTTCGGCCACACTGGAGGTAAGGTAGGAGAAGTTGGTTGAGTACTCGAAATCTGTAACCGAGAAGCCGCCTCTTCGAGAAAGCAGGATATGATAGGGGCTGAGGCTTTCACGATATACAGGCTATATGCTCCCTACTGGCATTAAGCTTTAAAACTACTCTATCTATCTGCGCGCGTAGGCAAGCAGTTAAAACGATATGTGGCTTACTATTGTCTCGAACAAACTGCATCCATCAAAAGCTTCACAGCCGTTTCCTTGCTCATCAACCCCACTCGCTCTCCGAACTTATCTACATGCTACACCTCCGGATCAGCCTCCGATTATATCGCTTTACTATTACCTAAGAATATTACGAATCTACCGTCGTACTTCGATTGATAGCGAGAAAGTAAAGAATTATTACGGCAAGTACTGCCGTCCAAGTAGATCGGAAGGGTCCACTAATTTGAACTGTTTCAATTCCATTTCGTAGTGTCTAAGCGCGGATTTTTTGTCATTCCATCGCGAAGAGAGCATAATGCCAAGTGAACAAAGAGCTACGCAGCTTGAAAAGACCAATGGGCCTTACGAACAAACGAGCCTTATAGGCTTCCAAAATGTGTTCAAAGTTCAAAGTTTTACCTACTTTGTTAACCCTCAAGGTGGTAATATATGATGAACATCCTTCGTTCTCATCTTCAATCACTGCAACTTCGGCTTAAATTATTCCACCTTCGAATATTTGTACCTCTAAATAGACCAGTATAATAAGGGAAATTCTCCCATCCATTTTGTCGTCCTTCCCACTCTCACTCATGTCCGCCACCTCTTAGGCGTTCAAACGAGGCTGGTGTTTATGTTCCTCTCAGAGATTCGCTCTATTTCTTTATTAAGATCCCCCTTATTCACCACTACTATTGCCAAAGGTTAGTCCTCATCTAATCCCTTTAGAAGCTTACTGTCTCTGCAGGTTTTATTAAAACCCAATGTTCTTCAGAATACAGGTGAGGCATGATTTAAGAACGAGAAACAGCATCTAAAAATTCTATTATAGGGTAGATTTAGGTGCGCTGGAATATCGCTCCTTAGGTTCCGCACATGTACTCATGCCAAACAATTCTTATAGATTTTCCGGCGCTGATGGTTCCAAAAGTGGCACAAGCTTTACGACGATGTGAGGGTATGCATAGGCTGTGGATCCCGTTAATTGCGTTGTTTCCTTTCCCTTCCAATGACGAAGGAGGAGCATATTTCTACATTCACCATGGCCTGCAAGCGGATTCCTCCCACAAAGCTGCCGGCAATGATAGGAGTATAGCTCGTCTGGGGAGATGGGCTTACAGTAACAGGTTGAGTGGCTGTACTTATGATCTGTTTGGGAATCGTTAATGTGATAGTTGAAGCGCTTAGTAAGGTATTCGCTGATGTAGTTGATGGGAAAGTATATGTCAACGAAGACATTTCGACGTCGTCCGTATTGACGCTGATCCAGTAGCAACCTTCCCATCCTGAATTGTCACTCCCTCTCCAGCATAGCAGCATGGTAGCCCGGTTACATGACCGCCACAACATTGAACAGAGGCCTCCATCACTACACGTAGTGATAGTCATATCAGTCCCATTGAAGGTTCTGCCATATCTACCTGCGACTTCTTTATAAATGAATCCTTAAGCCTTCATGCGGGATGTCTAAAGGTGGCCATACTGATTTGATTCTCTGCGCACAGTTTCAGACAGCTAGGTCACTCCTAGCTTTGATCCATACAAGATTCCCTCCACAAGACTCCCTTCCCGTTTTCCATTCCAGTGTTGAAGCAGAGCCCATTCGGACGACCGATATCGCCATCTGCCAGATTATAGCACATGCTATTCTTGGCCTCGGAATTACATGGCATCCATGTGCCATAATTCCGCGCACTTATATCCTCGCCGTTGAGATAGAAACACCCAGCTTCGACCCTCAAGAGAAGGCAAAGAAAAGTTAGAACTCCCGTGAAATGCGTTGAGGGAATAATCTCAGTCACAACAAAGAAAGAGGACCCAGGGGCCACCTCTTTGAAGCAGAATGTCTTGCTCTGCGTCTGTATCAGGGGTGAAGGATCATGAAGGCGTGGGCTGCGTGATGGCCCAAGTCCGTAATACGGGATCTTTCTAACTCCAGCACAACCAATGTTACTTATTCGTTATGATGATGTCCCAATGATAGTTCATGATATTGGGGGTTTACTGGGTCGAGTTTGAAGGGGCCAAGGAGGATTCCGATCAGGACGTGAGAGGTTAAGGCAATCTTAAAAATGATTCTAGACATAATGGCTGCATTACACAAGTAAAAATCTCACTCTACCCAATTAAGTGGGGTAGTGTTAACCTTGAGGAGGAAGGACGTCGTGGTTCAAGTGAGCAGAGCAACAAGTGCGGAAAAATTCCGCCGACTTACGAAGCCTTCTGTCATATTTGTAACTTATGGAAGCTTGTGACGCCCCTTGGTGTTCGAATCATTCCCGTTCATTAGAAAATTTAAGGACAAGTGTCCTCAAAGCACATGGCCGTCAGCGCGAACACCGTATTCAAATGTCGAGATTTCTCGTCTTTGTATGAGCTTCTCCGCGGCTGGATTGTTCCCTGGAATATGGATCTATTCATAAACAGCCATGAAAGTGGCTAATGTTATTCTCGACATCTAGGAACCACCAGTGTTGAAGTAAAGCAATACCTCCCACCTCCATAGTCTCACAATATGGCCGCTCTTCATAAGCTCTGGATATCTCCAGGAGCATGCTCGCTCGGTCCTCACATACTATTTCCTGAAGCTGGATTGGATTTCGAAACCGTCCGAATTAACGCTCAGAAAGGCTTTCCGGCCGAGTACGCGCATATCAATCCGAAGAAGCGGGTTCCCATTCTCCAGCTAGGAGATGATATTATCACCGAAGCACCGGCTATCATGACTTGGATTGCGCAACAAGTCCCCGAGAAACATCTCTTGGGCAAGACGAGCCTGGATATTGTAAGGATGTACGAGTGGTTTAATTAGCTCTCCGGGACACTCCACGCTGTAGGATTCGGCGGCTCTTTGAGACCGGCGCGGTTCACGGATGATGAAAAGGCGTTCGATGCAATTAGGGAAAAGGGGAAGCAGACGATCGCAGATTGCTACACTGCAATCGATGAGACGTAACTTTTAGGGGGCCATCTCAATCCAAAGGTCTCTGCCGCTCCGTGGAAGTATATCACCAGCTGAGCCTCATGATAATCTCTTAGCAGGTTGGGTCCCAACCGCTGCTCGATGGTTTTGCATCACACGGCAGTTTCACTCACCAGTGAGTCGTGGTGCCGTTGATGCGTCTCAAACGGAAGAATATGGCAGTCGTGCTCTGTTTTGCCACTGGGCGTTTTCAGCTGGAAGAAAATAAATCGATTACGCAGGGAACACGATTCCTTAGGCATGGTGATCTTCTGAAGGCATGTCAAGCGACCTGGGGTAGATAAGTGACATGTGTTAGAGAGTGTAAATCGCAAGAGCCAATAGGGAGGCAAATAGCCTTGTACCGGCAGCGATGGTGTCTAAAAAGGGCTTTACGGTTGCAGAACCGGAAGGTATCATAGAAGAGAGGCCTTATTCTAGATGTTTATAAGAGCAGGTTTAAAGTTTCAAAAGCGTAAGATTATGGGTTCTGTAATGACATCGAGAGAGCTCAACGACCCAGGGGCATTTTTTGGACTAAATACGCCGAATTAATACCCATAATATCAAGCCTATAGAGGGAAGAAGATCGGACAATATAAGTGCTGGGGACCGCTGCTCTGGTTCTTGAATGTTACCATTGCGCCTCGCAAGCCAGATGCAAGCTTACCTATTCGCCAGCCACCTAACAGCGTACCGAGTGCGATCGTAATAATCGGGAAAATGTACTCTAGCTTTCCATGACCGGACAGCCAGTTGTACAGAGGCGGAGAAAGAATGGAAACAGTGGCCACAATGAGCATCTTATACCATGAAACACTGGTCTGTTAGCCTCCAGAGGTGGGCGTGGCCATCGTACTTACAAGCCCCTAGGATACGGTTGGGAAATGTTATATAATGGGTTAGTTCGCTACATTATTGTATATACGGCTTCATTTAATGGCTGTCTTTCCATTTTAATGAACAAAACAAGCTGTCTCCAAGAGTTACGAGTCTCGAGAGGTGAAACCTACCAATGGCTAAGACGGGCTCGCCCGCTACTTCAGCAACTTTCTTGGGTCTGGGGGGTCTCAATTCAGGGGAGGAATTTCTGGCATTCCACTGTCCGCATCCTCCTCGCTTTCGACTTACTCACGGATATAGATTGTTTCCTCCATGAAGGAGAAGATAGAGACAACAATTACCAATGCACCGAAGATTATCGCCCACCTAACCCATCCCGCGAGGAATAGGGTGAGTAGTTCTGACCAAAGAGAAGGAATGCGTAGATAGCCATATACGTTCCGCGATTGGATGTGAGGAACAGATCCTGTACAGAAACTTCAGGGAGTGACTTAATAGGAGTGACGAATATATCGCAAAGGTAGGTAGAGGGTCGAGGATAGGCGAGCTAGGTGGTTAAAACTAAACTAGGTGGGTTGGTTGATAGTGTAAGGTCTGAGGAGCGAGAGAGAGCTTCGAGGTGCGACAGAATATACTAGAATTATACGATCCGCGTACCACTTTCCAGTCCTTTTCAAATATGCAGACTAGAGAACTGAAAATATACAGGAAGTCGGAGGGTACGTATACTCCATGTCGACTATAAAATAGTGTAAAATTTTGCTAGAGATTCGCCAACCTAGGAATAGATACAGATACATCAATGTTGTACCCACGTTCAGCCGCGCACCTTTAGTTCTAGTTTCCTTTGTATAGGTGCTAAAACTGACAGAAATTAGTGGAACGTGTGGTCAGTCACATAGAGTTTCGTACTCGAATACTACACCATTGCCGAAATTCCGACTGCAACCACATAGCAGTACACAATTCCGATTGTGAGCGCTTTCCGACAAGAACAGTTCAATGGATCTTCTAGGTCAGCAGCCAGCTGTGGAACAAGGACAATGTCCTTATTACCACTGAGTTGTTTACCCGGGATGTCATGTTAGGTATCTGCTAAGTGAGCGGTTCCAATGACAATTTTCTTTTAGGTAACCCCCATTTGGTCTTCGCCATGATTTCCGACCGTGTTGTTCAAAATTTATCGCAACATGGAATCGACTCTGCCGGACGAGCAGCGTCTTAGATGGTCGTCAATATCTAGAGTTGATCTGTCTACTTTCTACATTCTAAACGGTGATCTCGCCTAACTCCCGCATAATTATATCCTAAGACGCTCAATTCCGGACGCATTTGTGTTTCTTCGACGAAAATGGCTTCAAATTCCAACACCACAGTTGAATACCAAATTATTACCCTGGGAAATATTTCCGAAGCAGCGTGATAAGCTTGTTAAGTCGGTTTTTAACCGTACCGTGTCGGCAGATGATTGCAGATCAACCGTGCTCTGCTCCCTCTATTTTTGCGTAACACTAAGGTTATCACGTCGATCTTTCCCAGATTAAGATTCTTGTCAAAGTTGTAGGGTATCCCACAAATAAGATATCACATGTCTTCGAGAGCGGTGTCATGTGTGTGGAGAGTTAGCTGAAGATAACCGATATAGGGGAACAAAGTTATTCCTGAACTGATTTATACATTCTCATTCTTCATAGTCGTCTAAAAAACCTGATGACCTCTCCCAATACCCCATACCCTTCCCAACACACCATTCTGTGTCGTCCCTCTTGCTCTCGACGCTGCACATCACTTCAGCTCTCTTTCCCTCAATCCACGTCGGGAGGTATATGGGACCATCCCAGCTCCTTGAATGATCTCCAACCCAAAACTTCACACTTTTCAATTTTTCCCCCACTTTCTCCTCTCGCATATGCTTAAACAACTCCAGGGATGACTTCTCATCCACGAATGGTTTCTGATACTGGTCTTCTCCCAAACAGCTCTGATTCAACCTCACCCATTGCTCATACTGTCTCGAATATTCCTCGGGCCATTGACGACGACATTCAGAAACTATATCAAGCCAAATTTCTGCGGTACGAAGAGAGGGAATGGCTGAAATGGCATTAAAGGTTTCGATGGGCCAAGTTCCGTTCCTGTGGATGTTGATGCTTAGATGGGTAAGGTTAGGGGCTAAGCGAGAAAGGAGCGAGAGTTGTGAATTGTTGAATACTGGGGTTGGTACGTCCATTTCTTCCTCGGAGCGTACCTCTAGGTGCTGAAGAGACTTTCCATGAAGTGAAAGAATTGATGGCAGCACATCAGAGGGCCAGGTCCCAATCCAAGTAAGGTTTTTTAGGGAATTATTGTTGAGGCTCTTGAGGATCTGAAGAGTAGTGTTTCCGGCCTGGTCAATCATGTCCAATCCCGAGAGTGAAGTCAATCGAGGTACGACTTTCTCCACGAATGCATCCATACTCCGGTGACCACCACGTAACCCAAGACTCTCCAGCTGTGACCAATCCATAGCATCAAGCCAGAGATCCAAGTTAGTCTTGTTCTTTTGCTCAGGCTTCATAAAACTGTATTGAACAGCCTTCCAGATATTTCCAGTCCTAATCCAGGATCCCCATTTTTCCAGAAACGAAGGATATCCAAATCCTTGGTTCCTAAACTCGGCATCTTCCCATTCTCGATGATCAAAGTAATATCCTTCAAGGCGGAGAGATTTAAGTGGAGGATATTTATCCCCGCCCTTCAGTTTGAAGGGAAGGTTCCAACGATCAGGCGCCTCGCTACACCCCAGCCACGTAACGCGAAGATCGAGGGTTGTGATGTTCGGGCATGATGTTAGCGCCAAGTGAACGGATTGCATGCTATCGAATTGTGGTTCGCTTCGGTAACGGTTCCCAGGAACAGTGGCCACAAGAATCTCGGGACATCCATCTCCGGGCTTCCAAGAACGAGCTAATGATGAAAACGGAAAGATGAAGATGAACAGCAGGATGGAATTTATGAGATGCATGGCGGTAATAGAACTGTACAGGTAGAGGGAAAGAGTGTCAAGTCCCTTGAAACTCAAATAGATTCGCGAGCATAATAGGAAAGTATTAGAAAGAACGGCTTTTCACTTCATTTACTTCTGGTTGTTGCCTAAATCTCATACACTGTGGTGGCCTTGTTTGGTGGTTTGACACCGAAGGATCGCTAAGCTTCGGGATTCGTCCCAACAAGCTAATCCTTCTACTCAGGCCCCGACGGGTTGACTAATCAACTTTTCGCAAGCGAAAAGGCCTGCGCGGAGCGCAGGCCTGCAGGCTCAACGATCATACCTAGCTCAACGATCATTATAGTATATTATATACAATAGATTTAAGAGCGCATGTTGGAGTCGCTTAAATTGACCTCACTGTCGCTCCCAGAGTTCCTACAGTCTAAATCCTCAGTTAGAGGGCTTAATAGTATGAGGTCTTCTTCGAAGGGGTTGTTCACAGGCCTTTTAATCTGTTCACGCCAGATCCTCTCTTGACGCTCCTTAGCTGTCTCTGCATGTATTAAGACCTAATAATCCTATTGATAATGGGTTATATCTATAGGAGGCAGGGGCTTATTGTTGTCATAGCGTTTTTGTAATGCTTTGCCTGCTTTTCGCACTTTTCTAAAAACCTCGCGTTTAAACTTGTTTATCCTAATTGTACGCTCACGCTGCAACTTTGCAGCATATGCAGCAGCAGCCTGCTTGAGCTCATTATCCTGGCGACGCTTAATCATTGCGCGAGCGTCTTTTATATAGATAGGTCCTCCCTGAGAGACCTGACGCTGTGTGTGCCGTTGTCGAGCCTTGCGTGCTTGCTCAGCTGCCTTAGTACGAAGCAGCTCCTTTTTAAACTTAGCATTTGCTTGCGCCTGCGCAAGAGCACCTTTAAAGGTCTTCTTAATGCCTGCTTTCAAAGGGGTAGGTATAGACGCGAGGGCAACGTTTTGCTGCCAGCGTAGTGTACGAATCATTGTTGGTGTCTTCCACTTCTGATCTCCAGGCCTAGGCGAAGGCGTACGGGGGTGACGAGCTTCCCACTCAGCCTTCTGGCGCCTGAATTGATTATAGCTTAGGCGCTGAGCTTCCTTGGCAGGTAGAGGCTTAAATCCCTTACTGCAAGAGTCTTGGGTAGAGTCTAGGTACAATAGGTCGTCAAATGGATCGCAATTGGTAGTCTGACGCTCTGCAAGCTCCTCTTGTGCACGCAGAGCTGGGAGCACTTCTTCTGGATTGAAAGGAACAATGCCTGTACGCTTAAAACCGCCTAGGATTGTACGCTAGGTGAATGTCTTTAACCTGATTCTATGGAGAGAAGCTAGGAACTCAGTCTTTGTAAACGAGCTTGCACTAGTCCTTGCAGCAAGGTCAAGCTCCTGCCCATGGTGCCATTTCATGGGCTAGAAGCAGCCTACATCTAATGGCTGGAGAAAGTGAGTTGTGTGAGGAGGGAGCGCGTATAGTTGGATCTTATTGTTATAGGCGTATTTGACTAGCTTGTAGGTAACGTGGCTTTTGTAACCGTCTATAAGGAGCATCCTCCAGGCGCCTTTTGTACGATCCTTCGTCATACGGTTGAAATGCTGGATGAAATTGTAGGACAGTTGATCGTTACTGTACGCAGTATCGCTAGTGCCAATTAGGTAGTCATCTGGCAGCTCCATGCACCACCTCTCAATGATACTTGAGGCCTTGACGATTACCATAGGAGCTATAGATTCTCCACTAGCAGAGACAGCCTTAATAAGGGTAACAAGCTCCCTATTGTTGCTGTGAGGCATATAGCAAAGAGACCTATGTTTAGTGTACACATATTAACTCTTTGCAACACTAATTCTTATACTAGATTTGTCAAAATTCCAGATATCTTAAGGTATAATTCTATGCTTATTAACCTTCTTCTTAAAGCTATTAAACCACTCTAAAACAGCAGCAGGCTGCTAAGTAAGCTTCTAGGTAACCTTAATAGGCTTTTGTTTCTGTCGCGTAAATTGTGGGTGTCTTTTAAGCTAATTGGTAGGCTATTTCCTGCCTACTGTAGGAGGCTCTCTATCTCCATTGTACGCGAGCAGCGCGTTCGCCGTGCTCCGTACAAGCTCATGTCGAACACTAAAGCCAATATTGTTAATATGATTAATAAACAGCTTTAGCGTGACTTCTTGATTACTTGTGAGGACTTGGTTTGTTTTTTGACGCGTGGATCGATTGCGCCCACCTTAGTAGGCCCGTTTGAGTCGCTGGTAGGGTAGGTCGTTGACGCGGGCGTACGACGCCAGATTTGGATTTTCATGCTGCAGAAGCTCTGCAACTGCATGCTTAATACGAGCTGCAGTAGCTCTATAGTCTGCAGATCGATTGGGAGGCATTGAAGGTGAATGGAGCTTAATTGGCGGGTCAAATTAACGCGTTTTTGAAAGGATTTGATTAATTAATCGTTGAGCTGGGTATGATTGTTGAGCCTGCAGGCCCGCGCTGCGCGCGGGCCTTTTTGTTCCAAAAAGTTGATTAGTCAACCCGTCGGGGCCCGAGTATTTCATCCTTCTGGTTACCTCCCAGCACCACCCTCGTTCCACCTCTAATCTCGCCACGATTCATTCCGCAGATGACCTGGTTGCCAGCGGCTGTTTGTGCTTTTCCATGATTTTATTCGCCATTTAAGACCTATTAAACTCGTGTTACACTACGCGAGCCCTCTTTTCGTCTACATCCGAGTTAGCATTTGTCCTGCTGCCCCAGATTTCAAGCATCCATCACGACAGATAACTTCACTAAGAGTCACGATGGGAAAAGAATCCAACAGCACCCCTGGGAGAGACCACTTAAATCCTCAAAACAATTTTCCACAGCCATTTTTACGAGAGACGGATGTATCTGAGCGAGAAGTTGGGGCTAGCGATCAAAACCAAGCCAACGAATCCACTAAAGAGGAGCCAGAGCCACATCAAGCAGGACTCTCGAGTCGAACCAAGACCCACTACCTTCGAGACTCGTGGTTCTGGGAAGCTGTGAGCCTGCTTTCCGGTTTTGTATGCCTCTTCGCCATCATTATTCTCTTGAAACAATTCGACGGGATGGCGCTCTCCAGTTGGGGCTTCTACTTTCAACTTAACACGGTCATATCGGTCCTAATCTTTGTAGTCAAATCTTGCATACTAATCTCAGTTGCCGAATGCATAAGCCAACTAAAATGGCAACACTTTGTTGCGAAGAAAAGAGCACTTGCACACCTCGAAGTATTTGACCAAGCGAGTAGGGGCGTTTTAGGTTCTCTTAATCTCATATGGAACATCGGAATGCAAGCACCTGTTGCACTTCTCGGAGCAGTAGTCACAATTGCAGCTCTCTTGATGGATCCACTAGCCCAACAACTTGTGCTCTATGAAACCACCGAACGTGTTAGTGGAGAACACGCTAAAATGCCGATCTCCAATGTCTACGATGCGATTGAAATATGGGAGCGAAATGGAAGTTATAGTACGTACTTTTTCATCCCTTACATCCATGCTAATTATTCACAATGTAACTATTCAACAGTTCCTCTCTCAGACACAGCAATGGAGGGCGCATTTTATGCAGGACTTTTCAACACCAATGAATCTCCGCGTTTCCACTGTCCATCTGGCAATTGCGCGTGGGAAGACTTCTATTCTCTCGGCGTTTGTAGCTCTTGTGCGACCGTGACGCGCTCACGCACCTTTAGTCTACGGAACTGCACCGAAGAAGAGGCGAGGAGCACTGACACTTGCATTGTGCGGAATTACCATATGCCGAGCAATTTAACACTGGACATCATCTTCCAGACACGCACTAATTCTCTTGGGAATAACTTGATTGTCACACAAGTAGCTGGGGCAGCAGCAACAGGTATCGGCGGCAACTGGCTCTTTGCACACCGTGGCAGACCGTGGGAACACCTTGATAATATTTTCTATACTGCAGATGTCCTCGCAGTATTTGCTGTAGCTCGGCTGCCGTTCAATATCGACTGGGACTTGGAAAGAGCTCTGGCGGACAGCGAGACATTGATTGACATCACAGATTGTCAACTAAGGTGGTGTCTGAAGAAGTATCAACATGTCGAAGTTGTAAGCCCTCACCTTATTGGCTCTGATCATTCCCCTAGATGACAAGATCGCAGAAAAACGGTACATTATCCAAATTTACCACGCAAGAGACTCCTTTAGTCCACTTTGACGGAGGCCAGACCTTTACTGCCAATATTTCCGCCCAGGAAGTCTATCCATTTGATAGTAATGAAGTGACAGTCATGGGTCGCAATATTGTCGCTCTCGAGAAGATCATCACTAGGTACATGAACTTCCACTTGGCCTCGAACGGCGGTAACATGTATCCGTACAATTGGAGTCCTGCGCAAATGTTTTGGGAGTCTAATAATCACTCTGGAGTTGTGGAGAACATCGCCGCCAGTATGACTGACCGCATCCGTGTCAACTCGAGGGATATTCCAATGTACGCTAATGGCCAAGTCTTTCGGCCAGTCACACTTATCAGAGTTAAATGGCTTTGGCTTATCCTTCCGATCGCCCTCGTTACCCTCACGGCAGCATTATTGGCTCGCGCTTTAATATGCATTCCGGTGGCTCCTCTGTGGAAATCGCGACTGCTTCCTTTATTCTTTCGTGACTTGGAAAGTGAAGAGGAACTCTTACGGGGCGTTAAGGGAAAGGGCAAAATAGAGGAAGCTGCGAGCCAAATGCATATAAGACTGGAAAAGAGAGAGGGAGGGGCGAGCTTCATTTGTTATAAGAAACAAGATTGAAAAATAGAGGTATCAAATATGTGCCGTTTGGAATGATACTTAGTCAATCCAGAATCGGAGTAACTTTCCACGGCTCCAAGGTTGGAAAAGGTCCACGCCAATGCACATGTGCGGCAGAGACTGGGAGATGACATGGCGGTAGCACTGCAAGCGGCACTTAGACTTCAAGATAATGTTTCCTTTCAATAAGCTCAACTGTTTACCGGACACTTTAAAGTTCATAGTTCGAAATGGAGCAAGGACGACGTCGTGGCAAGACAAAGTGTACATGCACCCTAGAGGCATTCTGTCTATTTGGACGAGGCCGCTGTTACACTCGTAGGCCCGCGCCACATCGCCGCAAAATCTTTAGGGTGCTGCCTTTGCTCAAGGATTCTCTACCTTCTCATTTTAACTCCTTTCTCTTTCCCTTTAGCTATGGCATCAAGCATGCCACGGCTCAGCTTTGGCGCCAGTGGTTGCCACAACACTCAATGAGCCAACCAGTCTCAAGATCCTCAGTGCAACAATCCTGCTACAAATCGCTTCAATAGTGAAGAGAAATCGCGGTCGAGCTCAAGGGCCAAGCGAAACGGCCTAAAGCCCCCATAATGGCGTAAAAAGTTCTGAGATGATGCGTGCGCTTAGAATGCCTCAAATAATAGCTAAGCCCAACCTTCTGTTGCCGGCGGCCAAGCCGAGTCAGTACCTGAGTCTGTGCCAGATCCCCCATGAATAGTGCCTATGCTTGATTGTTATCCTTCCATAATAGGGGTCAGCGATTCTATGATTCAGCAACAGACTCGGCATCGCGAAAGCTCGTCAGATATGGAAGATGAAGAAGAAAACTAATGAAGCTAGTGACAATGAGGAGCGACGGTAGGGGTCATGACGACGAGATGGATGATAAGTATAGCAATATATATGATGAAGAAGGGTCTGCATATAGATTGGACGACAATGAATTCGCTGGGTTTGCCTGTTTGAGCAGATGGATGGTTGCATCATTCGCAAATATCCAGCTGATCTAACCACGGAAACGTCAAGTGCAGTCTATTGCGACACGAAACTGATCAGGAGAGGCTATATTCGGCTATTGTTCTATAGAGACATGGAAGAGCTGACGCAAGAGACTAGCTTCCTTGCATTTGCACTCTTTGATCCTTTTGGCAGACTAGGGTTAGAATTCAAGAACTAAGTTGTGAAGAAGGGTTCTGGGATATGGACGAAGAGCTCTGAAACGGAAATTTCCTCCCCGTTGAGTAAATAGTAGTATAGAAGCCGCATTGGGGCCGGGGACTAGGGCAACAATTGCTCATAGCAGTGTTGGAGAAGAACTGTACGAAATTAAAGCGATTCATTATCATTCGTTGTCTGGGCAGGCTTAAACGCGAAGTCGATAGAACAAAATTTGCCACAGAGGAAGATGTTGGGCCTATAGAGCCACTTAAACAAGGCATTGCAGAAAGGGTTTCTCGTTCTTTAGGCTGCCTGCGAGTAAGCTCGTCACTATGGTTAGCATTGTTTAGTGGTCCTGATCATCCTGACTATGAGTTTGGAGGGGCAGGCGATTTTGAGTTACCGACACCTCCAACGCGCTCCCACGATCCGAGGATGGTGTTGGCAGGTGGTGTTCGTAACAGGGGACTGATTATTACTAGAGAAAGGAAAAAGACATGTCTAAGCTTCTCCACTGACAACTAGCAAGCAAGACTTAGAAAAGATAACTCTGTTCTTTATGGCGCATCAGGTGGATTCAGCCCGAAGACTGTCGGTTAATTACTCAACTAGAATTCCAGCTTGCTCGATCTTCGAAATGACGAAGGGAACTTGGCCTTGGGTATTCTTGAGAGGATCTAAGAGAGCTTTAGAAGTAAACACGAATATGGCACCACGATTCTCTACATTGTGGACAAGTCCGAAGGCTTTGTTGAAGACGCAATTGAATGACTAGCAACCTTGAAGAAACTAGAAAGCTTACCACAGATTGACAATTACGCCTTAATTACGGGTATTTGTGTGTAAGTGTACTGCAGGACTGCTAAGCCCCCGCATGTAGTTTGCGCTCCGGGACCAGGCAGGATATCAGCGCGACATTCTAAGTAGCGCTATCAACATGAAATTTGGTGATGATTTGTGGAAGATAGCTAGAAGTCGCTTAAAGTCGTCCCAGCCGTAGTAAGTGGGACAGGAATTTGCGAACTTATACAGCCATTTCGCAACTTGCATGAAGTGAGAGGACATCCATGGCCTTTTTGTCGCGAAGAACATTGTTAATGTCCACCAAACTGCTCGCGAATGGTTAAGGGCTGTAAGGAATTACTTAGAGAGGGGAGAGGCGGTCTACGCAGTTGAGGGCTTTCCAGAATGCAATGAGCGAAGATGAAGTTGCTGGAGGCAGTGACCTTTTACACATTAGGACAAGCTAGACAGTTTAACAAAAGCAAAATCAGCGACTTCGGACTCTCAGCTGCACTAGGAAGCATACCCGAATACCGAAATGAACTGGAGTGTGGCTTCGTTGCTTCTGTGATCGACCTTTGATCTGTGCAACTTTCCGTCTAAAAAATCCCTGAATCCTGATGTCAACGAGAACTGATTCTTGAAAGTCGCAGGAAACGAAAAGAATATTCGTTCATTACACTATCCGTTTCTCTTTCTTCCCACAAGTGGCTTTCTAATACCCTTTGTCATCGGATATAGGTGAACTAATTAGTGGAGGCAATCCGCTCGTCGCAACAACAGGTAGGTTTTGTCGTGTGCGAAATTCTCTGGATTCTTGGCAATGCCAAGTAACAACTTTCCCCTCACAAATCTCATAGAAATGCAGGTCACTGCACATATCGCTCCATATAATCAACCACAACGCTTTCTACTGTAGGTGAAGCTTTTCAAATGTATGGATAGGGCCTATCCCACTAATTTAACAGAGTTTTAGATCATAGATCTAACTGTAGGCCTCTCGCGGGCCCCTTAGGGGACGCGTCTTATAGAAGCGCGCATCCTTAATCTAGAGGCCTTGCTACTAGCCTCCTCCTACTTAAAGCACAGCTAGAAGACTGCTCATAGT